AGAAGGAGTTTGGTTCGTTTCCTATAAAGCTGGGAATTGAAAGGTGATCCTTGTTTTGAGAGAAGAAAGAAAAAATGGATTACTAAGTCAGTTGTTGTTACAAAGGGGGAAATATTACAATAGTGCCCCTAGGGCAGTTTTTATCTGTGTCCATTTGTTTTCATCCCTGGATAGCCTTCTGGTATTGGCAGCCGTCTGATATCTTCTGATGAATTGGGATCGGGCTTGGGTTTTCAGCTCTTGATCCAATTCAGCCTCATTTTTGGTATACTTCTCAAGCAGATGCTGTTCATTGGTAATTTGCTTATCCAGGGTAGACTGTTCTTTCCTCAGCTCCCGCAATTCTGCCTCCTTTTTCTGAATGGCATCATCAACCAGAGCTTTCGTGCTAAGGAGACCACCCAGTCTTCCAGTAGTTTGCTGAAGGGATTCTCGAGTCTTGGTCAAAGAATTCTCCAGCGTTGTTTGATCGAAGTCGGGCTGGGGGGTTTCGGCTGACAGAAGGCCAATGACTACCACTTCAGTCTTGAGCTCTGTAAGTCTTTCCATCAGCCGATGCAGAATGGGGACGGCTGGTGATTCCGTTGGAGTGTAAAAAAGAAGGCCACCAACCGTCTGAATGAGTTTGTCCAATAAGTCGGACCTTAGTTCGGACAGGGGACGGTTAATGGCCTCAGTGAACACAGTCTGGGCCTCCGCTGGAACCGGAACAGTCGATAGGACAGCTAAGTCCGAAGGCCCCTGCAAGTCCTACAATGTCAATACATATTCCAAGGGAGTTGCAAATTTGTTCGGAGAAAATATGTGGTACCTCTGGGCGGACTGCTGTCAGTGAGGGGGGCAGCAATGAGGTCGGTCGAGTTGGGCAGACAGCTGGTATAATAGCAGCCGACTCGTCGGCTGCTGCGAATGGTCGCTGAGGTGCCGACCTGGGTCCCTATAGAAAGTAGTATTGGAAACAGTTAGTGTTTTTCGAAAGAAAAGTTATGACCTGGATTGGTTTAATCTTACCAAATTCACAGAAGTCTCCGAATCGGATGAAGACATTTCTCCCATTTCTGGAGGTTGGGCTGCCACGGGTGGTTCTTCTGCCTGCCATTCGATGGCTAGAGGGAGTGCCGCTGCTGGTAGGGCGGCTGCAGGTTGGACGGCTACCTCTAGAGCCACTGCAGCCAGGATCTCTGGGGCACCTTCGATTTCGGGATCAGCAGCATCAGGGATGTCGTTTTGAAGGTCAGTTTCGGCGAGGGCGGCTGGTTCTTCCTTTGATATAGATGAGTCTGATGCCATGTATGGCGGCCGACCCATCTGGGAAGTAGTCCCCTCGCTGTCAGAAGAGACCCCTGCTGCTGATGGGATGGGTGAAGGTGTCTGTGGAAAAATCATGAAGATGTTTGTTGTTAACTATATCAAGGTTGATCATTAGAATACTAAGGAGTGCTGGTGAGAGAACTTACTGGTTCTGTAGGTACTGCTGGTAAAGATTGTCTCCTGGTCGGGGGCCTGGCCCGACCACTCCTCGGTGCGGGAGGAAGAGTTTGCCTCCGCGTCGGGTCCTCCGCCCGATTGCTCATTGGCAAATTGGTCTGGACCAAAGGCCCGATTGAATGGTCGGTTGGTGCTGGCGTCGGTTGCTTGGTCGGTGTCACCAAGGTCGGTTCTGGGGAATGAAATGAGTAGAATCAAAGTTACGATTTAGTGAATTGGTTCACGGTGTTAAGAAACATTACCAATTCGGGGTCGGGTCCTTGCTGACGTCCTATTTATTCCAAGGTCTGCTAGTGTTTGTTGGTCGGTCTCCGAGGTCGGGGGTGTTTGCAATTGGGAAGTTTTTCTTTTGCGCGTGGGACCACCAGATCCGATTCCCGGGGCGGTTGTATGTTTTTGGGTGCTAGTATGTATCGCCGTCCCTAGAACCAGTCCTTGGGGAGGGAGGAGGACGTTCAGCAACCGACTCTCATCAGGGGATATCAGGGACCATACGACCGACCACCATTCATTGAAAGTATCTACGATCTCAGGGTTGGAGCGGAAAGGAATATAAGAATTGGAAATTATATACGTGGTGAGCTGGGAGATATAAGAAGGGATTGAATTAGGAAGGACTCGTCGGTCGGGGCTTTGAAAAATTATTTGGGGACACGCGACGGGTCCAGGGATACCTTGGCAACAGCCGAACTGGCGCGCCATGAATTGAGGTTCATAGTTAAAAGTGTAAAAAGTTTTCTGCCCTTTTTTATCAAGTTTCTTGCTACTAAAAAGAGACCTGGGTTTGAGGGCGACGTCCCAGGCGAAAGGATAGGTGGGATGAGTACAAGGCTCAGGAGTCGGAAGTGGGTTTGGTACTGGAAAGGGCCAAAAATGGTCGGGAGCATAACCCGCATATTTTTTATACATAGAAAATCGAGAGTTACTGCGGGTATCTGTTAAAATGGCAGTTATTATTGGGTCGGATGATTGGAGTTTATTGCGTCCTGAGCAGAGTCGGTTGAGGACTAATCCTAAATGTTTTTCAGACGTTGGCATAGTGGGCGGAGATCCTAAGTTAAACGCGTTGGGAAAGTAAAGACGGGACCAAAGTTCTAAAAACCAAAAAGGACCCGACGCGGCAGTGTCTAATTTCCTATTATCGTTATCTGTTAAACGAAGGCTAACCCTGGTGAGTCCTTCGAACAGATTGGCTAAAAATAGAGTACCAAGGGAGAAGAACCGACCTGACGCAATATGAATGGCCAGGTCGAGGTGGGAAGGAAGAACACTTTTGGAAGGAGAAACAATGATGTACCTACAAAGCCAGAACAGAATAAAGGCAGTATGCTCCCGGTCGGTTACAGGAGTCCCTGGAGCCCCTTGCTGGTCGGTTGCGAACTTTGTCCAACCCCATTCCTTCACACTTTGTAAGGACCATCCCGGATGGTCTTCTGATGGCTCCTGCCCATCTAGGGCTCCCATTACAGGGTCTTCACCCACGATTGGGAGATGTGCGATCATGGCCACGTCCATAAGAGTTGGGCCAAAGGGGCCTGATGGGAAGAGGAAAGTCCCATTTTCCGCATTCCAGAAGGCAGACATGGCCAACAACACCTTCTCATGCAGGTTGATAGGCATGGTGGACAGCAATATTGCTTGGTCGATTTTTTGGGAACGCCATTGGGTCTGGAAGTGTTCTGCTACTCGTCGATACCAAGCGCGATACAGATCTTTTGGGTCTGTGAGATGGGTCTTGATGCTGTCCCGGATGCGAACTGCTTGGTAGTTGGGATTGTTGATAGCCAAGGGGTTGCGAGATTCCAAAACTTCCCTCATCCGATTTGAATCTTCAGGAGTAGTGCAATATGGACGGATCGTCGGAGTTAGTACTTTCGAAGCTGAAAATGGACCTTCTGGAAGGGTTCCGTCGAAAGGAAGGGCAGGCATGTATTGATTCGCCATAGTTAGAATGTTTTGGGATTGTGATTCACACAGGCTTGTATTGCGAAGAAGGAAGTTTATCAGGAGTGTTGCAGTAACTGGTGCAGTTGCTAAGGGAGTTTTTCAAGAGGGTAGTGATTTATGAACTTCCAAACATTGATTGCTAAATGGCGTTTGAAAGTCCCTTGGCGGCGGGCAAGTTGTTACGTACGAAATTTAGAATTAGGTTAAAAGCCCAAGGTAAAAAGAAGAATGGGCCTGACAATAGGGTTGATTGAACTGGCTGAAGGACACCGTGAGGAAATCAAGGAAAATAAATTTATTTATTTATTTCTAAGGAAAATACAGGACGGAAGGACCTCAGGTCGGTAGGTCCTCAAGACGGAAAGACCTCAAGTCGGAAGGTCTTCAGGTCGGGAGGTCCGCAAGACGGAAAGACCTCAAGTCGGAAGGTCTTCAGGTCGAGAGGTCCGCAAGACGGGAAGACCTCAAGTCGGGAGGTCTTCAGGTCGGGAGGCCCTCAAGATGAAAGACCTCAAGTCGGACGGTCTTCAGGTCGGGAGATCCGCAAGACGGAAAGACCTCAAGTCGGAAGGTCTTCCGGTCGGGAGGTCCGCAAGACGGAAAGACCTCAAGTCGGAAGGTTTTCAAGTCAGGAGATCCTCGAGACAGAAAGTCGTTGAGATGGGATATCCGCAGGTCGGGTAAACTGTAGGTCGGATAGAAGGAGGAGTCGGACAAACACGGAGGCCTTTGATCAAATATAGGGGGCGGTTGATATGGAGGTCGGCCCAAGTGGGGTCGGGCGAAGAAGTAGGTCGGACGAAGGACGAAGTCGGGCCAAAAGAGCGGAAGGTCTGTAGTTGGCTCAAGGAGTGAAATATAGGGATTTTTGGTCTGCTGGGGACACGTGTCAGCATAAGAAAGGTTGGAAGACGGTTGAGAAGGAGACGTTGTAACCGTTCGGGTGACGGTTTTCAGTACGGTTTCCCAGGGAATATTTAAGGATTTGGATCATCATTTGGCAAGGCATCTTCAATCAACTTCAACAAAGCAAAGTCAGATTTGGGGATCACCACTTTAAATTTCAGTATTTTATTTTCCAGTTTAGTTTCTGTACGTTACAGTGTTTAGAGATTCCTAATCTCAGGCACTAATTAATCAAGTTTAAGGATATTTTCTATGTCTTTGAATTTTACTTTATTTTTGTTGAAAAAATACATCAACAATAATAAAAACAATTGATTTATAATACAAATTGGACAAGCTATAAGTTGTGAATATATATGCTGAATATAAAATTCTATACGCGTTGAACCACTAGATTCGAGTTGAGCTAATATTCAGGCCGACGTGGCAATAGTTCATTTGATAGGGCTATATTTTTGTGTTTATAATTATAGTAAAAAATTAAATTAAAATAAATATTTACCAGTATAATATTTTCTTATATTAAATAAATAATCGTATTATATAAAAAATAAAGATAATATATTTTCTTAAAAAATAATAAAAAAATACAGCCAAACAAACTCAAATTATTTTTAAAAATAAATAGCATTGGAAAGCCCAAAATTAAAAACGAAGAAAAACCCTTTTGTCTCCACTGTGATTCTGTTTCATACTCAGCCGAAGAATTCGAGAGGCTTACTCGTACGTCTCCAGTCTCCTCCAACTCGGAGCCTCATCGGTGGGAGATTTGTTCGTGTATTCGTATCCCAACAGATCTCCGAGTCCGAGCCCAGCCCGTCGATAGATACATACAATCACATATATATATTAGATACAGAGTCCCTGTATGTATCGACGTCTACCCACAGAAGCCACATTAAATTTGTAATTAATAAAAGCCTGCCTACGCCCTACAGCCAAAAATAAAGATTGGGTTTTTTGCATTGGGGCCGGAGAAGGAGCAGGAAGACAATAGACTCTGCAGTCTGCGCTTCACTGTGCATGCTCTTCTTCCCCCTTTGTTATTTTTCATCTCTAGGTTTTGTTTAGATCTGTGTTTATCTTTTTTGGCCGGCGGCCGGAGGTGGAAGGGTTAGGGAATTGAATAAAGAGGCTGCATTGTGGAATTCGATTTTTGTTAGGGTTGGGGGTTTTGGGGATTTTGTTTCAATTCTGGAGATTTGGGGTTTTGGATAGATTTTGGGGAGTAGGATGAAAGCCGGCCAGAATAATACGGATAAGTTCATCTGGGAATCGATGAGGTCGTCGGCGGTGGCGCCGGTGGCGGCGGCGCACGGCAAAGCCTTGCCGAAGCTTATGGTGTGGCTGATTTTATTCGTGTCGGCTACTTACGCCCTTTACACATTGAAGCTCGTATCGTCGTCTTCACACGCCTCCTGCGACGAAGGCGTATTCTCGAAGCGCCACACAGTCGTTCATCTCGCCGAATCGGTGAACGCCACCTCCGCGGCGGCGGCGATGGAGCCTCAATTGAACGATTTACCGGCGAGGGAATCGAACAAAACAGGGCTGGAGCACATATTCTTCGGCATTGGAGCATCGGCGAAGCTCTGGGGGAAGAGAAAGGAGTATATAAAGCTGTGGTGGAAGCCGGAGATGCGAGGAATCGTGTGGCTCGAAAGCCGGGTCAAGACTTTAAAGAACGAGGCCGGAAACCTACCGGAGCTGCGGATTTCCGGCGACACGTCGCGATTTCCTTACAAGAACAAGCAGGGGCACCGATCGGCGATTCGGATTTCAAGAATCGTGTCGGAGACGATCCGGCTGGGAGGAATGGACAATGTGCGGTGGTTCGTGATGGGGGACGACGACACAGTGTTCGTGACGGACAATTTGGTGAGGATCCTGAACAAATACGACCACAACCAATTTTACTACATCGGGAGCTCCAGCGAGAGCCACTTGCAGAACATATATTTTTCTTACAGTATGGCTTACGGCGGCGGCGGCTTTGCAATAAGCTATCCTCTGGCCAAAGCTCTGGAGAAGATGCAAGATCGATGCATCAAAAGGTACCCCCGACTGTACGGCTCCGACGACAGAATGCAGGCCTGTATGGCCGAGCTCGGCATTCCACTCACCAAAGAATGGGGCTTTCACCAGGTAAGAATTAATCAAATCCAATCTAGTCCAATTTAATCAATCCTGATCTTCTTACATTCGATTTGGATTTTGTTTTTTCTTCTACACTTTCACTTTCTGGGATCTATTTTCATTTGCCCGTTATGGATTTGTTGGGTGTGAGTGATTACTGATTGATTATATATGGTATCTTGTCGATGTGATCAATTCTACTTATGAAAACAAGAAGAGGAGAATGTAGTGATCTCACAGTTTCATTCTTGGAACGAAACAGAAAGCTATTCTTGTTGTTACTTTTAAATGGCAATTTTGAAGCTTTTGATTTGCTTGGGCAAGGTAACTCGAGGGAGACGAAGTAGTAATAAAATTGGGCAAGGTCACGGGTTTCATTACATTGGGTTTCTAAAATTTGGTAGACCTTTTTTATTTTTATTTTTTTACCTTAGTGTTCTGCAAGAAAACAAGAATCCGATGTGGTGTGGTTGGACTTGAAAAGTTCTTTGCCATGTTGGTTGAATCATTGCCTTCGAATGTGGGGTCATGTGTTGTTCGATCTTTGGTACGTTTTATCATTATCTTCCCACAAAATTTATCTTTGTTTGAGGGTTTTTTGTGTAGTGGATTATGGTTGGTGTTAAGGTTGATTTTGTCGAAAGTTTGATTCTAACATTTCTGATGTTTCTTGCAACGTATGATGCAGTACGATGTTTACGGGAACTTATTCGGGCTGCTAGCGGCGCACCCGGTGACGCCGTTGGTCTCGTTGCACCACCTCGACGTGGTGGAACCGATCTTCCCGAACGTCACTCAGGTCGAGGCTCTACGACGCCTGTCGATCCCGACGAAGCTCGATTCGGCGGGGCTGATGCAGCAGTCGATTTGTTATGACAAGGCGAACAGCTGGACGATCTCGGTCTCTTGGGGGTTCGCTGTCCAAATATTCCGGGGCGTGCTGTCCCCGCGCGAGATGGAAATGCCGTCGAGGACGTTCTTGAACTGGTACAGGAGAGCTGACTACACGGCGTATGCGTTCAACACGCGCCCCTTCATGAGGAACCCGTGCCAAAAGCCTTACGTTTTCTATTTCGAAAAGGCGAGCTCGGATTCGGACGGGGGACAGATATTGACGGAGTACGCGCACAATCGCACTCCGCATCCTCTTTGCAAGTGGAAGATCGCCGACCCGGTGTCGCTCGACACCGTCGTGGTTTTCAAGAAGCCGGATCCTCGACTATGGGATCGGGTAAGCGAATTCGAACAACTCGGGTCTCTTGTCATTGTCCTAAATTAGTTCATCATCGAAGTAATATTGTGTGTATTCATTTGTTGACAGTCTCCGAGAAGAAACTGCTGCCGGGTGATGAACACTGAGGGGAATGTAATGGCGATCGACGTTGGGGTTTGTGAGGACGATGAGGTAAGTGAAGTATGATGCCATGGAAGAAAGAACAGCTTCTTACTGTTATTATTATTATTATTAGAAGTATTCCTTTATTTGTTCTTGTATCAATTCCCTTATTATTATTATTATTGTTATTAGTTTTCTAGCTTTGAGTTTTTACTTTATTATTAATTTTTTTCTTGATTATATATATATATATGTATTTATGTGGGGCTGAGGATGCTGACATGTGCCCTAGTTTTGTTTTTGTGTAAAGAATTTGAATAAATTGTGAAGATGGTGATGAATTTTGTTGTGAAGATGTTTTGAAGTGAATTTTTTAAAATTAATAAAATATAAATAGTAAAGTAGATTTTTACTTTTTTATGGGTAAATGGGGTCAAATTGGTTGGTGGTTTCAGGGGACTGTTGTCTGGAGTGATATAAAATATTATTAAAAAAATAAATGGGACAGAGAGAGAGATGGAGACACGTAATGATATATGAATGCACTAAATGAAGCGGTGGAAAGATATGACCTTCCCCGATACCATTATCATTTATTTAATAATAAATTGGTGTCTATTTTCTCAATTTGTAATGATGATTTGAATTTGGATTTAGAGTGGTGATGATGGTCAAGGTCAACCACTAAAATAATGTTAGGAATACTATGTCACGAGAAGTGTGTCTTAGATTAGTATTATTGTAGGATATTTAAAAGATATCAAATAAAATGCTAAAAAGAATTACTCCTATTTTAAAATTATAAAACTCTTTAAACGTCTCTTTTAAACAGAATGTACACAACTGAGTCAAGTGTAGGGTTGTTCTTGGGCCTAGGTTAATAATGGGCTTAAATGGATGGCCCATTTGACATCAATGAGACTGTCCTATGGTTTCAGCTCTATTCGTTCAAAGAACAGAAAATATAATAATTAAAATAACAAAAATGCAAACATTTTTTTTTTTTTTTTAAAAAAGATCTAATTAACTTCTTCGTGTGCTCAAAAAGTTTGAAGTAATTTACAATTAAAGTCGTATATTTTAGTTGGGCAAACGAATTTATTTTCTCAAACCACTAAATTAAATATGGACTAACTTAATTAAATTGAAGGGCCATTTATCAGAAACTGATGACGATATGTTGCAAAGTTTAGATGAGCAGTCCCAATCTTAAATTTAATTTATTTTTAACAATATCGTACCTTATATATTTTTATAAAGAAAAGAAAAGGGGGATATATTTAATTTGTTCATTCAATAGTATCAAAATTTTGATTTTAATAATTACTCAGCCACAAATTATTGGAGCATCGATCGGTTAGCTTGCATTGTCAATATTTAATTAAATTCCTTCTGGGTCCAATCGAGAAGACAAGAAAATTAATGACACCTAAATAATTTATGATTAAAAGTTAGTTAGTTGGTGTGTGTGTGTGTGTGTGACATCCACAACAAAGTAATTCAAGTTAAATTTCTTTATTTGATCATTTCTTGGAATATATCCAATTTCATATTGTCGTGCTAAATCGTTATTGAACAAAAATGATTTGCAATAACCAGACAAGAACACAACAAATAATATAATTAATAATAAAAGGATCACAAAATACGGGATGAATTCAAAGTTGAAAAATTAATTTCAGCATAGTATTTTTCTTACTTATTTAATTTACTCCTCGTTAACGTTGACCTAAATATTATATATATAAAGTGCAATAACTAATTTTGTTATTTTGTTACTTAGGTCGTGAATCCAAATTGGTTTCCCTAATATTTGCAACTCAAAATTAACCCTTGATGTTCGTGACGAATTGCAAAATTTCATGACCAACTAACAAGAAACAAGAACATGCACAAACAGTGAATTTGATGTGATAAATGACAATCAACCAGAGTTTTATTACCATAAAAACACCAATCACAAAACAACGTTATTATGAAAAATGATGAACAAAAATATTGAACAATAGAATAATATTAATTTCACTAACTAAAGAAGAAAAGCAATCGAATTAAAAGAGACCATTTAGCACAAAATGGCTTCCAACTATATATAACTAATTAATTAACCTACAAATTTTAGATATTAAGGATGTGTTTGCTTTATATTTTTTAAGCTTTTGTTTTTGTGGTTTCTTACGTGAAATAGTGGCACCTAATTTTTTATAAAAAAAGTAAATCTTTTTTTATTTAAAAAAAAAAAACATATAGAGGCTAATCTCCTACATATTATATATAGGTTTTTTTTTTTTGTAACAAACCCTTGTCTTGATAGCATATATACTTCGTCTGCAAAACCATAACATTAACATCAACGAATGATGACCGACATGAATAGGATTCAAGGCTAGCTAAGATTATATATATATATAATTCTTGCGGTTAATATCGTCTGAATTCTGAAAAAACAAGAAAAATAATGTACTAACTATCCAGCCAAATCATGAAGCAGCTGTGCCCCCATCAAATTCCTGTAGGGCAAATTCTGGCTTTGATCATTCTCCAGGAGGGAGTAGTGATGATGAACAGTCTGGCACTCTTCCATTTGCTCCGCCGTACTGTAAAACATCGACGACGACGACGAGCTCACCCCGCCGTGCTGGTGCAACCCCAGCGTAAGCGACACTCCGCCGCCGCCGCCGCCGTAGGATGTGAAGTCTAATTCCATGGCGCCGCTGTAGTTCCTGTCTGCTGAAGACTGGTTGAGTATGGAAGAAAGTGATTGCGTGTCCTTCCCCGCGACCGTCCGATCAAAACCTGATCTTCGATCATCGTCGTTGATCGGACGGCTCGGATTCTCGCCGGCGGCGCTGTCTTTTAGCTCGGCGGAGTACATCTCCTCCACCATGGGTTTCCATAGCCTCACTCGAGCATTTATGAACCAGTTCGAAACCTAATAACATACAAAAATGTCATTCTCCATTTCTTTAATTCCATTAGGACAAAAAAACAATGATCCAAGAAAGTTGAGAAAGGGACACGCCTGGCTTCTTGAAAGGCCCGTCTGCCGAGATAAGATGTGCTTATCGACGTCACTTGGATACCTGGGTATGGTTTAGCAGGAATTAATAAATTGACCTAGGTTAAATTAAATCTACTTTGTAGTATTAGTGCTGGAGACATCATATGGGGTCGGAACAAGAAAATTCAAAAAAAAATTAATTTAGGGATTGAAGAGAAATTAATTACGGGTGGAGGAAGTGCTCGAAAAGCCAGGCTCTTAGAGCGGAGACTGATCTTTCAGGCAGGCCACGTTGGGGCCGCCATGGATGAGTTTCCATCAAGCTCATCTGCTGCAGTGCTTTCTGTTGTCTTAATTTTTGATCAAGAAGTTTGAGTCTTGGAGTCTCCCCTTTCATGGTGTAACCTCCTGCTGCATTCACAGTCGTGTTCTTCTCCTCAATCACCTGCTTCGTCGCCTTCACTTGTCGCAGAATCCCATCTTTCAGACATCTGAAATGTCTCGACATGGTCCTCGAAGCCATTGCAGAATACACAGACGCAGCTCCGTTTCCCGCCACGCTTTCGAAGGATGACGACACTGCCTTCATCTGATCGCAGTAGTGCTTGTACCTTCTATCCACCTAATTAATTCAAAGATCACCCTTTTGGTTTTTCATTTCTCAAATTAATCGAACAAATATGTAATAAATATGTACCTCTTCAAGCATTTGGATCAGCTTCGTTTTCCTAATCTGCAAATCATAGAGGTCGAGGGAGTGGAGTGATTGCTTGGCAACATCGTCATCATCCCGAACCTTAATTGTCGTCGTCTTCGGGGTATCATTATTATCATCATCGTCTTCACTTCGCTTAATCATTCCAAGGCTGCAGAACTCGGTAAGAAGATCTTGGGCAGGCTTCAAATACCTGGAACTCCTGATAAAACCATAGTACTGTCCTTGCTGAGACAGCTGCTGGTGATGTCGGAGTTCAAAAGACTGCAGTGTGACCCTGGAAGGATTCGATGAATTCAAGGAGAGCGAAAGCCCTTGGCTGGGCCTTTCATTTCCTTCACAAGGGAAAACACACGACCTCAAAGAATATGGATCTTGATCCACATTAACCAATCTAGGGTTATTAATCCATGGCGATGTCATAATCGGGGCCTCGTTGGCTGTCAAATCGTGGTGGTAAAACTGGTCATCACTTGAAGTGGGCACATTCAGTTCCCTGGAAGAATTAGCTGCTCCAGGACCACCGCAAGAATCACTGCCTCCTGAAGTACTACCACTGATCTTATTATTATGATTATTGTAAAACCCTCTCCACTGCTGCAGATCGTCGTTGTTTCTGGTTGGATTATGATAAGCCATCATCTCCATGCCTGCGGTCAGGTTGTAGATCTCAGGGTTTGCCTCGAAGCTCTGAACCTGCAGACTTACCATGTGATGATCAGGACAGCCGATTATTGCCTGGTTCTCGTTAATTTTCTGGTTTCCACCATTTAAGGAATTAGCTGCTGCTGCTGTTGCTGTAATTGATGATCCAGAATTAGGGTAGATGTATGGTTTGTGATCTTCACCACTCCCATCCATTCCGGACATTAAATTTTCTCACTAATCTGCAGATCTCACTTCAGAATCACCATCCCTATTCCTTACCCTAACAATTAGCTAAAAATCGATCGAGAATTGAAGATTAAAGATCGGATTAAAAGCTCCCCCTTTGGCCTTTCTGACTACTACTGCCTCCAAAACCCTCAAAGATTGAATCTTTACTACGAAGTGAAGAAGAAGAAGAAGAAGAAGAAGAAAATCGATCACCGGGGGGGAGTAAATTACCTATGAAGAGATAGATACAATATATGTATATATATTGTAGTTTGGTGGGTGAGGAGCAAGAAAGCGCAGGAAATCCAAACCTAGGAGATGATCATAGACAGCAGCAGCAGCAGCAGCAGCGTAGTATACTGATATCCTCTCATTTAATTTTTCTCTCTCTACTCTCTAGAAGAATTGAAGAAGTAGCAGTGGGTCAATGCAAAATGATATATATGATACACACCATATGCGTACAAGGGGATAGGTTTCGAAGACATACCTCTCACACTTGGGCCCCTACACCTCAATTATTTCATACCCCCGACCCCCCCACCCTACCTTATATATTAGTAATATACTGCTCACTACCATCCAAGACTTCACATTTCTTTAATCTATCCATGATTTTTCTTGCAGCATAAACATAATACGCTACACTACACACAGACACGCACACATATATATTGATATTATATGATATGATCAAACTCTGTACTACACATGCTACTCATGACACAAGATCATTTATTGTACTTTCATTACTTTGCCTTACACACATTCTTCAAGTACAAAACAAAAGGCCACATATACAAACATACGTACTGTGTGTGTTAATTTTAACTATACATTTTTTGTTAGGGGGAGACATATTATTATATCTTATATAAAAGCAGGTCTGATCATCACTACATACTATATATCTTCTACTAGGCCTAGCTGCAACCTCTGCAAGTAATTTTCAAACCCTAATACAAAATTAATAATTTCTGGATCGGACAGCAAAAGAAGATTCTGGCTTAAATGTGAGTTCCAAGAACTGATACTAAACTGAAGTTTCACAGAAACCCTTTTTCAGAATTATATGTATAGGCATCTGCTTCTCAATCGAAATTCAATGCAACAGTGTTATTTTGGGAATAATGAAATTATTGTTAGGGTAGACAGAGATGAGAATGAGATGCCAATTATATATATATATATATATATAAATTAAAATATTCTTTGGTGTGCAAAATGTTTGCTAAACAAGACTTCTGTGGAGGTCACGACTGATGGAGATGAAGTGGTCCATCTTCTCCATTTATTTCTAATTCAAACCCACCCCACCCCACCCCACCCCACCCCTACCTATTAAAGCCTTCCACCAATTTCTTCTTTCTCATTTCTATTCGGGACCATCCATCATCAACCCAGCCTAGCTCACCTTTTATTTTATTTTTTATTTAATTCATTCATCATATAATATATCTTATTTATTAAATAATTAATTAACGTGTAAGAACCGTGTGTATCAAGATTGAAATTTGGAATTAATCAGAGCTAGCTAGCTTGCTTGGGGTGGGGCATATATATATATCGATCGATTAGACTTTGTGTGAATGATTTTACATTAATCATCAATCAACTTGTCCAATTATTTGTCCTATTGCATGCATAGATATACATATACACACACCCTTATATCGTTTATGATTATTCTTCTTCTTATTGATGTTATTGTGATACAATATATATATATATATATATATAAACATGGATCACGCGCGGATCACGTGACGCTGTGTAAGTGGTAGTATTTCATTTTGAGTGGTGCTCGCTGGTGGAGTAGGTGGTCCTGCACCACCCTAGCCTTTTCTCCGTCCTTCATTTCCATATTTGCCCTGACGTTAGCTTTAACCACCTTTTGCTCCTCTACTTCCCTACTTCATATTTTAATAAATTTTATTTTCAATTAAAAACAAAGGCATATATAATATATATATATATATATATATGAAATGTTGCATTTATTTATTTGATTTATAACATATTTAATATATAGATATAATATTAATGTTAAGAGTAAATCAATATTTACATATTGGAGGGAGGGACTATTATTCTTTTTATTTATTTTTTGTTTGAAAACTGTAATAAACATATTTTAATAAATAAAAAAATCAAAATCAAAACACACGCCCAATATATTTTTTAAATAAAGGCAATCCACAAATATTAAAGTGACTTTCAAATTAATATGCAAAAAATAGAAATTTTATTGAAACTTGAAATTTATACAATGCATGCCAGTTAGCCAAAAGTCACTTCTAATCCTACACATAGAGTGGTCCTCATATGTTATCATATATGCATATATTTTATTTCTTATTTAAATAAAAAATTTTAATTAAAATATATATGACTACAATTCTTCCACAGCTGTTTATTTGTTGATTAGTGTAGCTACCCTCATTTATTTATTTATATTATTATTTTAGAATTGTAATAATGATAGTTTTGGACCATCTAATTATGAATTCCAATGATTTCTATTTTTGTAGGGGAATTTAAATTTTTAGTTTTGTACTAGTGAAGGGCCTATATTTAGAACTCTATTACTCTGGTCATATTTATTAGACTTCAATATTCTTATATTATAATAATAACATTATCAATGTGAAAGCATGACTTCAAATTTGCAAGTTGTCGAATAATAATATTAATATGCCTCACGCATGTATTGGTATGCATCTGAATAATATAAACTGTTTACGTGACCAACACATATATAAATAATTTGATGCCTTTACATAAATAAATTAATTAATTAATTAATTAAATGCAGTGGTGATCATGCACATTTTGTTAGTTGCAAGGAAAGCAACTGTTTTTTTTTTTTTCATTTATTTTTGTTTATTTCAATAATTCTTTTTTATTAAAGAAAATGATTAAAAAAAAAAAAGAAGAAGAAGAAGATGACAAAAATCCTTGACGTGTTTAATTATGTCGGGAGAGTGTTTAAGACAAATAAGATATTTGCAATGCAAAGCGTTACATATAGTAGTATTTAAATTAAATAGGGTGTCCCACTTTCCAATCAGTATTAGGAATTAATTAATTTTTAATTGGGTGATTAGTAGATGATTTAATGCCGACACATACAAGCACGTCCACTGTCCACAATCACAACTACTGTATAAAACATTTTATCAATCAATCAATCATCACCAATCATGTGTGTGTCTGCATGCTTTGCTTCTTTAATAATAATAATAATAATAATAATAATAATACTACTCTATCCATGTTAGTGAAAGGTTACAATTATATTATAAATTAATTTATATTAATTATAGATAAATAAATAAATTTTGTCATCTATTTATATAATATAAAATTTTAATATTTGATATTTATATTTTATTTAAATACATTATTTTAAAATATTTAAATATATATTAAAAATAAATTATATTTTTTTAACAAAATATCAAAATCTATGCCTAAAAAATAATAAAATAATATTATAATTTATTATAATTATATATAACAATAGTTGGCAGCCATTTTTTTTTTGAAGTGTCATCATATTTTAATGTAATGCAATATTATTATTGTAAGTAATTAAAGTTTGAAACTATTTCTAATATATAAGGTGGTCACATCTATTTGAATAGAAGATAATAATGTAAACCTTTTCAAAAGAAATCATAACTGGCCAGTAAAAATTACATAAGAAATAAACAAGAATATATTTCTGCAGGTTATAAAGAAAGAATGAATATTAACAACGAACAAAGTTCGAATTTGGACAAAATCTTGACCCAATTTCTTAACACAAGGCGTGAACGTGCAGTATTTAAAATAAAATTAATGAAAAAAAATACTTGTTGAGAATCAAGATTTCTCGACGGTAATTCGCATTTCTTGCGGTTTCTTAAGATCGCCGTTGCCGTTGCCGTTGCGCTGCTTCGAGAAAGCTCTCCTCCACCAAACTTCGAACCCTCTTTGGATATTTGGACAGTCATCCCCGGAATTGACGAACCGGTCGAACCACGCCAGAAGAATCTCTTGCTGCCAAGACATCGGCAAAGTGAGTATCGTGTTGCTAAGGCCCTCCTCGACCAAATTCCGATCTAGCCCCTTCCCAGCGCGTCTCATCCATCCAAAATCATCGTAAAACGGGGCGAGCCACGTCTGCAGTAACGAACATCGCCCCTCTTTCGAAGCCAAGAGCTGCCCCTTCCCAATCGCGACGAACAGCCTCGCCGTAACCCGGCTGATTTCGTATCTATGGATCACCAGCACCTTCGAATGCGCTTCAGACAGCTCCGATTGCGACGCCCACGTCTGTAAGAAATCCTCGGCGATCTGTCTGTCGACCAGAATGTCCAAAAGCCAGTGTAAATTATCGGCCTGCCTCGCTATCTTGCTTACCTCTTCCACGTTCCCTTCCGCTGCCTCTAGAAAATGGCGCCGGAGCAGTTTCAGGCAGCCGTCGCTAGCAGAGTACAATGACTCCTTACTGAGGTCGTTCTTCGACGAATTCTCGTGCAGCATTTTGGATACCAAATTTTTCATTTCTCGTCTCGCCTTCTCATCTTTTCCTTCGAGAACGACGTGCAATAGCTTTACGAGCACTTCCTCGTTAGTATCTCCATCCACATTGCTCGATTTTGCATCCACTGAAACTCTCTTTAAAACTTCGCCGGCCCCGATGCCTTTGAGCTTCAGCTCTGATAACAGCGAAGCTACCTTGTCTTCCTCGTCCTCAGCCCATGGCGCGGCTTCTAAATACTCCAAGCAAGATAACACTCCCGCGTCAAATCCAATTGCCGACGAGACCTAACATAGACACCATCCAGAGGAATATTATTGCCAATTGATTCGAATAATCACAAACATAGAAACGATGTCTTTTCGATATATGTAAGATAGTAATAGTTTTGCTATCGGAGATTTCACCGGGATAACAAACTACTGCAATAATTAACGAACAACGAATTGAATGCAGGTGCAGTTAAGCAAGAACAATGATATATGGATGATCAGATCTCACCTACATTATGCCTCAACCATCTTAGAACTATCTAGATTAAAAGGGGAAGATGGATTGAATTCTCGAAGAATCAATCTTTAGATATCATAAGAAACGTACGAGGGTTCTTTAAACCTGTTTGTATTCTCATATTTCGATTAGCAGATTGTGATGCAAGAAGATGATCGATTGGATTCAAAATCAGAAGATGCAGGGGAAGTTTGCAGAAATGGCTACCTTGAGAATTCCGAGCACACGAGGAACGTCTTCTTTGATGAGATTTTTCCTTAAATCACGACAATACATTAATCTGAGAGTCTGGATGTAAACCTCGACATCGTCACAATCGGCGATCTCGACAATGCAGGTCCCGGAGCTCTGCTGCTTAACCCACTCCTCATTCAATTTCGAAGAAAAGAATCGGCTGTGCGCCACCAGGATCTGCCTGTGAACGCTTATGGAGACGCTGATCCCATCCCTGGAACTCAAAGTCAGCTTCACGTTGCCGGAAATCGCGTCGTTGAACTGATTTCCTGGGCTCCGGGATTGTAGGAGATCCATAAGTCGCTGCTGCACTAATGCCTGCCGGTCTTTCGGCTGCGGCGGCGGCGGTGGGTTCCCCGCGAGCATTGTAGGGGATTGTTTCAGTTGATTTGGGATCGGAACGACGCCGTTTTGGTGATTTGGGATCGGAACGACGCCGTTTTGGATTAGGGTTGTGGCTCTTGGATGGCAATCGGTTTCGTTGGCCATCATTTCGAACAGCGTCGGGCTCGACCGGGTTTTCTCCGCCGCAGGCGGCGGCGGCGAGAGGAGCCCCGCCGTGAGCGCCGAATTGAATTTACTCAACGACGACGGGAATTGATCTAGGGCGGAGTTCCCCGGGGCCGCCCCGCCGTTGGTGTAGGAATCCATGGCGGCGGGAGGGTAACCGATCTTCAGATCTGTCCGGGAGGAGGACGGGGAGGAAGACAACGACCCGCCGCCGCCGGCCGGTGGTTTTGATTGGGGATTATCCGCGCAGACTGCAATTGAAGCGTCGACACTACGGTTTCCTGGATTTCGAACTGCTAAAAAAGAATCGGCCGGCGACGAAGAATCTACGGCGGTGGAGGCGGTTATTGTGGTTTCCCGGCGGCGGCGGCGCTTGGGTTTGAGGGGCTGCGTTTGGAAGTGAAGGTGGGCAGTGGCCATGTATGTTTGTCAGTGGGTATTTAGTACTTTACGGGCGGCTGTAGTGAGAGAATTTTGTCTTTTAGCGGTGAGGCTCCATCGACATCGTCGTCATCATCACATTCTGCTCTGAAATTGAATTAACAATGGCGCCGGCCATTACAGAGCCTTCATAGGCACTGCAATTGTGTCCGCTCACAAGATCCGAGGACCCGAGATCCAGATGCATCTGTACCGTTCATTTTTGTAGATCCCGCAGATGGTCTGAGGAGCGTTGAACGCCGGGAGTATATTTTATTGGTGACCCTACTTGGATTTCTTGTTTGATTTAATTTAATAATAATTAATGGACACTTTGGAAATATATTTGGGTAATATTTTTTTTTAAAATGAAAACAAAGCCCCACTAATTTTGGTTATGTTTTTTCCAAATGTCGTTTTGTTGTTTGTATCAAAGATTGTGGCTTTTTCTATGATGTTTGCTTTTGGACTATTTGTTCTATAGAAACAAAAAAAATTTTATGCAGTTTTGGTTTCTTACATATGAAAAAATTCAATAAAATAATCTAACTTCGATACAATAATATATATCGATCTTAATTGTACAATATACCTGTCACAATTTAAAACAAAAAAAATAAACAAACCCTTATTTTGATGATTTTGTTTTAAATTAAATCATTATGTGAGCACCAAAAAATATACAATAATAATAAAGGCATTTGGTATTTTATAGACATAATTAAGCACGCACATCTAGCAATCACATGTCAACATTTCGTACCCACATCATTCATACCTCCAATAAATATATTATTACTTATTAATAATAATTTTCAACAACGTGGGCCTAATAATTAATTAAAAGGGCCCAATCCCATCTCATGAGTCATGAATGCTAGTAGAAAAACAGCTATTATTTTGTGTGATAATTGAAGAAATTAAAATTATTTAATTGCGACTTTTTATGTGGATTAGAAGAAAATCGAAAAAGATAAAAGAAAAGGACATAACAGCACATAATATAGAAATAATTTTTATTATTATCATGATTATTATTCATATATATGTCTTCCTAAAATTAAAGTGGGAGATGAAGTAACGCCAAAGGCATGGCATCTTTTATTTAATATTTTTATAACTTTTTCCTTTGTTTGGGGCATCTTATCCTTCACTAATTATTATTTTCATATTATTATTAATATACATTTGAATTTGGGCCTTTGGCCCAATAACAAAAAATTCTTACTGGGCCATAAACTTATCAAGTAAAAATGTGGGCTAAAAGGAGCCCAATAAGTTCAATCCAGCGGCCCACACCATTAAAATCTCTTTAAAATAAATAGAAAAAAAATAATAATAATAATAATCAATTTTGCCATTTTAATTTTAAAAAAAAAACAAAAAAAAAAAAATTCCGGTATGTTAGGGTAAAGAAAATAAAAGCAGCAGCAGGGCACGTGCCAGTTGACCCACTTTCATCACTATCTTGTCTCTCTTATTGAAATAATTCATAAATCTTGCACATCATACATCTTTCAATTGCCTGTCCCACTTACAATAAGGGCAAAACAAATTTAAAAAAAATAAAAATTTAAAATTTAAAATAAAAAAAGGGAAAATTTTAAAAATATATATTGAAAATGGTTGATTGAAAAATAAGTAAATAAACAAACAAATAATGGATTGTTGTTTTGTATGTGATTGAGAACAAGTTACATCAAGAAATGAAATCTCCCAACCTTATTGATTGCTACGTAACACAAACACACACATCCATCATCAAATCTCATCTCATCTCATGTCATGTAATAAAAAAGCTAAGCTTAGGTTGGACATGGACAACACTTAAATCGACACCACATAATGTTTCCTTTTTTTATATATTGGAAAATTTTCTTGGATAAAATTTTCATCCACTTGTTACCCAAATTTCTTACTCTAGATTGGGGCCGAGTTAATTAAATATTACAAACTAATGTTTTAAATAAATTGCAATATTTTATATTTTTAAAAAAGTATAGGAAATGGAGAAAAATAAAATTAAAAAGAAATAGGAAAGAAAAGGGGTGGGACATAGTGTCTTTGGCGTATGAAGACATAAATTTGATTGGTGCCATTTTGAGAGTGACGTGTGATACAGTTTTGAATTTGTACACTCGATGACCACAATTTGCACTTTTCATTCCCAAACTCCACAAATACATTTTAAATAAATAAATAAAATTATACATTAATATAATTAATTTATTAATTAAATTTGAAACAAACATTGCACACAGAGACACACGTGACACGAGTGTGGCATTGCAGAGCAATGGTCATGTTACAAAGCACATGTCTGGTCTCGTGCACAAACAATAAGAGAAGCTAGACATCCATTTTATGAAACAATTTAATTTTAGGATTAATTAAAATTATTCATAACTAAATTTTCATTTATTTTATTGCAATAATTGCAATAATAGTTTGATGAGGGTGCGTACGTGGTATGTCTAGTGACCACGCTATTCACTACTACTACTACATTACCCTTTTCATTTTTTCCCGTTTATGGAATTTTTTACTCCCCTTTTATTTATTTCTTGTTACAATAATATGTATTTCAAGAATATTAAAAGAAACAAAAAAAAAAAAAAAAGAAGGACATGTCATGATCATCCATCATTGCCAAAAGCTATGAAAAAATTGTTTTTTATCCACCCACAAAAAATAAATAAGATTAATTAAAATTGCATACATATGTTTTTTTTTGGTGTTTCATTGCACCAAATATATATACCACTTTACATATATAAATTTTAATACCCACATATTTGTGTTTTAAATTCCTAACCTTTTAGTGAAAAGAAAATTAGAATAAGGACAACAATAATTCATTCCATATACATATTATAGAACATGAAGAGTGGGGTAAATATGTATTATTTAAGCATTGCTTTAGCCACGTACTATGTTTGTGTCTGAATTAAAAATAACAAAAAAGAAAGAAGAAAGATGACCTTATAGAAATATTATTAGAGAAATTATTAATGTCGTTTTGTAATGTTACTATTATTATTGCCAATTGGTAAATTATAAGAGATGCAATGTTAAGTTTGTTTATTTGAATTTGAAAAAATAAAAATAAAAATGCACACGTGTCATATTGATGGTGCGACAACAAGTTATGCACCCCATGCGATCGTGACAGGTGATTACAGCTCTCTATCTACGGAGTGGCAGAGTCGTAGTTATGATTACAACGGAGGCCTATTTTGGTCTTTTCAGATTTTCTCCTCCTCTATATAACCGAACCCAAGTTCTTCATCTTCATGCTTCACCTACACCTCGCGCAGTTGCAGTGCCACTCGAAAAGCACCTCCATTGTTCCAATTAAACCTCGATTTTCCGATTGAATCGATGGGTTTTCCGGTCGGATACACCGATTTGTTCCTCCCAAAATTGCTGTTCCATTTCCTGACGATTTTGGGAATTTTCAGGAAATTTGTGTGTGCAGCGCTGTCCCTTCTCGGCCTTGGCGATTTCCTTGAGCCGGAGGCGGCGGCGGCGGAGACGGAGGCCAGGGCGGAGTATGGGGCGGAGCTGAGGTCGGTTTCGGCGGCGCTCATAAGAGAGCTGCTGCCGGTGGTGAGCTTCGCGGACTTGGCCGGCGATCTGGACCCGCCGGAGAACTGCGCGGTCTGCTTGTACGAATTCTCCGGCGAGGATGAGATCCGACGGCTGGCGAACTGCCGGCACATATTCCATCGATGCTGCCTCGACCGTTGGATGGACCACGATCAGAAAACGTGCCCGCTCTGCCGTACGCCTTTCATCCCGGAGAATCTCCAGGAGGCCTTCAACGAACGCCTCTGGATGGCCGCCGGAATTACGGATTCCGACGCCGATTATCCGGCGATTACTTCTTACCTATAGTAATCCTTGTAGATTCAGGGTTTTCATCATCTTAATTTCATCCCTTATAGCTTCTTTTTATTTACTTTTTTTTTATATAGTGTAAATAATTAAACACAATTAGAAATTTTGGAGAATTCTGGCACCAATTGGGACTACAAAGAATGGATTTTTGTGTAGATTTTTTTTTTTTTTTTTTTTTTTTTTTGATTAATGGAAAGTTGTCTCCACATTATTTGATCAAGAACCCTCTGCAGAAATAAAAAGTGTACCGTGAAGAAGATAAACCACAGGAGTTCTTGAATATGTGAATGAGAATTATATATATATATATATATATTAAATTATTACTTATTTTATTTGGGTTAAGAGAAGTTGTTGGAGAGTGTGTGGCTAACTGTTTACGTGAAGGCCATATATATTCAACAACTTCAGATGGATCGATTTATCTAAGAACATGGCGATTAATTTTATATGTTATTTGGGAATTTATAATAAGAGTGTTTTGTTTGTTTTTCTTAGAATATGTCGATTAATATATAAGTTAATTACATGGAATTACTTTCTCGTAATTCATATATAATCTGAAACCTATATATTAAAGATTCAACTGTAGAAATCAATCAGTGCAAAATTGAAACCTCCCACATATAATGAAGACATGATATTATAATTGCAACCTTAGGGTGTGTTTGTTTGAAGGATTTTGGTGGATTTCCACTATTCATCCAATTTTTTCCCTCCAAAAACATCAAATCAAACACCTATTTTTCATTTTTTATATTATACTAAAAATCAATTTTACATTCAAAACATCACATCAAACCCTATTTATATCACATCATACAACTATTCAAATTCAAAATTTTTACTATTCAAATCCCAACTCAAAATCCAAACCCTCAAACAAACACACCCTTCGGTTCGTCTCTTCTAGACAATTTGAGTACTGTAAATTCTTCAATACAATTCAGTAAATTATGCAATGTTGAGAATTTTTTTTTTGCTTGTCTCGTCGACAACCAAATCCCTGTCTTTTCATACATGGCAAAGAAAAACAGCTTCTTTAAACAGTTTCTTGTTCAATCAAGTAAAAAATTCACATTATTACATGTGACTACATAATCTATTACAAGGATGCAATGGGATCATAGAAATATACAAATATAAATGTGTGTGTATACATATATCATGTGGGGTTCATTAAATTTGCACCAACAGCTTATTGAATGAAGGAAACATATCTGATGTCCTGAGTTAGCCTAGGGTTTCCAGATTCATAGTAATAATTTTTACTGTAATGAATGGCATTCATTGCAGTGGGTGATATCGATTTGCTTATGTGACAGTTACGAATGTCACACACTGTCACTAACAACCACTTGTTGATTTCAAGAAAATAACCTGTCCTCTAATTAATTGATTGTACAGGAAAATCATAAAAGTCTTACCAACTCAGCTGTTACAAGATGTGATGTTTATATCCATCTCTGGAATTATTTTTACAGATTGGTTGTAATGTCTCCTCAGGATGACGTGGATAGATCATAGATGGTCCTAATTCTGTGTAAAAAACCATTTCTATGTGTATGCATTTATTTGTGACCAAGAAGATGAAAAAAGAATACAACTCTAGTAAAAAATAATCCAAATCATCGTTACATTATTTTCCCAGGAAGGATCACAACAGCACACCATTTGAATAAATATATTCATAAACGTCTGAAGAATCTTCTTTAACCTGTCCTTACATACACACACAAATTTATATATTATACCAATAATAGAAATAGCAGATAAATGTCTGAGTATCCAAAAAACAGACACATTTCTAACATCCATCAATTCTAGTCTGTAAAAAGGATCCAGAGAATTTCATCTAAGTTTTAGACCAAACAGCAACAATGCACTTACAAAGATCTCCAGCTTCTTTGTTCCGATTTCCAATTTCATTGTCGAAAAATCATCGATCACCTCTGGTAGCCGGGAGGAGGGTAGCCATACTGAGGAGGAGGAGGGTAAACTGGCTGCCCATAAGCAGGAGGGTATCCAGCAGTCGGGGGGTATGGCTGATCAAGTCGCGACATTTGCTGGAACGGGGGAACTGCCATAGCCGGCTGGGGGCCAAACTTGCCATCGCGCTTGTCCATTTCAATCTTGTGTTGTGTCTGAAATTCATAGACAACAAACAATATGCATTGCATTGCAAACTACACAACATTAACATTCGAAAATCAACCATATTGAGTAGTTACACTCCCTTACCTGCATACAAGCGCAGACCCTGTAAAACCAAAATTAGCGTACATAAATTCAGTCTGAGGATATATACCCTGAAAATCTCTACAATCAAAAGTGTCTCTTACGTGCAATACACCATGTCAGCCAAGCAAGACAGGATCTGAGAAGCCTCAGAGAGTTCGCTGCTTCCGACAATCATTGCAACGATTGAGAAAATGCAAGCTACTTGTTGGAGACAGAACATGAATCCCTGAAACAGGATAGTCAAAAAGCCAATTGGATACAGCAGAGGATATAAAAATGCTCGACAGAGGGATTAATTCGAGGAGTACAATAATGCAATTATCACACTGCGTCGTCTGGATGTTGAATTCATCTTGCAACAAAAAGCGCGTTGATGCGACAGAATTTCCAAAGCATAGTAAGACCTGAAATTACAATTGTTTTTACAGTTTGCAAAGATCTTAACAGAAACAAGAGTTATACAAGAGAGAAATAAGGTTATCTTTATTTTTCTGAGAAATTTTCCTTCGGCTAATGTGAGGTATCACAAAAATAACGAAACACGACTAAAGCATTAATCTTAGAGTTTGCGAATGACCTCAGTTGCTAGGCAAAATTCAGGGCAGCGACTTTCGCCACACCGGCCACTGCAAGGCAGATATCCAGCACAGCACACATACCTTTTCCATGCATCGGAAACATTTATAACAACGGTGAAAGGAATTCGGAACTATTAAATAGAGTTAGGAAGAAGGGGTTCCATTTACCTGGACATGTCATTGTAAAGTGCTCGTTTCCGAAGCATGTATGACACACACGGACCACTGTGATTTGGAAGCTCAGATAGATTATTACATAAAGCAGACTAAATATTTAACACTAGATGAACAAACCTTCCATGATCATCAATAAGTACACAATTCTTAAGAATTAGATCACCAACTCAATTCATAACATTTGTTCATGAGATTGCAAATGTTAACAGAAGATGGATAATGAAAGTTCTCCTCCAAAAAACAAACAACAAAAAACAAAAAAAGTAAATGCTACTGAATTCAAAAGAAATAATGAAATTAACAAATTAAGTTGTCAAATATCCAGTAAAACCAATACAATCCCTATCAGAACTCTCAATTAGACAATCTGTTCTTGAAATTCGAACTAAGTTACTCAAAACCGTTAAGGTAAAGTTCAGAAGTGAAATAATTAGGGTTCCCATAGCCGAATTGAAAAATTAGCTGCAATTAGTGTATCAAAGCAACAATCGGCAAAACTGAAATTAGAACAATGAACTAATTAACTTTTTTCCTTACCACCAAAACGCCAAGCAGCAATCTGCAGGGGGAAAGACGAAGAATCAATAAATATCCAGCTGATCACGACACAGCACAAAAATTAAAACACAAACTGCGCCGGACGGAAAATAAAGTTCGAATTCGAATGCTTAGAGATACAGAAATGTTGCTAATACAAACATGGCGGATCGTGTTGAACGGTGCGCATGAGATCGGTGTGCCACAGATTCCGATAGTTCTGGCGTAGCTGCATCTTTTCCAGTCTGTCCTGCGACCCCATTCCTGCTTCTGTTCTTCAAATCTTCGAAAATCCTGAGCGAATTAAGACTAGAATTTCAGAATTTCTTCAAGGAGACGAATCGACGACGACGATGACGAAGCTTCCAAAAAGGAGAAATCTTCAAAAGGCTAGCGGTCAGTAGACAGTTTGACGGCCAGCTGGGAAGTGGCGACAATTTCCACGCCGCACTAGTTAATAATTACTCCAGGAGCTTTCTTCAACTTTACTCCACATAGATCATCACCGTCCATCGTGTTCATGAACGGTGTACATCATCTGGTGTCGGAGACCAGGACTAGAAGTACTAAACAACGAGTGGACCCCAGCTCCAGAATAATTAGCACCGTAGATTTGTGGGGTCCAGATAAAATCAACGGTGTGCATTTACATTCCCAGGGCCCCGAAAGCCTTCACATCTAAAAACTCCCAACAAAAAATTACATTAATTATCAATAAATGGACGGTTACGATTAAGTCGATCCACCCATAAGACAGGACTGGGGTCATTCCACAATTTGCTAACAATCCGGTGGCTTAAATGTAAACATCGCTGTCTTTATATAGGAGCGAGTAGAGCGAGCGTTAACCTCGTTCATGCCGTTTAATCTTTCAGACCAAAGATGGCGGCGGCTAATCATCGTCTTCGTCATCTTCATCGTCATCATGATTAAGTAATCTGCATTCTTCCTTTTCATTAACATTCAGTCGCCATCTGAATTCGAGAGCACGCAGGAAATCCATTTCTAGTTTCTAACGTTATTTTTTTGTTGTCGTCGTCGTCGTCGTCGTCGTGACGCTGTGTCTGAATTTCTAACCCTAATTGATCAGGCAATTCGGATCAGTTTTCTGTGATTCGAGATGTCGTCTGATTTGTTCGTTTACGAAAACGCCTTCTTCTCCGATCCGATTTCCCTATTCGGAGAGTCTCACCATCCCCAATTTCCCCTCGAAATTCTCGACGAGGATAGCAGTAATTTGGTTCAGGAAAATCCGACAACCTCGATTGAGGAAACCGGTAATTGTCTGGACCAGATTGCGTCGGCTTGGCTGTCGTCTTCCCCGCCGAGTGTCCAGCTGGAGAATCTATCCTTGCAGTCGCAGTTCGGAAATGCGGCGGCCTTCTCCGTCAAGTCCGAGGATTTCCCCCTCAGCTTCGATTCCGGATTCCATGGAATTCTCCCGCAGAGCTTCGACGGCGCCGCCGTCAGGTATATGCAGAGGAGCTTCAGCAGCAACTCTTTCGAAAACAAGCAGAGCTTCCCGTTCCAGCCGCAGTTCGACAACCTAATTTGGGAGTGTCAGAATCTGCCGGATTCCTACGCCGCCGCCGGCCATATGCGGCGGGTCTGCAGCACCGGAGATTTACAGGTCTCAAATCAGATTATAAATTCTAATTTCTGTCACTTCTATAGGAATAGGATATATATATATATAGGATATAATTTCTGACAAGCATTCGATCGGACATATTGATTCAGAAAGTGAAAGGCGATGTCCAGGCGAGGAATGTGGTGTCCGTCTCCGGGGAGAAGTCGTTAATGGAGGAAGGCAGTTTTAAAGTGGGGAAATACAGCGCGGAGGAGAGGAAAGAGAGGATTGATAGGTACAGAGCCAAGAGAACTCAGAGGAACTTCAACAAGACAATCAAGGTAACCTTAATCTCAACTGTAAGTAAGTTGTTAATTATTGCAATACTGATGCATCGACGATGATGGCACAGTACGCCTGCCGGAAAACTTTGGCCGACAACCGGCCAAGAATACGTGGCAGATTCGCACGAAACGATGAGGCTGGAGAGATTCCCAATTCGAAGGCATCCTCCAGATCTTACGAAGACGAAGATGATCTCTGGGTAATTATATATATTTATTAATTAATTTCGATATATAGTGGGCTTTCGTTTTGATTAAGAATCTTGTCGTGGTTTGTAGATTGATGGGTTTCATGAAGAAGAAGAGGAGGAAGAAGAAGCCACTGCAAGAATAAGATCATGGAGCTTCTTCAATGGCGGCGCCGCCGCCGCCGCCGCCGCCTGTCGTTCTTCGACTCACTATCAAAATTACAGCTACTAATGTTGTCTGCAAATTGTAATAATGAGAGATCTAGAAATTGCATGGTTTACCCTTTGTTTTGTTTTTTTGTTTTTTTTTTGCATTTTACTTTTTAATTCGATCGCAGTTCTATGTAGTGATTTAGGTCGTTGGGCATATCAATTTAATTTCATTGTATTTCTCACAATTTGTATATATATGCACCCAAACCCTACTTTCTACAATTTGTAATAACATGTTTTGTACCCCTTATTTTTAGATTTCTACAATTTTAATATTTTAAAGAGGAAAAAGTATATATACACTTTCATTTAATTTTATAAATACCAATTAAATTGTAAAAAGAGTTATGAGGCGTAAAGTTTATTAATGTTATGATTTGAATGTAAAATTAATTTTTAATATAATATAAAATATAAAAAATAAGTATTTAATTTTATATTTTTTTAAAAAAAAAAGAATTGATAAATAGTAAATTTTGAGAAAAATCCCTAAACAAACACACCATTAATTTAGAATTTTAAGTAAATGTGATTACTAGTAAACTAATATAGAAATCTATTAAAACACAAAATGTGGAGACGGTTTTATCTAAAATATTTATCAAATAATAAAGCAAAAATGATATTTTTATTTGGAATTGAAATTTTAATTTGATATATATTTGTTCAATAATGTTTTTATATGGAACCATTCTCCATAATTATTACTAAAAAAAAATATAACATATACATATACACAATATATATAATATACTCCATATTTTATTTATTCATAAAAATCATAATTCAATACAAAATATTATTTTTTATATTATAAATATAATTTTTTTTAATTAAAAATAGTAGTTATAATTTATTTTGGAACACACTGAATTTCCAGTTGTCCATTGGACAGATGAGCAGTGAATCCACGCACAAAAATTTGACCACTGCAATTAAAATAAATAAATAAATAAAATATATATATATATATATAATTAGTGTCTTAGTCATGATTATGCTTTCATCTTACAAACAATAAATTAAAATATAAATAAATAAATAGCATGTTGATGTTTAATTGGACACCAATCTCCATCCAATGTGTGCTTCTTCCACTGTTACAGGTTTTTTCAACATCCCAATTTCAACTTCAGTCAAAAAGAGATTTTTTTATTTTTTATTTTTTTAATATATAAGTAATTTTTCCCAACCCTACAATCTAATAATTAATTATTTTAATTAATTAATTATGTTTCAACTCTTTTCAGTTATGTGGACTGCCTGTCTAATCATGGGTAAAAAGATAACTTTATAAAATACAAATTAAATATAATGTGCGCTTCAATAATTTCTTGCAAGTATCGTGTAATGTTTAATAATTCAACATATTCGACTTAGTTGATTTATTTTTGAAAGCAAGCTTCAATAAATTACGTGGATTTTAGATCCCAATAGAACAATGTAGAATTCATTGTCCAATAAAATTATACTATCTATTATGTATTAGGGAATTTCAATTTATTACAATATTAGACATATATAATTACTCAGACACCTCAAAAGATTCAAAGTACAATAAAATCCATTATTACTATTATCAACAAAAGGAGATGCTCTTGTCATAAAGCAAAAAATGTTACAACCTAAATAAATAAAAATACACAAAACTTATATATCTTTTTATTTATTTATTTATTTATTATACGCATCTTAATACATTAGCTATCCTAATAGTTAGCCCACTTTGTGAAGGAAAGATGGTTTTATTTTATTTTATTTTATTTTATGGGCTGTGAAAAAAATATATTTTTATAGTAATATAGTAGAAGAAAGTAATTAGGTTGTTGACTAAATTCTTTCAACTTAATTGAGTCAAGAAAATTAAACATGAAAGGCCCACTAGCAAACAATTCGATTGCTCTAAGTGACACCTATGGAACAACAAATTAGTATCAAATTGCAAATTATTAAGCCAATAAACAAATGTCGAGCATCACAAAAAGACATACATCGAATCTCAAATATCAATTGCTACAAATAATTAATTATTTCATTTTCTCCACTTTTTACAAATAATAATTTATGACATTTTATGGCGTACGTACGTGTCTTCAAACAATTATTATTTTTATTTTTCCAAGAAATAAATTTCTAAGAAATACCATACTGTATACTTAAATAAAAAATATCGTCTAATAATTTCGATATTCTATGATTACTTGTGTTAAAAAAAAAATCAGTTATTGTATTTTTCACGGACACGGTCGTATTAGATATGTTTTTATGAATTAATTAAACTCGTTTAAATATTAATTTTGGATTTTACTTTCATTAGTTATCTATAATATTTTTATTATTGTTCTAAGAAAATCAGTTCAAATACCAATCCTATTTCCGAAAATACTTTTAATTTTTTTTTTTGAATAATAGAATATATTTTTTAAAAATCACTTCAACTACTTTTCTTTTAAAAAAAATAAAATTCTCAAAACTTTAAACTTGTGTTCTTTTTTTTTTTCGTCTAAATGAACCTAGCGTTAAACATATACTCCCCCGTCTTATAATAAAGTATTCATTTTTTTCATTTTAATCCGTCTCATAATAAAGTATCAATTTTATTTTTTTTAATAACTGTACTATCTACCTAACATTACAAATATTCTTACAACTTACAATATACTATACAAATGTCATTACATTTATATCACACATACTAATAAGGTTATTTTAGTCATTTCTACTTTATTCTTACATCTAAATATAATACTAATAGTTTCAAAATTATATAAAAAAAGTAAATAAATATTTAATTATGGACAGGAAGAGTATATTTATTTGGAAATATATATGTAGAAGTATATTAGCAAGAACAATAACCAAAGCATGGTTGATTCGGAATGTAACTCTTTTTGACCATCCTAACCCTAATATTGCAAACTTATGGAATAAAATCCACTTTATTACCCAATTATTGCGACAATCCACGTCAACGTCATCATTAATTTATTGCTCCATTGTACTACCTAACTGTTTTAATTTATCAAATGAGATACTCCCTCCAGCTCCATACAAAAATATTTATTTGTATTTTGTTCGTAGTGTTAAAAATATTAGTTTTATATTATAATATAGTAAAAATAAAATAAAAATTACTAAAATAATTTTATTAGTATTACGGAAATTCCCAGGAAATTAAAATGAGATAATAAAGACAAAAGAACACAAGAATTTGGTAATCCAATTCGATCACAATGATCTATGTCTGGGGGCGCTGCCAAGCCAGAAATTTTACTATAAAGTACGTAGGCACATGTTAAAGTGAGAATACATGGATATTTATAGCCTAAGCCTTTGACAATAATATCCAAATTATATCTCTAATATCTAAAATAAAATATTCAAATCATATAGGATATAATCAGGATTCATATCTCAACAATTAGTATATGTGATATAAAGGTAATGACATTTGTGTAATATATTGTAAATTGTAATGGTCTTTGTAATGTTAGATAAATAATACAATTACTAAAAAAAAATGGATACTTTGTTATGAGACAAACTAAAATGAAAAAATAGATATTTTGTTATGGGACTGACTATCTCCTTATATACGGTATATACAATTATTAGTGGCGTAAAATTTAAAAAGTAATAATAGTATTTACTTATAGTTGATAGTTAAAAAATAATAAGATTATTTTGTTATTATCTTTTAATAAAAATAATAATAATGTAATAATAAAGTATGAATATTTATAAAAAATATATGATTTATAGTTACTAAATAAAATATATCTATATGTTAATGTGAGAGTAACGAAAAATAAAAAAATACATACGTCAACCCATGATGAAAAGAATTTATATCGAAATGTAGAAAATTAAAACAAATTTCTTTATATAAAGTTTGTTTGATTTTATTAAAATCAAATCACATAGAATATAGTTGTAATAATTATATCAGCTTGTGAAATAGAACTCTTGTCTACAGTTCCTACCCGTACAGTAGAATCAATTTTGTTATGATTAAGTTAAAATCGCATTACGAGAAACCCCATCATCATCAACTCCATACACTGCGCACGAGCGCCGCCTAGTGCTTTAGCGCTTTTACTTATTCTACAAATACTCAACACACACACAGACATTAATGATGATTTTGCAAAATAAAATACAACACCCAAATAATAACAATAATAATAATAATAATAATAAATCAAAATTAAAATTTTATAATTGTTTTGGATCACCTGTGGCTGGTTAAATTACTTGAAAGAATGATTAGGTTCGAATTTCTCCATGAATAAAAAAAAGATTTGGCCACTGAGTCCTGCTTTACTGCTACAAGAATTTTATTGGTGTCAGTTTGTTAATTATTATATATATTATTTATATTTATTTTCTTTTGGATGGCATCTCATCTCATCTCATCCTTTTATGACTTCAGTAGTCTGCTTGGACTGGTGTTGTCACAGACATTGCCATTTCCATTGCCCTCTTGCCTATTCTAATGGATTCTTTTCTGCACATAAATTATATTTATTTATGTATTATTCCACAAGCTGATTAAGGGATCGAAATCTTGATGCAATAAGCCTCTGGTCTAATTATTTTATTTAAAAATGGTTTTGTGTGTGTTTGTGCAGTGCTTAGCAAAAAAAAGCAGTCAAATGTCCCTAGCTAGCTAGCTACATCTCTACACTACCTACCCCTAATCAGTACACACCCCTTAGCAGCTTCTTAAGACAAAGTTGGATGAATTTTATGATTATTAAGAAAAGAAGAAGAAAGAAAGAAAGAAGGAAGAAAAATGATGATGAGAAGAATCCCCAATATTGCAAAAAGCCAATTATTGTCTATATTCTCACCTTTCATTTTCATTTTCAGCGACCCTCGTGGTGTGGGCAATTTATTTATTTATTTATTTTTAAAAAATGGGTACTCTCTCTCAAGTCGAATTTCAAATATTCTTTTAGCCCTAATAAAAAGAAAATTGGACTGGGAGTCATTGGGCAGGTCTGTAGTCGTATCAAGTGAGAAACTTTTTCGATCTCTTTTTAGGCCAGCACCAGCAGCAGAAAAATACGTGTTTGGATGAATCTTCCATACTTCACAAACTAAAACTTAATAAATTATAACAAAAAAAAAACAATCCAGGAAGATTAATTGGTTTGTGAAATTAAGGTTTTTGAATAGCTATAGTTTATCCTCCTGCAGCTGGACTGAACACCATTTCCTGCAAACAGACAGCTCAAATTTTTACCATTGAAGAACATAGATGTTCGATTATGACAACAATTATATGCAGACAGACCTGATCACACACGGGGCAGGTATCGCTCCTTTCCATCCATTCAAGAATGCAGGCCAAGTGAAAATGGTGATCGCATTTGGTCACCATCTTTGGGTTATCTTCATCGTACTCTGCAAATTAAAGGGGATTCGACATTACTCGTCGTTCAAACAACCAACAAATAAATTCATTAGCTTCTTCACCTTCGAAACAAGTCGGGCAGGTGTCCTCCTCGTCTTGTAGAGCCACAGGCTCCGTAGATTCTTTAAGGTTGTCCGATTCTTGCAGTTCACAATTCAATTTGCTCTTCGCGTCACCCTCGTCTTGTTTATCAGCTGGATCATCGTTTGGTTGCAAAACCTCGCCACTCTTGTTTGCTCGATGTTGCCCTGACGCCGTAGGCTGGTGTCCTAAGCATCGGTCGTAAGGTATTGGAGCTGGAGGCGGCCTATAAGTGTCCGGGGAAGATGTGTCCAGATTTGTGTCTACCAAAAATCCTGTAGAAATAGTCGATGTTCTCGCATGATGTGCTGATAAGGGCTCGCGCTCTTCGGATGCTGGATAATTCTGCAACTGGATATATTGTCACGATCGAAACTCAAAGATGTAAATCAATTACAAGAGGTTCTTTTGGACTCTGATAAAACAAACTTAAACCTAAATACAAAACCTGAATCAAATCTCCCAAATTCAAATACAAAGAAACACACTAATGTCTACCAATCCAATATCAATAAAAATCACTAAAGAATCAATCCAAACCAAAGCTATTTGTATGATATGAAGATAAGATTATAGTCACAAGTAGCTTAGAGGCATTCTATTTGACATTTCATTCTCTAAAATCGATAGCAGCCATAACTAAAGCTAAAGGATCACTTTGTTTCATCAAACTACATTGGCGAGAAACCGAATCAGTTCCCCAAGATCAAGATACTATATGTCAATCACATTATACATATGAAATCATGATTGTAATCAACTAGAAGTGAAGCATCACCACAACAGACTCACATGAAGGAATGGCGGCGATCGATGGAGTTGATTGCTCCTAGAAGCACTTGCACAACAACAACAGCCTCCCATATCTCTATTTGGTCATCGAATTACAGCCACGGGGACTTTGCTCATACTTATTTTCACTACAAAAATAACACAAGACCAGTAAAAAATCAGCCAAAATTTATTCACTCTCATACCAATTTCAGACATTGACTCTGTTTTGTGCCCTAAAATTTTGCAATCATCTAGGAAGATTGACGAGCAGAGTATATGGTATATCAAATATGTCAATCTCATTTCTAGACTAACGATAATTGACACAGCCAATTCATATGAATTTCAGTCGACCTGATCAAAATCAACCATCGATTAACACACAATAGCTCCAATCAGCTCTAAACATATCCGATTCGAGCATAAGCAAGCAAACAAGTAATACCACAAACAAATCTGAAAATTCAATCCGCCAATCAGAATCAGTCCAACGACAAACTCTACTCAGGAAAAAGGATAAAAATGGCGTCCGTACATCTTGCTTGAGGTCGAATTGGGGTGTGAAATGGAGACGCAGCTGTTGGATTGAGATGAGTCCACCGCACCGAAAGGAGGGCGACCTCAAAAGTCAGAATAAGTATATTATATATATCTATATATTAAAATATTTTTTTATTTTTTTAAAAAAAATAATTTTCAATAACTACCTTATCTTAAAAAACAATAAAATAGATACTAAATAAATATGCACAAGTTATATATATCTTTGGTAAAATGAAGTTATTAGGATACTCATTACCAATCATCAAATCGAAATATTTAAAAGACACCATTTTGAATTTCATAAAATATTTGTCACTCTCTTTACTTTTTTTCTTAAACAAAATAAAATAAAATAAAATCGTGACACACACTAATAGAAGAAGAATATTTAGGACGCGTTTTTGAGGCAGTAATAGGTAAATTTTTTATATAATTTAATAAAATTATGTGAACAATAATCATTTAATAAAATGATTATACTTTTAATAATTTTAGAATAATTGTAGAAACAGAAGTTGAACAAAAAATTGGATCAAATTTAACTTTATACGTAAGCCAAAAGTAGTTCAACTAAATCCAATGGTAACCGTACACGTTTTTTCCTATAACTAAATAAGTAATGCCACGTGTCAATATATTGGGCCTACCTCTAAACCCAAAAAGGCTTATTTATAAAAGTCCAAAAGGTAATGGGCTAAAATATAAGGCGAATTGAGCTTATTTGGGCATTATAGAAAAAATAATTGGCCCATGACCTAAAGTATTTAAAATTTCTTATTAAATTATAAAAATTAATTAAATTCAATGTTAAAATTCTATTTCATTTGTTTTATTGATAAAAATGGATGAAAATGTAAATACATATCCTTTTATATATATATATATATATATGAGTGGAGAAGTGCCTCCATAATGCGAGACAGACCGACGCCCATAAAACCCGACAATATCTACAGACTGGCCCATTAAAGCTGGCCCACCTAGACAAATTGTTCCGTCCGTACGGCCCACTAATCATTACCTACACAATTACCATTCTACCCCTTAGCTTGTTTATTGATTATTTATATTTTAAAATTTTCAATTCACAAAAAATTGCATAAAAATATTTGAAATCTTATTTCTTTTAGTATTTCAAGATGAATTAACACATGGGTTATTACTTGTTGTATAATCTATAGTCTATAAGTATGCATTTGACATGCCTAGCTTCCTCTTTATCTTTGTTCTATGTGTCTTTATCTGATAACATATCATATATATTTATATCGAAATAAAAAAAAGTCCATTGTTTTCCTCAGTATTGTCTGTGGGACATTGAACATATAAATTAATTAATTTATTAATTATAATATATATATATATATATAATGTTCTCAGCAATCATCAAAATCAAGAAAGTCTCAAGTATGGGAGTGATTATGACTTTGTGAAATACTGTGCACTTTCCAGGGAGGTTCCAGGGGCAGGCAATGCCCTCGCAAGGCTATTTTAGTCCTTTCACAGCAGAAAAAACGTGAATGCAGAGTAAAATAAATACATAGTGAAGAAAATTGTCACTTGTTGAGTCAATTATTTTTATTGGCTGTTTGTGGTAAAAGTGGGGCCCTGTGGTTTCTTGAAACAAGTTACAAAATTCAATTTCCATCAATCAAAAAATTCCCATATACAAACCCAAAAAATAAAATAAAATAAAATATTTAACGTTTGTTAAAGAAGATTTATTTATTTTCCTAAGTTGTCTACTTTCTTGTAGGCCAATGTGCAAATTTTGGATGCACTGTGTGGATATGTTTTTTACAAATTTTCATTCCATAGACAGCACACACACACACTGGTCATTTTGAAGTGTGTAGTGACAGAGCGCTTCTGACCGTTGGATGGATGGGTATGAACGCATCAGAGCCGTCCATTTCTGGCACTCACATGGAGGCATGTGCTGTGGTATTAGTACAGAAACAGTGGTTTGGACTTACGTTGAAAGATCCAAAATTCAGTATCGTGTAAGTCAACCAAACAGGCCCTCTACTCTTTTTTCTTACACTACTACACCAATCATTAAACTCTACCCACAATTATTTTTTTTTTATTTAAAAAAAAAATATTTTGAATTAATCGGAATTTGAATATGGAGTATTGGGTTGGGAACAATTATTCTATACTCAATATATATCTACTTTGCTTTTTTCATTGTAGGGATTGATGGGAGAAGTTAAAGGCCAAGAATTATTGAGACCATCCATTTAATGATTCTTGGCTTTGTACTAACTATGAAATTATTACCATGTGAGCCATGAAACAAACCTAAGTGAATCAAACAACAAATTTCAACACATAAGCAAACAAAACCACATAAAATAACCCTAATGGTGCAGTGTTTGTTCCTTTTAGAGAGAGAGAGAGAGAGAGAGAGAGAGAGAGAGAGAGAGAGAGAGAGAGAGAGAGAGAGAGAGAGAGAGAGAGAGAGAGAGAGAGATAGATGTATATTTTATTTAAAATTCAATAAAAGGTAATAAGAATATATAGCATTATTAGTGCACATCCAAGTTTGGATCTTTTTTCGATTTTTTTAGCCAAGAAATGTTAAAAAGCCCATTTTATGTTTCGTTTTCACCTATTTATTGCTTTACTTTTTGGAAAATAAAAAACCAGCCGGGGCCTCTTCACTTTTTCAAATACACACTTTCTTCTTCCTCCCCATCCTCCAGACACACAGTCCCTTCTCTCCTTCTCGTACCAGTCAATTCTCTCCATTCCCATCCTTGGTGGTATGTCTCAATGCTCTCTCTCTCTCTCTCTCTCTCTCTCTCTCTCTCTATATATATATATATATATATAGATAAATGTATGTATATCTTTGTGTTGTTGTAGTAGAAAGATTCATGCGATTTTCTTCCTTTACAGGTTGATAAAGATTTGTGCTTTTTGAGAGAAAAAAAAAAATAGAAATAAAAAAACAGTAGTTGATTGTGGGCACCAACTGCTCTGTAATAGTGGCGGCTGACTAAAGAACACAATTGGGAAGTGGAATCCATGATTTGAACTGGATGAAGATTGCGACTTTAAAGGCTGGAATTATTGGGTTGTGATTCAAGTGAGTTCCTTCAGATCTGAACCGTTGTTTAAAACCGAGGGTTATTCGTGTTCTGTTTTATTGGATTAGGGTTTCTTTTGTTGTCTGAAATTTGTTCCTCGTTTAGATCTAAAATGGTAATGCTTGAGTAGTTTTCTTCCACCGAGATTGAACTCCGATTTCGTCGATTCAATGTGTATTCGATGCAGTTTTGGTTTTGCCTCTTTAGTTGCTGTGAATCTTGTCCGTATATTTCTGTTTTTCGTAATATACCCACATTCTTGTTTAGTACAGTCCAAGTATCTCTGCTAATGAAATGCTAGTGTTCTTCTTCACTTATATTGCTGGATTTTCTGCACATTTAGATTTATATTGAAGATTTTGGTTCCAGTTGGAGTTAATAAGTTTAGACTATGAATCTGTCTGTAATCTGTATCCAGGTGTGGTCTACTGTGTCTTCTGAGGATGCCTGAAATCTGGGCTTGTAAGAGATTCAGTTCAAGCTATCAAACTAAAAATGGATGTTCGGGAAGACAGTACTAGGCGTTGGCCGTTGCACAACGCAGCTACATTGCGGAATTTGTCGTCGTCTTCGTCGACGTTTTTCTCCGCCAATCAATCGCCTTTCATTTCTCCAAACTCAGCAGCTCGTCGACTTTCGACGCAATCCGATAATCCATGTCCCGCCTCCGCAGGAAGTTTATATCCCATGAAACCCGAGTTTTCGCCAAATGATCCGGCGGATTTGGAGAATGCTTCAAGTCCAGTATCGAGCAGCGGAGTTTTTCACGAAAATGATAGATTCGGACACACTGGTAAAGCCAAGAAGTTCGAAAGGCTGCTCGAAACCTCGATTCCTGGTAATAGATTGAGGAGTTGTGATGTCTATATAGGCTTTCAAGGCCGGAAACCGTTGCTGCTACGGTTCACGAATTGGCTTAGGGCGGAGTTAGAGGTTCAGGGCTTGAGCTGCTTCGTAACGGACAGAGCTCGATGTCGAAACTCGCGTAAGCACAGCATAACGGAGAAAGCGATGGACGCCAGTGCGTTCGGAGTTGTGATCTTGACGAGAAAATCGTTCAGGAATGCGTATACGATCGAAGAGCTGCGATTCTTTTCGAACAAGAAGAATCTTGTTCCGGTGTACTTCGATTTGGGCCCCGACGACTGTCTTGTCCGGGACATCGTCGAGAAGAGAGGCGAGGTTTGGGAGAAGTATGGCGGGGAGCTATGGCTACATTACGGCGGAATCGAGAAGGAATGGCGGGAAGCTGTGGGCGCGCTGTCTCGAGGCGACGAGTGGAGGCTCGACGCTCGCGATGAAAAATGGCGGGACTGTATTTTGAGAGCCGTAACGCTGATGGCGTTCCGGTTGGGGAGGAGGAGCATCGTCGATCGACTGACCAAGTGGCGGAACAAAGCTGAGAAGGACGAGTTCCCGTATCCGAGGAACGAGAATTTCGTCGGGAGGAAACGCGAGTTGTCGGAGCTCGAGTTCATGCTTTTCGGAGACGTAAGTGGCGAGGCCGAGCGCGACTATTTCGAACTGAAGGCGAGACCGAGGAGGAAGAAGAATGTGACGATCGCGTGGGGGAGGACGAGCTCGGTGGATGAGAAGCGAAGCAGTAAACAGAAGGGGAAGGAGCCGGTTACGTGGAAGGAATCCGAGCGGGAAATTGAAATGGAAAATGTCGAGTTTTCGCAACCGACGCCTCGACCGAAGCGCGGGAGGAGGAGATCGTCGAACGTGGTGTACGGTAAAGGGATTGCTTGTGTTACGGGGGAGTCGGGGATCGGAAAAACGGAGCTGCTTTTAGAATTCGCGTACCGGTTCCATCAACGGTACAAAATGGTGCTGTGGATTGGCGGAGAAAGTCGATACATTCGGCAGAATTACATGAACTTGTGGTCATTTCTCGAGATCGACGTGGGCATCGAGACGTGCACGGAAAAGGGTGGCCGGGCGAAGAGCTTCGAAGAGCAAGAGGAAGCGGCGGTAGCTCGGATCAGACGGGAGCTGATGAGGAACATTCCGTTTCTAGTTATAATCGATAATCTCGAGAGCGAAAAGGATTGGTGGGATCACAAGCATGTAATGGATCTTCTTCCCCGGTTCGGAGGTGAGACGCATGTCATCATCTCGACGCGCCTCTCCCGGGTGATGAATGTCGAGCCTTTGAGGCTTTCGTACCTATCGGGGATCGAAGCGATGTCTCTGATGCAGGGAAACGTGAAAGACCAATCGGTTACGGAAATCGACGCTCTCCACGCCATCGAGGAAAAACTCGGGAGGCTACCGTTAGGCCTTTCTATAGTCGGTGCTCTTATATCCGAGCTTCCGATCAACCCGTGTAGGCTTTTGGATTTGATCAACCGTACGACGTCGAGGGTGGGTGGCCGCGAAAACCATGCTTTACGGCGTAACAGTTTCTTATTACAGCTTTTCGAGGTTTGTTTCTCGATATTCAACAATGCTGACGGTCCGAGAAGTTTGGCGACGAGAATGGCCCTGGTGAGTGGCTGGTTTGCGCCGGGGCCAATCCCGGTGCCTGTCTTGGCCGTGGCTGCGAATAAGTTGTCTGAAAAGGACCACCATCGGCGAAGGCTATGGAGCAGGATTCTGTCTTCGCTGACCTGTGGCTGCTCGACGGAGTATGCGCGGAGGTCAGAGGCCGAAGCTTCTTTGCTGCTGTTAAAATTCAACATGGCGAGGAGTTGCATGAAAGACGGGTTTGTTCAGTTCAGCCATCTTGTGAAGCTGTATTCGCGCAAGAGGGGAACTGCAGGGACAGCGCAGGCGATGGTTCGATCGGTCATAGGTTGCAAGAACATATCCCCGAACTCGGACCATGTCTGGGCGGCGTGCTTCCTCCTCCTCGGGTTCGGTAAAGACCCGATCGTCGTGGAGCTGCAGGTGACCGAGCTCGTTTTCCTCGTTAAAGAAGTGATCGTGCCACTCGCCATCCGGACGTTCATCACGTTCTCGCGGTGCAGCGCTGCGATGGAACTGCTTCGACTCTGTACGGACGCGTTGGAAGCGACGGACCAAGCGTTCGTCACGCCTGTCGACAAGTGGCTCGACAAATCCCTCTGCTGGAGGCCCATTCAGACAAATGCACAGCTGAATCCATCACTGTGGCAAGATCTCGCGCTGGCGCGAGCCACCGTGTTGGAAGTTCGGGCGAAGCTGATGGTAAGAGGGGGACAATTCGATGTTGCCGATGATCTGATTAGGAAGGCTGTGTTCATTAGAAGTTCGATATGCGGGGAGGATCATCCCGACACTGTATCCGCACAGGAGACTCTTGCGAAGCTCACTCGACTCGTCGCCAGTGCGCCAAGCCATAATTCGCCATAGCGACGTATAGTAGACTGCGTTATTTATAGGGGTATAGAATCATTTTTTGAACTGTGTAAATTTGAGAGTGACTTTATACCATTTTTTCAGTTTCAAGATAGAGTTTTTTTTGCAGAGTTCTCTTAGCCTATGCCATAATTTGTATTTCACTGCTTTGCATTTAGAAGGAGATGGAAATTCAAGCTTAAAGAATGACAAAAACAACTGGTTCATTCATAAGATGCAATCTTACACACAAATCATCAACAGCTTAAACACAAATACAGTGAGAGAGAGGGGGGGGGGGGGGGGGGGGGGGGGGGGGGGGGGAGAGAGGAGATTAAAATCACTACACAAAGCACAAACAGAAGAGATTTATCTTGCAGATCCTTCTTCCTCAGCATGACCTGCTGCTCTTGAAAGGTATGGCTCTGATGATCAGCTGGTGGTACACTGCGGCCAGCGCGGCACCGATCATCGGTCCGACCCAGAATATCCACTGCAAGATTCAGACAATGAGATAAGATTTGTCCAACTTTGTGACTGCAAAGATAAAATGCCATTGAGAATTGAGAACAAATTTTCTTACCTGATCATCCCAAGCATGATCCCTGTTGTAGATGATGGCAGCGCCGAGGCTCCGGGCGGGGTTGATGCCAGTTCCGGTGATAGGGATGGTGGCCAGATGAACCAAGAACACTGCAAACCCAATTGGGAGAGGAGCCAAAATCTGCAGACCAGATCAAACCACAAAAATTTAAATACACATTCCTATATATTGCAGGCAAGAATTCTAATGTTGTATGATCAAAATTGGGAAATCAAATCTATGGAATGAAGAAGGAAGCACACATACAGGGACATGTGAGTCTCTGGCGTTTCTCTTGGCATCAGTGGCAGAGAAGACAGTGTAGACAAGCACAAATGTGCCGACAATTTCAGCACCAAGGCCATCTCCCTTAGTGTAGCCATGGTTAACCACGTTGGCCCCACCCTTGAGCCTCTGGTATGGCCCCTCCATGAAACCCTTCACCACTCCAGCTCCACATACTGCACCAAGGCACTGCATCACCATGTAGAAGACTGCCCTGGTCAGTGACAGTTTTCTTGCAAGGAACAGCCCAAAGGTCACTGCTGGATTGATGTGCCCTCCTGAGACCCAAACATTCAGCCACAATTGAATCAGCAAATTTAGCTGTAAGATTTAAGGAATTGTGTAAAAGGTTTGGGAATAAGAACAAGGCTTAACCTGAGATGCCAGCAGTGCAGTAGACAAGAACAAAGATCATCCCGCCAAAAGCCCAAGCAATTCCCTGAATTCCCACAGAGGCACACTTGTTTGGTGATCTCCCAACTCCCATCACAGTCAGGACAGATATGTACAAGAACAAGAAGGTTGCAATGAACTCTGCAATCCCAGCCCTGTAAAAGGACCAAGATTTCAGCTCCCCAGGCTCAAACAGGGGGGCTGGTGGCGCCTCCTTGTAGTCCTTGTCTGTCTGAGCAGCTGTCCCCAATGGCTGCCTCTCTGTGTACCTGTTTGCCCCAAGCTTAACATCTTCTTCCTTGTTCTCAGCCATGGATTCAGAATTCTGCTGAAAACCAACTGCTTTGTGAAGATTGCTCCTCTTTGCTTTGCTTTTCTTCCTATGAGCACTTAACTAGTGGAGCAAAGGTAATGGCATGAAGTGTCTTTTATAATACATATATGATATATCCCATTTTTGTTTACAATTTCTTAAAATAAATGCAAAACATAAGTTAAAGAGTTTTGCTTTAATTTTCTCGAAAAAGGATGTTGCTTTACAGATACAGCTAATTAAAAGTATACTGTTATGAGTAATGATTTAAATTTTATTTTATACTGTAATTGAGATAAGATTAGTGGGATATTGTGGTTGGAATTTTGAAAGTAGTGAGAGGAGAGTGGGGACTTTTCTGGAAAGAACACAAGGATGCTGCCAAGTTTCTTGTTTTGTGGGTTGTTCTTTATCTTCAACAGAGCATCACGAGATTTATTTTTTATTTTTTTATTTAGAGTTCATGATATCATTAATCTGATTAGCTGTTTTGGATCATTTGATTTCTACCTAATCCTCTAACAAGAATATTTTGGCAACTCAGCAGATGGACCAAACGTCAGAAAGCTATATAATTAGAATTTTAAAAAAAAATGCATTACAGCTGATCACACAATTTCAAATTGCATCCATTAAACTTTACACTAAATTCTTCAGTTATTTAAAGTTAAAATCATCAAAACCATTCTAGTATATTTATCCACAACTTTTGGCTTCCTTATGTTTGATTAATGATATGCAATCCTTTTCACTATCAGTAGGTAAGGACAAAGCAATGAAACAGAGAAATATATTAATAAAATTCAAACCAGCTTTTCAGTGGGAATATTGCAACAACAATGGCAGAAGCAAGATTTCCTATCCTAGAAATGAATCCTACGGCCAAAAACAATCCTAAAGATTAGGCCTTGCAGTCAAAAGCGACATTCTTGAATGTAGAGCAGCTTATGGTCCAGACAACGGCTAGAATTCGTTTGTCCAAAATGATGTGACAAAGTTTGTTGTGCTAAATATGGTCATCATCAGTTTCAAGGGGGGTTTTTTTAATTCAAAGTTTTCATGTGCAATTTCTTTTATCTTTTTTGTTTTTTTCAGAACAAAATGATGTAGTGTGGCCCAGTCTTAGAGACAGTGATCATTGTTTGATATCACATATTGTAATGGTATATAGTTTTTTTGGAAAAGAAAAGCATAACAATGATGCAAGACAACTCATGATAAAGTGAAGCTCACATGCTGCCATGAGGCCCACCCCCCACTTCTTCCCTAACCACTTCCCCATTATTATCATATGCTTCAACTTTATCTTCCCAATGTATTTGTAATTCTCATCATCTTCATGATTATGAAATTTGATTAGGTATCCATGCTTCAATAACTGCAAGAATAACACTATATATATATATATACCAACACGACTTTCAAGAAAAGGAAAAAAATGAATCAAGACCAACAACCATTGAAATTCTGTAATTTTCCATATCAAAATTTGCATAAATAAATACTGGTATAGGACTTGAAATGCCATTAAATTTCACCTAAGTAACTCTGCATTGCATTTTGATCAAATAGCATTAATATCTTTAAATGTTACCTCACAATGTGCATTTGCAGGATGTTTCTATTCAGCAAGAGTTTAGATCCTTCTTCTTTGTCGGTCCCCTAGAGCAAACACACATTCTTTCTCACTCTGTAACAGAATCAGGTATAATCAACCAGGTGGTAGTTATAGAAGAGCAACTTGCAAACCACTATCAGTGAAGAGGAAATGGCAATTTCTGCACCTGTCTGCATCGATATAACCAGGTTGTCTCCACCCAATGTGATCATTGATGATAATATCATATAATTCTATTGTTTGCATATCCAACAATCATGGAGTGCTATGATTTAACATCTTTCTTGACAGCCATTTTCCGGAATACTTACTTTCAACTCGACTAACATAACCAACAATTACTGCATTCTTCGAAACAAGATCTCGTACTCCTATTCCCTCAAATGGTTTTCTTGCATTGAATAGATCCCCACATTTTGCAGGCAAATCCACATGTGCACTTTGCACAGCTGGTCCCAATACCTTCCAAAACGAGCATGAACTCGGCATGCTGGTGTACGCAAAATTCATTAGGTTCAAATCCGACATTTTCATCTTCACAACTAACTCCAAAACCTCATGTGCATGCCCAGTCTGTTGCGTCTCCTCCATGATGTGCAGTCCATCATACATTGTTTTCGAAGCATCTGGCATACATCTTCAGAACTCCACACATATACATTTGAATCAACTAAAGACCTGCAAGCCATGGTTGCGGTTATCTACAATATCTGTAATTTAAATACAATCCATGCTTTGTTCATTTTCCTTGAGGAAACATGATAGCATGCCCCTGAAACACCACTTTTTGGCACGCCCTGAAATTATGCATTCCACACCACAACATTTGGATTTAGGCATTTGGGAAAACAGATAACAAGCATCATCTTGTCTTTCTTACCCTGACACAAACACTACGTAAATTAATAAACAAAACGATTCTTTCAGGCATTTGGTCGAGCACTTGGCGGGATTGAGTTTTCTTGCATTCTTGCAAGCAAATTCTCGCTAAATGATCGTAAAACTCAACTTCCTGCCTCTGTGATCTATGTATTTGAGAGCATCTTATACCACACGGTAGTTCGAAAATCTGAATCGACAATTTGGCTATAAATATACAAAAAAAATTTCTAAATTGATACGTGAAATTAATCGTACATGGATAATTTCCTTTTAATTTACACAAGAACTTCAATAATCTTACTCCCAATTCGCCCACATTAGCCTTCTCAAGAAAGAACTTTACGCACATCACTATGAGAATCATTGATCACTGATCAGAGAAATTAAAATTTGAATTTTCCACATCCCAAAACATCAATATATAAAAATTTCTCTCAAATGGGCCTCTCAATCCGCATTAATTTCAACCCATAATTTCAATATTTGAAATGGTCAAACAAAAAGACATCATCATCTTTATTCTTGAGCGTATCACACCAAATACTGAGATGGGCCTAAACTAAAACACCATAGACTTGGGCTTGAAAAAGATAACACAAAAACACAACGAAGATTATTACAGTAACTCAGTATCATTCACTCTCAGTAATTCTTGCATTCTGATTTTATTCTTTATATATATAAAGAATAAAAAGAGAAGACTAAAATTTTATGGGCGATGATGTTGATAGGGAGGTCGAGAAAATTCCAATGACAAACAAAGAATTGAGGATGCAATTTGGGTTTTCTATATTACAACGTGACGACAATTTATGATAATGAGTACAACCTTTGTCATTGTGTCGTATTTGTCACCAATTCCATGGATGCAAATAGAATAAATTCTTTGTGACCACCCATAATTTATTTGTCCTTACATATTAATTATCTCACTGCTCCAAGACTTTTTATACGAAATTTGTTCACACTAATATCAATTCTTTACTTATAATTTAACTCTTTAATCCATTTTATCTCATTTTATTTCTCGTAGTACAGTGGTTTAGTTTGAACAATAACACTAATTTAAATCTATGGAATTCAGCAACTTACAATCCCAATAACCTTTATAATAAACAAGACATTGTAATTAATTAGCAATTCAACTTCCCGATGCATGCATCTTCACCTCATCTCAATTCATTATTTCATTTATATAAATTTCTTAAATTAATAATTAGAATATTTTTGTAAATTAAAAACAATTTGAGCAAATCCATCCAATTTACCAAAAATGCCAACAGAAAGTGCTGGACAAAATAAATGCAGCAGTTGGCGTGGGGACCACCATTAAATTTAGTGCCCTCAGAAATCGACGGCTGGCATCACTTGCCAATCTATTCACATCCGGAAGATCCAGGATCTGAAATCCTAAATAGATCCACAGCGTCGAATTTCGCGGGGTCTACATTGTGAACGCTTTAGATCCATTTGGTGCTGGACTCCCTGGAGTTAGGGATTATTTTACATAAGTCAGCATCTTCTTCGCCCTTGCTCACAGGGAATCCTATGATTACTATTTACTACAATTCACTAATTACGTTGCTATTTACACATTTTTATACATAATTTTGTATCTATATTTTTTTTAATAAATATTTTCTATATGTAAATAAATAAAGAGTGCTGCTAAATGGGCAGATTTAGCCCAGAATAATTATTAATTATGTATTAATATATTAAAAGACTATTATACCCATAACTATTATACCCATATTAATTTATTTATTTCTATTTATTAAAAATAACGGTTATATTTTTATTTTTTATATTAATAAATTTTATTTTTCATTAAAAATATAAAAAGTATTTTCTCATTAATTGTAATAATTATATTTTTCTTGAATAACATATTTTATATTTTTTAATAGTAATTAATAATTAATTATGTAGTTTTTTATTTGTTCAATTTAAACTAACACTTAATATAGCAAATGTTGTATACGATTTATTTGGTAACGATTTAGAAGAAAATTATCAATTTGAAAATTTTCAAGCGGATAACATCGTGAATGCAGATATTCAACTTAAGCTCTGGTTGACCTAAATCCAGAACTTAATGCGAAAAGATTAGAGATATGTGAAAAATATTATTGATAGTTAGATATTTTCTCTTCTTATTTTATTTTTTCCAAATACATATATAAATATTATATTAAAATAAATAAGAACATAAAATAAAAACATCATAAAAATTTTCTCAAAAAATAACTAAACACACATTTTACATTCAATTGTTAGATTTTTTTATTTTATTTTTTGTCAATTTGAATTCTGATAAATTCAAGAATTCAAATTGACAAAAAAATATAACGAATATAAATCTAAAACAATGTTATATATATAAAAAATAATATTAAATGATAAGCATATAAATATTACTCCCTCTATCGTGCAAATCCGTGCTCATTTGATCGGGCACGAAAATTAATAAAGTTGGGTAACAATGGTTAATTTTTCCTCAGTAAAAAAAAATATATATAATAATTTTTTATTTAAAAGAAAAATAAGAATAATTTTCGATGACAACTCAAAAAAGAAAGTGAGTATAGATTTGAATGACGGTGAATAATAAACTATATATGTATATAATATAATATTAATAAATTATATAATTAATATATTTCCATATTAATAATTATATCTCATATTTATAACTAGTTATTATTGATAAAATATATGAATGATTGTCCAATCATTTCTCTTAGTATAATTAAAAGTTTCTAATGAAAAATATAAAAAGTATATAAGAGTCTTTCACTAATAATAATAATTTATTAATATTTCTGGCTAGCCAGAATATGCGCACCCAGAATTAACAATAAATAAATAGAGGCTTTGCTGCACTTATCACATTATTAAATAATAAAGACTTAGAACAAAAAATACTTCACACGTGTGTTATTAGAAACACGCTTCTGTTGTTACGACTGTTTACGTTTTCTCCTTAACTTGAAGTTACCAAAATGCCCTCACTTCCGACTTTTCACAAACCGATGCAGTGCACAGAATTCTAAATATCTTTTAATTTAAAATACCGAAAAGGCTCTGAATTATTTTGTACAACCTTATTTTTTGTGCCAACTTATTTGTACATTTTTTGCAAAGTATTTTTTATTTAATTTAATTAATTTATTTTTTATGTGTATTGCAACTAATAAATTTAATATGAAGAAAGTGTTTGGGATCTGATGCTGGTGAGCCACAGACATTGAAATAATTGATCGAGTATTCAATGGAAATAATAACAAAATTCAGTCGAATTAATATTAAAATAACCTGCAAAAACCACCAACTCTATTTCAAAATAAACAATGAAACAACCCTTCACTGATATTTCAAACAAAACTTCTGCCAAAACAATAAATTTGTCGAATATTTAAATTTATAATCAAATGCCGACAGTTTGATCGCACTGGAGGAGTTCTACAAACTTATAAGAATTTTAATTTTAATGAGATATATATATATATATTTTTCTCTTATATATAAATATAGATGCTACTGCACCAAATTTGTTGCCACTAACTTTGATAATTTATTTTAAAAATTGGCACCAATAGAAATAATTAATGCATTAATTAGAAGATTATAAATTTTGGACTCATAAAATCAAGAAATGATAATATTTATAAATTATTATTATTATTTTGTCTTCAGTCAAACAGCTGCCCGTGAGTTCATAAAAAGTCCTCATCAGTTCACAAGTTTTAATATTAATATCTAATCACTTCACCAATTATTATTATTACACTTCTTTTCTATAAAAATAAATAAAATAAAACAAACTATAGACTATAAAGAAATTTATTAATATTATTTTTAAATTTTTAATTATTATTATTTTTTTCTTAAAGCGTAATTAGATAAGACATGTTCTGAGTGTCAACTGTCAAGAAAGGGTTTAGAATAATCACAGGTTTATGTTTGGGGAAGAAGACAAATTTCATGGAAGAGGAAAATTCAGCATCTTGGTTGAGCTGAAAGATTTCTTGTGGTTGAAGGAGAACCTAAAATTGTGGCCATGTTATGCAGTCAACGTCACCACCATTCGCGAATTAATGCAGCTGGATGAAGCAATACTACAAATGGATGATGGACGCTGCTGGATAACAACAATTCACACTCCTATTTGTGCTGCTCTTCTTTAATGGCGTTTTCTTCCTCAATCATCTCTCTCAATAGCTGTTGATTCCCTTTCTTTCTCACCACATACACTCACTTCATCATAGTCCTCGGCATTGTCCGAATGATGCGTGTTAAGGACACTAAAAATGCATTCTTCGTAAGTGATGATTTATAAGTCTCTCCATGTGTTCGATGAATGTCCTGACTGAAAATTGTCTCTAATAATTTGCCCCTCTTTTCTTTGCAGTGACTGAGATTCTGTTTTATTTGAATGTCCTGATTTTGAGCACTGGATTGAATTCAGACATGGCGAAAAGGTCATCACGAATTCCAGAGGTGAGGGAGAGGACTGAGCTGAACTGTATGTGGGGACTGCTTAGCATTCTTCAATCCTGCCAGGGTTTTACAACCCCTAAGGTGATCTCCAACGGAAGGCCCGTTAGCCGACACGCCATTGGTATGAATTTGGGAAGTTTATTGCAGCTCAGTATTGTGTAATGAAGTACAATGTCTTCATGTTATTGTGGTTAGTTAACATGTCAATTTAGTTAGGTATCCCTGGTAGTAAATGCTTGGTATTGTAGTAGACTGTAATGACAGCAACTGGGCACTGTTTGGCCATAAATGGATGAGAGATATATTGTATGGCCATTAATGAAGGCTCTCAAGCTGCACATTCTTGGTTTTGATACTATTTTGGTTTGCATTGTGCTTCTCTTTAAAATTTGAATTCCCTTTCTAACTCTGGATCTATTGCACCAGATCATCCTAGTAGGCTCGACCAGCTTACCAGCTTTGATGGTGAATGTCGAAAGATACAAGTAAGCAGCTTGACATTCATCTATGTTTGACCTTTGGAGTATTTTGAAAGAATCCATTCATCGTGTGTGTTAATGTTTCGATTGTTCAGCTTCAGAATGTAGATTTGGATAGAGTTGCATTCAATGGAAGCTACAGAGGTTCGAGGAATCTTGAAAAACTTTTTACCGGGAACGATGCGGGACAGATGGTAGGTATGGGGCAGCAGCCTGTGAAAATGGATTCCAAACTTGTCGATGATCTTATGAATTGTAAGGAGAGAGCAAGGAAGAAAAGGGACAAGGCTTCTCAGTCATCTTTCTCTCACATGGATATTTCAGCTGATTCGACTTACCTGTCTTCTTCTGCAGCTGAAATATCATTGAAAAGGCTCACTTTGGCTGCATTACTTGAGGCAGTTTCTGCTGAGAATCACCCGGAAGAGAGTTTGGAGTCTGAATGTTTTCGGCGAAGCTTGAGTCTTGGAAACTACAGTGCAGCTGATCCGATTTACGGGGAGCGGATGTTTAAACAACAAAGAACAAAATCTGATTCAAAATCCTTCTCCGATGCATTAGAAGTGTTGAATTCGAACAAGGATAGTAGGATCATGGATCTGTTGCCTGAACCTGATTCTCTGCTCTCAAGGGGCTCTAAGAATATCTGTCGTTCTCGATCAGAGAGACAAACCATCAAGTCATTGCTTGATGCAAAATTGACGGAATACGAGAGGGAGAATGTGAGGACTTCTGGAAAGACTAGAAGTACACAGGCGAAAAAAGAGAAAAAAACGAATAAGCGTTCATTGCAGAAGCTCGGTTATCAGTGTTCGTGCTCTCCCAAGACAAGTTTATCCATCCAACCCAATGATAAAATTGTTGTGCTGCAACCGGCCTCACAGAGTGCAAAAAACGTTGAATATGTATCCTTCCATTGCTCCACGACTCAGTCACGCAGAAGTTTGAGTAGAATGATATCGGATGCCACAGCATCGTCCCTTACTTTCAGAGGATCGAAGAAGCAGCTGAAGAATACTGTTGGAATCCCTAGAGACTGTCCGAGTCAATGTTCAGTGAATGGAACTTCAGATGCACTTGCTCGTAACAAATCAGCTCGAGAAGCTGGTGATGACTGTATCCATTTTGGGGTCGACAAAAGGAGCTCTTGCACTTCTTCACCCAATGTGAATACAGATGGAGAGCTGTGGAAGAAGCAGGAGCTCAAATCCAGCAGGGATCATAATGCTGCTTGTTCCCCTGATAGAAATGGTAAGAGCAAGATAGAGTTTGATGTGATTTTGGAGGCGAAAAGAAGGCTTTCAGAAAGATTGGAGAAGCTAAATGATGTAGCGGCAGTGCAGGACGAAAAATCTGTAAGAACCTTGAGGCGGATTCTGGCTTCACCAAAGCATGAGTTTTTGCCACTTAGCCCAAGAAGAGAGAGCCAATATTGTCCTGGTTCGGCGCATACGAGATTAAGTCCTAATTACGCTTCTCTTGGAGTTGCAGAGAGTGGTTTCGAAATGCAAAATGTAAGAGAAAGAGCTTGTCTTAGTCCTTTAAGACCAAACACAGAGATGGCATTGTGTGCTGATTACAAAAATTATGATGCTTCTGAGAAAAGCTCTCTGATCCCGAGCCCTGATCAAGCTCACAAATCCGGTAGTTACATGGCAGGCAATAAGAAGTTTAATGGTAGAACTTTAACCTCTCTATTACACTTGTTTCCATTGTTCTATCTGCCTGTTGTTTTAATCTGTTTAGCAATGCTTCTACAGGCGATCCAAAGATTGTGGAAACTAATGGTGTCCTAGAACCCGAATCATACAATCTGGAAGTGTTGAATGATGTTAACTCCGGAGGTGTTACGACACCTTTGCTGATGGCAGACACAACTGACCTGCACAAGGACGATGACAGTGGAGTACATTCCTTAATGGTGAGTTGCATTTCGAACAAATCAAATTTCTAGAGTTCTTGGTTTACATGTTAAGCGAAAACTCCCTGGTGCTTCGCAGGATTCACTTTCAGAGAACGAAGCTTTTACATCGACAGCTGATGATTTCCAATCTACGCCTTCGAGCATCTACCAATTAGACATGGCTGAAAACATCAAATATCAAGAAGAGCATCAAAGCCCAGTTTCTGTCCTTGAACCATTTTTCATAGAAGACGGCAACAGTCCACAAAACATGACCCTTAAAACTGGTAATCACAACTTTGGTAGCTCATTAGATGACATGTATCAGCTACATTGTTTTTCAATTATGACGAAAGTGAATTAACTAGTTCTTCGAATCCTTTGCAGCTCAAAAAAAACTACGGCCACTTCGTCTTGACTTTGAGGAAAACTCAGTTGGGAATTCACCCCATGATCCAGCAACAAGTGAGAGTTCTTGCGCAGAAGAACAAGATCATCTCTCTGAGTATGTGCATTTGGTATTGCAGGCTTCTTGTTTAGATTGGGATCAGCTGTCAAAAATCACGATCCTTCCGGAAGAGTTGCTTTGTCCATCCTTATTTGATGAAGTTGAGTATCTGCTGACTGATTGCTTCTTCGATCCGAAACTTCTGTTTGATCATATAAATGAGGTTCTGATAGACATCCACTGCTCATATTTCTGCTCTTGTCCTTCCTCATCACTTGTGAAACCTAAAACCATGTCTGAGCCGCTAGCAAAGCTTGTGATCGATGAGGTAATGAAGCAAGCCGACTTCTATCTACTTCCTCAGACCGAGAGAAGAACACTCATTCAGCTAGTTTCGAAAGATGTGGAAAACAGCAGATCTTGGCTAGATGTTAGACTCGATACCGAACAGATTGTGGCTTACATTTCTGAAGACTTCCTCGAGGGATGCATCATCGATACGTTACTCGAGCCGAAACCCATCACATGAAATAAATACCTTTGTTCATATTATCAGTGTATTACATTTTGTATTTGTCCCTTCTTGTAGGCTTTAAACCATGTATGAAGAGATGTTTCTTGAATAAATCACAGTTTACTTTCCTTCAATGATAAATGAAAAAGATTTTAGTTGCAAAGCTCTTCATTGATCAACAGAATGACTTACCCTAAAACACAGTTCCTTATTGGAAATTCATTACATGGAAAAAAACGCCATGAAAGGACAGCTTTTGATTTTTACAGAAGTTGGAGAAACAGTTAGTATATATCATCTTCAAGACTTCTTGATGATCTTCTGAAGTGCTTGTCTGATCACACCTGCTGATGCTGCTTTCAATCCTTTGCCCTGCATTTCAAGCAGTTAGCAGTTAAGAATTCATAAACAGACTAATGGAAAGTTTCGATTCGGACAGTGCATTCGTACCTTGGCTTTTATAGTCAAGGAGAGAGTTCCATCGCTGTCCGAAGATTGAACTGTCTGGATATCCATATGCAGCTCATTTACGGCTGCCATAACCTCGAGCAACACATTCTTCTTCCACGAGCACCTCATCTCAATCACCACATCATTGTTTGCGACATTGACAGTCACATTATCAGCAGAGGCATTCCTCAGACGAATCTTGCTGCCATCAGATCCTGATTTATCAATTTCACAAGCTTTTCTCTTGTTAGACGACTGCTTCTTATTGTTGCTCGCCTTGCTCGGGCCGTAATTGTCTGAAGTCCTCTCGATTGCGTCATGAGGCTTGCTTTGTGTCGTTGAATCCACCTCGTGCGCTTCTTTGCACGATTCCAACTCTCCCACCTTCTTTTCAAGCTTTCTCAGGTACTCTATTGTGTGATCAAGTATCGAAACTTTGTCCACCTTCAAGAATCAAGTCAAAAGAAAATAAATAAATGATATAAGTTCAAACTTTTAGCTGAGATGATCATTTAACAATTAGAGTAACAGGTTTAGCTACCTTGCCGCCAGCTGGCACCAATGATCCAAGAATCGCGAACCTCTCATTTATCTTTTCTCGGCGCTTCCTCTCAGACAAGACATGGTTTCTGTCGATTTCCTCAGACTCAGGCTTGGATTTACCATTGCCTTTACTAGATTCACGACGGTTGTTTTCATGCATTCTGGCTACATCAAAGAGTACCTTTTTCAGTAAAACCTGATGTGATCCACTCTTAGGCACCTGACTTCTGAACAATCCATCGTTTCTCCAGCTAACGAAGCTTGATCGCCGGCCTCCATTGGTGAAATAAGGTCCTAGGATGAACTCATGGGAATTCTTCAAAAGGTTGGAAAGTACCATGTGGTAATGATTCTCATTCCCCTGGAAACCAGAGGCATTCTTCTGCTGATTGCATTCCTGATTGTCGCGCGTGCAGCTGTTTGTTTCCCTCTTCCCATCCGAGGTTGTGACTGGATCTCCATATGTCTGAGAAACGCAGTCGCTGGAAGTCATCGAATTGTTCAGACAATTGCTGACGGCATCATCCATCAGTGGCCAGTTCTGCACTTGTGAAGCCTCCCCATTGACAGTGCCTTCTAAGAAGTTTGATTCCTCTCTTAGCATATGATCAGCAAAATCGTTCGAACAGTTGTTTGGTGAACAAGCTTCCCTGTCTGGACTCTCCAGAATCCTGTCGAGACCATCTTGAGATATGTCTGCACGATCACAGGCGCCTTCATCAGTTGGGACAATGTTAGGGACTACATGGTTAGGAATCGTGGAAGGATTTGTCGAAGGATTCTCCAGGAATGAAGCTTTTATATACTGCACCAGGCTTAGATCCTCCGAAATCTGTTAAAAACATCGTCAAGTTTTCTTGTTACACCACTGTGAATGATTTTTTTTTCGATGGATTCATTCAAGTCTAATGAAACTCGATAGGAATCGCTTACATGTTCATTTGTTCCCAGCTCGACAACACCATCTAAATGTGGAAAGCACACAATTGTCTGAAAGTAAAGGCGGCAAACTTATTTTTCAGACATACTCATGCTTTTTGGCTAATCAGGACATCGAAACAAATTTGAAATATTAGTACCTGGATCGATGCACTCTGTAAGAAGCAATACGTGTCGAAGAATGCAAAAGTTTCGGGGCGAAATGCAGAGACAATGAAGTCAGAAACATCAGGTGGAACTTGAAAAAGGAACAATTCATTCAATGGTTGCATAAAGTGAACCTTCCACTTGCCTTTGCAAGCAGAGATCGGGCAAAAACTTTGGTGTCTGCACGGTGAGCATTGCACAGCCAGATTGTCTGATTCTTGACCAATGTCCTTCCAGGCAACCTTTGCATTTCGAAACAACAATTATCAAGATAATCATCTTCAACATCATCGATAAAAAAAAATAAAAAAAATAAAAAAATCAATGCCTCAACATAAAGACAATTACCCTTGGTCTGGATTGAACACAAAAGACATACAGACCAAGAAATACCACTCGGCATCAGTGAGGTCTTCGGGGGACAGTGCAGCTGTTGGCCTTTTAGCCTGAGGATTGGTTTCGCCGAGTGACAACGAAGCATACAGCTCTCGCAATTGATCGCTTCTCTGTAGTCCTAGCTGATCGGATGCATCGGATTCGGCTGCCTGAACTGTTTTTCTTGTCTTGATTTCACCATTGTAGTAGCCATCACTCCATTCCAATACCCTGAGAATGTTCGATTACACACAAGCTATAGCATTTACTAAGGTACATCCAATCATCAATGCATATTCACAGGAAATTAGGTCTGGATAAAATGCAATAGTGTAAGTAATCCTGATTTGAAATGGGATGTCTAATAGGAAATCAGATTTGGTTCACATTTAGTAAAGACAGCAGGAAACCCATAACTCCATCAAATCTAGAACAGATGGCCCATCAAAATTAGATGTGAATCAGAACCATAAAAATGAACCAAATTTAGAAAGAGATTATAAACAGCAAAAACAAGTCAACACAGAAAATCCCATCAAACACAGATCAAATTGAAACTAAATGACTTCAACCACAGCACCAAGACTTTATTTTGTGTGCACATTGCAGCAGATTCTGCAGTCAACAAGAACAAAAAAGAGTAGAAATCACATAAGAGAAAATAAAAAATTGGTTCTTTGGAGGGGGTGAGAGTGAAACTTACCCTGGTTTCCTGGATGAAATGGACCAGAAGATTGCATAGCTCCATTGAATGCTTCTAACAGCAAGAGCAAGCTGTTTCCTCAGATCCTGTGGCACTTCCTTCAGCCTGTGGTCTGCAGTAGCCATTCTGGACTTCTGCCCCATCTCCACAACCAAAGCATAAAAATAGTAACAATATTTGATTAAAACAAGATAAAATAAAATAAAACAACAACAACAACAGGGAAAGAAAAGATTTAAAACAAAAAGGTTAAAAAAAAGATAATGGGAAAACTCCAACTTGGTAGTTGACCGGATCAACTCTGGAGACGAAAAGGCAAAACTATGGCTGCTAACTGTACCTCCTGAATAAAGAGCTCAAGTATTCATTCCAAAACTTTTGTTTAACATAAACTAGACTTGAAAAGAAACGACAACAGTGACACTTAATTTACCCCTCCAGAAAGGCTCCCTTTTAGGAGCACGAAAATAAATGAGTTGTGGTAAAAGAAACATAGAAGTGAAAAGATTCCTTCGAAAGTCTGGGATTTGAAAATGAATACGAAACCCAATTAGTGAAATGAGCCACGATTCCCCAAGATTTTTTTGGGTATTTTATGTAGATAAGATCGAAACATCGAATTTATCGTTCATTTGACTTTTGAAGTCGCATGTGGTTTGGTGAGGACCGCTAAAATCGCGGTACCTTTTTCTTAATAATTCCAGCTTTGGAAACACGATTTCTACACAATTTTCAGAAAACGCTAAAATGTAAACGTCGTATTTATTTCATTCAGCTTAATTGTGACCCAAATAATCGAAACTTTTTTTAAAAAACAATTTGATTAGGTCGTGCTTTGACGAAAGTAGAAAATAATTGCAGACTAAATAGTTTCAATTATTGCATAAAAAGGCTGAAAAATATCGACAGCAAACTGCTGAGTTATTTATGGATCAGAATTTAGACAAAATAAAATTGACTTATATAAATTTGATTAATAAGAAATAATATCAGTCACAAATCTTTCAATTCATCAGACCCGTAGTATGAAGACGACTATAGGTGAAGGACATTCTTGTCATTTCACTACACTTCATAAAAAGAAAGGGCTCCACCGAACCCATGGGATTTACGAAAGTTTTTTTTTTTTTTTTTTTTGTACTTAAAAAAATAATGAATAATGTAATTTTATCTTGTGGTCAATATTAAATTTTAAAAAAATAATAATAATATAATAAGGAAATGTTTGATACGTTAATTGGTAAAAAAAATTGTTATGAATAAAAGGTATTGGAAGAGACTTTAATATGGATTTTTATATAGACGTGTAGAAATTAGAACCAAAAATTCCAACAACTTTATTGTGGTGTTTTCAATTAAAATCTTGTTCGTTTGATTTATTACATCCATTTTCTTGCTACTTTTATTTGTCGTTTCATTGAAGTTCTAACGTGTTTACTTTCTTTTTTTGCTTTTTTCCTATTCATATTTTACTCAATGGTCAATTTTATGAATGTGATGTGGGTATCTACATCAATACATTATAATTAAAATCTCTTATAAAAATAATATGATCATTCTTCTTATAAATACGGTTATTAATACGTCAAGGAATTGGTTTTCAAGATTGCCAACTAATTAAATATATATATATATATATATATAGAGAGAGAGAGAGAGAGAGAGAGAGATTTTTTATATCTTAATAAAGCAATCATTATTGGTGATGTTTGGCATATAATTTTAAAGTATGTTCATTATATGCTGAAAGAAACAAAAACATTTAAGGTATGACAATACGTCTTGTGCTATTTCATTTGTATCAAATTGGAATTCTATAAACTATCAAATTCTTGTGTGTTCTTCTTATCTCCTATTTGTTGGATCTTTTTTATAAATAAAAATAAAATGATATATATGTTTTTAAAAGGAGGAAGTCATCTGATCTGTCAAATTAATTTACACTTACTTTGGTTGAGCAAGTGCAACAATAAAATTGGTGGTGTGGTCCTTTCTTGTCCTCTTATTTTTTCTTAATTACTACAAAAATCTAAAGGATAGTGATGGGGTTTCAAGAAATTGCCATAACATAATCCTATTTGAGCCCAAAAACCTTCACTTATTTTAGCTATTACATATTTCAAAATATTACTTTTTGTTCGTTTTACCATTTACACTCTTTGATTTAGAAATATTTATAAGTTAATAAATTTTATATTAGTTACATCATTGTAAAATAATATTACTAGGGTGCATGATTATAAGTAAAGGGCCTTGAATTTGACCCAATAATTAGCCCAGTTTACAATAAATGGGCTAGGCCCTAAGACTTAGGCCTGAGTATGGCCCGATTTGAACCTATGGCAACCCGGCCTTATTCGATAAATTTCTACATATATTTTTTCATTTAAAAAAACCATTTTAAATTATATTATTCTAAATATTTTTTTAAAAGAAAATTGGATAATCAAAACCCAACATCTTCTCAAACTTAAGACAATGTTTAATTTTGGAACTTTGAACAGCACACTTAGCAAAATCTAACACACCATCATGAACGCCAATACAAATAAAAACATACTTAAAAACTGAAATCCAATCCTCCCTTCAATCCATCCATTAATTAATAATCAACGTCGGAAGCGATTGTATCCATGATGTCCGAGACAACATCCTTGGACTCCTTCAGCAGCTCTATGCTGTTCATAAACCTCTTTCTCTTCTCCGAAATCGACGGCGACTCGCCGAGCATTCGATCGAGTCCCCGCCCGTCTTTCCCCATAACTTCTTCGATTATTTCCTTCTCCAAATCCTTATTCACGAGATTATTAATCCCGAACATCATATGCAACGCCAAATTATCCACCATTCGTTTCAACGCAACTTTCCAGTACGCGACAAGCCTCATTTTCAGATCGAAAGCTTCTTGCACGACTCGCCCCTGGCTCCTTAAATGTGCCACGTCAACCTCACCGTAGTCGTCGATGCAAAGCTTCGACGGCTGGTAATAATCCTCCATAATCCTCATCAATTGAGGTTGGAAAGATATGAACTTATTACATAAAACCATGTATTCGGGATTACACGTGTAGTCCGTAAGCTTCTCCATTTCGATCAGATCCTTCATCATATCGATCAAATGCTGCTTCCTTCTTGCAATGAGATTCTGCGCCGCCCTTTTCGTCGGGACAACAAGCTGCGGATAATTCTCCGCGTGCTTCATTAGCACCGAAACAACGACGTTTCCTATGTATGTCCAAGCGCTGTCTACGCACTCGAATGGCATTGCAGACACACACTTGATCTTCCTCTGAAGAAGTGTAAGAAAAGCAGTTCTTGGCAAGAAATTCGGCAGCTGGATCGATTTCGCCTCGGCCAAGACACTGATTTCATCGATCAAGAACTGATTTTTACTGTCTGAACCGATATGATCTGCCTGAATTTTGCCTGAAAATTTATCCAGCAATTCAGCTAATCTTGCACTGGAATGCATTTCCTTTTCATCGGGATATTCATCGTACTCTCCCCTGAGTAAGATTTTCCTCAAAGATTCCTTAGCAGAGCCGATGATACTCATGAACGAAGTCAGAGCATCAGACACTGAGGTAAGAACTTTGGGCAATTTGTTAACGCTTTCGATGTTCCACGTCAGCTTTTCGTCGATCTTCTTCACAATGTCCGGCAGGCATTTCACGATGATGGTCGCCTGAATCTGAACCAGTTTTTGTGCCAACACAGGAATCCCTACCATCGATTTGCTGATCTTCGACAGAAGAGGATGTTTCTCGAACAATCTGGATTCTTCCCCTCTGGCTTCCTCGTAGGTTTCTTCCCCAATTCGATTTCTTACACAGACGTAGCCAAGGCCTATGTTGACGTCATCGGCGGTTACCTTCTCCAGCAGGCCTTCCGGAGCTTTATCTGCTTTAGTCACGACGGCCAGCGTCCTCTGCCCCGTCTTGTCCACGCGCTGCGACATCCTTATCGACTCGCAGGTAGTGAAGTCGACGCTCGCCGACAGAACATTTAGGATAATACTCTCTTCAGGAGTAATGTACTCCATGATTATGCTCGAAATCTGTTCGTATATATCCTCTGGCTGTCCGTGGACAGGAACTCGAGTGATTCCAGGAAGATCCACCATGGTAAGATCAGGAACGCCGTTTTTTTTCACGGTTAGGGTTAGCGGATTGTCGGAAATCCCCTTTCCATCTCCGGCGATTTCATCGGTCGCCATTACAATGGAGTTGGGGATATTTTCCTCGTCTGTCTGGACAACTTTTCCGTCGTACTCTAAGAAGAATTCAGGGTTTGGGGAAGAATGATTCTGCAGACGCATAATGAGAGGGACCCTGGTGCAGATTCCTTGTCCTCTGGGGAGGCTGATTCCGGCGAGGGACTCGAGGACGCTGGACTTGCCGGAGGATTGGTCGCCGACGACGACGATGGTCGGGAGCTGGATGCCTTCTTGCATTATCTTAAGGTTGCGGAGGCGGTCGACGGCGTCGAGGAGGGGGCGGATCCTGTCGTTGTACGAGGATACAATAGGCGCCGCTGCTGCTGCTTCTTGGATGCTAACGTGCGCCATCTTCTGCTGAATCATGTCTGAAGAAGAATTTCTGCTGTTCTTGCAGGACATGGTTGGGATTAAGCGACTGAGCAATAGTAATGAATACTTATAATTATTAGTGTGTGTGTTTTTTTGTCTGGAGAAGATGAAGGAGCCATTTATAAAGAGGGTCGGACGTACATACAGTATACATACATACAGCAGCCGTACAATTTCCCTTCGGCCTAAGTATCCGATTCCAAAGAAAGTGTGAATACTGTAAGAAAAAAGAATCCGATTTCCAAGAAAGTGTGAATAATGTAAGAAAAAAGAAATTGTTTATAGAGTAATTTTGAATTTTTTATCACTGTTTAATTTTTGAATAGGTTACATCATTAAATATGGAGTGTGTATAATTTTTTTTTTAATTTAAAAAATTTAAAAATCTGTCTTAAGTTTTATTTCTATATATATATTTAAAATAAAAGTAAGAGTTTTCTGTTTTGGCAATAACTCAACAGAGAAAATGAATATAAATTTAAAGAAAATAAAATTAATTTTTAATTTTTTTCAATTTAAAATTTTCATAAGCTTCCTGTTTAAACAGAGGCAATAGTAATTTGATGACAGCCTTGTCGATCGTATCTGCTTAGCTTCTGCGGGAAGGTTTGCAATAAGAGATGCTTTATACGAAGACTAAAGACTTTTGGATGACCAGGCACAAGCACAGCTATTTTCTTCTTCATCAAAGACTTTTCGGGTGTGTTTGTATTTTCTTCTTCGTCAAAGATTTTTCGGGTGTGTTTGTCTGGGAGTTTTGAATTTTGAATTGGGATTTGAACTGTAAAAATTTTGAATTTGAATAATTGTATGATATGATATAAATAGAAGTTGATGTGATATTTTAAATGTAAAATTAATTTTTAATATAATATAAAAATAAAAAATAGATGTTTGATTTAATATTTTGAGGGAGGAGGAGAAAGGAAAAATGGGATGAACAGTGGAAACTCGATGAAGAAGAAAATAGCCACCTTGACTTGATTTAAGGTTTTCTTAACGAAATTCATATATTTGCTGTATTCATTTTTTAGCTACAAGAGTGTTTAAAATTATTGGAACAATTTAAGTTTTATTTATTTTTGTTGAGGTTCAGATGTTATAAAAGAAATTCATTTAATTATTTTATGAGTCGAGCTAAGGTATTTATTTGTACAAGAGCCTTTAAAAAAGCTTAAATACCATCTTTCTTATTATCGTAAGATTCCTAGTCCCATTTGTTTATGATTTCTTTCTCTTGCTTTTGGATTTATTTATATTTTAGATTTTTTTTTTTTTTCAAAACAAGAAAAAACCCATTGGGTATTAAAGATAGAAACAGTTAGAAAAACAAGAATAACAACACTTTGTGAGTGGAAAGACCAAGAAGACCATAAAGAAAGCTTAGCCCTGCCCATTTCCCTTTCCTCTTTGTTAGCTTTCCAAAGTGCAATAATGGGGATTAGAGGCTGTTCCCCTTCCTTTATTTTATTTTGTTTTTGTCTTTACATGTTCTCCATGACATTAGTAAGGGAATCAAATTGACATATACTTCTTCAATTTTATAATAGTGACAACAATAATAGAGAAATAACATCAAGCAAAAGAAAACTAAATTAAATAAAGAAAAGCCATCACAGTTCAAATACTAATAAACTCAAATCAAGACCAACAACAGAAAATTCATTTAATGGCAGAAACTAAACACAACCAGCTGCATAACTCAAAACAAACTAACATCAGCAGAAAAACCTTAAAACAGGACATCAAGCTAAGCTAAAATCAATCGAAATCAGCAATGCAACTGTCCATAATGTTAGAAACAACATCTTTGGACTCCTTAAGCAGCTCAATGCTGTTCATAAACCTCTTCCGCTTCTCCGCAATCCCCGGCGACTCGCCAAGCATCCGGTCGAGCCCACGACCATCTTTCCCGACAACCTCCTCGATTATCTCCCTCTCCAAATCCTTGTTCGCCAAATTGTTGATGCTGAACATCAGATGTAAAGCCACATTGTCCACCAATCTTTTTAAAACAACCTTCCAGTATGCCACAAGCCTTATTCTCAGATCAAAAGCTTCTTGCACAGCAGAAGCATGCTTCCATAAATGCTCAACATCAAACTCACCATAGTCATCAATGCACAGTTTTGCAGGTTCAGTAGGGTTATCAATAACGTTCTTCAAACTTTCGTGCTAAGAAAGGAACTTGTTGCAGAAGCAACGTACACCGGAGCACAAGTATAATCTGTTACCTTCTCCATTTCAATAAGATTCTTAACCGTGTCCATTATTTGCTGCTTCTTTCTGGAAATGAGATTCTGACCAGCCCTTTTCGTGGGAAGAATGAGCTGTGGATAATTCTCAGCATGCTTCATGAGGATTGAGACAAAGGTAGGTCCAAGCGCATTCCACACACTGAAAAGGCAGATCGGACACCGCCTTGACTTTCCTTTGAAGAAGTGAATTGAACGCTGTTTTTGGTAAAAAGTTCGGCAGCTGAATCGACTTGGCTTCAGACAAAACACAAATCTCATCCATCAAGAATGGATCTTTGTTGCAACGGTCAGCCTGCATTTTTGCAGAAAAATTATTCAGCATCTCAGCCAATCTAGCACTGGAATGCATCTCCTTAACATCAGGATATTCATCGTACTCCCCCCTGAGGAGGATCTTCTTCAACGACTCTCTAGCAGAACCAATGATGCTCATGAATGCCGTCAGAGCATCCGCCATACAAGTCATGTTCTTGGGCAATTTGTTCACGTTCTCAACGTTCATATTCAGCTTGTCGTCGATCTTCTTCACAATGTCCGGCAGACATTTCACGATGATGGTTGCCTGAATCTGAACCAGCTTCTGAGCCAACACAGGAATCCCCACCATCGACCTGCTTATCTTCAACAGAAGAGGATGTTTCTCGAACAGCATGGATTCTTCCATCCTGGCCTCTTCGTAAGTTTCTTCCCCAATGCGATTCCTGACACAGACATAGCCGAGGCCAATATTAACATCATCGGCAGTTACCTTCTCTCGCAGGCCTTCCGGAGCTTTATCTGCTTTAGTCACGACAGCCAGTGTCCTCTGTCCTGTCTTGTCCACGCGCCGCTAAATCCTTATCGACTCACATGTAGTGAAGTCGACACTGGCCGACAAAACATTCAAGACAATACTCTCTTCAGGAGTAATGTACTCAATAATTATGCTCGAAATCTGCTCATAGATATCCTCCAGCTGTCCATGCCCTTGCACTCTGGTAATTCCCGGAAGATCCACCATTGTAAGATCAGGAACTCCAGCTTTTTTCACAACCAGAGTCAGCGGATTATTGGAGATCCCCTTTCCATCTCCAGCAATCTCATCGGTCGCCACTACAATCGCATCCGGGATATGTTCCTCATCTGTCGGGACAACTTTTCCATCATACTCCAAGAAGAACTCAGGGTATGGGGAGGAATGATTCTGCAGCCGCATAATCAAAGGCACCCTTGTGCAAATTCCCTGCCCTCTGGGGAGGCTGATTCCGGCAAGGGACTCGAGAACACTGGATTTCCCGGAGGATTGGTCGCAGATGACAACAATGGTGGGGAGCTGGATGCCTTCCTGCATGATCTTGAGGTTGCGGAGGCGGTCGACAGCGTCAAGGAAGGGGCGAATCCTGTCGTTGTAGGATGATACAATAAGGGCATGTTTTGCAGCTGCTGCATCATCTGCAATACTAACAAGAGCCAGCTTCTGCTTTATGTCTGCCATTGTTGTGTTAGCTCTCTCTCTCTCTCTCTGTCTACAAGCAAAAGTCAGTTGGAGATGAAATACATAAGAGCAAGGAGCAGTATTTATAATGAGTATCTATAAACAAGAACGGTTTGATTTCCCATAATCACTCTTTAATTACCTTCGCCTGTTAAGATAGAAGCTGCAGAGACTTACCTCTGACACAGGTAAAGTAAAATCAGATCATTATTTTGGCCCTTCCAGTTTTCGAGAGAGAGATTCTAAATTGTCAGACAAAAACCTGGGAAAAAGCCATCAAGATACAGCAGTACTTTTTTAATATAAAAAAAAAAAAAAAAGTTGCAATAGAAAGTTGAAACCATGAATTTATGATAGTACGTAAAATTGATTCGCCATACTTATTTCTAGCAAAGATAGATTTAGCATCAACATTGCAAACATAACCAGGAAACAGTGACTCAAAAGCACAAGAAAGCAAAGTAGGCATGACCACACCAAAATCAAACTTGATCAAAATCACCAGACAACCTGTCCATGATGTTAGACACAACATCCTTGGACTCCTTCAGCAGCTCAATGCTGTTCATGTACCTCTTCCTTTTATCAGCAATTGCCGGAGACTCTCCAAGCATCCGGTCAAGCCCACGCCCGTCTTTCCCAATTACCTCCTCGATGATCTCCACCTCCAAGTCCTTGTTCACCAAATTGTTGATGCTGAACATTAGGTGTAAAGCCACATTGTCCACTAATCTTTTTAGCACAACCTTCCAGTATGCCACGAGCCTCATTCTCAGATGGAAAGCTTCTTGCACAGCAGAAGCATGCTTCCGTAAATGAGCGACATCAACCTCACCATAGTCATCAATGCATAGTTTTGTGGGCTTAGTAGGGTTATCAATAATGTACTTCAAACTTCCCTGGTAAGAAAGGAACTTGTTGCAGAGGACAACGTACTCTGGAGCACAAGTGAAGTCTGTTACTTTCTCCAGTTCAATAAGAATTGTAACCGTGTTCACTAATTGCTGCTTCTTTCTGGAGATGAGATTCTGAGCAGCCCTTTTCGTGGGAAGAATGAGCTGCGGATAGTTCTCAGCATGCTTCATGAGGATTGAAACAACAATATTTCCTAGGTATGTCCAAGCACATTCCACACTGAAAAGGCAGATCCGAGACTCCCTTGACTTTCCTTTGAAGAAGTGTATGGAATGCTGTTTTTGGTAAAAAGTTTGGCAGCTAAATCAACTTGGCTTCAGACAAAACACAAATCTCATCCATCAAGAATTGATCTTTGTTGCAATGGTCAGCCTGCATTTTCATAGAAAAATTATTCAGCATCTCAGCCAATCTAGCACTGGAATGCATCTCCTTATCATCGGGATATTCATCGTATTCCCCCTGAGTAGGATTTTCTTCAACGACTCTTTAACAGAACCAATGATGCTCATGAATGCAGTCAGAGCATCCGCCATACAAGTCATATTTTTCGGCAATTTGTTAATATTCTCAACATTCCAAGACAGCTTGTCCTCAATTTTCTTCACAATGTCTGGTAGGCATTTTACAATAATAGTTGCCTGGATCTGAACCAGCTTCTGGGCCAACACAGGAATCCCCACCATGGACTTGCTTATCTTTGATAGGAGTGAGTGTTTCTCAAACAGTCTTGATTCTTCCACCCTGGCTTCCTCATAAGTTTCATCACCAATACGATTTCTGACACATACATACCCAAGGCCAATGTTGACATCATCAGCTGTTACCTTTTCCAGCAGGCCTTCCGGGGCTTTATCTGCCTTAGTCACCACTGCCAGCGTTCTCTGTCCTGTCTTGTCCACACGCTGTGACATCCTAATCGACTCACATGTAGTGAAGTCGACACTGGCCGACAAAACATTCAAGATAATGCTTTCTTCAGGAGTGATGTATTCCATGATAATACTTGAAATCTGCTCATAAATGTCCTCTGGCTGTCCATGGAGTAATTCCAGGCAAATCCACCATAGTAAGATCCGGAACACCTTTCTTTTTCACCACCAGAGTCAGCGGATTATTGGAAATCCCCTTGCCATCTCCAGCAATTTCATCTGTTGCTGCTACAATGGCCCGGTATATGCTTCTCATCATTCACATCAACCCTTCTTCCATCATACTCCAAGAAAAACTCCGACTGAGAAGCAGACTGATTCTGCAGCCTCATAATGAGAGGCACCCTCGTGCAAATCCCCTGGCCTCGTGGGAGGCTTATCCCCGCCAGGGACTCAAGGACACTTGATTTTCCCGAAGATTGGTCACCAACAACAACAATGGTGGGCAGCTGGATGCCTTCCTGCATAATCTTCAGGTTCCGAAGGCAGTCCACAGCATCCAGGAGTGGCCGTATCCTGTCATTGTAAGAGGATACAATAGGCGCACACTTTACGGTTGCATCTTCAACAATAGCAAGAGCCATCTTCTGCTCATTATCTGAAGGTGTCCCTTCCCCAACTAAAGCTACACCCATCCCCTTATTGAAAGCACTCTTGTTCTTCTTGCCTGTCATGGTTTTGTTGGTCAACAAGCTAGTTGGTATCGGGTAGAGTATGATGCATATACTTTGGTGTCTTGGTGAAGATGAAAGATAGTGAGGAGCAGTATTTAACGGGTGTACACAAGAACCGTACCTTTCCCCAGCATTGAGTGTCAACGTTATTCCATCACTCCAATTTACTTCTCCTGTAAGAGAGCTGTAAAGACTACCTCAATCATGGAATCAGATGAGACAAAACAATAATATGGATCATAATTTCTTCTGACCCTTCAATTTCCAAGAAAGAGATTTCTAAGTTCTCAGACAAACCTGAGAAAAAACTGTTATAATGCAACAAAACTGATCAAACATCTATAAATTTCTGCCAACACCTCTCCCTGCCGGTTACATCAGCGACAAACTCATTAAACAAGGACTTAATGCGGCAATTGGAACCACGAATGGGAATCCAGGGAGATGATTAGAATCACCACTAGCATTCAATTTTGAATCTTCCTCTACAAAAGGCAAATAATACTCACCATAATTTTAAGGTGCATACAATGAAAAAACACATATATAGATACAAAAGTAACACCAAGACTTTCTTCCTAAGTGCGAGTTGTTCGAATGTAGTGGGAGGGCTGGAACAACTGCAGGAAAGAGTTCCTACCGATCTTATCTTCTATTACTGAATTGAGTGAATTTCAATTCTAAAAGAACTCACAGTAGATACCATTGCGATCTTAGGGAAGGTACGAAACAACATGGACAAGGACTGGGATTGCCAGTGGCTCAATCTTAGTTGAATCAAGGGAATCTAACAAGTCTATTTACAGCAATGTCTAATGCCTCAACTTGCCTCCGGAGAATTTTTCTGAAATTTTATTAAGGAGAACAAGAGCTCTTCGGGTATTTGCCTTGTCTAATAATGTCTATGTGATGGAAAGATTTTGATCCCATCTTCTCAAGACATGGAGGAAATACAACTTAATATAAAGGATACAACTGTGTGGCAAGAACCTCCATCCCTTTAATTTCTTCATTCAACCTGCAGCAAATTACAGATGGAGGTACATAAGAAAGTTTGAACTGTTGAAAACTAAAGATCAAGATTCAGCAATTTTGCAGAATATCCCACAGAACAAATAGAGATTGTTCATTAGTGTGGCACCATAAAAGCAGAAAAAGATGGATCACTTTTTGTCTGAAGAAAACTCTACAATCCCAACTTAACAACCAGAGCAAATGTTTACCAATTGTCAGCATGCTGTGTCTTTCTGGCATAGATTTGGGGGAATAAAATTGAGATTATTAAAGCACAACATAATTCTGATTAGCTTCCCCAGTATTTCCCATGTTCAAACAGAGTTTTGGCAGCTGCTACAGTGTTTTAAATATCCAAAGTGTTTTTACGAAAACATTAATGTTATGGTCAGGAATCTTGCGCCCAACTTCTCAGGGATGATTCTTCAACCGCATGCTAATTAAGTTCATGAGAATAAAAAATACCATAAAGGCCTCAAGAAGGTTCAAACCTCAGACAAGAATTTATGTATCGATTTCCTTTTGTAGATGCATCAAGCACTGCATCACAACAAAAGAAAGCAATATTAATGCCCCAAAACATAAAAGGACAGATAAAAAATCACCATAATGAAAATCGCCCAAAAACTCAAGAGGATATTTCCGTAATCAACACCTAACTAAAATAGGAAATCAAGGATACAGTGTGTGAACCTACCCACTCCCATTTCCCAAAGGATAAGACTTTCCAAAAAAACAAAATAAAAGAGGAACATATGTTATAACTATAAGTCAAAAAATAGCATGGAGCCTTGTATTCTTGAAACATTTCAATTGAAATTTCAATTTACCACATTCTTGTAGGTGACCAGCTGCATCACTGAAGCAGTTCATATGATCAGCAGTAGAACTGGTGGCCTAGAAATCAAAACACCCAAATTAGAAGGCTGAATCAAACTACAGAAATAGTGAGTAACAAAAACACCTTCAAATATGTGGTTATAAATACTAACACCATTAAATTAACAAATGAGAGCAAATCGGCCGTACGTCCATACAAAACCTATTAATATAAGAGTGATTTACAAATTCCTGGTTGCTAATGATGCATACAAAATGGATTTGAGCATAAACTGTTCGCGAGTTTCTAGTAATGATTTGAGAAAATAGACAGCAGTTTAGAAACGAAAAGGCTAGGGCATACCTAATAGCTACAGCATAATTGTAATCAATACAAGCAATACATACAACATTAACATAAAAACAAGTTAAGGAAAATCAAAATCTGCACAACACACGCTTTGAAGTGACGTAAAACACTTCCCTTGACGAAGTAAACGAGCAAAGATCGAAATTAGCAACCTCGGAAAGTGATAAACGAAGAGAAGAGAAAACAGATGAAAAACTCTCGGCAATCGCAGCGGTATCCCTCTCCACCGCCTCCAGAGCCTTTAGGATCCCCTTCCGGCTGTCAGACGCCTCCGGCTCCAGCAACTCATTTCCATTTACTGCTTCTGCAACTTCCTGCTCTCCATCGCCCTCCAAATGGCAAGTCAAATCCCGATCTCCCACCTCCGCTGACACTAACGAATTTGAGCTGCCGTTGGCCGTTCCTTCGGTCTCCATGGATGTGAGAAAGACCAACCATACAGATCGATCAGGTTTATATATATGCATATGATATTGGGCCACTGGGCCGCTTTTTTAAAACTAAAAATCGCATCTTTAAAGATTAGGACAAAAGATCTCTGAGAATTGGTCCAGCCTAACAGGGACATGGCATTCTCCCATGTTTTCTAACATTTCAAGATTCATCTTTCACATGAAATCGAGCAGTACAGCTTGTTATAATTGACCATTTTTAACATATCTGAAGTTGTAAAACTGGTGGATTTTTCACATATAACATATTTTTATTATTCAAGATGTTTTTAGTTTTTTATTAATAAAAATATATTATTTATTTTATAAAAAATTATTTAAATAAAAAAGCAAAAACAGGTTCTTTGAAATAACACACACTTACAGGCTTACAGGCTACCAATTTAACCTTTTTAAACTCATGCTGTTGACTGTCTAAGTGAATCCAAAATTTGCCTTCAATGAAATTAGTACCCCAAATTGCAATGCTCACTTTTCATCAACTGCAGTAGTAAATAAAAGTAGAATTACTCAGCTGAATTGACTGCCAATTCTTTTCATCTAGTTGCATTGCAGGTGAAAACTCAACTGAAAGCTGCAATTTGATTTCCTCACAGTCCAGACCTTCGATTTCAATGATCTAAGAAAAGCAATAAAGAGAACTGAACTGAAACTATTCTCTATTATTCACATAGTAATTTGTGGGACTTACTGCACTTGCAATTCTAATGGCCAAGAAATGTAGCTAACATATGGAATCAAAAACCAGGCAAAACCCAAACAGGCGGCTTCGAAAAGGTAGCAAAACTATCGACATTTTCATCGGACAGACAATACGCACCTGCCTTCGAAGCACTGCTTTCCACAAAATGATCTGTGAAGTATATGCAGTTCGATTTTATTGCATCGCAGTCAGGGAGCTCGAGGCAGAAGGATGAGTTCAACCCTAAAAACATTGTCTTGTCGCCCAGGTCCTGAATCATGATCAACTCCTCCTTCATTAAATCGACCTCAAAAACTTCGAATCTTATAATATTGTAGATGCTAAAGCGTCTAAACACAGCTAGAAGCTTCCCGGATGATTCCACCAAGTAGTATTCATATCTGTTTCTATAGAAGGGCACTTGATCGGTGGAAATAGGAACAGAGATGTAATTCAAGTAGATAACCTTGAGAGTTTCGCGTCGATTTGGGGAATGGATGTCGCATTCGACTAACTTTCGATCCATGTCCAGTGCGTATAGCTTTCCATTGTGATATGTAACGTCACAAATTGAATGTCCTTCTTCTCCATATGCCTCCCAGCGTGGGGCTCCAGGACTGGAAAATCCTAATTGCTTTCGTTCCTCTTTACCCCAAATCACTGTAACAATAACATCATCGTCGATTCCAGGGCTTCCAGACAAAAGCATTTTGAAAATGCAGGGATTCTCTCCTTCTCTGTATATGGGGAAAGTGTCCAAACCAGGGAGCTCGAGTGTTCTTCCACAGATTGGGTTAATCAGGCCAACAGAAGGACAATCCTGCCGGACATAGAGAATCCATCCGCCGGAAGACAGGTGGACGGTTGCCGGAAATGGAAGGAAATCGTGGATTTTGAAAGTCCTGCCTCTCGACAGGTCTTGCAAATGAATGCAACGACCAGGAACTACTTTGTTGTCTTCTCCACTAGCATCGTACATGAGCAAAGAAACTTGCGGAGAATTATGGTTGAAGTTTCTGCGCGTCGCCGCCGACCGCCAGGAACCGCAAACGCTGCGCACGGCGAGATAGTCGTAGATTGAAGTCAGGCGTCGTGTTATGTCCTTCAACAGGACATCTGTGAGGCTCTTCCAATCTGGATACGTAATTTCTGTGTCCGGGCAACTGCTTTTCGACAACATTGTTTAAACTCCGGAGAAATCGTCAATGAGAACCCCCCCTTCGAATTGCTGGCGTGATTCTTCGATTGATGAAAATGCAGAAGTAGAAATCAAACCCTAGAATTTGGGGAATTGGCGGAAACGGTTGAGGAGGTGAACGGCAGGTATGTCGGTTATATGTACGGAAAATGTGATTTACGATGATGGGTTTTAGAAGAATTAATGTATTGGCTTTTTTTTTTTTTTTTTAACCCTATATTATAGGATGAATCTCCAAAGATATAAAAAATATCTTTTGAAATCATATACACAAGTTTCATTGAATATGACTTTCTACATAATTTATATCTCTATAAAATCGAATGTAAATCTACATTTACTTGTATTTCCCTCAATCTATATGATTATATGAGTCAATTAAATAAAATATTCAACAAATCCAATCTCAAACTTTTAATATTTAAATTACAAACTTTTAATATTTAAATCTATAAACTTATTTTTTTGATTCATCATCCTCCCTTACAAATTACTTTCTTTTTACCAAAATTTTGAATCCAAATGTACGCTGACGTATCAGCTATTAAACATCTCATTAATCATTGAAAAATTTTACAAATAAATTTTTTATGGTATTACCCTAAAATTGCGAAAACCATATATAAATTACAAAAATAATACAAATACTACTGTTCAAATTGACTTTTTTACACAAGAAATTGACAATTTTCATTTTTGAAATCATACATATGATTTCATTGAAAATGACTTTCTACATAATCAAATATAGAATTATACTTACTCGCTTAATTAATTATCTAGTTCCCTCCTCCATGTAAGATCACATGAGTCAATAAATAAAAATAAATAGTTCAACAAATCCAATTCCAAAGTTGTCGTCTTTAAAGAAAAACCTACTAATTTGTTTTTCAATACATTTGCACCATATTCGCTTATAAAGTATTTTTTTCACCTGATAAATCCTCATCCAAGCCAAGTCTACATATTTTCTGGCATACCAGCTAACATTAATATTTCGTCAACCATTAGAGAGCGTCTGCATCTACGTCTTTTCTGGCATACCAGCTAACATTAATATTTCGTCAACCATTAGAGAGTGCCTGCAAAAAGATATTTTGTTTTAATAAAACAAGAACAGTTATCAAATAATTTATTAGTATTATATATTTTGTAATTTACAATGTAAAAGAACAACAACAATAATAATTAATCACATGAAAAAAAATATATATATTTATTTCAAAGTATAAAATATATGTGAAATATATGATTTATTTTTTATTTTTTTAATTATAAACATATATATATATATATATAGAAAATAAGAATAGATTTTCAGCGTAATGGTCTGGGAAACCCCAAACATCATCCCACAATATGTGTATTATGTATCTATTTAAACAATGTGAAAATAGAATTAGATCATAGTATAAAGTGTCATTTTATAGCCCATCAAAAGTATACTTACTTTCTGTGTAAAATACAAAGGAAGTGAGTATACTTCCAGTGGACAGAGTAAATATTACAAATAAACTTGACATTTTCAAGTTAGCATTGTTCTGCATATACAAACTTGCTATCATTAATCTTGTCGAAGCTAATGAACTAAGAACTATTCCCTCGGCCATCTATAATCTACATTCTATAGGATTATATATAGCAACAATGAACACTCACTTTCCAAACGAATCTAACATTAACGGTTGTGTATTAAAACAACTATGCTCTCGGCAATCTATAATCTGCATTCTATCGAATCTAGATAATAACACGGAACATTAAGAGCGACACGTGCTAAATAAACGACAAAAAAAATCATCGATACCTTAAAAGCATACATACGTATGCCAAGTGTCACTCTAAGGCCTCGTCGCGAATTGAAAGATCCGAGTTTTCCGCAAACCATGCATGATTAAGAGCAGCTTCCGCCGTTATCCTTTTAGTAGGATCATAAGTTAACATATTCTTCAACAAATCGAGCCCAGATTCTGTCATCTTTGGAGAACAATTGGTGAACTTCTTTTCTAGAACATTTGCATATCCACTTAACATGTCGATAGTATCTTGTCCGCGCAATCTAGGCCAATTACTAATGTCTTCTGGTGTCCCCAATACTTTAAATATCTCAGAAATCACTACAATGTCGTCACGCCCTCTAAACATAGTTTCCCTCAAAAACATCTCCCCCATTACACATCCCACCGCCCACATATCCACCGCAGTCGAGTAGTTCACCGGCCTTAGAAGAATCTCCGGAGCAGCATATTGTCGAGTACCCGCCCTGCCAACAAATTTTGTCGCGGACGGCGCAGACACGCCAAAATCGCAGATTTTCAGTAAATCTCCACCCTCTCCAATCAGAATGTTCGAAGGCTTAATGTCTCGATGTATAATTTCATTTTCGTGGATGAACTTTACCCCTTCGAAGAGCTGCCTCATCCAGTTCTTGACCTCACTCAATGTGAAAGACCTTTTCGAGTTCTTGATGAACTTTCGAAGATCCCTCTTCACATATTCCATCACTATACAGATTTCGTCGTGGCTGTCTCCATCCAACACGACCTCTTTGAATCGAACAATCGATGGATGTCCGTTGAGTTGGTTGAGAATCTGAATTTCTCTAAGCAAGTTTACAGTCATGCCTTCACGCACTTTCTTCATCACCATTATCTCTTTGGTCGAATTTTCTCGCACCGCCGTGACGCTGCCGAAGGAGCCTCTGCTCTTGTAGTACCATCTCAGAGGCTCGTATTGATCCATACTTCCTAATTCGAAGATTCCGGCGTCCTTCAGCCATTGCAGAGCTTCTTCCTTCTTCTTTTCACGATCGACTTCGTCAATTTCGTGCTCCTGCTGCTGCTGCTCAGAGATCGAATTCCTTTCCAAGCTTTTCTCCACAATTTCAGCCTCACAAACATTAGCAAAACTTCGATCATTCTTTCTACGCACGTTTCTCGTTATTTTCTTCATCAATAGCCCTATTTTCTCCTTCGCCGCCATAGAAGCAGCCCTCCGAGATTCCCTCCTTCGAAAAGCAACATCCATGGCAGCCACAGCAACCTCTTTTACACTGAGAGCTGCATCCTTGGCCGCCTTCTTCTTTCTCTCCATCAGCACTCGAATCTTCTGCCTCGCTACCATAGAAGCCGCCCTCCTCGATTGTAGCCTCCGGATACCGCCATTCACGGCGGCGCTTATTTCCTCCGGCTTCTCGCCTTCAGCACCATTGGCGCCATTTCTATTCGCCTTCCTCCCTCCCATAGCAGAGATATAAACAGTGTCTTCTTCTCCGATCTTTCAGGTTCTTTGGAACTTCAAAGTTCGACGGCGGAAATGGGAAACTGATGTCTGGCAAACGACTGGAATAAATACACCATGTTGGTTACCAAGTATATGAAATATGAATGTAATTTGATTACTTATTATTATTATATTTTGAAAATAATAAAATAAAAAAAAAATTTAATTTTTGTTGAACAGTCAACTTCACTAATTGGCGGGACTTTGCATTTTCGTTATCTCCTTAAACAGGGGTGCTCTATAAATACTGAAAATTCAAGAGCTAGAGATATAAGGTAAATGGAATTTAATTTTTGTTTTCCTTACGAAGATGGGTTTCAATGAATCAGGTCTTCGCGATAATCGACAATAATCGCGATCTGTTTTTGTGGATCTTCCTGTTTTTCTTTGTATCATCTTTTTAGGTTTCCAGAAAAAGCGGGAAAAACGGTTTGGAGGAAAAAGGAAAGCCTATGGAAGAGTCGGAAGCAATATTGAGGGTTCAGGATCTTATTGCAAAAGTTAGACCTCCTGATTCTATGAACTGTGACGGTTTTCCTCTTCGATTTTGGAAAACCCGCAGGTTTGTGGTTCGTTTATCAAATCATGCGAGGTTTTAGTTTCAATTGTTAATTTGTTTATTTTTGTAAATTTCCTCTTAATCGTCTCAAGATCTATGTCGATATCTCGATTTTTGTTTGCAGTGGTTACCAATGGTGAAATTGTGCAGTTTTTGGGGACTGGAGAATTAGGACAGTTGTTTATCATCCGCTGAAACTCAAAATATCATATTCGAATCATAATTGCCATCGTCTGTGTTTAATTTATGATGTGCAGCTAATATGATGTTCTCTTATTTAATTCGTTGAAAAATAGATGTGATTGTTGATTTATATTCTTGTCATATTGGTTTGATATTCGATATTCAAGATCTGCTTGCATTTCAGATCCACAATAAGTTCAATGCAGTATCTATGGATCTATTTAATGCCTATTCACATGGTTAAAAGGTGATCTAAAGCTCCACCTGTAAAAATGAGACATAAGAATTATTTTGATCCTAAATTACAGAAGCTTAAAAAGACTATGGTGCATTTTTTTATAGTAAAACACTGAAAGCACACAATGCCACATGAATCTATAACTTGAGTATGTCCTTTTGCATGCAAAGTAATCAATCCGGTGCAACTGATTTTGTTCATGAATTCTAATACAACGTTTTATTCAATTATTAGTGCCATGTCCATTAGTGGACTTTGCAAGCACCTACCAATTTACCATGGATCCACTGGCAGTGAGTGAAAGCAGGGAGGTGGGTAGGTTAAATGCAGTCAAGACTGGCAGTGTTTCTGAAAGAATCAAGGCTTTTAATGGTCTTGCCAAAGGTAGACAGATGACTATTATGTCTCTTAAAGTTTCCAAAATGTGTTACGTTTCATGATAGTGTTAAACACCAAATATCTGGCGTTAGCATAAGCAATTCAACTTGGCTTCTTCTATTGTCTTTTCACAATGAACAGTTTCTGATGACTTTGTCCTAACTTTGTTAAATAAACCAAACTCCTATACCTGTCAAAGATATTACTATTGGTTGTCGTGGTCAGCTCCCTGGGGAGGCTGAAATGGTATGATGTATTTTGCTGAATTGGTGTAATCTATCTGAAATCTAGTTTTTACATAGTTGTTATTTCATGTCAACAAACTACTAAATAAGATAAACCTTGAGCTATTTTCTGACTGTTTGCACCATTTCATAATGGAGAGAGAAATTTGTCAGAGATCACTCGATCAAAGTGTGAGAGTCATGAGGATTCACTTCCTTCTAAGATTTCAGAGTTGATGAAATTGGGTGATTTGGAGGTATACTCAGAATCACTAATATCTGACATTCCCTTTGACATTTTCTAACATATTATGTTTTCTGTTCCGTTCAGAATGCCTCCTCACATGCCCTTTTCGGGGTTGTGAATCGGATTCTGGATGAATCCATCGAGAAAACCAATGAGGACATCCCTCAGGTATGCATCTAATTTTCTAAATATTACATGATATGATACATCAGCATGCATTTTTATCTCAGTTCACTGATATTAAACTTCCTTGTGATTCTTTATGGTGACCTTTTTCATTTTACTTAGCAAGTTGCATCTGTACTAAAGCTACTCGTGCAAGAACTTGAGCAGCGGGTTTCACAACAGGCAGATAATATGGTGAAGGTAAAGGCCTGTTTATAACAGTTGAATGCCGTTGTCTTTCTGCATGCTGTAGTTCTTCTGACTTGTTTCGTGTTATTAATCCAGCATAAAAACATGTTCAAGTCTCGTGAAGATCGGTTCCATTCAAAACTTAAAGCATTAGAAACTGTGGCAACTGAAACTAATGAAGCATATGAGGTATGATGCTGGTTGTTGCAAGTGCAGACCATTTGAATGGTTTTGCGATTGTTTTTTTCTCCATCACTTATCATTTTAATTTGTGCAGATTGTCAATAAGCAGCTTCAACAAATCAAGGTGAATGTCATGAAAAGAATCATCAGTATCAAACTGCTATCGCAATGCTATATATTTAGTTAAGCTATTCTTTCTATATCCAAATTATGTCTGTTCTGAGTTCAACTTTCTATTTTACAGATTGAAAAGTGTGAGGTTGAGGAGGAGAAGCAGCTTGAGAAGCAGAATGCAACTAAACTGAGGAAAGAAAATGAAAGCCTTGAGAATATGATTTCATCACTAAATGAAGAACTCAGGTTAGCCAGAAAGTCCTACAAAGAGAAACTCCGGGAATTGGAAACCAAAGATGAAGAAACTAAAGATATGCTACAGAAAAAAATATCGGAACTCGGGTGCCTTCTCGCCAATTCAAGGAAGAAAATAAATGAGCTTGAGGAATTTTCAGAATCAAAACCTTTGAGATGGACAAGAGGGATGGATTTCATAGATTCACAACTTAGATCTGTACAGGTTTGCAGACAAATTCAATTATTGACTTCAAATGTTGTTTCTCTCTTTTTATGTTTTATGTTCTTCAATCTCTGAAATTATTCAGGAACTGAGGCTGGCATCTGAGTTTATAAAGCAAGAGATATTGAGAATCAAGAATATCTATGCAGAAGAATTCAATCATCTTGGTTGGAACCTATCAAAATCTCATCTCACCTCATGAAATCATAATTTTCTGTCATTGTAACCATTTTCTTATTGTCATTTCCAAGGCTTAAATCTCAAACACTTGATGGATGCTGCCCAAAACTATCACAATGTGCTCGAAGAAAATCAAAAATTGCAAAAAGAGAATCAAGATTTGAAAGGCAAGTAACTTGTGACATAACATTCATGTTTAGCTTATTAGTTTAGTTTGCTCATTTATCCTTCATTATATTTGGTAGGAAACATTGAAGTTTATTGCCGAGTAAGGCCACTCCTGCCAGGACAAAGTGGAAGACAAACTACCATACAATATATCGGCGAAAATGGAGAGTTGGCAGTTGCAAACCCATTAAAACCAGAAAAAGACAATCTTTGTCTTTTCAAGCTTGACAAAGTATTTAGTCCTGCAGCCACACAAGGTTCTAACTCTCTCAAAATTTATAATGGCTTTAGATTTTAGTCTATCTTCAAGTTTTGCTGTTGTCCCGTACACATATGCATCTTCAGATCTTTACTTGATTCTCTTGAAATCTTCTTTATCTGCAGAGGAGGTATTTCGAGACGTTCGGCCATTAATCAGGTCCGTCCTTGATGGATATAATGTAGGCATATTTGCTTGTGGTCAAACTGGTTCCGGGAAAACTCACACAATGGTTAGATCATAGTTTTATAGTAAGTTAAAAGGCTTCTTTCCTTTTCATTCATTTTTCTCACAGTTATATATATATGCAGACAGGACCCAATGCAACATCTATTGTGGATTGGGGTTTGAACTATAGAGCTCTGAATGATCTCTTCAATATCTCGCAGAAAAGATGCAGCTCCACTGCATATGACATTGGAGTCCAAATGATTGAAATATATAACGAGCAAGTGCATGATTTGCTCTGCCATGACACTTCCCAGAAGAGATATCCTTTTTCAGATTTCCAAATTGGTTTTTCTAACCTCATCTTTATCAAGATACACATATTGTTTCCTTTGACTTCCGCACACTTGGAATATGGAATACCTGCCTACCAAATGGCTTGGATGTGCCTGACTCTACCTTATATCCTGTTAACTCAATCACCGATATCTTAGAGCTGATGAATATTGGCTTACTGACTCGATCCGTAGGTACAACTGCTCTGAATGAAAGAAGTAGCCAATCTCACAGGTTGTCACTGTAGTTTCCTGCATTATCGAAGTTTTGAGAGATCCTGACAATGATTTAACCTTTGTGTAAGACAGCATACTAACTGTCCATGTCCGTGGAACGGATTTGAAGACCAATGCAATCTCCCATGGTTGTCTGCATTTGGTCGATCTGGCTAGCAGCGAAAGGATTTGTCACACCGAAGCAACCGATTATAGGTTGCATGATAGATACACAAGCAAGTCTGTATCTACTTTGGGTGATGTAATCTCCGCGCTGGCTTGCAAAAGGCCTCACGTGCCATATGGAAATAGCAAGTTAACTCAAGTTCTTCAAAGCTCTTTAGGTAACTGAATGCTTCAGCCTTACATCATCTTTCTTTGTTTCTCTGAAGTTTGAGATCTCAGTCTCATTGTCTGGGTTCCTCCTGCAGGTGGCCAGGCAAAGATTCTTATGTTTGTACATCTCGATCCTCAGATAGATTCGTACTCGGAGACCATAAAGTCCCTAAAGTTTTCCGAGAGAATATCCAGAAATGAGTCGGGTGCAGCTCAGGGTTATGAAGTTCAGAGCGTCCGAGAACTTGCCGAACAGGTTGTGCAATCTACATATTTTCTTATAACATACTGAAGTTGTTAATATGCATTATCGGAAATTGAAAAGAGAGATAGAGAGAGCTAAATTTAAATTAACCTGAACAGGTAGCTTCTTTGAGGGATGCCCTTGCAAAGAAAGATGAAGAAATAAGGCGTTTGCAGTTGCCGAAAACTACTATAAACAGTGAAAGAAATGGTGTGAGCTCACCAAAATACGGATACAGGCATTTTACTGGAGTGACAAATCAAAGCATGTATGAGAAAACAGATTCTGGTACAGATAAAAAATCCGACTACAGCTACAAGCATTCTGACAAGGAATCTCACCAATCATCAGATGATTTTAAGCCTCATAGGGAATTCTTTCTACAATCAAGACTTGCTGTTGTAGATGGTCCTGAAAACTTTCCGGAGTTAAAATTTGATTGGATAGATGGTAGTAATAATCCAGATGACGACATAGAGCTTTGGGGGCTTGGAGATCCTGATACTGAGGAAAGGCTTAGTGATATATCTGATGGAGTTCTTACTATGGGAACAGAAACTGACAGTATCATAGAGTACATCCTTTTCCCTGAAACAACGAAGCCAGATCCTGCTAAAGACACGACCGAAATGTGTGATTTTGCTTGTTTTTATATTCTCTTTGCTGCTTTAATCACTAGTAATAACAATAAGAGCTACCTGTTATAGGATTGGGCTTAGCAATCTTCTGTGTTAATTGCAGAACTACAAATGTGGAAAGTAAACTTCCAGAATTGCCAAAGCAGGGCAAATTGAGATCACCATTTTCATTGCTGAGTAAGAGCTCCAAAATTTCAGGTATGGAACATCTTCCTGCAATTCTCCGTACAGTCACATTCATGTTGTATTTTGAGATTGTTTTGTGTTTGTTTCATCTACACTTCTCAGGCTCTAAAAAGGCCAGAGTTAACAGTTCTGCACTTAAAGCCCCCAAAAGACGGCAATGATTTTCAAGAAAAGGTGAGAGTCAGAATAATCCCTCAACCTTATTTAAATATCACTTATACTCTGTACTCGGAGATACTTTCCTCATCTAGTGGGTGATTATGTCAATGTTGATAAATGAAGTCAACCAGCAATTTTTTCAATTATTATATATTTTTTTTCCATTTCACAGTGCAAATTTGGAAATACTTCAAAAAAGGGGTTGAACACAAATAGGTTTAATCTCAGCTTTCCATTCACTCTTCCACGAGTAGATAACAAAACAACTCTAAGAATGAATTAAGGTACTTATGACTTTCTCTGTACTCCAAAGGACAAATAAAATACCTGTAAACTTCCACAGGCATTGAGGAGATGGCGCGAGCATTAAACACGAACCCCTTCATAATCTGTCAAAACTCAATCTATCTGAACCTCATTCCTCTGCTTAAGATGTTGGGTCTCGGGCACTCAACCGTGGAACCTCTAAGGAGAACAGCTGCTTGAAAGATTCATAAGATGCGAAAAAAAGTGCACCTTGAATCATGTACATGACTAGCCTTGGAGTCAAGCCCCTGGTAGCAAAAACAAACAATTGAATCCAAGACGAAATCATATTACACTAGCATGCCGAGTGGGGGAGAGGGCAACAACAAAGACAAATTTCCAATCTTGCCAAGAAATTACTATAGCTGTAACAGATTTTGATTATTTTCCAATAGTAACTGCTAAGTAGATATTGTAATCAAGAAGGGTAAAATATTTGCTCACCTGTAGAGACCTTTCAAGCCTTCATGCTTTCCTATTCCTGACAGAGTAGCCAGCACACCATGACACTTGCTCGTAGATCCAGGAACCTGTAATGACATGCTTTAACAATCTTTCCGACAGATTTTTATGAAATGCCGTAAGTATGAATGAGAATAATTAGCCAAACCTGAGTTTGTAATCTTGTCTTGACAACATCAAATGGGGTCGTAAACAATGAGGCCGTAGATCCAGCTAATCCTCCGCAAACTAGCTGCAAATAGAGAAAGAAGTTACAGGGGAATTATATGAAGAACATGACGTGTGAAACTACGAAAAAGATCGAATATTGAATACACACTGTCTCAACAACATTAGCTTGAGTATTCGACTGGAATGATGGCATCATTATTTGCTTCAGGCTTTCATATGTGTAGAACTGCATATGAAATAAATGGCATAAAATGATAATAGTTGATGTTAGATAATAATAATATGGAACACATGATATATGAGAGAGGAGGCACTCCAGAAATATGAACATAAATCACTATGAACAACAAGTCAATCCTAAAGCTCAAAGAAACACACCAGTAAATGAGTAATTAAGCAACAGAGTTAAGAGATTTCCCGCGCATAATTTTACCTTTATCACAGAATGAGGAATATTTCTGCAGAGCACAGCTCCCCATCCAGCATACAACGAACGCACGCCACCATTTTGGACAACATGTATGAATGCATTCCTACACAGATGCAATTTGAAATGCAGAACATATGCAAAAACAATTGAACAATTTGTTTGAATTCCCAAAAAGATTAAAAAAATAATAATAAATAAATAAAAAGATATTTAATAGTGAGATTACTTTGAGTTAAATAATTAATCAAACTTCACTTAGGTGAGGAAATAGGAGACGCTTAAATAACAGAATAAAACTAACACAACTTGATAAACAACTTCCATGTATAGAAGAATGTAAGACAGTCGTAGTATACAAAGAAATATCGACATCATAAAGGCATACCAGCAATTCCTGTAGTGAGACCCAACTTGCATTTGCTGTTTTATCCGCTCACTCGGAGTAAAAATGAATGATGTAGCAATACTTGCACAACCCCCTGATGTGCAGTGGACCACAGAGGAATATTCCTGAAAGTTCAAATTAGTATGTTGCTTGTCATGAAATATACTGAGTAATTCACAAAAACAACACTAGTTCCTGAAATCTAGTTTTGGCACTTGATTGTCATCAGCAGAAAAGTATTACATTACCTTGGGAAGGAGGGGAAGTAAGTGTCCCTTGACTGATTCATATGTATATGTGTACACGGCTGATATCGGAGCTGAGCTTAAAATATTGCTGGAAATGCCACGATAAAGCCCCGACATCCCTAAAAAGCTTCAGATTAGGTTAATAGTACTCTACAAAACCAAATTGAAAGGAAATAACTACTGCTCTAGTTAATTCAGGAAAATAAACATAATTCCTCAAGATTGTGAATACTTGCTAACAGACTACCTCTCTCAGCAATAATAGAACAGCCTATGATGTGAAGGGGTTTTTGATCCGCTCGGCATGATTGAAGAACTGTCTTAATTGTGTCAATGGGATGAAGACACAGGCTAACTACTATCCCAGCCATTGCTCCCGCAAAGGCATGCTCTTGCTTCGCAACTTTATAGTTAGGTTTTTCCTTTGCTGACAAGCTCATTTTCACCCCAGAGTCAGTGCTTCCAAATATTATTTCTTGATTTTCCTGGTCCTCGTACAAGCCATTTTCACAATCTTCATCAAGTGATGCTAACTTGGAGCCCACAAAGGCTGCATCACTGCTTGAAGTAACTATATTACAATCAGCCCTTTCAGAATTTTGGTCAAGCAATATATCCTTCCGTGAGCATGTAGTAGTTAATGTCTTCACGTCTATGCTGGAGACCGGGCGAAATGATAAATCTAAAGGCTTTGCAGTTTCGGACTCAGAACCAGAAATTTTCATACTCAAGACATTGACAGTACTATCAGAAGGCATACAGATACCAGCTGAAGATTCTGAAATCATTGAACAATTATCAGTACAACAATCACTTGTACTTCTGTGCCCAGTTGAGTTCACCTGGCTCATCCAGCTGTAAGTGCTTCCCCAATTAGGTAGCCTTTGAGTATGCAAAAGACACCTGGCAGTGAAGAAGTCATCCACAATTCCGGATCTTCCAAGGACCCTCCCCCAGGGTAAAAAATGTTTACCACTAGGTAAAGGGTATGGTATGTTTTTGTTCACTTTTGAATGCTCCAGACTTCCACGCAGCTGCCGCAGCACAAAATTTGCTTTGCTATTCAGATCATGAGAGCTCGATTGGTCATCAGCTGAAGTAGTTGCTGCAAGAGATCCTTTATCAGTTGAATAGCAAACCATATCACAACCTCGGACAACTTCAGTTTTGCATGTTGAATTATTTTCAGACAGAGGTGCAGTATGAGGCCATCTGGCTCGATCCCATGCATAAACAGCTGCAGATATTAGGTCGGCGGTGGTTAACATCTGAGAAGATTTTGTTTCGGACTTTTGATGGCAACTCTTGTCATTTTCCGATTCAGTGAAATTTGAGTGATCAAAACTGGCAGTCACAGGACTGGAGGGCGCCTGAACCAATCTAATTTTCCTATGTTTGACCGAAGCAATATCTTTTCTCGGGGATACATGATCCCCAGCCATTTTATGCTTCCTAGCCAAAAGCACGTGACAAGCAATCAACTGCAGCTGTGTGATAAATAATTAAGTTGATCCGATCGAAAAAAAAAAAAACAATTAAGTTGAATTGGTATATACTTGACTGTAATCACAATATCCAACAAATTAAGAAAAGAGGAGCTTAAAGATGGATATTCTTAAAACCAAACAAGACAAGTACTGACTGCAATGAAAACTTCTAACATAGCAGAATGGTCATGTGAAAGTTATGAATCCATAATAGAAAATTTAGGTTAATGAGTAAACGCAATATCCTCGAAGAACATTGCAACTTGAACACAAGTGATTTGTGGCTTTGGCTTCGCTTCCAATAGCTAACAACAGCACAAATACCAATACAATTCTGAGTTGAATAAACAAGGAATTCTCAACTGGTATCACCACGACATGACTTCATTTCAGTTAAAAGTGTACCTCAGTTCCCTCGATTTTCACCACCAGGAAGGAGGAAGGGTTTAGCCGACGGGGACGGCACGGTTCGTCAATTTCAATCTTCTTCACCCCAACGTGCGTGGGCTGCGTGGCGACCGGTACCCTATCACTTAAATATGAAACTTTCCATGTGTTTGGATTAATTTGAATTTTGATATTATAGTAGTTGATTAATTATGTAAGTGCATTAGTATTTTTTTTAATATATTAAATAAATTTATCTTTAAATAATATTCATAATAAAAGTATAATTAAATATAATTTCAATAAAATACAAACAAAATTGTTAACAATATTCGGAAAACAAGTAAAACACATTTTTTCTTTTTCTTTGCTTATACGTATAAGAACTTATTATTATGCTAATTTTAAATCTAAGTATTTATTTAATTTCAATTCAATATATTATTTTTATCTTATAAAAACATATATTTCATTTGTATTGTATATTTATATTAACTAATCAAATATTTACTTTTAAATTTAGTATCATTGATTTCAATCAAATAAATATATTTATAACACATAAAGGCATCTTTTGCAGATACTCATTGAGGTGTTGATTTGTACTGTAAACACAGTAACAATCCCAATACGTAGGGTTCGACTTAAATTACCTTCACAATTCTCACAACCATAACGAATGAGTAAACTGGCTGAGAGAGGAAGACACAAGAAATACATACATATATATATATATACAAAACTAGTTCTTCTCCACTATTCCTTTTTTTGTATCAAACTATAGCTCTAAACAATACCATCATGTTCACTTCAATTTTTTCTACTAATGAACTGTAAATGCAGTCAATTCTCAATAGAGCTGACCTGAAATGAAATATATACACAACATCGATTGATGCTTCCATCTTTGATCCAAGGAAGGATGTTGATTTTTCAATTGTGTTCCGAATTCATGGAGGATTCGAGGCTTACGTGCTGAGTTCGAATGAGTGATGTTGTGGCTAAACTCGACCGATTGGAGAGAACACGGGATTGACCACAAAAGACGGGACGACTCCTTCCATGATCTTGTTAGGTGCATGAGAGTGTTCCTCTACAATGACATCTGCAAAATTTTCAGTTCCCTTGTCGGGATATACCTTGCTCTGCAACAATTTGTTGTCACGCCCCACTGCAGCGTGCAGAAGTGCAATGCAGATGGAGAATGCTTGCAGTGAGGATAACCGAGCATGAAAATCAACGGCATAGTTTCCTTCTTCCATTACCCTCATGCTAAATGCCACTTCATCTTTCCTTCCCTGAACACAGTTCAGACATCAACAATTTAGAATAGTCGAAGAACAGAGAGGTGCTATCATAAACTATAATTCATAATGAAGGGCAGACAGCACACATGTTATTACAAGCATAACATTATTTATATTAACATAATACAAATATAGCACATGAACTAACAACGTATAATATAATCTCGTACTACAATGCAATAGTTGATTTCAGTATATGACATATTATTATAAAATATACGTTTTAAGTACGAACAGACAACACATATTTTTATTTCACAAAAGCACTATTTTACTCGGCCTGTGTTGTGAATATGTTTGAAATAAAGGCATGTGCTATTTGCATAATCAAGATATGTTCCAAAAAATTGAGACAATTATTTCTTGGCATGGAATGGAAGAAACAAGTCCGTATTCAATGCACACTGATACATAAAATTACCTCATGAAACAGTTCTGCCGGATGCTGATTGCCTACGACGGATTGACCCTCCACGACACGAACATTTGCATTGCTAAAAACAGTGAGTGGGCATCCGAGATCCCATCCACTGCATTCACATTTTCCACCTGATCTCCATCTATCGAGTAATGGAGAAGGCCCAAGGCTTTCGGGAGTAGGCAAACCATGGCGTCCAGCTGGAATCACAACATGGATCTTCCCGGGACTTTTAACTGCAGAATTGGTCTCATCTGCATTGTCAAGCTGATAAAAATCTACCAGTCTACGTTGCAGAGTATCAGATTTCATGTCTCCGCTCTTGAACTTCAAACTCTCCCTCTTCTCGAATGGGACTTGAATAAGTATTGCTGCAATTTCTATCCCTGCAGGCAATTTTGCTGTTGTCGGGAGCTGTGAAGCAGATGACACCAATTGGCCGCTGTCAGAAGAATGTTGAACCTGGGCTTTATTCTTTGGCTTCATCGACAATTTATTCTGCTCGGAGCTCCATGAAAATGGCTTATGGGAAGCTAGAGGAGATTTATTGTCATCAAAGGAACAACTCAAACTCAAGTTGTCATACAGAAAGAACTCTGTCACCATAGAATCACTAGAAGCTCCATCGACTTTCAATTCTGTAGATAGATAGCACGATACGAGCATCTGTCCAACAATAGGGAGATCTCTATTGCTGTCCTTTAATCTCCATCCAACAGGATTACTACTTCTTTTGTGATTAACTGAGTGGATTGTATATGTCCAGTTGAGGGTGTTATCAACCTTCGACGTACTAGCAGTATAAATTTCTTCCGGAAACTTCACTGAGAACTTGAAAAATGGAACTCCCCGTTTGATCTTCAACTTGAGAAAGCCATGAAGATATGCTGGAGAGCTCAGAGGACCAGATACATTATTCTCTTTCTTTTCGAACCCCACATGGTGTTGCTTGTCTAATGATACATTTAGTGCCCCTTCATGAAGGGTTCCATTTCCACTGCAGTGACCAAGATTCGCACTTATTGCATCGGAGCAAGTCTCACTGACACGACTCAATGGACTCTTTTGTGTTTTGGACCCAACAAACGGATCAAGAATCTTCCGGCCAGAACTAAACTGGAAGTTTGGACTGTTGGATTTGGAGCCACCAGTTTTAGGCTTAACAGGTGATTGAGGTAAACCAAACTTCACCACCAATGGCTTATGCAGATTGGCAGCAACAGATTCAGATGTCATTGTATGTTCGTTGCAGGAAGAACTTGTACTCTGATCTGAGCAAGATAATACTGAGAGCCTGTCTTGATCTGTAATCAGCGCATCGTCATCTGAATTACATAAAGAATCAATAATTCCAAATGATGACATTCGCTCGATCCCCCCGGAAAATTCAATCTTTTTCCTCTCAGGGGCTGCATCAGATATCCTCAGCTGCATAACCTCGTCGGAACTTTGATGTGCTGAACCCCACTTCAGCATTTCAACATCTTCCTGGTTGGATTTTTTGCAACTATCAAATCTGATTTCAGTGAAGTGCCCATTGTCAGACAATATAAGATCTCCACTCTTGGGCTTTCCATTTGATTTTCTACTTTGAGCTTTGGAACTGCGACGGATAACTGGGAGCACCGTAGTAGGACTTCCATCTACAATGCAGTACTTATCAAAGTTTAATTCCATATCTACAATCCTTCCTGGAGAGAAAGAAAGAAACAAACAAATTTACACAACTAAATCCCACGAATCAAAAGACAGAGCACAAAGCACACAAATCCTAACATCGTAATGCTATATACTTGTAAGTTACTGAATAATCCCACCCTTTGTATGGATATGCATACAGATTTACAGACTTAGTGCATTAACTTTCAACTGCGATAATTGAACTTGTATAATCAGCATACCAGATCTTAATAACCAACATTGAGAAAGAACGAAATTAAAGTGGGCATATTCCATACACAAAAACAGGAAAGAATGGTTAAATTTCACAAATACACATATCTTCAGCGTAACCAAGAAGCAAAGAATACTAGAGAAATTGTAATCCAAGATATATACCACAAATCAACAAATGCTTGGACCCTACTAATAATTTTCAAGGCAATATATTAAACAAGACCCGCGAAAGATCCAATTTTTTAACTTCTTCCCTTGGAAATGAAAATTGGTAAAATATAAGCTATCTAATACTTACAAAAAGGGCTCAGTTAATGATTAAAAACAGCATCTTTTCCAATAAACGCTAGCATTCAAGAAAATAAAGAGCAATTTCCATGGGCAATGAGCACATCCCACTTCAGATCTCAGAGAAGTGAAGCAAAAGAAAAACCCAACAAATTCCAATTAAAAGCAATCATTTGCTTCTTTTCTTACTCGCAAATGCTTGTCTGGGAAGAAAGCTACTTCTCATTCAAATAATCTTCCATATAAAATGTAGAAGCAAGCAACCATTTGCCTAGAACAGTAGAAGAACTAGGAGGCTATCAGATATTCAGATTGTTCCCCCTATTTAAAATCGGTAATAATTCTGCAGTCTGTAGATGGTTAAACTAGACACAATCAGTAAAAATCGAAGGAGACCACCAGCACATCAACAGTAAAGTTGAATGATAGGGACAAAAAGAACATGCATGCCTTAATTTTAATTTCATTTTGCATTTTTTTTAAGCAGGTGGTGTGGAGAGGGGTGGGGGATGAACAAGACTTACCCAATTCAACATGAGCAGCGGAGGATGGGAATAGAAAGAGCAGATGCCAAGGCTCGATAAAGCCAGCTTCTTTAGCACGTCCAATGATGATGTTCTCCTCAGTGTCTGCGTGTTTTCGCCGCTGTGGCCATCTTGACGCTGCTTTTTAGAACATCGTTTCAGGACCCTTTGAAGATTGGCAGCATGCGAAAAGACAGAAATACCCCCACCGCCACACTTTCTGATTTTCTTGGGGGATACTACTCTTTGTTTTCAGAGTGTACCGCTGGTTTTTTAAAGTCCAATAATCGAGTAGTTAATCAGTGTAGTTTTTTCCTACATATAATATATATAGGTAGTGTTTGTTTGAAGGATTTTGGAGGATTTCTACTATTCATCCAATTTTTTCCCCCCAAAAACATCATATCAAACACCTATTTTTCATTTTTTATATTATACTAAAAATCAATTTTACATTCAAAACATCACATCAAACCCTATTTATATCACATCATACAACTATTCAAATTCAAAATTTTTACTATTCAAATCCCAATCCAAAATCCAAACCCCCAAACAAACACACCCATAATATATACTAAAATAAATTACAAGAAAGTAGAGCTATTTTCCTGCCTTATATGTGCCATAAACAAATAATTAATTCATATACTTAAGAAAGGGTTCTCTGACATTCATGAATCCTGAGGCACCTACCAATATATGTGAATGTGATTTATCTAATCATTACAAAACAATTAGAGTAAAACATCTGTTCACACTTGTAGTTGTCTTGCAGAAGTATGTTATGGGCTGAAATAATGATATAATATGTGGAACTCTATAATGTAATGTTACTTTTCATCTATTATATTAATATTATATTAATATATATATGTAATAATATCATATATTGTCAATTTCAATTTACAGGATCAAATTATAAAAAGGATTGGAAAGTAGCCTCCAATTTAAGGAGCACAATTGATAAACCTTACCATAAGATTCTTGTATTCAAATAAATCTAATTTGGTGGCATCAATTCCTCTCACACCATGATCTTATCTCAAAAACACAACCAAAAGCTAAGGAAAGTAGCCTCCAATTCGAACAACTCACTTCTAATGACCTTACCATCAAGTTTTTGCATCCAAATAAATCTAATTAGGTGGATTCAATTCCTCTCACACCATGATGCTATTTCAAATTAAAACACAACCAAAAACTAAGGAAAGAGGATACAATTAATGCCGAATTGGACAGCAATGCCCACAAAATATCTTCAAACCTAAATATGAAATTCTCTCTTGTGTGCTCTACAGATAGGAGAATTCAAGGTGTGACAAAGAAAAGCAAGAAACCATGGTAGCTGGAAATTTCTTTTATGTTTTACGGCACTAATGTATTGACCACCACAAACTTCTCAAAAAGTTCAACCAGAGTTTCAATGCATACAGATACACTCATAATGAATTGATGACAGAGACTTCTTTTAAAGTTTCAACTCAGTTCTTAATGCATTTTTGCAGAGCTGTAAGCATTTGCAATAAAAATAGTAAATCTAGTTGTCAGTCTATTATCAGTTAGTTGTGGTGAAGCTACTGTGTGGACCAAGAGCTAACGTGCCTTCACTTAATGACCAGTAAGCAGCTGCACGTCACAGCACAAGTGCAATAAATGAATTTTCTACAAACATTTATGTCATTTAATTCTTACTCACAAACAATAAAATCATGGGCAGGAGGGGAGCCTAAGTATTATAATGGGGAAAGCCAAAGCAACATAAATGTACATGTGAGGGAGAAGCTGCACACAGTGTATATGTATATATATATATATAAAAGATGTCAATCCCAAGATCCAACTCTTGTCCTTTCCCATCTTGTGGTTAAATTAAAATATAAGCTAAAAAGAAACAAACAAACAGAACAAATCCCATCTGGCCATTGCACCTCTGTTTCACAATCCCTCATTTTTTAGCCACTGGACAATATTGATCCATCATTATATATGTAACACTGATTTTCTGATCCTGCTCAAAGTGTAGTATATTCAGCATTAAAACTAGTTTGATGCTAACCTAATGAGTTTACTGTACCAATTTGCCTAGAGCTCTCAACATCCCCATATTTTAAAATATGGAAAACCATCACATCTCTATATCTTGCCCAATAAGCCTAAATACACAGAAACAGAGATAACAAAAGGATAATATCATCACAGCAAATGCTAAATAGCCTTACCGGTTGCAGATTTTTCTTCGACCACACTTTTGTTAAACGATTTGCTATCTAATACTGGCATATAAACTTCTGTCGTGTTCTTCAGATCACCGATTGTCCCCTCTAGGATGCATGCGAAATGAAATCACCAAATTCTTACCGACATCTTCAACTTGACGCAGTGCGGTACCAATCGTCTTGCCAAAACTCGTCGGTCATTTTATGGTCAGTTCACAGCAGCATCTCACCAGAAAGTACGACAAGCTAAGCATCACCTAGATTCGAGATAATTCACACTCCGCTCCTCTGATTTCTTCACGGTAGCGTATCGTCGCCGTCGCTCGCAACTCGCAAGCACCGGCGCTATCACATCGAATGTGGTAATGGATCGTGCCTGCAGAAACGTCAAACTTGGCAGAACATCGCGCCAAAAAGATCCAAATGTCCGCCCCCGCCCAAAATACGTTAGTGCATTTTTTATCTATCTCTAATTACACGAAAGTAACATGTACTAATGGCAGCGGCGAAAATCAGGAAAGTGAGCTTTACTTGCCAAGATGGATTCTATTTAAACCAGTTTAAAATTTTACATTTTGCAACACATCCAATGTGACTATCCGAGCTCAAACCGGATCTTGGCATCCTGAACAGATAATGGATCGGCTTGTCGTATCAACCCATTTTAACAATCCTAGCTTTAGAGCCGGAGACTTTGGCAGCTATCAGAATGTGTCAAGGCCAATACACGAATGGACAAATGAAGATGTTAGAAAGGATTAATACATCAAATAAAGCACCCAAGAAACACAATCGAAGTCGAGGTGGAGCCTCTGTAACCTAGAAAAAGTAAACCAAGGGATGATGAAAATAGGGGGTTTTACAAACACAAAACAAACTACTGATCTCAACCTGCCGCAGCTCGAACCAAAGATGTATTTGGCGCCAAACCAAAACAGCATAAATATTAGGGCGATGCCAAAACTGTTTTTAAGAATCGATAATTTCATACTTTTCAAGTGTAATCCTATTGGCAGCGCATCCTCTCATTCCGGAATCATGTTCTCATTGTCTGCGTCACCTTCTTGTTCAACTGTAGGCTTTGATGGAGCCTGGCTTCCCGGGGCTTGCTTCTTCTTGATTCCACTCACTATATCATCAATTCTCAATAGCATGCAAGCAGCTTCAATGGCTGTTTTGAAAGCTTGGGCCTTCACAGTGTACGAATCCCATATCTGAACATCCAGGAAAAAAGGTATGTAGTATTAATACAGCATATTTGCATAAGATAATAAACATGAAAAATCAAACGGGATAAAGTAAAGGTAAAACCAAATCATACGCACCTTCCGCTCCTTCATATCAGAGATTTCACCAGTATTCCCATCTATTCCGATCCATGCATTCTCGCCATTTGCATGCTGAAATGATAGGTATTCACATGAGAAACGGGCTGCCCAGTTTCACTTGATATGAAACACCAAAGTTATAACCCTAACGAAAAATGTTTACCTTTCCTTGTAAAGCAGTCATAATCCGAATCACATTAACCCCACAGTTTTGGGCCAAGGTTCTTGGTATAGCCTCAAACGCAATTGCAGCGGCTTCATAAGGCCACTATTGAAAACAAAGCATGAAGAAGCAAGTTATAACGACATCCTCTGGACAACAAAATGCAAGTTTCAATGTATCTACAGAGCGCATATTCACAAGAGCTAGCAGCTCACTGAATAACACTGAATTATACAGTGTAACTCAAAAGTGTTCTTTAGGTGAAGACAGGTAAACTAGCGCACAAAAGTGTAAGGTAACTGAAAATGAGACAAGCTGTTAATAATCACCTAATAACACTGATTATACATTAAGAGGCAAGCATCTACCTTCTCTATGCCTTCAATGGATGAACTCTTCTGCTTCAACATAGCTGATACCGTAAGCTCAGTAGCACCCCCACCGGGAACGAGTTTGGGATTTTTTATTATGTTTCTCGCTACAGACATTGCATCCTGTGCCCACACAATTTAAAATTGAGAACCATTACAGTAGAACATATAAAGACACAAGTACTAAATAATAAATAACGGACCTGCAAATTTCTTTCCACTTCATTTAGCAGGTCCTTGCTTGCACCCCTCAAAAGTACAGTACATGCTTTGGGATCCTTACAGTCAACAATAAAAGAAAAGAACTCATCTCCAATTTTTCTAACTTCAAAAAGTCCAGCACCAGTACCAACATCTGATTCTTGCAACTCATCAGGTCTGTTAACAATTACAGCTCCACAAGCCTTGGCAATTCTGTTGTTGTCTGTCTTCCTTAACCTTCTGATTGCACTGACACCAGCCTTGCTAAGATAATGGCAAGCCAGATCACTGAGTCCCTTTTCAGTTATTACTAAATCTGGCTTGAACTTTAGAATCTGCATACATAGGTTTTCAATGTATTCCTCTTCCATTTTCAGCAAGACACTCCAATCTTCTTCTCTTAGCAACTCGGCATTGGTTTGGTTTTCACCTTTCTTATACTCCAGAGGACAATCGAGAAGAATGATTCTAGGATTCAGTATTTTTCTCTTCATTTTACCAGGAACAACCACATCCTTGTTGATCATGACTCCCTTTAGAACCTTTGATTCCTCCAATTGACCACCAGGAACCTTTTCTACTTTTATGTACTTCTTGATATCCACCTCACGTAATCCTTGGCCAATTTCTACTCCAACAGTGGTTGTGGCATCTATAGCCAAGTCCTAAAATTTTACCAAACAGTTAAATGAATGTAATTTAAATAACACTACCACAATAAAGACATGAGTACAAAGAGAATATCATGTCTCTTAAGTTTTATTATTATTCGCACAAATTACAACTGAAATATGAAAGCTACTTATTTATCATGGTTACTTAGCTTGCAAATATTGTTTATCTCTTGCATACTAGAAAATAAAAATTACCGAATGATCAAAACAAATATGACATTTCAGCTCATTATTCATTTTATATCTTCAATAGACTACTTATATATAGCAATAAACAGTATGAGTGACGGAAATACATACAGCAATTAGATCCCCAAATTGACTGGTAAATTTTGTTCCAATAACACTCTTGACGAGTCCTAACATTGCTGATCCTGCCAAATGAAAATAATGCAACAGCAAGAGCAAAAAAAATGTGAGTGATAAGAAAAAGTCAACATCACCTAGACAAAAATATATGAAATGATCCGGAAGAGCCAAAGAGGAAAGTGAAAAGTTAAATTGCAGTATATGTAACCAAACTCAAGAAAAACTGGTACAAGAACATGTGATCAATTATCATAGAATTGTTGGCTCTGGTAGTATGACTAACAGTAGTAATATATGAGACTAAGCCACTTGATTAATAATGTACAATGAAGTTAAACTTACGATCCTTCAGATCTACAGTCATTGCAATCTTATCAAGCACAGAGACTGCATCCTCTAGAGCTTTGCTGTAAGCTGTAGCCAGTACAAGGAAGCATGTTGCTTTCAATATAGACAATCTATACAAATATTATCGACAAAGTAACTTAGAATTATTATTACCCCGACAAATAACTGTAGGATGATAGTTCTTCTCGATGAATGCTTCCGCAACATGGAGCATTTCACCAGCTTCATTTTTATATCATTCAAAAGAACACAAATGATTAGTTCTAAATATTCCAGGGTAACAAAAAAAGAAGAAAAATACTTTATTAACCTCAAGCAAAACTCATATTACTAATTATAAATTTGGGTATACAATTACTAATGCATGACGACAGAATGCTCAATTTGAGCACTGTATACAAACAAGAGTATTACATGTACTTCCAAGCACAAGATCTATATGAATGTTTTGCATAAGTATAGAGCTAAAACAATAATACACACATAGACATGCTACACTTAACATATTACTTGTATTTAGTACTATAAAAATAAAATAATAACAAAAAGGTGAAATACAGTATACTTAGTTCAAAGCATACCAAGAACTATCACGGATGTTGTCCCGTCGCCTACCTCTTCGTCTTGTGTCCGGCTTAATTCTATCATTGACTGCCAACATAACCATACAAGAGCATGTCAAAAGTGAAATTGTGTAACAAACTTCAAAAAATTGTACAGTCAAATACAGAAATCTTAAAGGGATGTCAATACTGCTTTTTTGAAGGAAAAAGGAAAAAAGAAACATCAAAAACTGTGCCTTAGCAGCAGGGTGTGCAACATCTAGTTCCCGAAGAATAGCATTCCCATCATTCGTCACCACAATCCCTGTATTATTGAAAGTAAAAGGCAAAACAAAAAAATGAAAAACTTGAACACCGTACCAGGGAATCGCCATTAAGAATACAAACCAATATAGGACAACTCATTTCTGATTTCAGATTACCCAACTACAGAATGACAACATAAGCAGAAAGCATTTTCAAGAATATCCCCCCCCCCCCCCCGCTCCTTACAACATTACGAGCACCAAGGCTCATTTTCAAGATTATAAATGATTACCTCCAGCAGCATCAAGTAGCATCTTCAGCATTGATCTTGGACCCAGCGTAGTTCGTATGATGTCTGCAACAGCCTGTGAGGGGCAAAGATAAAAGGTTGAAGTTAGCCAATAATATAATGTGGAGATAGGAGGAGGACATTTCATAAAAAAGGTTAGCAGCTTTAAGTTCAGGAAAATAAATAAATCTAATAAGATTTCGCACACACCTCCGACAAACTTTATTTGCAATTTATCAGTAGCATCTTGCACTTCTAATAATATGAACATATCTAAATTCTTATATATGTTCGACATTCAGAAATATTTAATATTTCACATTTAGTTAAAGAAAGAAGAGGAATCCAAAATGTACACAAACTATATCATCTTCAAGGTTAGATGCAAAAAGAATACCACAACAACCAGAGCGTGATAATAATTACAACCTTAGATGCTTGGATATTGGCATGGTGCACCTTGGTTCCAGATTCCCGTTTCAATGAATCTTCTGCTCAGATGAATTTAAAATACATTAGCCTAAAACAGCATGTTTGAGAAGCAAAACGCACATATCCAGGAATCCCTCATCTCAAAAAAGCAGATTTTATTAGCAAGACTATTCCACATCTCAATATATATACATATATAAATATATAATGAAAAGAAGACAGGTCTATGGTGACTATCATACCAAAAAAGCTCAGAGTAGTTCGACCGCCATGGAATAGAAATCAGCTTCAATGACATACTAAACTATGTGTTCTTTGCATTATCATAAAGAATTCTTGCAAAATAATGCCAATGTCTACGCGAGGAACAGTGTATGATTGATGAGGAAACGTACAATGCTAAATTTAAAAGCACAACCAACCTATAGGAGGCAAACTTAAATGCCACATAAGAAAGTGAGTTTCGAACCTATTTATAAAACAAGCTAATCACGAAACCCAAATTTCAATGGGTGATTTGTACTTCAACACAGCCTAATAAATCTCACGCGGGCATCTCAAACATCTAACCAACACGTGACGCAAGAACCAGGAGTTATTTTCATATTGACAGTAAACGTCTTTATCGTGCACGTCTGACAAACAAACTTAAATCGCCCGCGCCTCAAGTTCTTATAACCATCGGTACAAACGAATATCGACAGCAGTAAATTATGTACATAAGATCAAAGAAATCCCAGCAAGAAAACGCAGAGGATGACTTACTGAGGACGAGGACGGGGGCGTGCATCTCCGCTTCCGATTTGAACCACCGAAATGAAGAAGAGGGATCGATGAGCAGAGCAGAATCGGGAGAAGTTCACTGGAAAACCCTGGAAATGGAACAAGGGTTTTGACGTACTGCGCCTTTTAAAATCGTTAAACGACTTACAGTCATTGCCATGAAGTATAAAGGTATTGAGCCCAGTATCAGTTTTGGGCCTAAATTGAGCCCAAATATTAATATGCGTATGTGTATGTGTATATATATAATTATATGAATCAACTAAAGTAAATGCACTTCTATTTTATTTTTATTTACATACAAATTTTTATATTAAAATATTATTATATTTTAACATCTGTATCAAATAAAAATGTATAAATTATTTTTAGGACGGAAAGAGTAGATTGCATTTTATTTTAGTATGATTTTTATTATTATTGTTTGGGTTTGAGTCTAATGTTGTTTATATATATTTAAAATTTGATATGATATATATATTGAAAATAGATTTCCTTTTCTATAGAGATACCATTTTCTTTCTTAAAAATTCTTTTTAAAAAGTGATACTCAATTGATTTAACCCTCAATTTTCATTCATCAACATTTCAGAATCTCATTATGATTTGGGATTAACCATGTTATTCATAACAAAAATATCAGAAAATCAAATGGTGTGTTTACTTTGTATTTTTTAATAAATATATTTTTTATCTTATGTATGAAAAATAGTATCGAAAAAAATAATAATAAATAAAATAGTTTGTGTTTAATGACTTTTCGGGGTGAATGTGTGAAAAATAAATGAAAATCATTTTACTCAAAAATAGATTGCATTAAAATAATAATAATAATAATAACAACATTTATTTATGAAAAGAAATGTGAGTTTTAAACTCAAACTAAGCACATATACTTTCTCATGTGATTTTTTTTTAATATTTTATTTATATTTAAAATAATATTAAAAAAAATGTTGAATTGAAAAGTTAGGAGTGAATTTGAAATTTGATACTAATAAATTTTAAAATTAAATTTAGATGATAATTTTAGTTGTTGTGGTACAAACAAATATTAGATATATTTATATAATATTTTAAAATTATTATATATATATATGAGTGTGATATAATAATTTTTTAAGTCAAAAATGACTATTCATGCAAATAATAATAATGATAATAATATCGTATACAATTATTAAGATGTGTTTGGTTGTGATTTAAAATTAAAATTAATGTTATTCACCGTATACTTTTTCAATGAATATATATTATTAAATTTTATAAAATAGCACATATAAAAAATAATAATCAAACAAAAGTTCAAATCAATACTCTATTTCAAATTAATTCTGTGCTATAACAAGAATGGCAAAAATTAAATGAAATTTACAAACCCAATAGATACTTCAATCAAATCGAGAAGTGTTTTTGTCTACCATTTTTAACGGTACACGTTAGCTGTTGGTGCTATAGAAATCTCATCCATGAAAAAATCAGAATTGTTCTGTGCTGCTTTTGTTGCAGGAAGCTTTGTTCTAATTTATGTTCTAAAGTAAATAATGCAGCTTCTTGCCATTCAATAGATTCTAATTTATACTTCCCTGGAGATTGCTTACTCAATTTTTTTTTTATTTATTTTTATAGATTTTTTTCATACAAAGTAAATATAATATTGAAACTGCAAAAGAAATAAATATAGAGTATTGTTATATAGTAAATATAGAAAAATAAAATAAATAAAAACCAACCCAATTGAATTGTCTAGATCAATAAAGTTCAATAACAAGAACTTTTCGTAAAGAAGTTTTGAATATATGCGGCAAGTACGTATTCGTGCACATGTAGTTAATTTTAGGGTGTGTTTGTCTGGGGTTAAAAATTTTGAATTTGAATAGTTGTATGAGGTGATATAAATAGATGTTGATGTGATATTTTGAATGTAAAATTGATTTTTACTATAATATAAAAAAATAAAAAATAGGTGTTTGATTTTAATTTTTTTAGGAGAAAAAATAGAATGAACAGTGAAAATCTAATCCAATCCGCCAAACAAACACACCCTAGCGATATTATTAAAAATATTATCCAACAAATAAATATATTAATCCCTCCGTCTCAATACCATGTCCATGTTGCCGTTTCTGTCAGTCCCACGTACCATGTTATTTTTCGTTTTTGGAAAATGATTACACATTTTAATCTCATTTTAAATTTTTTAATTTTAATTAAACTAATCAGTTATTTTAATCTTAATTTATAATTATTTATATTATAGAATAATTATTTTCACTAATACATTCTTAATTATCTACTAATTACATTCCTCCTAAAATACCGTGTCTACGGTATAGCAGACACAGTATCTGAGACGGATGGAGTATTTGGTAACATAAAGTAGACGCAAAACTAAATTACGTAGAAGGTTAGTTCACTCATTATTAGATTATCTCTCATGGCAGGCATGTTTAGTTTTTATTTTTATTTTTTTAGATAAAATAATAGTTTGGTTTAATATATTATAAAAAATAGTATATTTGTTTGATAAATGTGTATATATATTCTTTTAATTGAAATGATGGATGTAAGAATTATGAAATAAATTGAATATTAAAATGTTTGAGTGTGTATATTAAGTTTGTTCATCTGATTTTTAGTGATATCATTTTTTATCAATATTATATAAAATATAATATATATATATTAAAACAGTATATATAATATATACTTTATTTACTTAAAAAAAATAAAAATCAACGCTTCAATTTAATATAAAAATACATTCATTTTAAAAATGAACACACCTATTATATTTTTTAAATAATATTTATAAAAAAATCAATGCTATCAAAAAACAAATTGAACATGTCTTTTATTTTCTACTGTTAATATGCAAATAATGGAAAATAAAACAAAACAAAACCTTAAACCCCATGAATAATAAAGCCTAGTATTTATTTATTTTTATTATTTTTTATTACACACGAGATTCTTGATGTGCTAAAAATAGAATAATAATAATAATAAGAATAGTAATCAAAAGTTGCTTTCTCGTGTGTGATATTGTTATAACGCCTATATGTTTGTTAATACTATAAATAGTGTTACTTGTCAACGTAGTACAATATTTCCCCGTTCAATGTACGTTTATTTATTTGAATTGTTATATATATATATATATATTATAATTTTATTTTTTTTAAAAATACAAATTATTTTTATACTTTTCTAAATACAAAATATAATTATTTTTATTAGAATCTATACCTAATTACATAAGCATAAATTTCTTCAGGAAAGAGAATAGTATAATTTGTTAACTTTTGTGGTTACATACTCTAATTATAACGTTGGCAAAAACTGATCCGACACAACAATTTTACATGAATCCGATACGAAAAATTGGATTTGGGTCAAAAATTTCAATCCGATTATATATATCGGTTGACACGAACCCGGTACGATAATAAACGAGTCGGGTTAGGTTGAAGCTCTCAATTCGAATCCGACACGACAACCAGATTATAATATATTAATATTGATTAATATATTTATTATATATATAATAATTATAATTTAATAATTTTTTTATAAATTAATTTAAATCAAATTCAATTTTGAATAATCCAATCTAATTTACGCTAAAACCAATAAAAACACAGCACCACACAAATTTATTCAACTTAATCAAAAATTTTGACTTAATTATGTACACGGGTCAACTCGAATCCGACAAAATAATAAACGAGTCAACACGAACCCGATACAATAATAAATGAATCGGGCTAGAGTTGAATAATTTAATCCATTTAAAGTATTTAATCCGACACAAACCAACTCATTCCTGGTTCTATTTTATATATATATCATATGCATCTCATTGTATGAATTAACGATGGAGTTGAAGGGGGAGGGGTTGAAGAGAGTGAAGCCCTACGTGGCAGTAATTCTGTTGCAGTGTGGCAATTCTGGCTTTGCATTAATAGCCAAAGCTGCCCTCAACAAAGGAACTAATCATTTCACATTTGCTGTCTACCGTAATGCTTTTGCTGCAGCCCTTTTTATCCCTTTCTCCCTCCTGCTCGAGAGGTAATTAATTAATACTATAATTATATTCAAATTTTATTTGTGTATAAATATATTTTATTTAATTTTGATTTTTGGTACTGTAATTAATTGTCCAAGCAGGAAAGGTAGGCCAAGAATGACAACGGGAGTCTTTGCCAAGATCTTGATGCTAGCCGTACTGGAGTAATTAAATTAATAATTAATTATTTACTTAAGTACCAGATATTATTATTATTATTATTATAATAATTACTATTTGTTATTGGGCAGCCCGGTTTTGGGTCAGAACATGTTCTATGCGGGAATGAACCTGACCACGGTCACTTTTACAGCGGCACTGAGTAATCTTCTGCCGGCGATTACTTTTGTCATAGCCTGGATTCTCAGGGTTGAGAAGGTGGATTTCAAAAGAATCGGCAGCCATGCGAAGATCGCCGGCACGGCGGTGGCCGTCGCCGGCGCCATGGTCATGACTTTGGTAAGTGGGCCCACCGTCGGACTGCCGTGGACCCACAGCTCCCACGACGGTTCTGCTGCACTTCCACGTCATCGTTCCTCCAGCAACCCCACCGCCGGCGATCTCATGGTCGTCGCCGGCAACTTCGGTTATGCTCTATTTTTCATTCTCCAGGTAATTAATTAATTTATTAGTACATATATTTCCTGTATTTATATATGTATCTATAATTGGATGGAACTGTATCGCAGGCGCATACGTTGAAGTCATACCCTGCGGTGCTTTCTCTGACGGCGTTGATATGCACGACGGGGGCACTGTTAGGAACCGTACTGACCTTCGCTGTAGAGAGAGGGAACACTGCAATTTGGGCACTCGGATGGAACGCAACGCTTTTGGCTTACGTCTATGGAGTCAGTAATTAATTAGTTAATTAATTGATCATTAATAAGTAATTACTAAAATTAAGGAATTTATAATTTATTGCAGGGAGTCGTTGCTTCTGGGATTACTTATTTCATTGCAGGGGTGATAATGAAGGAAAAAGGCCCTGTCTTTCTAACATCTTTCAATCCTCTCAGCCTCGTCATTGTCGCCATTCTCAGTTCCTTTGTCTTCGCTGAGCAGATGACGGTCGGAAAGTGAGTATGATAAAAAATATAAAATATATTATTTTAAATTGAATTTTTAATTTTTAAACTTTTTAGTAGGTATATTAAGATTTTTTCTTTTTTTACTTTTGTTAAACTATTTATTATTATTTTTTGGACATATTGAAAAATGAGTATTGGAAGAACGGAGTGTTAGTTACAAATTTTTATTTCCTTAATTATATTCCTGATTTAATTAATTATTTGGAATTGCAGGATTACAGGGGCGATTGTAATTGTGGCTGGTGTCTACTTATTTATATGGGGCAAGAGCAAAGATGCCATTGTTGATGACCGTGACGCTGCTGAACCACTCCCGAAGGGTGAGGATGCAGAAGAGTCACAGACTGTCGCTGTAGCAAATGCCGTTTAACCGGATATGCATCATTTGTCTAATTTCTGCTCTGCATCTATGCAGTTGACAGTGTGTTGTTACTTTTGCATGAAGTCACCTCAGACTTTCTAGTTAGATAATCTTTAATACTTATAATTGTTGACAATGGAAATGTATCCATCAAAGAGGTTGAAACTTGCTATTATGCTATATCCTCGTTTCCAATTGCATTATTAGAGCAACTCCAACGTACTGCAATTTTTGTTGTGCCAAAATTGAAGGGAGCGCCTCCGGTCCATCTTCAAATTTCTCCAATTTTTGCAGCATTGTACAATATTACTCCATTATTCTATTTTTAAAGTAACACTGTACATATCACTCCATTTTTTGAGTGGAGTTTGTGTGATGTTTATATATTTTTGTTATTTTTTGGGTATATTATATAATTTTATTTTTTTAAAAAAATAATGTATAATTTTATTTTTTTTAAAATAATGTGTAATTTTATTTTTTAAAAAATGATATATAATTTTATCTTTCGAAAATTGATATATAATGTGTAATTATATATATAGGTTATATTGTAAAAATAAATTAAAATTGACGTGTAATTTATAAATATAAAAAGTTATACTCCATCCGTCCACCGCCTATCTATTCGTTTACTTTTACTTTTTGTACGTATATTTTATTATATTAGTATTATATTGATATATGGTACAATTGATATACATAAAAACTATTATATCCCTTAACATTTATGGTATTAAGGAACTTTATTTGATGATATTTGTGTAATATTATATAAAGGGTGGGGTAATTTTATATTAGGGTGGGGTAAATTTATATTTTAGTGGAAGATACATTTATTAAAATAAGGAAATGAATACATTTGCTATGACTAAAATGACAAAATAGATAGATTGACGGTGGCGGAGGAAGTATAAAATAATACTCCATCCGTCCTATATACCATGTCCACGTTGCCGTTTCTTTCCGTCCCATATTCCATGTCATTTTATTTTTGGAAAATGATTAAATTTTAATTAAACTAATTAGTTATTTTAATCTTAATTTATAATTATATATTTTATAGAATAATTATTTTCACTAATACATTCTTAATTATTTACTAATTACACCCCTCTTAAAATATGATGTCTACAGTGTAGAAGACCCGGGACGGAGGGAGTATAAAAGGACGGAGAGAGTATAAAAGAAGAATATACCGGGAATATTCTTTTAGAGTAAAAATTGAAGTTTATGATTAAAATAAAATTACTGTAAATCAATTCAATTTTTACTGTAACTACTGAAAAATAAAGTAATATGTCTGGAGATGTCTTATTATATATAGAATTTATATTTATCAATTATGGGGAGATGTAACGCAATGCAAAAATTTATTATACTTAAAAAAAGGCACTCCAAACAAGTACAGAATAGAAATAATGAATAATGGATAATAAGCAGCACAATATTTTTTTTTTTACAGAAATTGGAAATCACCGGTCCACAATTCACAGACATTATTCCGATATTACAGCACAGCGTAAATTTTGAAGAGGTCAACAGAATCAAATCCCCAAATTGCAGAAACCCTAGAAATCAAGCCCATTAATTCTGCTCTTCCTCTTCCTCCTCATCTTCATCATATTCCTGGTCATTTTCCGCATTGGCGTCTTGATACTGCTGATATTCGGAAACCAGATCGTTCATGTTGCTCTCCGCTTCTGTGAATTCCATCTCGTCCATTCCTTCGCCGGTGTACCAATGCAGGAAAGCTTTCCTCCGGAACATGACGGTGAACTGCTCTGAAACCCGACGGAACATCTCCTGGATGGAGGTTGAGTTCCCGACAAATGTGGAGGACATTGACAGTCCCGTCGGGGGGATGTCGCAGACGCTCGATTTCACGTTGTTTGGGATCCACTCGACGAAGTAGGACGAGTTTTTGTTCTGCACGTTGATCATTTGTTCGTCCACTTCCTTAGTGCTCATCTTGCCGCGGAACATGGCGGAGGCGGTCAGGTAGCGGCCGTGGCGGGGGTCGGCGGCGCACATCATGTTTTTGGCGTCCCACATTTGTTGCGTTAGCTCAGGGATTGTCAAGGCGCGGTACTGTTGGGAGCCGCGAGAGGTCAGTGGCGCGAATCCTACCATGAAGAAGTGAAGCCGCGGGAATGGGATGAGATTCACGGCGAGTTTGCGGAGATCAGAGTTCAGCTGGCCTGGGAAGCGGAGGCAACATGTAACTCCACTCATTGTTGTTGATATTAGATGATTCAGATCGCCAACTGCAACAACAACATGTTAAACAATCCAAATGAGGTTAGTCTTCGTATTCCTCATATTCCTGCTTTATGCAATTTTGTTGTGTGTGCATTTTGAAGTGCAATGCGTAATGTATGCTTTAAATTGCTTTAACGCCTCAAATTAACTGAATTTCTGCAAAAGTTTCATTATCATCTCTTATAGAAAGATATCTTAGGATGCTGCCTGATTTGATATGTGTAATTGGAGTTGAACTATATGTGCTAATTTGTTCATGAAAGTAGATGCATATTAGAATGGACTATATATGACTTACAGCTAGGGTTTGTGAGCTTGAGCGTCCGGAAACATATGTCGTAGAGGGCTTCATTGTCTAGGACCATACATTCGTCTGCGTTTTCCACTAATTGGTGGACTGAGAGGGTAGCGTTGTAAGGTTCAACAACAGTGTCCGAGACCTTAGGTGAGGGGAAAACAGAGAATGTCATCATCATCCTGTCGGGATACTCTTCTCTGATCTTGGAGATCAGCAGAGTTCCCATTCCTGATCCCGTGCCTCCGCCAAGTGAATGGCACACTTGGAATCCTGTCAATACAGAAAATTAGTTTCGTAGCAAAAGGTTGCGTAGACTGCTAGGTTTGAGTGTCAGTGTTACCTTGTAGGCAGTCACAGTTCTCTGCTTCCTTACGAACAACGTCGAGCACAGAGTCGATCAATTCAGCTCCTTCAGTGTAATGCCCCTTCGCCCAATTGTTTCCCGCACCATTTTGTCCAAACACAAAGTTATCAGGCCGAAATATTTTCCCATATGGTCCAGTCCGTAGGCTGTCCATAGTCCCCGGTTCCAGATCCATCAGCACTGCCCGTGGGACATATCTCCCTCCACTAGCCTCATTGTAGTAAACATTGACTCTCTCGAGCTGAACCCTCGAGGTGCCAACATAGTTCCCGAGGGCATCAATACCATGCTCGTCACAAACCACCTCCCAAAATTTGCCACCAATCTGGTTTCCACACTGCCCTGCTTGAATATGAAGAATTTCTCTCATTTTCTTTTATATCTAATTCCTCTTCTAGTTATCCTCGAAGAATAAAAGTTGCCCGGAATTTAGATCGAACCAAGTAGGCTTGATAGAGAGAATAGAATTGGATTGGAATGATATAATGGGTGCACAATTGGGGTTTTGTAGCAAAGGATATGAATCTGGAAGTGGAATTTATCTGATTGGGACTCTTGATATCTTTTTTATCATACAGTGGATAAGAATAATGACAGGTAGAATTAATAATGTTGTGTGGGCATGTTGTTCAGCTCAACAGGAGCTGTGAGCTGGATTGGGAGGGAGACTTGACAACCATTTCTTTTCATATATATATATATATATATATTAGTTACGATACACACATAATACATTCCAAGATTTACTCACCCATCCTTGGTTCTATTTCAATCTTCCTAATGATATTTCCAGATTCATGTTCCACCATTTCTGCAATATTTGTTTGGTGTTGAAAAAATTTGTTTTTATGTATATATGGTTCTCCTAGCTTCTTACACATGATGCATGCATAATTTGCAATTTGTGGGACTGTTTGTACATGGGCTCGAGTCGAGTTGAATATATTGAGCTCAAGTTCGAATTCGAATACACAGAAGTCAAAACTTGAGCTGGACTTAAGAATGCTTGAGTTGGATTCAACTCAATTTTACTAACACACCTTAATATGGTGATACATCAATGTCAATTATTGTGTGAAGCATAATCATTTTTCATTGGAGGAGTTAGTGAGTTGTTTGTTTAATTGTTTTTTGTTCAATAATTAGTGTTGCTTGATTGCAAAGAATTACATACACACACTCTATATGTCTATATCTCGTAATAATGGAATTATGCCAACTTGGGTAGAGTGGCATCTTAATTAAGGTGGAAGGGTGAGATAGGTAGGAAGCTTCAATTATTGAAGCCAAGACTGTCTCTTGGTCCATTCTTCATTCATGTCTTTCTCACAATAATCAAGTCACTATCCCTATTTTGGAAGATATATTACAATTCATTCATTTAATTATATTTTATTTCATTTGGAATCCAATGTCCTTTTCATCCCTCCTTGCATTCCCTTATTACAATCTCCTTAGTTTATTTTAGTATTTCTGATAGAATATACAGCATCAATATTATATTGACTTGGGTAACCAACGGTAAAAAAATTGATTGGGGTGGGGTGGTAAGTTATTTAAGAAGAAATAGAATATCAAATAATCTGTATTCCTATTCTTCTTTTATTTATTTATATTTATTTAAATAGTTGAACATATTTTAAGACAGCTTGCAGCAGCCACAGTATTGCTACCAAGATCAAGCTGCTTGTATAGTTGAGTCGAGTCCAATTATTGAGAGCTAAAATCAAGCTGTCAGTGTCTGACTTAATTATAGGTGTCTCCTCTACAGCAACAGATCACCAATCGAAGATCACATTAAATTCACTTCACATCAAAAAATAAATTAAAAAAATATATATTAATCTTTTGCTGTGAGGGGGCAAAAAAAAACTGAATATCAGTCACTTTATTTTAAGTTTTTTCATTCCATCCATCTTTTAGGTTATTACCATAAACTGGGATGGATTCATTAATGAACATACATACATTCATGAAATAAACTTGTAAAAAAAGGTGAGTAAGTGCCAAAACTAATGGTGAGGACAACATCATGGTAGGGTAGTGGAAGAATGGGAGCAGCAAGCAAGGAAGCACATGAAAATATATTACACCCACATGGACTGCTGCTCATATATAGCTGTATCTTGAAGTAGACAATACTGGCTGTTTATTTGTACTGTATCATATATATAGCATTTGTTTACATCAGCAATACTAAAGGTTCTATTCAGATATTTTTTTTCGGGAGTTTTTAGACCGTTTTGAAAATAGTAAAACAAATAAACTAGTGTTTGAATGATGTAACTATACGTTAGATGTGGTATTTTCTGTAGAAAGTAAGATTTTAATTTAATAAAAAATATTTTTAACACAACAAATTCTAAAATTTATCGCATTAATACAACATATATATAATAATAATGAAAAAAAATAAAAATAAAAATTAATTTCAAATAAATTGTACTGTAGGAGTATATTTATTTTATGATGTTAAATTATATTTAAAATATTAAATTATCTAGTATAATTAAAAATCTATATATCTTATAAATTTGATATTCCAATTCTATTTTTAGATTTTTTTATTAAAGATGAATATAATATATAAATTAATTATTTTTATGTTATTTTATAATTTAGGTTTTAAAATTGCTTTTTTATTTTATTTTGTTTTATTTTATTTTTGTCGGCTCCCTAGAGTGCTTATAAAAAATACTTTGTATGGGTCACTAATTTATGAGTAATTTTTAGCCCATTTACGTATTAAGCCACTCACTTATATGTAAGGCCATATGTGGATATGGTCCTAACCCATATTTACTGTTACGGGCCATATACTGGGCCTGGTTAAGATAGTTTGATTCGGATCACCTCAAGGAAGAGTACACGCGCGCATATACGAAGTTAGAGAATATATATAGATATATTTATAATCATATATATAATATTATAGGAGCTCATTGTGGGTCTCATCTTTCAAAAAACATGAATTTCTAGCTATTTTAAATTTTTTTTCTTTTTTTTTGATTGGTTTGAGTGTTTAATTGGTTGTTAGATATATGTATGATCAATATATTTTGCATTTGTTTTTTTTTTAAAAAGCAAAAATTTTTAACATTTTTGTACTTTTTTCTTTAATTTTTATTGGTCTTAATATTTGATTGGCTACTGCATAAATATGGATTAATACATAATATCTATAATTATTTATTTCTTAAATATTAAATAATATTTATAATTTGTGTATATCTTATATTATTTTATATAATTAAAAATATATAAAAAATATTTTTCATAAATTCAGAAATATTAATAAATTATAAATATGATATTTTAATTTTTTAAATTATTTTAAAATTTAAAGTTAATACAATAGGCATATAAAAGATGAATTTAATTATATATATAACATACTCAAAATATTAATACAATTAATTTAACATACAAAAATTGTATATTAATGTAATATATTTTTTTATTAAGTTAGATAATAATTTTTTATAATATATTAAATGAATAAAAATATAAATATTTTTGTCTCAAATATTACTACTTATAATTATTTTTTATTTTACCAATACATGTTTAAAATAATTAAATTATAATATACTTCATATACATAAATAAAAAAATAAATTTCTATAATTATATTATATATAAATTTAAATATATTTTATAATAAAATAAACAATGAAAACATATTTAGTCTATAAAAAATGTATAAATAACATTGAAGATAAAAATATTAAATAAGTGTTAAATAATAATTGTAAGGTGAAAAACGAATGAGTTTTAAGTTCAATATTGCAGTTAATGATTATAGTAGCAGTTAATAATGATAGTATAGTAACCAAAAAGTTTTTTCATATATTTCTTTTATTCTTTCTAACATCTCTATATAGTATATATATAAGATAAACACAACTAAGACATTTGTATGTGTTCCAACGAGGTTGGAGTTCAATTCATTTCTCTTACATTATGTACATTAATGTTGATGTACTTTCTTTATTTTTAATTTTTTTTTTCAATTCTTTTATCATGTCAACTAATGTTGATGTTTTTTTTTTCTTTTTCTTTCAGGGAAAATATTTATGGTGTGCCGAAAAAATAATTTGTCAGAAAAATGTGGTGCAGATGATGACAGGTTTGAAAATGGAGAAGAAAAACACACAAAATGACATGTTTGGTCGACAAAATTGATATTTTTTTTTTGTATAGGCAAGTTTGAAATGTTATTTTATTTATTTATTTTTTGTATTGACCGTTTAACATATACATATAAATACAATTTACTTTTTAGTGAAAAATTAAGTATATGTTGATCTTATTTTCATCTGATCGAAAGCCTTTTATTTGATTCTTTTGATTGTGTGGGAGACAGAACCCTTTGAAAAAGGTGAAGAAGAAGTGAAGCATGAGGAATATAACCGAAGAGAAGACAAACAGGAAAGAAAGATGAAGAGAAAAAATAAAAATAAAAATTGTGTAATGGATGTTCATAACTTACTTACAATAAAATTTACTTACAATTAAAATATTATATAGTATAAAAGTAATAGTAAAGAAAAAATAATTTGTTATGAATTATATATAGGTAAAAAATACAAATGTACAAATTATTTGTGTATATATTTGTTTTATAATTTATTTTTATATAATCTGTTTCATTATCATGTAAAATATTTGAACCATCTCATAAATTAATACATTTTCTTCTATAATTATTTTGGCAAATAATTATTATTTAAACACAACTAATTAAAATTTTTTAGATTTGAAATAAACAAAAAGTAACTTAATTTTTCTTATATCATAATTTTAAATATAACAAATATTTAAATAATTAAAAGTAATTTATTTTTTTGTATATATATAATTCTTTTAAATATGTTTTTTTTTTCAAAATATAAGTTAATTTTAAAATAGTTATTTTGATTTATTGTGACTCTTATTGATTACTATTATATATTGAAAACTTAAATCGATACAAATGATCAATTAGAGATAAAATGTCGACATTGAATTGATTAATTGAAAATAGATAATATAGAATATTTTAAATGGATAAATTTGGGTAGAAGTAAAATTAGTATAAAAAGAATAAAAATTTTGAATGTGAAAATGAAAGGTTTTTAGAGCGGTAATTATTATTATTATTATTATTATTATTATTATTATTATTATTATTATGTCTATGTTAAAAGCTGCGATTTATGTTTAATATGATATAAAGATATATAATAGTACATAATTATATACAAAAGTTAACACAAACTAATGTTTCATCCGTCCACAAACTAATGTTCTATTTACTATTGTCATATTTTATTTTTTAAACACACATTTTATTTTTTTAAGTATTCATTTATTTATTATTTTTAATCTCTATCTTATCATAAAAGATAAATTTGTCAATTGATACAAAAAAAAAAAAAGACAATTACCTAAAATATTATGCAAATATACTTTGGGACAATTATAAATGAAGGGAGGGAGTATTATATGACAGTCTTAAATAACAAATGTTACAATTTATTTGAATACAAATAAAAAATATTACTCACTTTTTCAGAATTATAGTCTTATATGTGTTAAAAAAAATAGGAAAATAATCAATTTTGGTCCAAATATAATCAAAATTAATAAATTTTGGTCACAATATAAAAAATTTATCAATTTTGGTCCAAATATAAAAAATTCATCAATTTTGGTCCCAATATAAACAATTTCAATCAATTTTGGTCCCAATATAAACAATTTCAATCAATTTTGGTTCCACTATAAACAAATTCTATCAATTTTGGTCCACTGTTAAAAAACTAACGGAAATTGCTCACGTGGACATGACGGAGGTGACGTGGCAGTTGACATGGAAAGTACACGGCCATGTACAATGATATACGGTCATGTTGTTACATGGTCATGTATATTTCAATGTATATTTTAATGTATAATATACACGGGCATGTTGTTACACGGCAATGTACAATTATACACGGCCCTGTTGTTACATGGCCGTATATATTTCAGTGTATAATTATACATGGCCATGTTGTTACACGGTCATGTACAATTATACACGGCCATGTTATTATTAAAAAAAAAATTAAAAATATAACAAAAAATTAAAATTTTAGACCGAAACATAAAGATACACGACCGTGTAGAATTATACATGGCCGTGTAACAACATGATCATGTATAATTATACACTAAAATATACATGGTCATGTAACAACATGACCGTTTATAATTGTACATGGCTGTGTAACAACATGATTATGTATACTTATACACAAAAATATACATGACCCTGTAACAACATGGCCGTGTATAATTGTACATGACCTTGTAACAACATGACCGTGTATAATTGTACATGACCTTGTAACAACATGGCCATGTATAATTATACACTAAAATATATATGACCATGTAACAAATGGTCGTGTATAATTGTACATGACCGTGTACTTTCCAGGTCAACTGCCACGTCACATCCGTCATGTCCACGTGAGCAATTTCCGTTAGTTTTTTAACGGTGGGACCAAAATTGATAAAAATTGTTTATAATGAGACCAAAATTGATTGAAATTGTTTATATTATGACCAAAATTGATGAGTTTTTTACATTGGGACAAAAATTGATAAATTTTGGTTATATTCAGACCAATTGATGAATTTTATATAATTGGACCAAAATTGATTTTTTCCCTAAAAAATATTAATATTATATTGATAATTAGTCAAAAGTATGAATAATTTATTTTTTTGTCATTCTAAGTGTATTATTGTAAAATATATGGATATTTGTGTAATAATAATGAAAAAATAAACATAATTTTACAGTGATATATATTTATGAAAATAAAATTATTATTTAAAAAAAACGAAAATGATAAATAAAATTATTGTATTAGATCGAAAATAAAAATATATTAAAACAATATATCTATATTTTTTTTATAAGAGTCTGTATTTTTCACTATTTTAAGTGATTATTTATGGAGTAAATTTTTTTTTTTTAAAAAAAAATAAATAAAGTGAGATATACACTTAATTTTGTATAAATAATTTTATATATTATCACAAAAATCATAAATAAATTTAGGGTGTGTTTGTTTGAAGGATTTTGGTGGATTTTCACTATTCATCCAATTTTTTTCCCCCAAAAACATCAAATCAAATACCTATTTTTTATTTTTTATATTATACTAAAAATCAATTTTACATTCAAAACATCACATCAAACCCTATTTATATCACATCATACAACTATTCAAATTCAAAATTTTTACTATTCAAATCCCAACTCAAAATTCAAACCCCCCAATCAAACACACCCTTACTATATTAATATAAGTATTGCAATTCTTTTTTCAATTACACACACCGTGCTTAATACGGAGCCACGCTAGTATATATAATTTGGAATACCGCCTTTAGAAAGGATTCAAAATTGAAAGATAATTTTCCGTGCTACCGGGAGGGAAATAGGAGGGGAGGATACTCCGAAGCCCTAGTCGGAATTCGAGATGGATTCGAAGGAGGAGAGCAAAGCCGACGGCGGCCACAAGGCGGCGGCTGGGGTTGAAAACTCGGATTCCTCAGTTTTTCAGAAGAAGCGGGCGCGGAGGGTTAGTTTTGCCGAGCTGACATCGGTTCATTTCTTCGACAGAGACGAGGAGGATAATGAGAATCCCTCGACGGGAGCTGGGAAAGTTAGCGGGGATACTGAAGGTCTACTGGAGTCTGGTGAGCTTATTGGTGGTAACAAGGAGTTCGGAGGCGAGGGAGATGCCGGCGACAGTGATGATGACGAAGAGTTGGAAATGCGGAGGTCATTCTTGCGTCCGGTTGGCTCGCCTTCTCCGGGAGGGAGTACCTTCGGTTCTGCATCTTCCAATGATGGCAAGTTTTGTTAATATCTGCGAGTGTGATGTTTTTGTACATTGATACTTTGATTAGAATGCTATCTGACTGAGAAGTTATACTTTTCTCCTTCTGCTCGCGTTGGGATTTGCTGATCAAACATAATGCGAAAATGAACATTTAACTCTGCTTAATCAAATATACTTAATCCCTAGGTCCTTTCCTCTGGTCCCTTGTCAATCTCACTCACAAAATTACTGAAGAACTGTGACTCCACAATTCTGACCGATTGGTTTCTAAATAAGATTAACTACAAGGGGATTGATAAGACTATAGCTTCGGCAAACCTGGTTGCCTGTTATGTCTTTATATTTAATTACTTTTATTTACTTCTTTTTTTTCCCTGCTTATATATAGGTACCTCATTTCTCTCATGGTTATTTATCATCATTAATTGGATTCCTCACACTGATGTTATCCTTTGAATATATAGATCTCTTTCTAATGTTTATTCTACTCAATGCAGCAGATGAATTCTTTGGTCCTGTATCAGCCAATTTCATAAGACTGGGTCGGTTTTCTGATTCTGGGGCTTCTGCTGATAATCCTGACGTCACCATGGATTCAGCTACTTTCTCCATGCACTTTCGTAGTCTGATTACATCGGATTCAGGGGTGGACTTAAAGACACCAATGGGAAGTCAAATCTTTTCTGAAGAGAAGACACCTAAGGATAGAGATGCAGGAAGCCCCATGGCTATAACTTTGGGTGAGAAGCCTAATCTTAAATCCTCCATTCATTCCACAGAAGCAAGTGGTAGTCAGAACTCCAATGCTATGAGCCTTGTTGGGGAAACCCTTAACAAGTATGACTATGAAAAACTATCACCAAGATTGGATGCCCTTCTTGCAGAGAGCAGGAAAAACTTGTTTTCTGTTAGTGCATCTGATGATATTGCTACTTCGATGCCAACTAGAACAAACCAAAACAAGTTTTTACCTTTAGTACACAATGGTGATAAACCTTCTTTCCACTCTGAGTTTCATGAGGAAAATGCTACCCACGAAAATTCTCTGCAACAACCTTCATCCGGTACACCGGAGGTGACAACGTCAAAGAGGGAGAACTATCAATCAAACAATACGCCATACAAGTTGAGTAAAGTAAGCATTTGTCCCTTGGCAATTACTATATAATAGTTTCTCTAATTTTTTCTCTTAGCTATATAACCTGTCACACAGGGCTGTGTCTGGGACTCTGATGTTGTCTTCTGAAATGCCAATTTCAATTATAACCAGTCTTTCTGTGTGTAAAAAGATTTTCTAGTATTCATTCTTAAGTGAATACCACATCAAACTACTAGTAATGTTAACATAACCTTCAACAGTAAACTTTCAGAACTATAGAAATAGGCTTGAACGTTATAGTGAGAAGTTGTGATCTTCACTTGTGATGCCAATGGAGAACTTCTATATATATTAATGTTCTTAGATGACATCCTTGCTCACCTCAGCCCAACAGTGAAAGTTATAAGAGAATTTTCTGGACAAGAAAATGCTTTACGTAATAACTTCTTGCAATGGATTATTGTAAAGATAAACAAACTGACTTGTTCAAACTGGATCCTGCAGAATGAATCTGAAACTCGATTCATGTCATCTAGGTCTCCTGTCAAGCGGCCACAAATTGAAATTGATCTTACTGCTGGTACTCCATCTGAAAAATTGGCAATAGCATCTCCAAACCCATCCTTTTCCTTGCTGAGAAGCAGAAATTTCGAGGGTCAAGATATCCAAACATCCATTCAGAGAAGCATTTCGAAACTGGAATCCCTTGAGAAATCTGCCTTTTCTTCTGTTTTTGCAAGGAAAGTTGATAGTTCTTCTATTAAGTCACTTAACTTTCTAAGATCTCCCAGCTTTGATTCTTTTTGGGAAAAGAAGCATCATTCTTCTAGTGTCAACAAACATTCATTTGTTGAAGATAAACTTGCTGGTGTACTTTTGAGTGAAGAAAATAGAAATGGTTCTAACAAGGAGCATCTTAGGGCAAAGACTCAAGATCACTTTGGTGGTAGACGTAATTTGTTTTCATCCAACAGGTCCAATGAAGATGCATTAATGACTGAAACTGAGTCCTTATTGGCTGAGCAAGCTTCTGGTGATGATGGAGGAGCTAATCTTCTTCATAAGTATGTCTCCTCGCCAATCAGCAAGTTGGAGAAGCGGTTATCTGCTTCCCCTGGTCATCAGTCCAAGAAATCTGAATTTATTCAGTTGCAAATGTATGAATTTGACAAGGGCTTAGATTCAACACCGGAGAAAAATCCTCTTGATGTGGATCCCTTGATTGCAAGTGGTAATATAAATAGTGTTACCTGTGGAATGAATATAGAGTTGGAAACTGAAGAAACTGATAACCAAGAAGGGAGAGAAGCACTTAAAGCAATAGGCAACATAAGTACTCCAAAAGAAAACAAATCCCATTCAACATTTCAAAATGTTGGTAACCAAACAACATGGGATGTCTCTATGCTTGAAAATAACCCCCCTGGAGGAGAATTGGTAGTTACATCTCAAAGTTCTATCACTCCATCTTTCTCTACTCTTTTGGATGAATCAAGATTGCACAAGGTCAGTTCTATTTCATTTATGTTTCCTCTTTCATATGTTGATGTAGTTCTTGCGTGCACCTGTGTGGTCAATATCTTTGGAACCTATTGCAGTTTTGATGCCTTGATTATTCCTCCATAGCGGAAATTCTTTAGGATAATTGCCACCAAACCTATCAATTCTGTGTGTGTCTTCTGTCTTAATCCCTCTTGCTGGAATTTGTATTGTGATACGAATCTTATTGTGGCTTATTTTGGTGGTCAATATGTTAATCTTAGAATCAGGTGGTGATCCCTACAACTAGCCCCTCAAGAAAAGGGCTTGGTAATATTCATCCCTCAAGAATACCATTGCCAAAATCCATCCACACAAATGGTGGATTGGAGAACTTTTCTTCTAACAAGAGAAGCGTTGAATTATTATTGAGAGATTCAAATAGGTCTGAAATGACCATACTGAAGAGGAGCCCCAAAATTCAGAAAAGTGGGAGTTGGGACCCACAAGCACCAGCGTATCCTGATGAAGTTAGTGCGACAGTGGTGGTGGGCTACGAAAGGAAGAAGTGGAATGATGTATGTTTAATTCATCTTTCTCTTATTCGCCATTGCCTACTCGGTGGCTGATGAAGCAGCTCAGTGTTTCTTCTATATTTACTTTTCTCACCAGGTTATCTCAAATTGCAGACTTATTCTAAATTCTCAGAGGACATGAAAGGTGTAATTTGTGGGTCTGCCAGTATGCTTAATAGTAAGATGGTATGGGTTATATCAGCAACCTTATACTTCTCCTACATTCTATATTATTAGGACAGGAAGCCCTCCTTTCCGAAGAACATGAAAATGATTAAAGATATCATGCTTTTGTACTGAATATAAAATCAAGGACATGCTTTGAAGTTGTTTCCCATTATAATGTTTTCTGGATTTGTGATAATCCATTCATATTTCAGATAGATGTGCTTCAAGATATGTTAGTTAATCAGCAGAGGAGAAAGAAGTATGAAATGTTTCACCTTGGAGTCATGCCTCAGGTCTGCTCTCATACATGGATAATTTTTAGCCAACTCCACACCATCGAATAAAATTTTGGTCTGCATTAATATACGACCTTTTATCCAGGGGAAAATTGTTCTTCAGGATCTCCAGCTCGAGAAGTAAGCACTTTTGCTCTGTGACCATTTGGAATGATATGTTTCTTTGCATCCAGCATGGTGGTTCTTTCATATTCACATTTCATAATCTAATCTATATAGAGAATGCATGTTTCTTAAATAATTGCTACTGCAGAATGGCCGAAATAAATTCTTTGTTGCATCAAGTAGTGTTTCAAAGGGCAAAATTGCAGCTACAGCATATAAAGAGAGAGAGGCTGTCGGTACTGTTTGTCTTTGTCGTTGTATAGATTTAAAACATGTCATATGCTATTTCACCAATGCAGTCACATTTGTATGCAGAAACAGTCACAATTGTTGAGCTCAAGGATTCAAGAGTCAGAAATATTGAGAGCACAATTCCTGGAAACATGCGCCTTGAAGCCCAAATTTGCTGGTGCTGATGATTTGTCATTGTCAGTTATGAAGAAGGGAGAAGTGGTATCCAATTGAACTTAAATTTACATTGTGTTAAACTCGATGCGAATCCCTAGTACTTTGCATTGTCATTTTGCTTATTTAGTTTTTTCCAATCCCTATTTTTGATAAGATGGGTCCGATTCATGAACTCATTTGCAAAGAGCAGCTTGGGTACCTTTCATTCTGAGGATGTGTTTGTTCTAGGCATTCTGATGTTTTACCTAGTGGTTTTGGACATTTAACTGGCATCTTCTTAAACTAAGACATGTAGTTGAGTTGGTTTGATGGCTAGACATTTTCATGATTTTCTGTGGAGAATGCAGATTGTGCAGTGAAAGAGTGGCCAAGTAATATTCATTTGAAAACTTAGTCATAATGATACCTGTATTGACATATTAAGTAAATATTTCCAAAATGTCTCCTAGTTTGCTAAGATCAAATGTTTAGAACAGTAACTTACATTACAGACATGGAAAACTGATTTGAGTGCCACATAGTTTGTGGTTGGTGTTATTTATTTTGTGGTATGGACTGTTGAATTAAATTGGGATAAGAGTAATAATTGGTGTTCTGTAGAACTAGGGAATGCGATTATTTGTTTTTGTGATATTTTTGGAGCTGGATTTCTATGACATATGGTTTGTGTCATTATAGGTTTGCGAAGAAAAGTTGACTGCAATGAGACAGGAGTTAGAAGCATTGAACAAAAAGATTTTGAACTTGACAAGAACTTTTCAATCATGCTGCAAGATGAAAGCTGAACCAAGCACTGGCAGGACAATAGCTTTGGTCAATGAGCACTTAGAACAGAGGGCCTCTTGCAGGTTTATTCGATTGGATATGCAGGTGGATATTCTTTCTGTACTTTTGCTGACAGTAGGGGGTTAAGAGCATGTTGCTAGCTAAATAGCTGTGAGTTTTTGTGTTATGTTGGCGGAAATAAAGTGGGTTTTGAGGTTTGGGGGACTCCATTTTTAAGAGTCTGTATTGTGAAAGTAACTGGTGATTGATAGCTAAATAGCTGGTGAGTTTGAACAAAGAAGCTTTAGTGAGGGGTTAAATATATATATATATATAGTTATGTGTGTAGGTATACATAGAAACAGCTACCCATATATCTTGCCAATCAAGATTGCTGCTATATGTTGCTCAGAGTTTTGTATCCTCTTTTCTCAGATGTGGTCAGTGCAGAGTGTGGGCTGCTCTAACGGTCAACACAATATTATTCTCAACTACCTGGAATTCATTACTCAGAGGTCTGTGGAAGAAGAGTTCTTTTGCCCCATATGCTTTTCAAGTTAATTTTGGAAATTGATCTGACATGGATAGGATATACCATGTCATGATCTTTCTGCTTCCTCTAACCCTTGAATTCATAATAAGTATTCATTTAATATTTTGCAGCATAACAATCATTGTCGGGCCAACATCTAGAGTTTCAATTACATTCAAATTGATTGAGACAAACATCTTAAAGGTGACTCATCTAACGTAATATGTATGCTTCAAGCATCTTTCTTGTATAATGATTTACTTAGAATGAAATACTTTCTACTCTGCAGAGATTCCCAAATATGGGTGCTTGTGTAGCATTTGCATTTGTTTTCAGTACGCAGACTGCTTGCAAATATGCTGGTACAAAAACTTTGGCACGAGAGACGCAAGTAAGGGAACAGAGTTTATATATATATATCTATATATTATATTTATAGTAAATTTCTGTGAAGCAGCTTTTTTGTCCCCACATCATGCATGGCTGTGTAAACATTTCTGTTCTTGTATTGACCTTTTTTGGTAGAACAGAAGATTAGCAAAGACTTGATATAAATTTGCATGTTAGTAGGTTCAATCTTCGTAGTTTTCTATAATATTTTCATCTCGTTTCTGTTAGTAACTGTCACTAATCACAGGTAACAAGTTCAATTCTTGGAACCTTGCTTGATGTGCTTGAAGAGTTACAAGTAGCACAGATAGAGTCCCACAGTCTTACAGAGTCAAGCTTTTGCTCACCTTCTGGTAATTTTGCTTTCTTTTGTCTATTTCTGAACTGTATCTAACACCAACTAAATTTGTCTTAACTCTGATTTGGTAAAATTTTGGTCACAGTTGGGCGGCTTGATCTGATTCTTTATTTCTTCAATTTTAATTCTGGGAAGAAGTTGGTCCTCACGCTTGACATGTCTTGCCTAAAACGGTTAGTTTTTCCAGTGTTTGCTTCTATTATTCCATGTAATCAGTGGCTTCTGTTGTAGCTAGTGCTGACCCTCATTTATGATTAGTTGCATCAATTATCAATGCAACTTCAACCTTCCATCCCATTATGACCTATGTTGTTTATTTACATATCGATTATATTCTGAATAAGAGTACTACCTGATTTGCATGGCTGGCTGCAGTGGGATCTACCCCTCAGATATACTTCCACTTGAAGTGGCGACAACTGCCGACAGTGAGAAATGCTCGGTTCCAATCTTCGATGCGAAGATTGGAGCTGCTATTAAGAATGTCAGAACTGGGCATATGAGGATCGTGCGGCTGTGTCAATGTGTGTCTCAATTGACTCAAGCTTCATCCCTATAGGACTGCACCTATTACTATAACCATATTGTATGCTCTGTGAGTACTTATTTCTACTTTGTGCACCTCTGGAAATGCAAGAAGAAACAAGAACACGAGTTGAAAGCTACAGCAAACCTACCAGCTTGCTTAGAGATATATATATATATATATGTATAATCTGACTTAGAAGTTTAAAAATAAGAATGCTATTCCGGCTGAGATGTGACTACTATGGCTGATTATCCTGTTTCAGTTTGCAACATTTAATCTGCTTTTTCTGTGCACTTGGATTCCTCCTCTCTTTGGATTTTGGTATTGTCAGTTGTTGCTCTTTGTTTTGATGTAAGTATGGTTCCCAATCTCCAGGTATGTTTGTTTAAGGTGGAAACAAGATTACTGAATCACATATATAACACATGACATGACAGAGAGTTTCTCAATTTAATACATGCATTGCACACGCAACAAAAACTAATCTTGTACCAGCTTACCAAGTATCGCAGAATTAACCTCAAGCAGCAAAAGCAATAATAATGTATAATTAGAATGTCTGAAAACTGCATAGAAACAATTTACAATTCACTCACAGGCGGTGGTCAAGACATAAATAAAAATCCCAAAAGTCTCAAATTAGTAGAGGAGGCTCAATCCAAGCGCCCATTCCAACCAATTACAGGCAAATTTAAATAAAAGCAACAGAAGAAAGAAGTAAAGAAAAGAAGATAGCAACAGTCACCAAATCCCCAAACAAAAAAACAGTCCCAACCCCAGCAACAGCAAGCCATGTTATCTACTGTACACAAATTACAGTATAATGGCAGATCCAACTCCACATTTCACATCTTAAATTCAATCCATCCCTCTTTCTTCCCATCAGCAATCTCCCAATCCCCTTCACAAATAGCACCAATTCCATTCATAAATCGGTCTTCGAAAAGCTTTCTCAAAGTTTCTTGGAACACTCCAGAGATCGTGCCCTTGGATGGATGCCAAGGGCAACAATAAGCAGGTAAAAGTGTTTGTTTTTATATAATGTTGTAAGATTTTGGTCGTTGATTTCTTGTTTCGTTGAACCATGAAAAGTCGAAAATTTTAACACACCTGTCCAGGGAAGTAAGTCAGCAAGGAGTAAATTCAAAGGCGGGAAGTCCCTGGACACTGTGTCCTGTCTCAGGGAGTGGTGCTCCTCTTTTCTTCCAGAATCGAACCTTCTTTGAGTGCAATCTGAGCCTCATTCTCCCTCCCGAGTGCGAAAAGGGATGCGGCTTGTAAGTATGAAGCAATGTGCCAAACAGGTGAAATGACCTGTGCCTGCACTGCATCGTTGAGGGCCTCCTGAGGCATGTCGCTAATCAGATATGACAAACTGCGCCGGGCAAACACAGTTGGGGACACCATCGTTCCAACATCAATGAACTACAAGAAAACAATCATTATTTGCAACAACTCTAGCTCCACAATAACAATTACATAAAAGTTTTATAACACTAACCTGTGTGTAGCAGTCGATTGCCACCCTGAATTCTTTGTGCCGGAAAGCAACATCGCCTTTTTTCTTTGAATTTAATGTATCCTGCATTTGATTTGTCCACATCTGGAACGAAAGCTGCAGAGTGTAAAAGAGTACTTGTCAGAAACCCTTTTACATTGGCCTAATTTAATAAGATTAAAGGAGACAGACCTCAGTTGCAGCTCCCTCGTCATCTTTATAGCTGAGATTTTCCAGAATCTCATGTATGGCAGTTAAGTCCATTCTAAGACATGCTTCACCAAGGGCCGACAGAGACAGAACCACTTCGCCATGAGGTATTCCCATAAGTTCATGAGAGGGGGTCTGAAAAAGACAGAATTTGATCGAGGCATACATTCAATGGATCAATATAGAAAAGGTGTGGTTTCGCAAGAGCAATAGACGAAAAAAATGTGAATTCTTAACAATCCAATAGTTGTTGTGTACAAAAACCAACCTCAGTTTCTTTCTGAAGGGGAATCAGTGCAGTAACTAATGATTTTGGATTTGGCCTCTCGCGGGGCTCATACTGCAAACATCTCGAAGCTAGACGCACCAGCTCAGTTCCATCATCACTGGAAAACTGACCTTCTAAGCAAGAATCCGTCAACATTTGAAGATTACGATCCTTTATCAAATCAAGGGCCTGAATCAACAGCATTAGTAGGCATTAGGCAACAGAGCATGATTAAATACGGCGGACATTTGTCCTTTTAATGGATGGACTAACGGCGTGTCATAGAAAAGGAGGAAAACCAGTAAACTAGGGAAACCATACATGACTTGGGGGAATGTGTTTCCCACTGAGAAGATCGAGCAGAAGTGTGCCAAAGCTGTAAATTACACTTTCCGGAGTCACTCTTCCTAATAAATGATGAATGGCAATGTTAATTAGTCAATCTGAAAATCCAAGTTACTTAAAACTTCATATAACAGAAAGTTTATTTATCCCAAAACAATATCCCGAGGGTACAATATTTCATTGTAAACTAATGTTTGGTACCAGTTCGCAGGTACTCCGGAGGAGTAAATGCCAAGTTTGTGCTGTAGCTTTTCCCGTCTCTACTGTTCTTCATCAACCCAAAGCATGATAGTCTGGGATTGCCATCCTGTAATATATATATATATATATTCGTGAATTGAAATGACTGATTGATCAGATGCAAACTCATGGTAGTGATTTTGAACATCCATAAATAATAAGTAACTTGCCACTTACATCATCAAAGACCACTCTATAGGCATTAAGGTCGTGATACAGAGCACGGCCTCTGCTCGTACAATACTCCAATGCCTGTGCAAGATATAAGGCGACCCTTAACCGCATTGCCCATTTCATGGGCTGTGTTTCCCCTGAATTTAAACAGAAATTGAAGGATAATGATAGAGTAGAAACCAACGTAAATGGGCTTATTATACACAGAAGCATCAAAAAGGCCTTGTAAACTTGAAGAAGCCAATAATTTATCAAGAAATGCAAAGCAAGAGCAATTGAGTAAATTTAGGCCCTCGCTTCCTTGGATATAATCAGAAAACCATTTTCGTGGCTTAGACTTAGATGGGTGCTTTGAAATATAGAGAAAAACAAGAACAGATAATAGTGTTTGATGTTTGAAAGAGGCAAACAACTGATAGATGTAACAGAGAAGGAAAAGTTCCATTTCATCATTTCGCCGAATATTATCCAAAAGACAAACAGCACAACTAAGAAAGACTGACCAGGAAAATTTTCCCCACTGAGTATATAAAGCAGGATGCATTGGTAGTTTCTAGATCTATAATGAAGTTTTCAAGAAATGTAATAATTCATATTGGTTACGATTTAACCAACACCCTTATCATACACAAATCACTGCACACAAGGCAGAACTATCATATGCTGCCTATAGAGATATGTCCTAAAACGTCTTCTTGATTTCAATGTGGGACTTCTAGTTCGAAGACTATAAGTGATTAAAGTACAATGAGAAGAATCACGCGATAGGAGCCACTGGAAAAGATTGATCCAGGACCGACTGCATTATACGATAATGCCACAAGCTCCTCAAATATATAGATTGCAGATATACCGTCTACATCATTCACTTACTAATGTTAATAATTCTAAATTGGAATTTGCCACAAGAAATTGAATGCACTGTACTTACAGTGAAAGAGGTGTTTTGCAAGAGTCTCATGTGGCATAAATTCAGCAACTAGCAACCTCTCATCACCTTCACAACAGCAGCCGAGCAAATTTGCCAATCTGTAGTTCCGGAGCTGACCAACAGCTCTAGCTTCTTCCTGAAATATTTATTCAGTAAACAACATCTCAGTCCTCTAATAGATTTGTCCTTGAGCGAAATAAAGTATTTGGAGATAAAAAAAGAAGCAATGTTTTAGTTGCAACACCATAAGCATGATATGAGCTTAGAACACTCACCATAAACTGCCGGGCATCAGGCCAAGCAGACCTATTAAAGCGCTTAACAGCTATCTTCCGCTGGTTCTCCAGTTTTCCCTTATAAACGACATTTGGAGCTTTCTCCCCATGTTCTGAAACTATGTTTTCTACGGCAAAACCAGATGTAGCAATCCTCAGTTGCTCGATTGAAAACTCACGAAATGTAGGCAAATCGCTGATTTCACTCCTCTCCTCATTTACTGCAGTAAACATCATCCTATCAATTTGACAGTACGAGAATCAAATACAGAAAGAGGAACAAAATCACACTACAAACCATCATTCCGGGCTTCATCAACTGGTCCATTGTGGTCCGAGGCAAAACAACATGAAGTAAGCCTTGAACAGTGACAACCCATCCCTATAAAACAACTTTTATATCGAAAAAGGAATAATACTCCAAAAGTGCCTGCCGATTGTTTGCTCAAGAACTATCCATCGGACGCAAAAAACTGCATATCAATTTACACTTCGTCGTTAAAATACTCAATCTGTCAATGCTGATGGGATTCTCAATCCATAACTTTTGCAAACACGAAATCGGGGAAAAGAAAAGAGGACCTCAGTAGTGGTGAACCTTGCAAGAAACACAATCTATTCCAACAGATTAAAGCAACAAAATCTTTCAATTATAGAAAAAGCTAAATCTCATAGTGAAAAATGATGCAGATGGCAAGTCAAATGCTTTTGAAAGGTAAGAGCTTTGCAACAATGGCCTCTGATTCAAATTCATCCACATTCACCACTGAGATCGTACAGATAGCTTAATCAAACCCAGAATCGAAAAATAACCACAGAAGAATTAACTCAAATCAGCAATGAAATTCCAAACGATAACCCGACATAGTTCAAAAATCAAAGAAAGTAACCTTTATTAAAGATTCAAATCTGAGTCAACTCCGAGGTTCCAAATCACCATTTTCTGAATCCAAAAGCTTCCAACTTTTCCAGTAAACCCCCCTAAAAAAGGGCTCAAGCTTTCTCTGCCTCAACTCAGCAATTCACCTGCAACAAATCACCAAACCCAGTCAATCAAAAATCAAAATACCCCCAAATCAATACCCTAACCCAAACCCCCTAATCGAAAAAAAAAAAAACCAAAATCAAAATCACAAAAACCTATTATCACGGGTGTAGAAAAATAACCCAGCAAACAGATAAAAATAAAAATTTACAAAGACATCCATTTTCACGCGCAGAAAATCCCTAGAAACCCCATATCCGGAAATTTAGCAAATATGTAGCAGCAAGTGAAGATAACCTCAAAAGAGGTTTCTTGACCGAGCTTTTGATTTGGTCAAAGCACAAAAATGAAGACTTTATTGATGCTACCTATATATCTGCTATCCTCGTGTATGCAACTTATTTATGTATATTCATATGAGGGCTTCAAGTCTCAAAAAGGAAGATCACCCAAGGGGAAAAAAACTGATTCAGGGGGAATATGTATAGACACACACAGGTAAGGTGAAAACTGCAAAAAAAAATAAAAAATAAAAAAATAATATTTAAATAAAATAAAAAATAGATACAGATACATACATCCATTCATACATACACAGATGTTCCTCTGTACCATTGTGCTTTCACTGATGCAGATCTATTTAGAGTGTAAATGCTTGCTCAATTGCTTTTGCTGCTTTATTTTATTTTATTTTTCCAATTTCCACCGACATTAGTTCCTTTTATTATAAGTTTTTAAAAATATTTTCCGTATTTCCCTTCTTTTTAATACTTTGTTATTTTGTGGTTCTCCTCTCATGCGCTTGGAACAACTGTATCATATTATAAAAGATTCTATTTTCATTGGCTTGATCATATGAAAATCAATTATTAGACTCAAATTATTACTTTGTGTTCAATCATTACATTATATAAAATGAAGTCAGGAATTGATTTGTTTAGTGCAATATATAATGTTTGTATTTGCCAATCTTTGTAATTAGAGTTTGTTGGGTTATGTTTTCTAAGAGTTTAGTATCAATAAATTATGATTAATCAATGTGAAAGTATTTTTAGGTATCCAAAATAAATATTTTAAAAAACTATTTTCTATTTGTCTTCTCAATGTATAATACTCTACTAATTAATTGCTTGCTAAATATTTCATACAAAGCAAGTGAAATTACAGCGTAAGCATTAGTCGGATTTGAATAAGCAATAGACTCAAACTATCTAAATCATTGCATCAGACATACTACTGTTCCTAACCATGAGGACCATTGGCTGAAAAATCTATAAAGTTTATAAATTTAAATTGTTTTTGAAATAGCAAAGTCAAAAAATAATTATTATAGTTTCTAATCATCATGAGGTGGGCTAAGAAATCCCCATTACCTATCTAACTACTTATCGACATAATATATTTTCAATATTTTAGGTTACTAAATCAACAAATGCATCATCATTAAAATCTTGAGTGATTTAAATATTATAATGGGTATTCACAAAAAATAATTAAATAAAGGTGGAAATTTGAAATTTCGTAGTGGGCAATTATCCATTGACATGCAATGAATTCTGTATGTCATTTTCAAACGTGGAATAAACATTAACTCAAGTCTCTATCTGCCTCTGCCTCCCAATTGAATTTGAAACCCTAATTGCTTCCCCTTTTAATAAATTCGGAGAAATCATATATACATTTCTAAATATTTCATTTTCTTTTATTTTATTTTTCTCCAAATGATCAGTTTTTTTTTTTTTTTTTTTTTTGCTTTGGTCCCACAAAGAAGATGCCAAATGTATCAGTTGATCTGGACCGTTGATTTCGCGACACAGGGTGTCTCGACACATCAGAATTGCCAACGCGGGGCTATTTTTGTCACGCTTTGTGGCGCGCGTGGGCCTCACTCTCAAAAGTAGGGTTGCTCATTTTTGGGCCGATCTGGTTTGGGCGTATTACGGTTCATAGAGGCCCAAATAAAAGGCCCATTATATAGCCAGAGATGATTTCTGCCTTGGCGAAATCGGAGACTGTTTGCTCGATCTTCTAGAGAGGTAATTCGGGCTCTTGTTCTACGTCTGCACGCATTCATTGGAACATGCATAGATACGTGGTTAAGGATTTTATTTTGTGTAAATTTATTTGTGTGCTCGTGTATTTCTTCTTTGTGTATTTTTGAGACATTAGTATGAGCTTGAGGTGTTCGATGAAATGCTAAATTATGAATGGATGCTTTCACTTCTATATTTTAGGTCTCTTCGTGAATGATGATTTCCAATTTGACTCTGAATTCGGTTTCAGTTGTTTTGATTCGTTTGCGCGATGCAGATGAAGTATTTGAAGCCGATTAAGCTGTACCGGCAACTGTTGAAATCAAACGAGCACAAAAGTGGCCGTTTGCTTGGCTTGGATGTTGGTGATAAGTATGTTGGTCTTGCCGTTTCTGATGCCGATAACAAGGTTGCATCCCCGTTAAGGTTTATTGCCTTGTGCTTTTTCAGAATTTATCTATCTATCTACACACACACAAACATATATCTATATATATATATATATTGTATGTTGCACATACATGCGGGCTGTAATATGGAATTCTAATCTTATGCAGTGTCTTGGTTCGAAAAAAAACGAATATTGATTTCATGGCAGGTGATCTCCAAAGCCTGGTTAGTGGTGACGAATGTAAAGTTGTTTTGCTTTTTCTTTCTAACTATTACAACTTGTCAATGGTGATTATGTTTTTCACTTATGCAGATCAGTGAGCTTTCATTGTCGGGATTTGTCATTGGCTATCCTTTCGATCGGTGGAGCAATAGCCCATGTGTGCGTGTTTTTTACAATTACATATAATGAATGACTTGTGGACTATCTATTAATGTTCCTTTGGTTTAATATTTGATTCAATTATGACATTCCAATTTTATCCATTGGTATGCAGGCGATGCAAATCAAGATCTTGATCAATGATCTTGCTAAAACTAGGAAACTTGAAGACATCAAGTATACATTTTGGGAGGAACGCTTTACATCAAAGGTGAAAGCAGCTCGTCCCGCTAATGTTTCAAAGCCTGATCTTGATCTGTTCCATCATTTCTAAATGCAAATGTTCTTTTTGGTGGACATTGATTTTTTTTATTTATTTATTTAATTTTTTATGTTCCTTTTAAAGTGATTACTCATGGATGTTGCAGAATGTCGACTTCCTGTTGAAGCCATTAGAAATGCACCCGGTGGACTGCAAGAGGATTAAAGACAAATTTGCAGCTGTTGGAATCCTTCAGGTATGGATGCAGACTTCCTTAATGTTGCCAAATATGGGTCAGAATTTAGGATTAGTTTCAGTTTGGGACCTAATCTGTTTTCTTGGCATCATGGAATATAGATATTTGCGCATGGTTTTCTTGAAGTACATCACATGTAAAACTTGCTTTTGAAATGGCACTGATGGCACCTTGATTTGCTACAGGGTTACTTGGATTTTGTTAATGGGACACGTGGACAAGATCAAGAAAGTCAAATTTCTCAAAATGATGATACATGATTAGTCTTAGCGCTAACCAGTGATGTTGTCTTGAGAATTAGGTACGACCTATATTTTGTTAAAATAGATGAGACAGTTGAGTGCTGGTAATAGGCATATACTCATATGCAATTGAGAAGTTTAAGGTTCAAATACAAGAGGACTGCCTGTCATACAATGATACATAAGTTCCCAATTGTTCTGTCAAGAACTCATTATTATTGCTTTATTTCTTCCTATCATTTCTACGAGTTTTTCCATTATTCTGTCTCAACCTTGAGCTCCAGCCCAACAAGTGATAAGCTATTTGGATTGGCTTAATCTGGTTACCCAACTCTAACATTATTTACATAGCTTTTTCAAAACTCCAGCAATATAAAGGCCCAAATTCACAAATTTGAGAGAGAGAATTTTTACTTAGAGAGTAGAGACTGGTTAGAATCATGCAAGAAAATGATTGCATCTTTCCTGAAGACAAAAACAGTAATGAGCAGTAGTCCTGATAGAGACAATGTTGTCTTGGTTGGTACCGTACGTACCACAACTAGCTGGCAGGTAAATTGTATTTCTATACATACCTATGGCTTGCAATTTGCTTCCAAATAAATCCCCTTAATTACTTAATAACTCACCCTTCATGCTCTAACTTTTCTATTTCTTCCTCTTCGTTTTGTCTATTTACTCTCCTCATTTTCCCTCATTCCAAATCTAGGGTTCAGGTTCTGGAATGAAGCTTCGAGTGTATTAGACTATTAGCTTTAATTTGGGGTGTGTGTGGGTTCTTGGCAGCTAACTGTGTATAAAAGCTTATCTTTTCTGAATTTTGAAGTTCCTAATAATCCATAGATTTCTTCTGTCGGAAACTCACATCCGTACTTTCGATCATCTCCAATTACGTATCTCATTAGGGGTTTTTGTCCCTTTCGTTTCTTTTTAAGGTTCCGAATTTAGGATTACTATAAATAAAGAAGAACAAGCGTTTTTTCTGACTGCGAAATTAAATACACTTGATTCAATTTTGGATCTTTAGTTTGGAATTGGAGCCAGTAAATGCATGGATGGGAGAGAAGCCATGGCATTACCTGGCTCAGCTTCATACTACCTTACCAGAGCCGGAATCGGCGGGGCCGGGACTCCAGCTCCGGTGATACATGTTTTCTGGAATCCTTCAAATCCCAACACTCCGGCGCCACCGGGTGTAGCCGCCGGTGACGGCATTGGCTCATCATACCATGTGGAGGTCCTATCGCAGCCCAATTTCCCTCCCGGAATCACCATGGCTGTTGCCGCCGGCGGAGATCCGGTGAAGAGGAAGAGAGGCAGACCAAGGAAATACGCCCCAAATAATGGCGCCAACAACATGTCTTTGAAATTATCCGCCATGTCTGCTGCTTCCAAGACGTCTTCCTCGGCGGCTTTGATCCCCGGTGGGAAGGCCAGGAGGGGCGGCTGCTGGGGACCGGCTGGAAGCAGAAACTGGCCCCTCTTGGTAAGAAGCCATTGTATTTTGGCTGTAGGGTTCTTACAGTGCTTTGACATGTACGATGATTGTTTGTGTACTGAAATTATATTGTCTTAGCCTTTCTTACATCTCTTTGGCTAATGCAGTTTATGTATAAGCAATACGCAGTGATTCTGGTTTGTCGATGTCTTCTTGTTACCTTATCAGGTGAATGGATGAATAGGTCTGCTGGGATGGCCTTCACGCCGCACGTTTTGTACGTCGAAGCTGGCGAGGTAACGCTGCAAATCACCGAGATTCTTGTTTGAAAATGCGTTGTGAAGAGTCATTGTTTGCTGCTGTTGGCAGGACGTCGCAGCGAAAATAACCGCATCTGCGCAGCAGAACACGAGCTTTGTGCATCATGTCGGGAAATGGATTGATTTCTTTGGTTACATTATGCCAACTGACGAGCTCTGGCGCCACCGTTACTTATGAGGTGATCGAACTTGTGGATCCATTGAATTACTTCTCTGTTGTTATTGTGGTTCGACTATATTGATGTGGCCGTGTTACTGCTTGTTAGGCCGCTTTGAGATATTATGCATGTCAGGTTCTTTCTTACTCGCCGAAGGCAGAGACTCCGGCAGTCGAACTGGTGACATAACATTTCGATTTGCAGCCCCGATGGGCATATAAATTGGAGGCGCTGTAGGCAGTAGGCTCAGTGCGGCAAATTCTGTTCAGGTATATTTATATACATAGAAAACTGGCAGCCAGATGTATTAACTATTGCATTCTTGCCGAGGTTAATGTTGTTCGAACGAATGAGTGTCTGCAGGTCGTGGTGTGCAGTTTTATATACGGTGGTGGTGCTGAGTTTATGAACAAAGCAGGGACAGAATCGAAAGATGAAATTGATGAGTCGCTTGCTCAAGTGGCTGAATCTTCTGCTCAAGGCTATCGTCCAAACACCGTAAAAAGCGTTTGGCCGCCTGTTAAGTTCCCAGTTGGAAATTGATCTGATGCGCCGATAATACAACCTATGACATGCGAATCACAGTTCTTCTACCTACAGACAAGCTTTAAATCAAGCCCGGCCCCGAGTTTGCTGTCTTAGATTCGCTTTGCCACCATGGATGGATCGATCTCGATCGACTCGGCTCGACTATAGTCTTAAGTAGCAGTGGCAAGTAAGAAAAATGATAAGTATAGCTGTCCGAAGGAAGAAGAAAGAAGAGTGGTATTGGTACCCTCTTATGCCTATTTTGGGTTGAATGTTAGTCTTGAAGGAAACTCCCCTGCTGTGCTGTAGATTTGTTGTAGGTTGCTGCTAAATTGGTGCAGAGCCCTTTTTGTGGAAAAGAATTCATCTATCATCGAGTAAAAGCACCATTTCTATTATTAAAAGGACATAAGGTTCGATTCTACAAAGACAAGATTAAGACAACATATGATTCTTGAAATACATTAGGGTATAGGGGCACAGTACAACCTTCCATGTTCTAAAGCATCACAATCCTAAGCGCAATTACAGCAAGCATTCAGTCCTCCTACAGCATACTATCAGTCCTGGCCGGAAGCCGCCGGAAGAAGTTTATAGGCACAGACGGGAGGCGGTACCGGAACCTCGGATGCCTCATCGCATAAACTCCGGCCAAAGCGCCGACCACCTGAAAAGGTGTGACGTACAGCACCAGAGCAGCAACCAGGCAGAACGTCACGAAAATCGCAGTCGCCCGAGGGTCTCTCCAGCTCAACAGAGAATGCAGGCGCTCGCCCTGAGTCGCGATGTCGCCAACAACCGTCTGGATCCGACCGGCGACACTCCTAAGCCGATCGTACCTCATCCTGACCACATCGGGATTCCGGCTAGTGGGAAACGGGTCGAATTCTTCATCAAGTTCGTCGGGGTGGATAGCCTCCGCCTGCGAGATCTTCGTGTTCATGTGAGGAGGGTACCTCGGCCGGTATCGAAAATTCCAGATTCCTATCAGAAACATGTAAAGGAAGACAGTGGGAAGAATCAGCTCCGGGAAGGAAATAAGCATGAGATACAGCAAATGGACGAGCACCGTCGTGACCGGGTTCTTCCACATGCAGATGTCGCCGAACCATTTCCCGGCGGCGAATAATCCGGTGAAGACAGTCATCAGCCGGAAAAAGTTGGCCTTGCTCCGGCGCATGCTCCAAAGGTGCGAGTCAACATCAGACATGTACTCTATGACCTCCTTCCGGAGCGGCGGCTCCGCCCGCCCCAACCTCATGGCCACTATGTTAACAGCCTGATGCCTCAGCATGTCGAGCTGTACGACGGAGAACGGCCGGATGTAATGCATCTTCGGCAGTAACGGTCGCGAGTATACGTACAGCATGTTGACGAACGACGTGCAAGAGAATCGAAGCGCCAAATGCAGTTCCCCCATCTTCTTGACGCCGGAAGGATGGAGAACGAGCAAAGGATACGAATGGGTGTAGACTCGGCCAGTTTCCAGCGTCGATATTCGGATTCGAACCTTCCCGATCTTCAGGTCCTTGTTGCCATTGTTGCCTAGCTGGCTGTTGTCGAAGACGCCGACTGTGAGGACCGTTGCCGGATCGAAGACCTCCCAAGTGTACTGCTCGTTGTATTTCGGGAACAGGTTGTCGACAATGGTACGAGTCCGGACCCATTTGTGCCCGTATTTCGCCACACAGTATGTGTCGGACGTGCCCTTCCCGTCGCGAGTCTTCATTGGGTGAAGTCCCACGGCGCTTAGGATCCCGAGTTCCAAAACACCGATCGGTGGCTTCCAAAGCTGTTTCGCTGTGGGCCGGAGATCGCTACTGTAATGAGTCGATTCGTCGAGGACATGGTAGCCGCCGTCCAAGCAGACGCGAAGATGAAGCTTGCTAGAGAATTTATCTTTCTTCAGCTGATCGACATCGACTAAAACCGGCTTTTCTAGGTTGAACCAATGGGATTGAATGATGCGATCATCGGCACGCTTTTCTACCATGTTCAACGGAATAATGACCCTCCCGATTATTTCATCTTTTCCAGGAGCCACCCGGTCCTCAACTGTTAGAATAAGATGGTCTTCAAACGGCTCTGCGGCAACAAAAAACAAATCCTCATTCCACAAGGGGTTGAAGTTCTGTGCCTGAATCGGTTTCGTTCTCATTACTTGGTTCCCGATCTGCGCCTTCACATAAGCGTCAGGAAACCGAGTCTTCTCAGCCGGAATTAAGTCCTGAGCTTCAATAACATTGACACGAACATACCACAAGCGAGGCGCATGATAGACCTTCGATCGTATAAGAGCTGAAGCAGCGGCAGAGCTGTCGATAGGCGAAGCTGCATCGGAGTGCCAGGCATCCGGAAACGCCTCGTCTGCTTGTGTACCGATCCAGACAGCAAGCATCAGCTCGCCCTTGATTTTCTCCCCTTTCTTATTTTCGAGTCGGTACCATTCGGGAGCCAGAGGACTGTCGGGAGGAACGCGCATTGGAACCTCGTTGAGGTCGAATCTTACGAAACCGACAAAATCATCTTTCACAAGATCTTTATCCTTGACGACGACTTCCAGTACAGAGGCTTGCATACGCTCCCTTGAGAAGGCAAACACGACATTCCACACGGGATGCTGCTGTTTCTCGATGTGCTTCGTAACCCCCTTGTAGTTTCCGATTCTCACCTCCACAAACGGGTCTAGACTTCCGGTAACATCCATGGCAGGAAGCTCGCGGGCTTTAACTACTCTAACAAACAAGAAATGCATCTTCTCGACAAGATCGTAGGTGCCCACAGCTTTCCTGTCGGTCCTGACAACACGACCGCCAACAATCTGCCCCCCGCCGAGGAAAGGGCTCGTCTCCTTGAGAGCATAATCAACCGGTTGCGCTGACGATGCAGACTGCATCCGCACCAATTTCGGAGGGATGGGTTCGGGAACCTTCATCTCATCGACCATATATTTAGTTGCTTGATGAGTCACTTCGACTTCCGGAGGCGCATGACTGTGTGGTTCAGACGAGTTCCGTTTAGGGACAGTGTGGAATGTGTGCCTTGTCTCGGTTTTCACATTTGAGATCGGATTCTGTTGCGTTTCCTCAACAGGAGCAGATGACTCGATCGAAGGATCGTCTGTAATATAAACCTTGAGGCCAAGCTCGCCCCGAACACGGGAGAAGATCCCGCGCTTTTCCAGAGGATAGTGCAGCACAACAGCATCCGAGTAGGGGACAAAGGAGGTTCCACTGATGCTGACCTTTCCGAGGAAGGCTCTAGACTGGGTTGCTCGGATGTTGTTATAGATGTAAGCGTCGAGAGTGAGGTTGTGAAGAAACGAGGGATCAGATATGTTGAAATAAAAGCTCTCGTTCCACACGGGATTAAGATCCTTCTCCTTGATAGTGGAACGGTATCGCTGACCGTCGAAACAGAGCTCCACAAAAGGGCTCGATGAACCCTGCCCGTCTTTAGGCAACAGGTTATGAGCAGTAACCACATCAACCCCAAGCTTCAGATTTCCTTTTATAGTCATTGTATTATACACTTTGGAGTCGTCCAGAACTGCAGATCAAGAAACGAGACAATGCAAAACAATGTTAAGACAATATTGTCCTGAGCATATTTTGCGAATCCACAGCAACAAAACACAAACATCCTCGGTTCACCCGATGTCAGATCTAGAAGTTGCACATATAAATTTAAGACATTAAAACCCAACTACATTGTCTTAAATTCAAAATGCTACATTGAAACTAAAGTGCAAAACTAACAGTGAGTCTCCAAATAGCCAAAAATACAAATGAATGTACTTCACAAAACTCTCAAGAGGCTTCACAAAATTGATCTCACTTCAACTTTTACTCATACAAAAATCATCAACAGAGGTAAAGCTAGCTGTATCTTACTCCTTTACCATAGCAGTAGGGGAAAAAACAGAAATTGAAAATAGCTTTAACAGAATATATCATACCAAAAGGCCCACAAGATAAAGCATTAGTACTAATAATTTAAACGCATGAACAACAGAGCAAAATAAAGACAAAAATTGCAATTGCTATCACTGAAAAGCTCACCTACTATTGATTAGACGAAAGATAAGCAATCTCCTCTTCACTTTCCACCAAGAAAAAATTCAGGGCTACAAAAAATAATCAGATCAAATACACCTCACTGTGAATCTATAATTCCAACCAGCTTGCAAGAAAACAGAAAAAGTATTAACCTTTCAGGGTAGCATATAAGTAAGAAAGAAGCAAATTGCAAAAAGAAGAGAATAAAAAACTGAGTCAATGGTGTGGCAAAACCATCTGCAAGCACACCTCGTGAAGAGATCTACAACTTAAGGAATCTTGCTACTTAAAAACAACTAAATAGGTAGAAAAAAGATAGTAGAAAATGCAGGCTCAAGCCACAGATTTCCGTAAGTAACGCTAAAGACACATGGTAATGGGAAAATTGCCGGTTTGAAGATCCTCTAAAGAATACAACAGAATATTAAAAAATTCACACAAGGAAAAGCCACAACACTTTTAAATCCGGCGAAAGACACTGACTTCGGAATGATTATTATCTGACAAACAGAGAACAATTCTCAGTGGCATAATCAATATGTGATAGTCAGATAAGCACTCCATTGAAAAATGAGAGGGTAAATCTTGTGGTCCAGAACAATTACCAAACCAATTATGTTCTTTGTAACTGCATTGAGTACGAAATTTTTTAATATGAAATATTTCCTTCTACAAGGAAACCCTAGAGATTTTCCCCAAATTTTTCTTCAATTCAAAATATGGAGAATGAAGTTCTTTAATAAAATTGAAACGCTAAACTTGAATGAAAACGAAGGGAGAGTGAGAATGAGAATGAGAGAGGCGGAAAAATTACCCGTGGCTTTGCGCTTCAGATAAAATCTTCAAAAACTGGTAAAGGACAAACGAACACTCACAGTGACGGAGAAATGATGTGCTGGAACGACGACAATGCTGCCATGAATGGAAAGGCTCTCACCTCGTCCTCTCACACGTATATATCATCGTCATGTGTAGGTGTGCCTGGGGAGATTTCGGGCGGTGGGGAGCTGCAAGGGATGGATTTCCGCATTGGTTTTTGGATATGCAGATTTACACACACTACAGAATTACTCTGTCATGTGTGTTCTTCGAGGCGCTTGAACAAAGTAAATATTTTAGGAGGTTCCAGGATCTGAGCACCGGATGGATCTACATCGCACATTTTTTAAAACGAACGGTTAGGATTTCACTCGTGTTGGGATCCCGAAGACCTGAAGAATTAATGGGGAGGTCCTTTTTTTCAGTCAAATATTTTCACATGGAAAGATAATTCAGACTCGTAACGCGATTTAATGAATAGTTTTTATTTAGGGTGGCGTTAAGATAATAGTTATATTTCAATTTAATGTTATTACCATTTGACTATACATAAATTATATGTATTTGTATTTGTTACCTATCAACTTATTTTTTTCTATATTTGAAAATCCAAACTCATAAGGCTGCGTTTAGAAAAAAGTATTATTCAAACAAAGCCATAGTTTAAAATCTTTATTAGTTGATTTTGAACACATCGAAAATCTCCACACTAAGTTGAATGGGCAGACCTATGTATTAATCACGTATAATCAACTGTAGCAACCAAAGTATGAACATCATCAATTTCGTTCATTTTAAAAGAAAACAAAAAAACGTGTATCTTCTTGCAAATTGACCATTACTGGTATTTTTAGATCATGAAAAATATTTTGGGGAAAGACAAAAGTGAGGGGAAAAAAAAAACAAAAAAGTATCGACACGCCCATACTTGAATGAAGTAACGTCACTATCCCACCCCACTTGTTTATATTAAAATTTCCGATAAAAAAATAAAATAAAATAAAATAATAATTACAAAATTGAAAAAAATTGTACAATGCCCACATTTATTTCTGGCGGTTGGACCCCACGCTCTGTTTTGCCACGTGGGCCCGTACCAGCTTTGTATCCCCTTCGGAGGCATTTCTTCCTAATAAATAAAAATATACTGTACTAGCATATAAATTAAGATGGGCCGGGTCGAAATATTAAAGAGCCGCCCAAGCCCATAGAAATTGGTCTAGTTTACTAAGTTGACTTTCAAAGTCAAAAGCTTATTAATTAATTTGTTGTGAAGTTGCCATGGCAATGGTACGGATACATAAATTGGTCCAATTTTACACACCACTTTTTCCTCTGTTGTAATTCTTCAACAACAGCGAGCTGCACACGACGCTGACCGACGACGCCGCCATGGCGGCTCCGGCGACCCACGGCGGCAGGCGGAAGCCGGTGGAGGGGAAGAGGGCTCCGGCGGCGAGGGGAATGCTGAGGGCATTGTACCCCAAGGCCCAGAGGTAGTTCAGCCTGATTCTTAGAAGCGTCTTTCTAGAAAGGTCTATGGCAGTTATAACGTCCTCAAGATTGTTCCTCATCAGGACAATGTCCGCCGCCTCAACGGCTATATCCGTGCCGGCGCCGATGGCGATTCCGACGTCCGCCGCCACCAGCGCCGGCGAGTCGTTCACCCCGTCGCCGACCATGGCCACCACGTTGTCTTCGCCCTGCAGTTCCTTCACTTTCTCGGCTTTCTCCCCCGGCTTGGCCTCTGCCACGACGCCGTCGATCCCGACCTATTGAGATTTTATTATTATTATTATTATTATTATTATTATTATTAGTTAATAATAATAATATTAATATTTCAATACTATACTACCTCCCTAGCGATTGCGTTTGCGGTGCCACGATTGTCGCCGGTCACGATAATGCTCTTCACTTTCATTAATTTTAGGGCAGCCACGACTTCTTTGGCCCCTGGTTTGATCGGATCGGACACGGCGAGGATGACGTGGAGCTCCCTGTCGACGGCGACGAATATTCCGGTTTGAGCCGATCGCTCGGCGTCGGCCAGCGTTTCTTCAGCGACAGTTGGGATGTGGACGTTGTGATCCACCATTAAACTCTTGTTTCCGACAAGAACCTCTTTTGTTCTTACAGTGGCCTTCACGCCTTGGCCTGTTATGGACACGAAGTTATGAGCTTCAGGCCAGACATGGCTACCGATCTCTTCATTGTCTTGCCTCAGGCTTTCGGCGTAGTCGACGATTGCCTTAGCCAGAGGATGCTCGCTGTTAACCTCGGCAGCGGCAGCCAGGGAAATGAGCTCGTTAAGATGGGCGTCGGAAATGAGTTTGGTGCCGACAACCACCGGCCTCCCCATTGTGAGAGTTCCGGTCTTGTCGAAAACTACGCAGCTAACCTGTAAGGACAGACCATCCATGTTTAATAAATGTGTATTCCATTAACATTGAACTTTTAGATGAAACTTTTAGATGAGACGATCGTTTTTAACAAAATCTTAATGAATGTAAATGGATCGACCTTATGAGTGCTTTCTAATGCTTGGCCTCCTTTGATGAGGATGCCTTGAGAGGCGCCGACTCCGGTGCCAACCATTACGGCTGTTGGAGTCGCGAGGCCGAGCGCGCAGGGGCAAGCTATGACCATCACTGATATCCCGAACTGAAGTGCAAGCTCGAAGCTATCCATGGAGGAAGGAATCCATGATTTGGGATAAGCATTGAGCTTTCCCGCCGAAAACCAGGCGAACCAAGTGGAAACGGAAAGGGCTATGACCTGCAAAGGAGCAAACAATGTGAATTCATTAGGCTGAAGAATTGTGTAAGATTGTAATGTGTGTGACCTACAAGAGGAACAAAGTATTTGGAGATATGATCTGCAAGTTTTTGGACAGGAGCTTTCGCCATCTGCGCCGATTCGACTAGTCTAACAATTTGCGCTAGCGCGCTCTCGGATCCAACTTTGGTGGCCTTTACGTGCAGCACGCCGTTAGCATTGAGAGTCCCTCCGATCACCTCATCACCCATTTGTTTCGCCACCTGCTTGGATTCTCCAGTGATCATGCTTTCGTTGACATGGCTCTGTCCCCAAACGACGACTCCATCGCAGGGTAATTTTGCACCAGGGACTACCTTGAACACGTCTCTCTTCTGTATGAACCGGCTGTCGATTTCTTCCTCGCTCAACACATTCCCATTGTTGTCCAATTTAAGCAGTGTCGCCGTCTCGGGAGAGAGGTTCATGAGCTTCTCTATGGCCTCAGAAGTCTTCCCCTTGGCTAAAACCTCCAGATACTTCCCAAGCAGTATGAAAGAAATGAGCATCGAACTAGTTTCGAAGAAATCTGTAGACTCAAACTTTGATGAAGTAGCAGCTCTTAAAACAGAGTAAACAGAGTAGAAGTAAGCTGCATTTGTCCCCAATGCAATAAGGACGTCCATGTTTGCAGAACCATGCTTTAATGCTTTGTAAGATCCTATGTAGAATCGTCGGCCGATGACGAACTGAACTGGTGTGGACAGCGTCCACCTCAAAAGCTCTCCTACATTGAGCATGTTGATTACTTTAATTTCGAGCCAACGGTTGATTCCTGGAACATACATAAAGATCATGGACGTTAGGAACACAGGAATTGTGAAAACGAGACTCCATAGAAAAGACCTGTAATACTGCCTAATTTCTTCCTCTCTTTCGGCTGCCTTTCCACCTTTCTCTGGAAATATCATAGCCTTGAAGTTTCCCAATCCAGCAGCCTGAATAGTTTCTATGAAATCTCTAGGCCCTGTTAAATCCGTTTCGAAACATATGGATAGCTTCTTGATCTCTGGATCAAAGTCTATTTCCCTAACCCCTGCCAAAGCTCTAAGAGCATCCCTAACAGCAGTCATTGAATCTTCAGTCTCCACTCCATCAATGTGTAGGTGTATTTTAGAGATGTCTTCTCCTTTGGTGAGGATTGTGCCCTGGAATCCAATGTCTTCAATGGCTTCCAAGATTTGGGTGCAGGACAAGATTCTTGGATCATAATGGACCTCAACTTGTTCATTGGGGGATGAAGCAAGAGCTTTTTGCACTCCTTTTATTGCTCCTAAATAATACTCCACTGTCATGGAACAGGAAATGCAAGCCAGTCCTTGTACTCGAATTCGGCATAATTGAGTGGATCTATCAGTTGTGTCTTCTGAAATCAATCTGGCCTGAAAGCCAGTGTCCTCCATGGTCTCACGGATTGTTTCTTCCTGCAAATGTTATGTTGAAGATATTATTATCTATTACTGTAAGCCAATGAGATCATGAAACATCACAATCTGTTAGCATATCTTAGCTGAATCAGATAACCTTTGATTAAGTGCAAGACATGTAAGAGAATCATATACCGAACATTAACCTTTGACTACTATCATGGGCCAAACTTTAACTGAAGTGCAAGATAAATTAAGGGATTCGATTACTCAATCAATCTGCTTTCCCAATGTTTTAATATTATCAGTGGAAAAAGTTATGGTGCTCCTATGCTTTCATAATGCCTTTGTACTACCAAATTTGTGCCCACTCATTATGTTTCTAATCGTTGTAGTAGCTAATGATGAGGATCGCACTACTGATTACAGTAGTTTTTTTTTTTTTTTTTTTCCAATTTTTATTGAATTGCTTTTTTATCTTTTCTTGGTTTCTACTCCACAGCGATAACAAATTCCTCGGGTAAACAAATACTATCAGGTGTCAAAAGCAAACAGAAAAAGGAAACACCAACGGAATCCGTAATTTGATGGAAACACACAATCCATTATCAGAAAAAGTCCAAACTTCTATGCAATAATACAGCCTATGCATATCTCAGAAACACCAGAGATCATAATAACAACAAATATATGATAATCGCAGCATGTACTGTACAATATATCAACACTTAATATAATATATATATATTTTAAAATAATGATAATAAATATTGACGGTTACCGATAACAGAGGCGTGTGCTAGGCACGTGCCTCCGTTCTTACTTACATTGACGACGGCGGGACAAAACACGACTTGCGCGCGGTGGTTGAGGAAATCGACGGCGGCGTCCTTCACTCCGGGGAGGCGTTTGACGGCTTTCTCCACAGATCCGGCGCAGGCGGAGCACGTCATTCCGGTTACCGAGAACAACGCCGTGGATTCCGCTCCTAGCATGCACTTCTCTTCGTCGTCGGAAGGAACACTGGTCGACGTTCCTTTCGTGCGGTTAGGCATCGACGGATAGCGCGGCGACGAGTTCCCGCCCTCGCTTCTTCTGCACGCCGCTGAAAATAGCTTTGCCGCCATAACTGAGCTGAGCTCCTTTCAAATCATTTTTCTTTTAATTAAATTAATTACAATTGTTCTAAGAGAAAATATAAAAAAACAATTGTGAAGACAATATGTACAATTTCTCATCCATATATAGTAAAATTTTCTAAAGCTTTTTCTCTGAATATGGGCATCATATTTAATTTATTACAAGAAATAATTTATATAATGTGTGATATGATTGTGTTTTCTTTTTATAAAAGGCACCACTTGGTGGTGCAATATAAAAATGGCTGAATAAAAATGTTCGCTAAATTTTTTATTTAAGTAAATATTATATATATTTTGAATATAGTAATTATTAGTGAGAATAAGTTGAAAAGAGACTTTTTTGCAGCTTTGGTTTTTAAATTATTTGTCCTTAGGACAAATATTTCAATTTTTTTTTTCTTCTAAAGACATGGCTTAGTTTATATTTATAATTTTATAGTATAATTTTCTAACATTTGATGTATCATTAATGAAATTTGGGAAAATTTTTGATATGTGAAGTATATAATAATTATAATCATAAAGGTGAAGTTGAGTGTCATCTCTTTGCATATATATTGGCAAGTAAATATGCATTTGCATTTGCATTTGAATTTGAATTCGCATTTGCGGTGGAGACGTGGCTGAAGACGGCAAGACCCTATCTGACTCATTTCCAATTATCTGAAAGAATTTATTTATATATTATACTTTAAAACCAGAAAATGAATTTATTATAATATCTTTTGATGATTTCATTTGTGTGTTGAATTATTCTTTTGTGAGAAAGAAGGAAGCAGAAAGAAGTAAATATAGGCGGTTACTATCCAACACAAAAGTTGCAAAAGTGCTTCTTTTTCTATTTCCTTTTTTATTTAATTTAATTTTTTAAATTTGGATTCCATATTCTTATATATATATATATATATATATTATAGTTTGACGTTATGGGCTCATAGTTCTTTTGAATCTGCTTTACAACAAATCCATGCAGGTTACGTTATCCCTGAAATACCTTTTCAGAATTTATCATCATCATAGGTATATATAGAAATGTTATCATTAATAATTTTTGTTTAAGAAATTGTGACCTAATTAATCATATACAATATCTGTCTATAAAATACTTATATTTAAAATCTATGAACATGCCCTCTGTATAAAGACTACTTTTGTTTGTAAAGGATCAATTGCATGCAGAAAGAAATATACACTACGTACCGTCATAAAAAAAATATAAAAATAATACACTACGTACTAATTTGAGCTATTATTTAATAATACTATATTAAATAAGGTACTTAAATTTCTCTTGATTTATTTCCACTTTGGTATTTTGTTTGTTTTACATAATACTTTGTTTGCTTTCTTTCGGCTTTATTTACTCCAATCTTCACAAAAATAAAAACAATAAAAAAAAAAAAAACGTAATAATAATATATATAAATATATTACACCAATATCGTTGTGCATGTCCCTGTATAACTATACGTGTGTGCTATCTGTGATGGGTAAATAGGACCACGACTGATATATAAATATATATTTTTAAAAAATAAATTAACGAAATAAATAAATATATATATATATATATAATATTCATCTATAAATAATTTGCACGTAAAATCTAGTCAAATAATCAACACGGATATATCATTGGTGTCTATGATCAATTGAATAAAAAATAATTTATGCCACTCAATTATTAAAGATGGTGTATCGATTGTGAAAGAGGCATTTATATATAAGCTAAGTGTGTGTATATATGTATTGTATATATATGTATGTGATTGGTGGAATGTGGTTAGGACCATTGTAAAGTGTAATTAGCTTTCTATTGCAGAAATTTCCTGAGTTTAATGTATAATTTATATGTAAAGATAAATCATTAGATTGTGACGTCATTTAGTTTGTTTATCTTACATTATCATTATAATTGTTGTTATTTTCGTTTCTTTTTACGACCATTTCTAAGGTATCTTTCTCCTTTAAATTTTGAAAAAAGGATGGACAATATTCAATGACTCGTATGGCTCAGCAACTTGTTGAATATTAGCATTGATTGAAGCTACATTCATTATCTTATAAAAAAATAAATAATTTATAAAAGGATTCGAGTTTTTCTAAATAAACCAAAAAAAAAAAAAAAAGATCGCTAAATGTAATGTTAAATATATATATATATATATATATGTATTTGCTATCATATTTTTACAGAAAAAATAAATAGATCAATAGTACAAATTTTGGTTAACAAAATCGTCAAGTAAACACCATTTTATTTTGTTCACTATGTTTTCATTTTCACATTGATTATTTTAATTCATAATATATTATTTTTGTTCCAAATTGATGTGTTTGTTGGTCCAATAAAATCAATACTTGTGTTCTTTTATAATTTTATGACATTTCGAATGTAAAATAAACAATAATATTATATTTTTTTTAGAAAAAAAATAATATTTTGTAAGAAAAATAACATATTGAATATTCTTTTCTTTTCAAATTATATTCCACTCACACAAAATTTCAATGTACACTAAATTAATACTATAAATTTTTAAATTATCAATTTCAAAATAGAAAATACACACACAAATAAAGAAATAAATAGTAATAATAAAAGTGGGGGAAAAGATTTTTGAATAATGCTCCAAATAGAAGCCAACTTTTTTATAAACGTAGTGGAAAGCCTACATCCTCCCATTTTTCCATGCATTACTACTTTAGTCATAATGCGCCATCTTCAAACGATGTTTCTCTGTGTTTCCATTTTATTTTATTTTCTATTAGAGTTTTATTTTTTATTTATTAAATATAAAATTTATTTGCCTTAGTATCTATCTTTGTGTGTCTTTTACTTAAATTCAAAGCATTACATTTATATACAAGATATATATATATTATTTCTTTTTTTTTGGAGTCTTTTTGTTATCTATGTATTCACTTAGTATTTTATTTCTATATATTTTAAAAATAAATTATTTAAAAAATATAATACAATATAATATATATATATAAGTCAAATGTACAAAATCAATAAAAATATACAAAATGTACTATTATTTATAATAATATGTTATATCATATCTTACAATAAAAAATAACTATAAACACTTAACAAACAAAATTTCATTATAAAAACACACTTTTTTATTACAAAAATCATATTCAAATATCACAAGCCTAAATTTATATTTACATATTTCTTTATTTGATAGGATTCATTCACACACACACACACCATCATTATCGACATTTATTATGGGAAATAAAATGCCCTAAACATTGTACACACACAAGGGGGTATTATTGTCATTTCGCAATGCTCGATTCGAACACACCATGCATGCTAGCAAAACAACTTACTACTCAACACTGATCCTTCTCATGGCAAGGGCGTCCAGCTTCTTAGGCCTCTTGTAATTTTTGAGCAAGAGAGAGCTGCACACCACGCTGACGGACGACGCAGCCATTGCAGCTCCGGCGATCCACGGCGGCAGCCGGAATCCCGTCGACGGGAACAGAGCCCCAGCCGCGATCGGGATCCCAAGGATATTGTATCCTAGAGCCCATAGATAGTTCAACCGGATTCGAGAAAACGTCATTCGCGATAGATGTATCGCGGTTATTACATCCTCCAAGTTGCTCTTCATCAGCACGATGTCCGCCGCCTCGATGGCGATGTCAGTCCCGGCGCCAATCGCCATCCCCACATCCGCGGCCACCAGCGCCGGCGAATCATTGATGCCGTCTCCCACCATTGCCACGACGTTCCCGGCAGCCTGTGCATCACATAGTAGACAACATTTGTAATGACATAGTAACTGCAGTTTCTCACGTCATAAAAAATATATATATAATTTAACAATGAATCGGCGTGCCTGTAGTTCCTTCACTTTCTCGGCCTTATGCTCGGGCTTCGCCTCGGCGAAAACCGAGTCTATCCCGACTTCTTTGGCGATCGCATTTGCGGTCCCCCAATTGTCGCCGGTCACTACAATGCTCTTCACTTTCATAGACTTGAGAAAGGAGATGACTTCGCGGGCGCCGGGCTTCAATGGATCGGAGATGGCGAGTATCCCGATGAGCTCGTGGTCGATAGACACGAGAATCCCGGTTTGAGCCAAGGCTTCCGTTTCCGCAAGCATGTCTTCAGCTTCGAGAGAGATGCCGACGTTGTGATCCGTCATTAAACTTTTGTTCCCGACAAGGATCTCTCGACTACGAACAATGGCCTTCACACCGTGTCCGGTTATGGATTCGAAGCTTTCAGTTTCTGGCCAGACCGGATTCTCTTCGTCCTGTCTGAATCTTTTAGCGTGCTCGACAATCGCCTTCGCCAGCGGGTGCTCGCTGTTCGCCTAACAGGAAAGAACACTAATAAGCATTCTCCGACCAACAAAAGATTCTCCGATGATGTGAAAACAGAGTACCTCAGCAGCGGCAACAAGATCGAAAAACTCGGTAAGAGCCATGTTTTTTAGTAGCTTTGTGTTGACAACAACTGGCTTTCCGATCGTAAGCGTCCCGGTCTTGTCGAAGACGATACAGTTCACCTGTTGTTAGAAAATAGATCGTCGGAAATGGAGGGATAACAGCTTCACATATTGTGTTCTTACATAGTGTTGTTTAAGGAACAAGGAACAGACCTTATGAGCGCTTTCTAATGCATGGCCGCCTTTTATTAGAACTCCTTGAGAAGCTCCGACGCCGGTCCCGACCATAACAGCAGTCGGTGTAGCCAAGCCGAGCGCGCACGGGCAGGCGATCACCATTACAGAAATGCCAAACTGCAGCGCAAGTTGGAAGCTATCCATAGAAGAAGGAATCCATGATTTCGGATATCCATTAAACCTTCCAGCAAGAAACCAGGCAAGCCACGTCGAAAACGAAAGAGCAATCACCTATGAATAACATCGAATGAAACCGCAAAGACGTTAGCTAGATCGAATACGAAAGCTTAAACTCGAATGCTCGAAATACCTACCAAAGGAACGAAGAATTTAGAAATACGATCCGCAAGTTTTTGCGCTGGAGCTTTGGCCATTTGCGCTGATTCTACAAGTCGAACGATTTGAGCAAGAGCACTCTCAGATCCTACCCTCGTTGCCTTGATGTGCAGCACGCCGTTGGTATTGACAGTCCCTCCGATCACTATGTCGCCCTTCCTTTTCGCCACTGGTCGAGATTCTCCTGTGATCATGCTCTCGTTCACGTGACTTTGTCCCCAGACGACGAAGCCATCACAAGCTACTTTTGCACCGGGAATGATCTTGACAACATCGTTTTTTTGTATGAGCCGGCTGTCGATTTCCTCTTCATTCAGCACATTTCCATTAGTATCCAGCGCCAGCAAGGTTGCCGTCTCGGGAGCTAAGTCCATCAGCTTCTCAATTGCCTCAGATGTCTTTCCCTTCGCCAAAATTTCGAGATACTTCCCCAGCAATATGAAAGAAATGAGCATCGAGCTTGTCTCGAAGAAATCTGTCGACTCAAAGTTTGGCGAAGTAGCAGCTCTCAAAACAGAGTAAACAGAGTAAAAATAAGCAGCATTCGTTCCTAGCGCGATTAACACGTCCATATTAGCCGAGCCGTGTCTTAATGCTTTGTAAGCGCCAACATAGAATCGCCGTCCGATGATGAACTGAACCGGGGTAGACAATATCCATCTCAAAATCTCCCCAATAGTTAGCATGTTCACAACCTTACGATCCAGACCATGCTTAATTCCAGGGATGTACATAAAGACCATGGAAAGAAGAAAAACCGGGATCGTAAACACCAGACTCCAGAGAAAAGATTTGTAGTATTGCTTAATTTCATTCCTTCTATGGGCTTCTCTTGATCCTCCTTCTGGAAATATTTTAGCCTTGTAGCGCCCCGAGCCAGTCGACTGGATAATATCGATGAAATTCCTTGGTCCTGTCAAGTCTGGTCGGTAAGAAAGTGCTACCTTGTTAAGCTCGAGATCATAGTTAATATCTTGAACTCCCGGCAATGCTTTAAGGGAGCTCTCAATTATTCTCATGGAATTATCTGTGTTCACACCATCGACTTGAAGATGGATTCTGCACCGATCTTCGCCGGTGCTGATCAGAATAGCCTCGAATCCGGTATCCTCCACGGCTTGCAGTATTTGGTTGTATGTCAAGATGTTAGGATCATAAATTACCTCGGCTTCCTCTGTTGCTAAGGCCACTTGTGCTCGACGTATCCCGGGGAGACTTTGGAGACTGGATTCCACAGTTGTAGAACAGGCTGTGCAAGTCATTCCGGTTATCCGAATCCTGCATATTTCAGAAGCTTTCCCGGTCATTTCTTCTTCAATCAACGAGGCTTCAAACCCCACGTCTTCGATTGTCTCGAGGATTGTTTCCTCCTGAACATGTTTTAGGCAGAAGTTAGAGCTCGGACTTATTCAAATGGCAAAGCTCTGCATTATATATGTTCAAAAGGAATAAATAATCAAAGACTTACTAAAATCGAAGAACTGCACAAGCAATTAACATCAAACAGATATACTCAGAGAATATACTCCCTACCAAGAAGTCTAAATTATTCTAGAGAATAAAAGAAGCCAGAAAGCAAATTCCCAATGGCTTCAACAATTTCTTGCAGGTTGAATAAGATCAAGAAACTAAAACTGCATTTCATGCTTGAATAGGAAGCAGAATATATCCAAAGAACAGAATAAATTCCATTTTGTGATTGGAATGTAAAAGCACCAAACAGTGTATGTGCGGTTGTTTGTGATTTCGAATTTGTTTTAGCACCGTTTTCTCCATAAAATAACATCAAATATGTATTTTGAGTTCAAAACTTATCCAAATTTCTATTATTTCCAAAGCCATTCAAAAATATATAAACGAGCTCACGTTGCTTCCAATTCAAGAAATGGTAAAATGAATAAACTCCAAATTTAATTTAATTTCACCAAAGATTAAACAGTATATATATACATACATATAATATACATATAAATTCATAGGGGCTTACGTTAACAAAAGCTGGGTAGAACATGACTTGAGCGCGGTTGTTCAAAACATCGACGACGGCCTCCTTGATTCCGGGGAGACGTTTGACGGCCTTCTCGACGGAGCCGGCGCAGGCGGAGCAAGTCATCCCGGTGACGGAGAATATCGCCTTGGCCTCTGCTCCTTGCATGAATTTCTCTTCATCGGATGATGAAGCCTTGTGGCCGCTAGGGTATTTGGGCATCGAAGGATAGTGAGGTCGAGGCGACAGATTCCCACTGTCGTTGGGGCGTATGCACGCCATCGACAGAAACTTGGCCGTCGCCATTATCGATTGCCGGATTTCCTACTCCGATCCGGTCGAATCGAAGCTCAGAGCTTTCTTTAATTACTGATTGGGATAGATAGGGTTTTGATTGGGGATCGGAATCACATATGATTTTGCTGCTGCTGGTGCTAGAGGTTGTTGAGTTTGAAATCGGCGATTTGCATTTGCTGCGGTTTTATAGGTAGGCTTTAGCGTTTTCAATGTCAACTTTGCGTTAACGTCTACAACAAAAATGGTTCTTTCGGTATTACGTCTGCAACAAAAATGATGCTTCTTTCTTCAAAGATCCTGGATCTCAACGCCAGATTAATCCACACCGTTCGTTAGAGGGGATACTACATGAACGGTTCTGATCTGTCGCAATCATTTTGGAGAAGATGGTTCAAACTTTTGTTTCGAATAAAATAATATACATTTTTTGTAATTAAGAAGATTTTGTTAGGGTGTGTTTGTTTGGGTTTGGATTTTGAGTTCTGAATTAGTAAAAATTTTGAATTTGAATAATTGTATAATGTTATGTAAATAGGTGTTGATGTGATATTTTGAATATAAAATTGATTTTTAGTATAATATAAAAAATAAAAAATAGGTGTTTTATTTGATGTTTTTTGGAAAAAAAATTGGATAAATAATGTAAATTCAATCCAATCCCCCAAACAAACACCCTTATTGGATAAACACTACTTACAATAGTACTAGTTCCGTCTTACAACTCCCGTCCACATTGCTGGATTAATCCTTCCCACATTTTATTTTCATTTTCTTTAATTTTAATTTTATTTTTATTTTTTTAATTTTAATTTTAATTTATAATTATTTTTATTAATATATTCCTTAATTATTTATTAATTATATATTCTTTTTTAAAAAAAGGTGAACAAAGGGAGGTTGATTGACTATATTCATTTGTATCATTTTTGCCTTTTCTTTTATAAAATATAAAAAAAATTTCCCAATAAAAAAGAATTACATGCTATAAAATATCAAATCACTTACTCATTTGTATAAAATCGAACCTGAATATCATAGTGTATACATGTGGTAAGAATATATATACATTGTAATATGATTAAATTCCATCTAATCATTTGTTCCTTAAGGAATCTTTCCATCCGATGGTAGTTAAGATTCCTATCATTTTTCTTCTTTATTTCAACATATGCATCAATACACGTAACAATTTGTGTTAATTAATTCCCAGATATAGATCTATACTTTTATTAATATATATCTTTGATAGATCTATATTTTCTTATGTCAGCTGCAAAATGTCAAAGGTTGTGCGTAGTAATAACATAGTGTTATGGTGAGTTATCAAATGAATACATTCCTAAATATGGAAAATAAATTATGTGGCTGAACATTGTTTAACACGTTGTCCAAGTTGAATCTCAAATCCAAATATATATATATATTTATATATACACGTACACGTACACACGTACATAAATATATAGGCACGTATATATGTGTACAATTAAAAAAAAAAAAAAAAAGTCAGCATGCAAAAACATATAATTGTAGTGCTAATCTAATGCACGTAGTCCATGACATAATATAACACGTTATGCTATTATTCAATATTTGTAAACAGACATTTGACTAACTCACAAGGTATTTACTGTAATAATAATAATAATAAGAGTTGTTTCAACACATTTGTAGGTTTTATTCATCACTATCATCTTCTTCAACTTTGAACAATTTCTGTTTAATTTTGTTACCTTTGAAATATTATTAATCAGCACTATGAGCTCTATTATTATACAAAATTTGTAAGATGACACTACAATTTTAAATACAATTCATATTAAATACTATATTATTGAACTATTATCTTAATGCTTCCAAAATCCAACTACATCTTACTTACGCATCTTAACAAATTATTATTCTATATTCTCCATTCTTAATCGACAAGGAAATTGGGCTTCTCAAGTAATCTAACCTGATCAGCTAAGTGGGCCCCAAGTTCCGTTCGGACCACGCAAAAACTTTAAAATTAGAAATCGGCCCAAAACTTCTAAGTTATTGACTTTGAGCCCACAAAAGGCATTTGTTATTTTCAGACACAAGCACAACAAAACCGTCCTTAATATTTCTTACCAGGAAGATAATAAGCTGCAAAGATGTCCGCAGCAGGTTCTTCCAAACAGATAAAAATCAAAATAAACAAAACAGAAGAGGTTCTTCAAGCTACTTACGATGATCCTGCACCATAAACCTGAATTCGTTGCTCGATCGGGACCATGCAGTAAGGGCACGAATCTCTGCCTTTCTTCCCGAAGCCATTGTTGCAGTCGGAGCAGATGACCTGATGAGTGCAGGGAAGAAACACCACAGACACTTCCTTGTTCATGCACATCGTGCATCGCCTGCCCTTCTGAATCTCATCCGCTCCAGACTTTTCTCGATCGTGCATCATCAGCAGCTTCGCAATGTGTCCGTTTACGCCTGTCGATTGGCTCTCCGCCTGCTTAAGACGAGCGTACTCTTGCTCGAGGCGCTGCAGATCGTCTTTCTGGCGCTGCAGATCCATCTCCGTCTTTTGCCGTAGCGACTCGAGCTTCCTTTTGTTGTTCGCCTCGGCTGCCTCCAGAAGACGCCGCTCCTCCTTTATCTGTGCAATGAGCTCCGCTTTCGACTTTTGCTCCTGTCTCCATTTTTCCTTCAACAATAACAATCGAAAACACCGAGTTATTCACTTACGGGATTCATATTTGTTAAAAATGACCATATCGTTTAAAGATAAGAGATGCATTATTTATTTATATACAATAGAGTCAAACAACACGAGCCATGCAAGGTGAATATATACCCGAACCCAAGAGGTTCCGACTATGATACCGTTTCACCTAAAACTTTAAACGTAATGGATACAGAATCATTTACTTATATATACACAATAGTGTCAACCAAATATGCCTTCTCACATGCAAGGAATGTTACCACTCTGATCGGGTTAAATTTAGCCTAAAAGTTAAGCATAAATTATTATAGAGTCAACCAACAATATACTTTGAAAGTTATCACCATGGCATCTCATTTGCTTGTATGTTATGCACAATTTACCTCAAACTCTTTAGTGTCAATCTCCGTCTGCTCGATCGCCTGCTGAAGCTCGGAGATTCTCTGTTTCTCAACTGCAATGTCTTGCTGCAATTTCGTCGTCTGCTTCTCACAAGCTATAAGCTTCTTGCGGCACTTCTTCTCCCGCTTCATTGACTCCATACAGGCGGCTGCGGATTCAGATTCCCTCAACTTATATGCCTCCAATTCGGCTTTGAATTCAGCATTCTGAACCTCAAGTTTTCCGACTGCAGCATTCACACGTTCCACATGCCCGCCCGCTATCTTCAGAGCATCCTCGATTTCCCTAAGGCCTTTCATGGTGGCGGATTCGAGAGCCGGTTTCTCCTTTTCTTGTCTCTGCCTTTCCTCTCTCTCAAGCCGCAGCATTTTCAGCTCGGCCAAATCATGGCTTAGCTTTCGAGCTGCTTGCGTCGCCTTCTCATAGGCCCACTCCTTCCGCACCTTCACCTGTTGCTCCAAGTCCGCAATCTGCTCATTCAAATTGCAAACCATTTCATCATTCTGGTATGAATTCTCATCAAGATTCAAGCCCTGAAACTTGTCCATCACTGAGTCCAACACTTGCTGATTCTTCTTAGCATATGAGGAGTATTCCTCATCGATTTTCCCCAAAACATCAGCATCTGAACAAGATCCACTACACGAACTTGAATCCCCACCCGACACGACTTTGTGGCCTGCCTTCGACCCCCTCTGAAACTGCTTCGAATTAGACCTCAATCCGGCAGCAAACACAGCAACATTCCTCTTTAAAAGACTCCTCATAGATGGACTGAGGTTAAACCTCTTAGGACACTCAATCCCTCCCCGCAAAGGCCTTTCATCATTGCCGAAACCCCAACCTCCATGAAACTTATACAATGCATCTCCAGACCTTCCGCCACCACTTTCAGAACTACCATCACTTCCAAGCTCATCAGGTGGACGATGAACAGGTGAATCCGTAAAGCTTGCTCTGCGGACATTGAGATCATGCATCAACAAACACATCATAGCATCACCCCTGCTTGAATGAGGCTTCACTTTCTGCAAAAGGGAAATCATTCTGCTGATTGAAAACTCCTCCAGCTGCCTCAAATCCGAAAATGAAGTGTCCAGAACCTCACCAAATCCCTTACCACTCTCACCACGCTTAAGATAAACCAAGGCATTATGCATAATATTAGATAGAGCATCCATCCCTCCATAACAATGGCCATTTCTCAAAATAGCATTCATCGAAGCTTCTTTACTGTAACCCAACCCTACGAGTTTTTCTATCGCCTGATTGTACACAGAATCCAATTTCTTCAGCAACATTCCCTCTAACTGTTCCTCAGTGCATTCCCCCCACCCTTCATCATCCAATTTAGGATTATTCGGCTTGAAAGTAACGGGAGCCGCATCGTGATTTTGGGTGTTTGCTCTAGGTTTAGACTTGCCTGATTTCTCAATATCGCAATTAATGGAGGTAGAACGATCGGGGCCGAGTTTCGCCGATCGATTACTCCGATTTGCTCGAGTATGCTTCGCCTTAACAGTGCAGCCCATTACACCGATCTCCCAACTCGATTAAATAAATCTACAAATAATTACAAGAACCATACCGTAAGCGAAATGTTCGAAACGAATAATCCCCTTCACAAACAAACATGAAATACATCAAAAACAGAACGCAAAAGCTTCGACTGCGGTATTAGAGCGACGATTCCGGTCGCGCAGTGGATTTGTAAGAAATTTTGTAAGTTGCAGAAAGCCTCTGCATTTGGCGGTAGTGAAGGGAAGGGAAGGGAAGGGAATGGGAAGAAATGTCCGCAGTTTGGGCCTTTGGGGCGAAAAAAACGACAGTACGGTCTGCCAGACGTAGCACCCAAATGTCTAATTCGGGTCGGGTATATATGGATTGATTTTTTATTGAAAAAATATATATTTTGAAAAAATTGCAATGATGATTATTTATCTAACAATTTATTTTCTTGAGGCACTCAACTGAAATACTATCAAAATAGAAAGTAGGATACGTTCGGACATTAACCAAAAAAATAAATAAATTATTATAAACAATTAAAATTGAATTTGTACCCAAAAAATATATATATATAGCTTGGATATATTGTTAATATACTTTATTATTATCATTATTATTATTATTTCAAAATTATGGAGTTGTAGTTTAGTTTTAAGTGAAACAATGATCAAATTCAGGATGAAACTCACTGAAGCCCATTAATGAGAAAGGCCCAATAATTTGGGGAATTAGGGTTTCTCCTAATAATAACAATTAACAGCTAAGAACATTTTTATTAGGGGTTCTCCGATAAACAACTAGGTCAGCTACGAACAAAGAAACAAATACACTTCCAGCATACAAACAGAGACTCAAATTCCTTCCCAATCGAAAGAGGTGCTGATGATATGAGATGATATGATTGCGAAGGAACTAAGAGGTGTTTATTGGAGCTTGGATTGACATCCATAGGAGCAATAGCACATGGCTCGAGATCTGTAGAGAGCTCGGCAAGATCCGGCAGCCTTGCCGCATCCCCAGCGTTCGATGCACTTGTATTTGCATTCGTATTCGTTGTCGCAGTACCCAAGCAGTTCCTCACACGATTCTCGTAATTGATTCGAGTTCAACTCACCGCACTCCACTATTGTGTTTCCTGTACAGAAGAAGAAGAAGAAGTTACACATGGAATGGAAGAAACAAAAACTAAATCAAAAGCAAATCGAAAACAAGAAGAAGGAGAAGAAAATCAATTAGTACCTGCTGCAAGGATGAGAGTACAGAGAAGAAAGAAGATTGCATTGCTCTTCGCCATTTTTGAGTATTGAGAAATTGAGAGTGCTCTGATAGTGATATCATATATATACACATTTGGAGAGAGAGAGAGAGAGAGGCGAGGGAGGACTTATATTTTATGTTACTTTGTGATGATCTTATTAAAGATGCTAAAGTGTGGGCAAAGTAAAGGCAAGAATCATATTAAAATTAAAAAAAAATAAAATAAAATAGTTGGGACATTGTGCCAAGATTATTAAAAAATAAAAACTATAGTTTTGACCGTAAGTAAAAAACATAAAAATAGCATTATCATAGTCTACACGTTATATATTATATTCTCTCCATTCTAAACTAAAATATATTTAAATTTTTTATATTGGGATAAAATTGATAAATTTTAATTATATTATAATCAAAATTAATTTTTTTTATTTTTATTTAAATTATAAAAATATCATAACATATATAAATACATAAAATACAAAAAGATAAAAATATATTTATTACTCTTTTATCAGTAAAATGATATTTTTAGAGTAAATTATTCAAATATAAAGATATTTTTAATATCAAATACAATAAAAAAAAATCAAATGGCAACTTTGCGGAGAGAGTATTATATATTTTTATTAATTAATAAAATATTAAGTAGAGCTTATTTGAATTTTGACAAAACAAAGTAATTGATTTCATTATTAGTATACAATACATATAAAATAAAGCAGAACCAAACCAAATGAAACTTAACATTTAACAAGATAAAAGTTTATTAGTCATCGAAAACAAAAGTAGATATGCATATCTACTTTATTATATTGAAACTTACACTTAAACATAAATAAATAAAGTGAGCATACATGTGCTAAAAAGCACAGTCACCAAACAACCTTCACAAACAAAGGACATTATTCATCAAAACCGAAATAAATATACAAATTTTACTATAAAAAACACAATCAGACACGTGAAACTTACCATCAAATAATCTCCAATAAACAAAGGGCAAAATAAAACTTTACTACTCATTCCAATAATAATAATAATAATAATAAAAGTTTATTATTGATTGAAACCAAAGTAGATATGCATATCTCTACCATTGACTTTTTTATGTATACGATCATCTAGACTCCGTGTAGATAAAAAGAAGTTATTGAAATTTTTTTAAGTAAATGAAAAAAAATAAAATTATTTAATATGATATTTTACAAGAAAATATATATTTAATAAGTATTTTTTAAAGAAAAAAGTTAAAGTTAGTGAATATAATTAAAACTTTCAAAACGGTGTAGGAGCCATAATTTTAACACCTAATTTAAATTATTTTTTCTAAACCAACAAATTTATTGCATACTATTGAAATTACAACTTAATGGGCCTGTGTTCGGTCTATTTTAAGGCCCATTGAGTATGGCTCATATTAGTCATATACATATGGAAAATATATATGCTTATAAAGGTGATTGGATCGGATTCACAAACCCGGCCGAAGCCTTCTGCAAAAGACCGGTTGAGGCTTGCAACAGTAAGACTACCGGACTAACTATTTTTGTATTTAGGCTACACAACTACTAGAGTACTAAGGAATCCAACCGAATAAAATTTGAAGTGTTTATTTTTGTTTGTTAATGTTCACGGACAAAACTCATATTTGTTTGTATTGTTCAAGCCCATCTTATTAAAAACTCGAATAAGAGCGTTTGAGTTTGTTTGGATAAACATGATATTTTATTTTTTATTATATATAATATTTTATTTATTTCTTAATTTTTAATCAATAATTCTATATGTTATTTTATATATGTATTTTTTAATGAATTATTTATATTATTTCACTCGACTTGTTAATGTTCACACACAGCTCAATTCATTTAACAATTCTATATAGAACTTACACTATTGATATACAGGAAAAATTTATTTCATTTGCTACAAATATTTAATCTCATCTTTTTATATAAATGAAATGTGTTATTGGTAGTTTATTTGTTTAATTTAAATATATATAATAAATAAGGTTATGTTGATTTGTTTGTTTAATGTTTTGATTTGAGATTTTTTATATTACATAAATGATATATCATAGATAATATAAAAATATATTTATTCCAAAAAAATATAATTGATTTGTTTGTTTAGTATTTTGATTTGAGATTTTTTTTTTTTTTATGTGAAGCATATGGAATTATGTCGATAATATAAAAAAAAATTATATTTTATGTCGAATATTGATTTTTATGAAAAAATAAAATATATATTAAAAATTGTATAAAAGAAAAAATTGACAAACAAACGTAAATACATCATAACATACTATAATATATCAAATTATTCATTTTTCAATATACATTTTTTTTATTAATGTTATATAATTTTTGAACTCACAATCTCATGATATCATGCCACTAGACTCCTTTACACGCTTTAATTATTATTATTTTTTTTCTAAAATATCATAACAATTTCCTTAAAAGATTAAAATAAGAATGCTGGAATTAAATAAATGAATAAAAAAAATGATTAACTTCGACATAAACTAATTATGTTAATGTTATCAAATCATATATGTCGTTTCAATTACTCATTTTTATTTTCAAGTTTTAAGCTTTAATTAGTATTATTTTAATACTTTGCTTTCTATTTTACCATAAATGCAATGAGTTCGTTATTAATCATCGATTACTTTTGACTTATAGTTGAAATTAAATAAATTAGATGAGAAAATAAAACACTAAACGACTATATATAGCAAACTTTACTATATTACAACATATTTCTTACAATAATCTATATACCTAATGCCAATCATAGTTACCATTTTGATCTAATCTACAAAACATGCATACGTACAAAGCTTTCTCTCTTATATATATATATAGCTCGAACAACACATTGCATTAGCTACGCATACAATGACAAGTTTAAACATAGTTTTCCTTGTCTCCTTAGTTCTTAGTCTCATATTTGGTAAGATATTGATTAATTTAATTTTACTTTTATTTTATTTTTTTAAAGTTTGTTTATTTGATAGCTATTTTTATTATTTATCTTTTTCAATTCTACAGAAAAATATATTATATTTTACAAAATATTATATCAAAATCACTATCTAAACACACCTAGAATGTGCTTAAATATATTTTAAAGGTTTTTGAAAATTAAATAAAAAATAAGCATTAGGAAAGAAAAAATAATTATGACAAAATCATACAAAAATATAAAATTTAAAATAAGTAAATAGAGTGTTTGTTTAGCATTTATAGGTTTATATATGTTTATTATAAGACGTACATTTGAATACGATTTTTAAAAATGGTGTATTCGCTAAAATGTTAAACAAACTTAATATTTCCATTTTACAAATAGTAATTCGTATATATACATGTATGCAGTCACAAAATATGAAGGATTTGTGGAAGGACAGTTGCCGGAAGCGCAGCCGTTGGAGATGTGTACAGAGGGGATGGGCTTGTTGTGCAGAGACATGAGCAATAGCACTGAATGTAATAAAAAATGTATGAAGAAACATCATTCCGAAAATACCTATGGGACATGTGAGCAAATAACTCCCAACACACCATTTCTCTGTTATTGTAACTACGAGTGTTGAAATAATACAACCATATTTTTTATGTATACAAACAGGTTGTAATAATGAATCAAGACAAATGTTTGTTCCTTTTTAGTTTCACATTAATTTTTATTATTGATCTATATTTTTCAAAATAAACATATCTTTTTTCTACTCGCAAAATATTATTTTAAAAAATTAAAACACCCAAAACAGATCCTAAGTTGTTTGTGTTCATCTTAATTATAAAATCAAAATATACATACAATCATATGATTGTACAAATAAAATTACATGATAAAATTATTAATTTATGCGCCATTTGTAGCATGCATATTGCCACGTGTTGCTGCAACATAGTAAGAAATTATGAGCTATATTTTGAATTGTCTTGCGAACTAATACTTTTTGAACTAAAAAATCAAAATTCGACAATGCATGAGTGAATGCAAAACACACGGTACACAAACATACATCTATATCGCTTCGAATCAACGGTCAAATTAGCGCTAAATTGATGGACGGTCAAGATTGAGTCTCGGTTTATAATATATACTTTTATGAAAGTACTACCATTTAAACATAATATTTTTATCTTTCTTTTTCCGTTCCCGTTAACCACTGAAAGCGCCGTCGCATTCCTTCGTGTACAATTATCGAGAGTCGAGCACCGAAGAATCTGAATTCAACGAATCGGAGTAACCGAGTGGTTGGAATGTCATTTGAAGGTTTAATCCGACGCCGACGATAGTGTGGGGATAGGGTATTCAAAGCTCGTCGATCGAGCCATCTTTCCAGCGTTAGTTTACTGAAGTATGTAAGTACTCCTTCCCTTCGCCATTAATGCTTTCGAGATTCATTGCAAATCTATTGCTCCGTCGTCAGTTGATATTGTGTATTTTATGCCGGAGATTCGTTTTGGTTTTACTCGATGGTAAATTAGGGTTTTATCAATTTGCTAACTAATTAGGAAATTTATATTGTTGACGGAATCTCGAATTCCGGCGAGTCCGATTGCTATAATGGCTGGAGAGTTGTCACCATAAGAATTACTTTGAGACGAATTAGAAAATTAATTCGAGACATTGATGGTTGACTTGCCAGTGGAGCAATGTGTGGAAATAGATAATGTAATGAATTGTTTCATTCCTCGTAGATGATGATATGCCTTCAGTGGATTTCTGTGTCTCAATAATCTGAAAATTTCTGTGTTGTCAAGTAGAGATTTGTCCTATGGATCTAGAACCTGAAGCATCGGAGAATAAGTATGCCGCTGATTTTCCTTCTATAAAAGCTGCGCAAGAACGCATCAGTTCGTATGTGCACACAACTCCTGTCCTGTCCTCAGAAACCCTAAATTCCATGTCCGGAAGACGGCTGTTCTTCAAATGCGAATGCTTTCAGAAAGGGTGAGATCAGTGTCACTTTGCAATTTAGTTTAGATTTTCATTCCTACATAGCACTGCGCATATCATTCCATGATTCAAATGATCTAGGCAAGTTCTCTAAGCCTTTTCCTTGTGCATCAGAGGAGCATTCAAATTCAGGGGAGCCTGCAATGCTGTATTCTCACTACCTGATGATCAGGCAGTTAAAGGTGTCGTAACCCACAGCAGGTTTGTTCTAAGATTGTACAACTGCTTTCTTGATATGCTTTATTGTATTCCATCTTGATCGATCTTATGAGTCCAAACAGTGGCAACCACGCTGCGGCACTTTCTTTAGCTGCAAAACTGCGAGGAATACCTGCACATATAGTCATTCCCGAAAATGCTCCGAAATGCAAAGTTGAGAATGTCTTGCGCTATGGTGGTCGTGTTACTTGGAGTGAGGCTGCCATGCGATCTAGGGAGGAGGTTGCTGCAAAGGTTATACAAGAGACGGGTGCTGTCCTAATTCATCCGTATAATGATAGCCGTATCATAAGGTATAATGTTTGTAAACATAGCCAATTTTCTAATTGCATAAATTTAAGAAATTTGCTTACAGTGGACAGGGGACCATCTCTCTTGAGCTTGTACAACAAATCCCTCAAATTGACACTATAATAGTTCCAATAAGTGGTATGTCTCTTATTATATCGATTTGCTCAGAGCCTAAACTTCTCAACGGATTTTAACACTTACATCTTCCAGTCGTAAACTGTAGGAGGCGGCTTGATTTCAGGGGTGGCAATAGCTGCAAAGTCGATCAACCCCAAAATCAGGATATTGGCTGCTGAGCCAAAAGGAGCAGATGATGCTGCTCAGTCCAAAGCATCTGGAAAAATCATAACATTACCGGAAACCAAGACCATTGCAGACGGTCTACGAGCTTTTCTCGGAAGCCTCACATGGTACAAATAATTCTTAGATCACACAAAAGTAATCATGTTCTAATTTCTATGTGCCATTTGATCCTGCTTGCCCAATAAATGCCTTTTGATCACTGTAGGCCTGTTGTGAGAGATTTAGTGGATGACATAATAGTTGTCGACGATAAAGAGGTTATAGAAGCAATGAGGCTCTGCTACAATATTCTGAAGGTGGCCGTAGAGCCGAGTGGGGCTATTGGCCTTGCGGCTGTTCTCTCCGACAGATTCAGGAATAATCCGGCCTGGAAAGATTGCGACAACGTCGGGATTATAGTTTCAGGAGGTAATGTTGATCTGGATGTGCTATGGGAGGCTCTGAGCAAGCAAGCATGAACTGCCTTCCCAGGAATTCCTCCAATTTCAGAAGGTTTGCTTCTCATTACTTAGGAAATTATCATTCCTTTATTATCTTTATTATTAATTTATTTCCAGATCTAGTTTTTGAACGTGACAATTTGCAATATTTATTTTTGTCTTTGCAGTTAAATTCCTTGTGGTTAGAAGTCTTTGCTGCAATCACCAGTGAAGTTAGAATAATAAATTAGCCTCTGTATCAGAAATTTCATGGTCGTTTAATTATTATCATTAAGTTGTGGACCTCGTTTTTATGTGAACACTTCTAACAACACAACACAAGCAAAACACTGCGGTAGCGTTTAACCACTCTCTACTCATCCGCTTCAAATATGTGGTTTGTTTTCTTATTCATTATTTATTTATTTAATCTATTATTATTTTAAAATATATTAAAAATGATTTCTTTTGATAGTTATGTAAAGATATTTATGACTGATTTGTCTTTTTTTTTTTTTTTTTTTTGTTTATCTATATGTATATATTTAGTTGTGGCAGGCTCGGATAAAACAAACATGCAACTTTGAAAGGTGAATTGGGCCGGCTCAGTTTAGAATTTAGCCCGCTGAGTTGGCCCACAGCCACTCATTGTTCTTTTATCTGCTCGTCCCACCGCCATTCGCCTGCTTCAGTCCGAGTTTGAGCAGGTTAGTATTTTCAATTTTGGAAATTTCTTTTGATGAGTTTGCTTGAATTATTGAATTAGGAGATTCGGGGATTGAGAAATGTAAGAAAGATGAAGAGTCTCTGAAATATCGCGCAGGTTTGAGATTCCGATCTATTCCAAAGCTTGAGGTGGAATTCGAATCAAGGATATGTGCCATGGCGGTTGAAGAAGAACTGTTGGTAACAACCTTCTTCGTTTCTGGTAATTGGAGAAACCCTAAGTGGTTCCATTCCTTAATAATTTTTGTGTGTGGTTCATTTTCGAACTTCCGTCGTTCACAAAATCATTTGATCGTTGTCATTTGCTCTTCACTCGTTTCGCAGAAAGCAGCCGCTCAACAGCAAGTGGAAGAGAGATAAGGGAGCGCATCTCGTTTTCGTTTCGTCTTCGTATTTCAGCATCCATATTGACTCAAAGACTCCGCGGTTTAATCCGATGCTAACGATAGTGTAGGGTTAGGGTGTTTGGCGCTCGTTGAGTCTTCTTTCCGGCGTTTGTTTACTGTAAGTATTCCTTCCCTTTGCCGTTAATGCTTCATCAGTAAATATATGTTTGTTATCCCGGCGATTTGGTTTGCTTCCGAGATTTCATGGGGAAACTATTGCTCCGTTAGTTGATATTGTGTATGCTGTGACGGCTTTTACTCGCTGTTATTGTTAGATGAAAATTAGGGTTTTATCGATTGGCTAATTCGCTGGGAAATTTGTACTGTTGACGGAATCTCGGATACTTCCTGCCGAGTCGCTATTGGATGAGTTTTTGTTACCGTAGATATTTTTTTTGAGACGAATTAGGAAAATATTGGAGATATTGATTCACCAGAGGAGAAATTCGTAGAAACTTTATACTGTAATAATTTATTGGTTAGAAAGTCTTTGCAGCAATCGCCAGTGAAGTTGGAATGATAATTTAGCCCTCTATGTCTTGGAATTTCATGATCGCTTAAATATCTGTGTTTTACGACGTCGTTTTATGTGAACACGGTAGCGTTAACCACTTTCCACTCATCCGTTTCAAATATGTGGTTTGTTTTCTTATCCATTATTATTATTATTATTATTTAAATATATTAATGATTTCTTTTAATAGTTATAAAAAGATATTTAATATACTGGTTTGTCTTTTTTTTTTTTTGATATGTATATAATTAGTTGTGGCAGGCCGGATAATACAAATATGCAAATATGAAAGGTGAATTGGGCCGGCCCAATTTAGAATGAAGTTGGGCCACAGTCGCTCATCGTTCTTTTAAATGCTCGTCTCACCGTCATTAGCCTGTGCTTCAGTCTCAGTTTTAGCAGGTTAGTGTTTTCACAATTTGAAAGATGAAGAGTCTCTGAAATATTGCGCGGTTTTGAGATTCCGATCTATTTCAATGCTTGAAGTGGAATTCGAATCAAGGATTTGTGCCATGGCGGTTGAAGAAGAATTGTTGGTAAACAACCTTCTTCGTTTCTGGTAATTGAAGAAACCCTAAGTTATTCCATTCCTTAATGATTTTAGTGTGTGTTTTTGTTCGAATTTCCGTCAGTCATTTTATCGTTGTCGTTTGCTATTGACTCGTTTCGCAGGAAGCAGCCGCACATCACGAGAAAGAGAGATAAGGAAGCGCATCACGTTTCTCGTATCTACGTCGTCTTGTCTTCGCATTTCAGCATCCATACCGACTCAAAGACTCCGCTGTCTAATCCGATGCTAACGATGGTGTAGGGTTAGGGTGTTCGGTACTCGTTGAGTCTTGTTTCCGGCGTTTGTTTACTGTAAGTATTCCTTCCCTTTGCCGTTAATGCTTCCTCAGTGAATATTATGTGTGTTATCCCGGCGATTTGGTTTGCCTCCGAGATTCCATAGGGAATCTATTACTCCGTTAGTTGATATTGTGTATGCTGTGACGGTTTTTACTTGCTCTTATTGTTAGATGAAAATTAGGGTTTTATCGATTGGCTGATTCGCTGGGAAATTTGTACTGTTGACGGAATCTCTGATAATTTCTGCCGAGTCTGGCTGCTATTGGATGAATTGTTGTTACCATAGATATTAGTTTTGAGACAATTAGAAAAATAATTCTAGACATTGATGATTGATTCAACTGAGGAGAAATGCGTAGAAACTTGATAATGTAATAATTTGTTTATGCCTCGTAGCTGATGATATGCCTTCTGTTAAATTCAACGTCTGAATATTTCAGTGTGTTGGAGATGTGTCCTATGGATCCAGGAGCTTATGCAATGCATGTATTATCATCATCATCGTCATCATCGCATCAGCTTCTTGAATCCATGGAACACATCACTAAAAAATTAATTACTCGAGAAAGATGCTATAGGTTTACAGGAAAAATTAATTACTCAAGAGAGATGGTATAGGTTTACAGGAGGTTTAGGGTTTCGGCAGTCATATTGTTAGAAGTATAGGTTATGGAAAAAAATGATAACCCGAGAGAGATGATCCCCAAGCAAATCACATAAAACTGCAAATTTAGAATATTGTTTTTGCTTAGAAAACATTATACCTTAGGGAGGAGGTTTGAAGGCATTTTCTTACAGTGGTTTCTTACGTAATCATTTCTTTCCGGTTTACCATTTTGTTCATAATCTACATTTGATGTTAGATTTAACATATTTTTTCTAGTTGTAAACTGTGGGAAGTGGTCAAGCCAAAAGGATCAGATGATGCTGCTCGATCTAATGCTTCTGGCATAATTGGAACTTTATGAGAAATCAGGTCCATTGCTCTTGGTCTTCGAGCATTTTTAAACCTCACATGGTATAAATCCTAGATAAGCTATCAATTCCCAATTCCATCCATTCTATATGTCTATTGCAATTTAACTGTGTTTGTTGCAGCATCTTGTGGTATGATTTCCTTACACCAAAAGATGAATTGGTAAGATTCTGGTATGATTTTATCTCTTTCTTCAGCCCAATTTTATCTTGTTTCATCTCATTATTTTGTTGCTAGCTATCACTTAGTTATATTTATATATAGTCCTCTTGGTTTTAATGACTAGATGACTTTTGTATTAGAAAAGTGTCAGGGAAACCAATTAGGATTTTTGTTCTGTAGAACACTCAACACTCTTTTCACACTCTACCTTTGAATGGTGTCAAAACGTAAAACTACACCAACAGCATTTTATACATCATTCAAAATCTGGGGTTTAATCTATAGTTTTCATGCAAAATTTAAATTGAGCAAAATGCCATATATACAGGTCAATATAGCTGATAGATAAATTGTTGTCTGCTCAAATGTTTCCTTTTTTTTTTTTTTTTGTTGTTGTTGTTGTTATTAGCGTTAATATATCTAAATTACTACTGATTTAGATCATATTCCTTTTTTAGTATACGTGGCTGCCTGTTTTTTAGTTTTTGTTTTTTTTAATATCTGGTGTGCATTATTTTACCTTCCACATTGTACCCTGTATGTAGCATTATTTTTTATTTTTGTCGTGGCTCTAAGAGCTACTGGTGTTTGGTAAACACGTGGCAAGAGAGCTCAACCTATTATGTAGCTTATCATTTTCTACGTTTCTTCATGTGCTGTAGCCTCGAAATATATATATTTGTAGGTTTTATTATCGTATAAAATTATAAATATTGAGTTGATTGATGAATTTTATCACAATTTGATGAAATTAGTATATTTGAAATCAACTGCAAACAACGTTATTCGGTTTTATATAAATAAAATAAACATTCACATAATTAAAAATTGTAGATATTGTTTTTACTAGAAATATATATCTATAAATTTCCGTAAGTTGTCAATCAGATATCCCAAAGAAAAAGTGCTAGTCTACCATAATAGTAATTCGGCCGCATAGGTGGGCATAGGTTGACAAAATTTGAGGGGGTGGGGAAGGGAACAACAGTGGGCTGAATGATTGAACACGCGCTTAACAAATCGGCCCATTTAGTTCGAATATCATCGGGCCACGGGATGCCAAACGTGCCAGTTTAAAGCGAATATTATCGGGCCACGGATGCTAAATGGGCCATATATGGGCCTATCAATTGACTTTGCAATCAACTCAGGGGCCAAGTTAGTGTTATCGGGCCATGGGATGATTAATGGGCCGAATGATTAACTACGCACTCAACAAATGGGCCCATTTAGTGCAAACGTTATTGGGCCACGGAATGCTAAATGGGCCATACATGGACCGACTTGTTGACCATGCAATCAACAAACGGGCCCATTTACAGCCAACAATATTGGGCGATAGGATGTTGAATGGCCGTACGTGGGCCGAATAATTAACAATGCACTCAACATATGGGCCCATTTAGAGCCAACATTATTGGGTCATGGATTGCTAAATGGGCCTTTTACGAGCCTTGCACGGGCCGAATAATTGACCTTGCCGTCAACCAATGAGCCCATTTCGAACAAATTATTGGGCCATGGTATGCTAAATGGGCCGCACAACAAGGACCCGTTGGAATTGGGCCGAAATTTAGGGCATTACATCAGGCTTGGGTTTGCACACAATCTTGGGGCGACAACCTTTGCTCAAAATATACTTCTGGGCCAATATGCGGGCCCGCGTTGAAAATATATGGGCTAGTAAAGTGGCTGCAAATCTGGGTAATGGTGACTTGGGCCTGATTTATGTTTTTGGGACTTGAGGATGTACGACTAGCACTTGAGCGTGATCAACCTTGTGCGTTACGTGGACTTTTGGGCTTGTTAGTGTTTCGCTTGGTTGGTTGATTGGTCTAGCCCAACATAAAGTGGGTTTTGGGTGAAGGACAAAGAGATGTTGTTATCATGAATATGGGCTCGATATGTAGTAAGGATGACCTGGGTCCAGTAATCACTTCTTCCCCGGGCAGGTTAAGTAATCGAGAACTGAGATTGGGAAAATCTAACGATGAATAAGGAACTCTCCATAGGATAATAATTATACTCCCGTCCTGCATGTATGTATAGAAACCCACTCAAAATCCGTATCAACCATAGCAACGGACAATCAATCATAGGGGGGCATAACCAATAATTTCCGACCAAAAAAACAAACATAGAAACAATACAACAACAACTACTATGCACTGAAGCTTACTTTTCAAACTAAAGGGAAACATCCAAAAGAACATTTGCTTGATAGTTAGAAAGATACTTTGTCAGAATTAAGCAGGCAACTATGTTGAACTGAACTATTTGATTCACCAACTAATGAATTAATTGCCTTCATGTCATCTCATAGTTGGTAAAGCAGGAAGGGCTAGAAATTCATATGATCCTATGACATGCCAGCCCCCCCCCCCTAGTTAAATTAACAGGAATATATTATTAACCAGAAACTACATAAAGTTGCAACTTAACAAAACAATTTATGTTATCTTATCCACATATTGAACAAGGATATTAGCTAACAACAAATCAGTCACACAACTAGATAGTTACAACAGTACCAGTCCCCATTGCTCCTGAATGCCTCAGGTAGAAATTTGCTGCATAAACTTACATAATATAGATCTCGAAAACATCATATTCATTAAAGGACACTTCACAATATGATAAACAATGCATTTGGATGTTTGGCCTTCCACTATTCTCCGATAATTCCTTCTTAAAAAATATCAAATCAAATATCTATTTATTTATTTTTGTATACTATATAATAATTAAGGCTCTGTTTATACAGAGGGTTTTGCACTTTTGGAAATTTTGAAAATAATAAAAAATTGAGTATTTGGTGTGGTTTTTACACGTGATATCTTTTGAAAAAACTACCAAAACTTCTAGAAGTGTGCCTGTAATCATAAAGTAGTTTTTCCAAATCCAAAATTTTATTTTGTTCAATCTCAAATTAAACTCCCAATAACATGTCCAAACATACCCCCTATGAAATCTTAATTAGACTTCAAAATATCTCTACTGTTGCTATTATAATTAGCTAATTAAACTACTCTGATTAAAAGGGATCTCAAAACACAGTTAAAAATGGAGAATTGAGTATACCACCCAACAAATTGTATTCTGCACATAAAATCAAGAAATCAAAATCAGATACCTGAAACACATCCATCCAACGCAATGGAGGAGTACTGAATTTCGGCTCCAAGCTCAGCACAGCGTAAAAGCAATGCAACATTCTCGCCTTCCAGGATTGTGTCCTTCCCCATTCTGCAAATAAAGAAGACAAAAACAACAAAACTGCAAAGAATTCAACGGCAAGCAAGAACAATATTATACAATTTTTTACGATTGGGGATAAATAGATTACAAGTTTACAACGGGAATGAAAGATTAAAAAACATAAAAAATCGTATGAAAAACAAATGAAAAGTTGTGAAGAAGAATCAATTTGAAAACATTACCATAAAAATACCCCTAGAGTCTTCGAGTACGTATACATGGATGCTGAAATGCGAAGACCAGGCGACGACGGAGACGAGATGGTTCCCCTCTATCTCTTTCTCTCGCCGCGTGGTTGCCTGCGAAACGAGTTAATAGCGTGAGAGACTACCAAGTGATATTGAACCAAGAATGAACCAAATAGGAGAAATTACCAGAAACGATGGAGGTTTTACCAGCAATTCTTCTTCAACCGCCATGGCTAGAGAAAATCGATCTCAAGACAGGCAGGAAGAAAAAAGAGTAACTGTTTTCATTCCAACTTCCTCCACAAATCTCTGACCCCAAACCCTAACCTCTCTTCTTCGTCTCTCTCATTCACTCACTCGATCTACCAATACTACTAACTAATGTGCGTGCGTTGGAGTTTGTTACGAGCAACTGTTTCCAACTTCATCCTAGAAACTTCCCTTGCTCTGACCCCAAACCCTAACCTCTCTTCGTCTCTCTCATTCACTAGCTTGCTCTACTAACTAATGCAAAAGCTCTAACAAACATGCCCAAATTCCTAATTTAAAAATTCGGATCGCCCTAGCAGCCGACCTGAAGCTAGACGAGCGCGGGCAGAGAATTGAGCGATTATGGGGCGCCCTTCATTCTATATCGGGCCGGTGAAACTTCATCTTCCATATTTTCGTATTTGTATTATTTGGGCCTGCCTATAATAACCCAAAAAAAAAAGGTTAAAAAGACAATTCAGCCCTCACCATTAAAACTACTTGCTCAGTATATACCGTAAACTATTACTACTGACTAATTCTAGTAACTTCGAGAAGTATGCGTGTAATCATAACTTACTTTTTCATTCAAAAAATATCTAGCGTCAATTCCAATCCAAAATTTTATTAGGTTCAAAAAAAAAAAAAACATGAAATTTATTAGGTTCCAAAAAAAAAAACATGCCATGCCCCCAATGAAATCTCAGTTAGACTCACAAAATATGTCTACTGTTGCTCTTATAATTAGCTAAACTACTGATTAAAAGGAATCGCACAACACAGTTAATAATGGAGAATTGAGTATACCACACAATAGATCGTATTCTCCACATAAAATAAAGAAATTAAGTTCAAATTAAACCTCGCTCGCATACCTGAAATACATCCTTCCAACCCCATGGAGGAGTACTGAATTTCGGCTCCAAGCTCAACACAGCGAACGCAATGCAACAGTCTAGCCTTCCAGGATTGTGTCTTCCTCATTCTGCCTCCCACAATTTGCAAATAAAGAAGACAAAAACGACCAAACTGCACAGAATTCAACGGCAAACAAAAGAACAACAGCATACAATTTTTTACGACTGGGGATGCTATATATTAACGGGAATGAAAGACAGAGAAAAAATCGTATCGAAGGCACATGAAAAGTTGTGTAGAAGAATCAATCTGAAACATTACCATAAAATCCCATGACACTGCAACAAAGAGTTGAACACTAGAGTCTTAGAGTACGTATATATGGATTCTGAAATGCGACGACGAGGCGACGACGGAGACGAGATGGCTCCCTTCTCTCTCTTTCTCTAACCGCACGGTTGCCTGCGAAACGAGTTAAGAGCTTGAGACAATATCAAATGATTTTGAACCAAGATAAACCACACACAAAAATTCTTAAATTGAACCAAATAGGAGAAATTACGAGAAACGATGGAGGTTTTACCAATTCTTCGTCAACCGCCATGGCTAGAGAAGATCGATCTCGAGACAGGCAGGAAGAAAAAGGAGCAACTGTGTCCAACTTGCTCCTCAGTCCTCCGTCCTCAAAATTTCCCTCTCTCTGACACCAAACCCTAACCTCTTTTCTCATCCACTCACTCGATCGCTCTACTAAAACTACTAATTAATGTGCAACCTTCTGGAGCTTCTTTTTACAAGCAACTGTTCCCAACTTCCTCCTCGAAACTTCTCATGCTCTGACTCCAAACCCTAACCTCTTCGTTTCTCCGTCCACTCACTCGCTCTACTAATACTACTAACTAATGTGAGTTTGTTGGATCCGAATTTCAAAACTCTAAAACAAACTCATTCAATGCAATTTTCAAATGTAAAAACTCAATAACTTGGATCGCCATGGCCGCCGACCTGAAGCTAGACGATAGCGGGAAGAAGAATTGAGCAATTATGGGCCAATTCAGCGACCTTCATTATATATTGGGCCAGCGAAAATATATATAGTAGCAAAAGGAGATGAAAAGACAATTCAGCCCATAGCATTGCCATATAATTGCAATCCAGTCCTTATCATTAAAAATATTTGTAAGTCTGTACCGTAATTTCCTTTATTATTATTTATTGATAAATAACATTAAATTTTAAAAGGTTATGGACGTAAACAGAGGCCAAATTTTATTTGAAAAATCAAACTGAACCTACGGTATCTTCTTACACATGAGAATACACAACCTCAAATTGCACCCGCCCATCATCGTTGCCTCTTTAAATGCAACCGATTCATAAAAATGATATATGTATATATATATATACACATACATACATTGTTGAACACCATGCTAAATAATTTTATTCAGCACACAAACGGCCTCCACATATGTTTGTTACTTTCTATTTCTCATTCGACTAAGTGTTGTGTTAGCTTCAACTCTATCCGGTTTACTACGACGAAAGCGCGAGCTCAGCCCAAGCAAGCGAAGATGCTCGTATCTCCGCCGAGGCAGTCATGTCGATCCCATTTTCCAACGACGAGCACAACGCCTCCATTGTTGCCGGCGTTGTGCTTGCGCTGGAACGAGGATCAACACATACTTTTACCACCTCGCATATCACTTTCAGGTCCTCAAACCTGAAATGTTTCAGCTCCGGATCCACCAAGTTGGAGATGCTATCGGGAGCTTCCAAGAACACCTTAGCCTGCAGCGAAAAACAGACTGCCTACATACAATCAAATTGAAAAGTAATCGATTAAATGAGCTCGAGAACCAACTACTAACCCAGTCGACTAAGTGCCCTTTGTCTTTGCAGTGTGGAGGTCTACCACTGATGATTTCAAGTAAAAGAATCCCGAAGGCGTAGATGTTTCCCTGGATATCGAGAAGACATCCCTCAAAAGAATTCGGAAGAATGCATAAGGAGCCTTCGTTGCTTATGGCGCCGGAGGTTTTTTCTGATCTGGTTAAGAATGTCTTCCAGCATTCAAAATCAACCAACTGGATACGAAGATCAACATATTCCGGTAAGATATTTGTGATCCGAATGAATTGCGTGGACCATGTAGAAGTGTACAGCCAGCCATACCTTTGGAGAAAAATCTTCTGTGAGATAGATGGAGCTAGAGCTCAGTTCAGATATAGTGAATGGAGGGTCGAGTTCGGTGTGGAGATATTTCAGTCCCCGAGCAATGCCGATAATGATTCTCATCCGCCGTGTCCAGGAGAATTGACATCCTTCGCCATCTGCGAATTATTAGCGAGCTCAATCAAAGCTCCTGGAAGGCGTTGGAAGCTCAAAAGGAAAAGAAATTATGGGAATACTTACAATGAAGGTGCTCGTAGAGAGTTCCATTTGATGCGTACTCAAATACGAGCATTCTTGCAAATGGTTCGCTCTCCCTGCAATAGCCTAGCAGCTTCCCTGCATTCTCGTGATTTATTCTCGCCAGATCCGCCACCTGAAATCGATACACATGTAGCTTTTAGGGTGCGTATATAGTAAAGTAAAATCGACACTTACTGATGAAAGAATGAGGCACCTCTTTTTGAAAGTAAAGCTCAAGATATTCTGTCCAATGCTCTTCTTTGACACAAATGGATATCACAGCAATTTCAGGTCCGCCTTTGATGGTCCCTTTGTAGACAAGGCTATCGGAAGAGGAACCGATGATGTTGCTGAAATCTTCGCAGGCAACCTCGAGCTCTTGCCGGCTGTATTCCACTACATCCTTCATTGCTTCGGCATCTGCAGAACCATTAGAGTTAAATTTAGCACTGAAAATAACTTATTTGGGATAAGGCATTGGAAACTAAAAGGATATTATAGGTGAAGACAGTAACTGATGTAAATTGCGGTGTAGTCCTTCGAGCTTGCAGACTTCTTCCACGGGATGATGATTGAAGGTTTCCGCTTCCACTTCTGAATCAGAGCTAAAGTAGCAACGATAAAGAGCAACCCGATCATGATCCCTGTTGTTATTTCGAGAGCCAGGAGCCATGTAGGTTTCGAATCCTTGTGTTGATGTTTCTGTTTGTTGTCCACCGGCTTGTGCTTCGAAAAAACTTTTGAATGGGGTTTAGCAGGTGGAGGTGCACCTGTTAAACGACGACAAAGAAATCATTCGGCCAGTTAAGCAACTGATGTGAGTATGTGAGATACATACCACATTGTGCAGCAGGACGTGGCCCGGAATCTTTGTCTTGAAAGCAATTTGCTCGAAAGCTTGATCTATATTGAAAGTCGAAGTAATGAATCTTGGATGTAGAACACAAGTCTAGATAATAAAATATTTAAGAATAGAAACCTTATAGACAAAAATACCTCGGCAGATGCTGCAAGCATTGAGGTATGCTTCCAACCAGAAAATTGTATGACAAATCAATCACCTTTAATTGGGAAGAACCGCAAAAACCTTTGGATTTATTCGAAGCATACCTAAAATGTAGTTGTTGAAAGGCACTAAGATCTAAAGGATCAAATTACTTGCATATCTGTGTACATTCGACGATTTTACTACTTACATTCCATGTGTGTTGGAGGGAAATCCGGAGCCGTTACTAGCAGGGATGCTTCCAAGAAATTTGTTCCTGTCAAGCCGAAGCTCCTGAAGATATTTCAAGTTACCAAGTTCGTAAGGCAACTTTCCAGTCAATCCATTGGATTGAAGGTTTCTGCAAAAATGGAAGATGAGTGAAAAAAACAAAACAGGCAACACAAAAGGGAGACTTGAGCTAATGTAGCTTAATCCCGACAAACATTTTCTCGACACGAGCTAAGTTTCCAATCTCAGCCGGGATAGGCCCTGTTAACTGGTTCGATCCCAAGTCCAATAGCTTGAGGTTTTTCAACATCCCGATTGCCTTTGGTATTGTACCGATCAACAAGTTCCCATGCAAATCTCTGATACAACAGAGGAAGTGTTCATCAGCATATAATAGCTGTACCAAATTGATCAAACAATGACGGAATGAAAACTAGTTATGATGAAACAAATGCTTACAATTCTTGCAAAGTGGAGAGCATGTATAGCTCTGGTGCAATGAAACCCTTTATAGAGGCTCCAGATATGTTACTGCAATTCAAGTGGAATCACAAATGGGAAAGCTTAATTACACACAAATAGCAGAATTACAGCTTGCTACAAAATTAAAATGTAAATTCTTAGGCATTGAAGTATAGAGAGATGAAATCTCACAGCTTTAGGACATGCTCCCTAGCCATGGAGCAAAAAACACCAGACCAATCACATGGGTCAGATTCTATAGGGTTCCAGTTTGACAACATCAGTAAAGGGTCCTCAAAAATTGCCCTCTTGAAAGAAGTCAGAGCTTCAACTGAACAAAAGCCAAAATCCCACTTATGAGACAAAGTTGAATTCGCCAATATTTGCTTCATATATTTTCATAAATGAGTAGAATTAAACATTCATAATACTATTGCACATTGTAAAAAGGACTACTAATTAATACTAATTACAACAACATATCTACTTCTGTAGAAGAGAAAATCCCATCAAGAATCAAGATCTATGATAATAAAAAATAATGATGAACTTGCCTTCACTGAAGGGAATTGCCCCACAATCCCCAGATAAGATGCCTAAACTGAGCAAAAGAAATTGAACTGAAGCCAAATATTTCATCCTTACTCTACTCAACATTGCTCAAATGCACTCAAAAGCATGATTAAAAACCCATCGAGTGGAAGAGAAAAAGAGAGAGGTTGGCTCAAAAGCCACAGAAATGAACTTAAGACAGAACAGAATGAAGCAGTTCCAGGCTGGGGAGTGTCACACAGTTAATCAGACACTAAAATATATAAGAGGAAATCAAGATTCCCATTCAGACACTACCCTGGTGTGTTAGAAGAAACTAAAGGGGGCAATCTTAGGATTTAAAATCATGAACACGGAATCATTAGCAACCATGAAAGCAAAGGGCACTGGAAAACGAAAGTGAAGTTCAAAAAGACACCCACAATATGAGGAAGACTTTGATTCAAAGAGAGGCGTTTGGTGTCAGAAACGGAGAGAGACGGGCAGTGAAGCAACAAGATAAAGAATAGTAATTTGAACCAGGCCAAGTAAATATTAAACTCTTAACTACACTGCAGAAAGTGTCAGGAAAGTTGGGGGAACAAAAGAAGGCCTTGAATGTGTTTGTTTCCTAGTGATGTGATGAATAAATAAATGAGGGGTGTTTTTGAATTAATTTTAACGTCTCTCTTGTGGTGGGCCTGCGAAGAGACACCAACAACAAGACAAAAGTGAGAATTCTGTGTATGGGTTTAGTTGAGTAAAAAAGCTTCTTTTTTTCCTTGCTCAAGCTAAATAATCTCGAATTATGGTACTCCAGAATAAAGGGGTTTGATTTTTTTCCAGGCTTTCAGCTTCTTGTACTTTTGAAAAGAAGATAAAGTTGCAAAAAAATACTACTACATCAAGTAAAGACTTCAGACACAGAATCTTGAGCAGGTAATGCCTCGGCACACATTAGGACACACCGCTATAATCAATGACATTCGAATAAAATAATTATGGGTCTGTCTGGATTACAGTTTTTGAACGTTTAGAAAACAGTAAAAAAAAAAAAGAAAAACAAAACAAAACAGTGTATTTAATAAAATAATAAAACAGTAATTAGAGTTTTTATGTGAAATAATGAAATTAACTCAATTTTCATGTTTACTAAATAATGAAACATATCTATCATTTGAATACAAACTTGTTGACATGATCCAAACTCAATTAAGTGGCCGTACATATCCAATAAAAATAACACCGATCTGATTCATACATAATACAATTATTAATTTTTCCTTAAGCATAGTAATAGTGACTAAAAAAATAATAATCACAAGTCCTGTCTAACACTGCTTCTAAGCAACACTTTCAAAATACACAACCAGTAATTGACACCAAAAATAAAATATAAAAGCCGCTCCAATTTATAAAGTGGCAGGTGTGCTGTCGCCTTCATGATTGAAGTAATATTAAAGATCAAGAAACTTAAGTGTGACGTATCCCTAAATTAAAATTTCCCAAAACATTTATTCCTAAATTGTCCATCGTTCTTGAACATCATAATTAGTTATTTAACTAGGTCCAGATTTTCTTGACCCCTTAAGTCACACCCACCACTAAACATACCAAATTAAATAAATATTCAGTACTATGATCTCATGAATAATGAATATACTGTGCTTCAAGTATGTGATGAAATTAATCCCAATTGGCAGAGAGAGTACGCAGCAGAGAGGCAGAGAGTTGGGCAAATTGTGTCCCGTAAATTTATTGCATGGAATTATCTACACTGTGTGACAGCTTCACTTCAGGTGCTTTTAATGCATTCTACCCTACGGAATTGAATTACTTTTCTTTGGGCAAATTTGAGAGTTCACAAAACAAATTTGGGATTCATCATTATCTACAATATACATAATATATCCACGTCAGCTAAAGAAGTCAGTCACGCATTTATAATTGCTCTAATAAAAGGCAAGACAAAGAATTATGTATGTATTGGCAATAAATTGAGGGTCCAATTGCAAAATTCTACATCTACAAATATATATTTTAAAAAAATAAAAAATGAAAGCAATCAAACTTGCATTCAAAGCATTAATCAGTCATCCCTAATTATACAGCCACAATAATTTTAATAAAATAATACCAAATATATTCGCTTAACATAAAAATTAATGGTCAGTGCAATCAAGGGCTCAATGGTATTAATGGGCCTTCGTATGTGGATTTAATTGGCCCAAATTTTGGTGATCTGTAATCTGGCCCATTATTATTCACAAAAAATCGTTCCAAAGCAAAAACGAAGTAGAAAGAGGTATGAACTAACAACCGAAATTGTGCCAATATTGGAAAAATGGATCAACGATTGAAAATGAATTTTATTCTTTTTTTAATTAAGACACTTCTTGTCTATATTAAAATTTAGCACGCAGTACTGAAAATTAGGTCACTACCTAACAGGAAGTTTAACTATATGCATTTGTATCAGCTAATCAGCTGTAAGCAAAGTGGTGTAATAAAATAATAAAGCGCCATTGGAATCAAAATCAGCAATTCACCCATCTCTTTCTAATAAGTAATCAATTAACCATAATCATCACAGAGACTTAATTAATTCCACGTCCTAAGTTGTTATTGCGTGGACAATAAATTACTAAAGGATAATCACCACTAACAAGTTTTTTATTTTTAATTTTTTTAACATATTAGCTTATAAAAATAATCGTAGATTTATAATGCCCACACAAAAAGTCAAAACTATAAAAAAATAATCATAAACATTATCTTGATGCTAATGGAGGTAAATTATATAATATAAATACTTGGATTACTAGTTTGCGGATAATTGGGATGTCTAGTAAACTAAAAGTAAACAACTGAAAATATGTGCCTAACTAAAGAAGAATGTCTTAATTTAATAATGGCACAATGATCAATTAAACTAAAGATTTCTACACAGTCTTTGAATTAATTAAGTCAGCTCCACTATCTCCAACGCCTTCTAATCTCTTTCATAATCAGTTATCCTATCTTCTATTCAAATATTATATATACACAACAGAGTCATTGTATGCTCATTCTCATGCTTCTGAACTTCTTGATCATCATCACCATCTTACTTAGATAAAAAGAAACAAGCATTGTACCGATAAATGGCGAAAATACACCCTAATTATCCAGCAACAAGTAGTAGTAATATTAGCAGCAGTAGCAGTTATTGTAATTCTTCAGAAAAGGAAACATTTACCGTGTGGATGAAGTCCCTGGTGTTCCATGGCAAAGGCTGCACTGTATTTGACTCCATGGGGGAAGTTGTTTTCCGAGTTGACAATTACCAGCAAAGATGCAGCAACCAGGTGTTCCTCATGGATTCCTGTGGCAAAGTCTTGTTCTCCATAAACAGAAAGGTAAGTTCAACTTTGCAGAATAATATAAATCTCAGTTTATCTTTATTTACCTTACCTTGTACGGCTGTACTTAATTGGTTCCAACTGTTCAGTTGTGGCAGAAACTTTGGATCTGGGGTTGTTGGGAAGGCTTCAAATGTAATGATCATAACTTAAGGGCTAGCAAGAAAAGGCCATGGTTTCAAGTGACAAGAAACTTTTCTTTTTGGAGCAAAGACATTTCCTGCAGAGTTAGTCTAAAGTGCAATGAAAACACCTGTTACAGAATCATGGGGTTGGAAGGAAAACCTGGACTCAAGATTACTGACTTTTCTGGACAGCTCTTGGCCGAGGTTAGTGTCTTTTTAAGGGATTTACCTCTTCAGGTACATTCTCAGTAAACTTAGGACCTATGTTAGAATTTTTTAAGTCTGATATATTGTGCGTGTGTCTTTAGGCTGTGCAGAAGCAGTCATCGGAAGGGGTGCCATTAGGAGATGATGTGCTGACATTAAAGGTTGAAGCAGAGACTGATCACTCACTGATTATGGCTCTTGTGACTGTATATGGGTTGATCTCTAACAGGGTGTAAATAGTAGTACAGCAAAAACTGTGAGTGCATAGTAACTTCTGACAGGACAGAGATATGTATATGTGTGTTTCCTCACGTGTTTATGCATAAGAATACTGTAAATTCTTTCAATTATATTCATAGTATAGATTTAGTTCATATCATACCTTGAAGAGAATCTAGTCTAAGGGATATAATCCTAATCTGTCAGTTCATCCTATTTCGTGAAAGCTATCATTGGTCAAACTCATGAAAGTTCAAATCGAGGCTGTCATTGTCAATAAAAGCATGAAGGTGGTACTTAACAATAAATGCTTGGAGTAGAGTAGCACATGAAGACTTCACACTATAATTCTTTGAAATAGACAGGCGCTTAGTAATGTACAAAGGGAAATTTAAAATTTTAAAACAATTTAATATGATGAAACTGCGCAAAATTTTGCAATGGAGAAGGCAATTGAAGAGCGAATTTAAATTTATCTATATACATACTGCACCCACAAGTTTACGAACTCTGCAACCTCTTCTTCAAACTCTTCAGGTAACGTAGTTTCATGGCAAGTTGCTGTCGTTCACTCTCTACTTCAGCAAACCTGAGACTGAGTTTCGAATACATTTCTTGCATTTCCTTCAGTTCTGCCTCCATTGATTCATTCCTCTCTTTTAGTAAAGCCATCTCACTATTTAATTCACTGGTATAACCAGTGTTGTGCATAGTATTATCAAGGCTGCCATGCAAATCATTTAATCTGAGATTAAAAAACTTATCCAATTTTAGTATGTCAAGAAAAATGAATTAACATAGACATCAGTTAAAGTGATTGATACCTTTCTGGTGATAAAGCTACATCATGAATCTCACTCGCTATAACATTTGGAGCCAGGTCTTCTGCAGCCTGCTTTAGAGAAGGTATACGAGTTAGCTTACTATTTCACAACATATAGTTGATTACTACATAAAAGCTATGAACAATAATGCTCTCTCAAGGCTATGAGCTGTGTAGAACATCATACAAAACAAAAAATAACAAGGAAAAGATAACACATTTGCAGCCGTTTTTCTCCAATTACCATATTTTCCACAGTACATATCAGGAGAGGTATTAGTCAGACCTTATATATATTTCACTCTGGAATTCCCGGTGTTTTATTTGCTTGTCTTAGTATCACAAATAACATTCAATGTAAACTTGTATGATGTAAATTCAAACAGGAAAACATTTACCTCAAATTGCTGAATTTTCTCTTCATGATCTCCAATCTCTTTGGAGGCACAAAGGACATGGTTGCTAATTTCTGAATTTGATCCATCGGCAAGTATTGAACCCCACTGGGTGACACCCTTAATTTTCTTCATGCTATTGTCGTCTCTCCCCATTTTTTGTCTACTTTCTAGTGATAACAATTGGTTTCTTAGTTTCTCTTTCTCCAGTTCATTCTCTACTATAGAGTGGTTTAATTCTGTAAGTTGTAAATAAAGATGATCTAGCTCTGACTGCAGATTCCCAGCCATCTCTTCCTTTTCTTTTGCAAGACTTTTCACCTTATGTAATTCCTTTTTCCGCTCTTCAGCTTCAATGTTTTGCAACATAATGCTATTTTCAAGTTGAGTTCTTTCATCATTCCCTTGCGCCACAAGCAATTCCATTTCCTGGATGGAAGCTCTCATATGTTCCACCTGATGCATCAAAGTCTCTTTACTCCTTAACTCCTCCGACAGATCATTAATATTAGCAACATATGTTTTAATCTCATCCTTGAGCTTCGAAGTTTCATCAGAAAGTTTCTTCTGAGTTTCAGCAGCATGTTTTTTCTGAAGTTCTAGCTGCACTACTTTATCCTCTATTTCTGCCTGCAATGCCTCAATTTGATCTGTCATCAACATTACTTGGCTGGAAAGCTGATGCAGTTTGGTGTCATAATGGACTTTCACAGACTGCTGTTCTTCGGTGGTTTTGTGGACAATTTCTTCCAGATACCTTTTCTGCAGACGAAGCTCATTTGCTTCTGCCAAAGCTTTGGAGGCTACTTTCTCATTGGCTGCAAAGGTCGATGCCATTTGTATAGAAAGCCTTCTAAATTCTTCCTGAAGCTTCTCTGCTGTGTTAGCATTTTGCCACCGGGTCTTTCTTAAAGATTCCTCTGCTTTGATAGCTCTCTGTTCCTGCTCAACTTTGGAACGTGTAAGAGCTTCAAGATCAGCTTCATACAATATAGACTGCTTATCAAGATCTTCCTCTAAGCTCTTCACATGATTTTCAAGTTCACTTATTCTGACAAATGCATCCACGGATTCTTTCGACTGTCTTTTAAGTTCATCCTCTAGATCTTCAATCTGGGAAGTGGCAAGCGAGGGTGAGCACTCATACTGCATTTTCAGTTGTTCTTGAATCTGGCTCTGCTCCAACCTATATGCCATGTCATGATTTGCTTGCTTCATGATTTCATAGTCAAGGGCAAGCTGCTCTAACTGCATTTCTAGTTCATCTTTATCTCTCTTGAAGATTTCTATTTCACTTTGCATGTCCATGACCTGTTGTTCTAGAAGATATGCTTCCTTGGCATCCTCGTGTGCCTTCACAAGCTCCTCAAGAGCCTTTTGTTCTTCGTCATCATTCCCATCCTGTGACCGGTGTCTGGAATCTGCTTCTTCTGACTTCACAACCATAGTTCTTGTAGATGATCCATTGTTAAGGCTCAATATTTCCTTATTTTTTTGTTCTAACATCTCTTCAAGGTCTCGAACAGCAAGAAGTAGTTCAGAGTTTGATGCTTCAGTCTTTTGGAGTTGAATCTCGAGAGTGAAATTGTGCTCTTTTGCCTGATTAAGCTCATGCCTAAGTTCTTCAATGCTAGCCATAGGATTTCCTTCTCCTCCAAGTTGCGAGTTGGTTTTTGTTCTGCTATCGTCAATGCATCTCTGGAAGGATTTGAGCCTTTCACATTCTCCCTTCAAAATATCTCTTTCTTGTTTCAAGCAAGCAAGTTCTCTGAATAGATCTTGACTCCTTTTGCTCTCTTTCACAATCTGCTTGCGGAGAGTTTGTAATTCTAACTCAGACATCTCTGCTTGCCTTGATAAAGCCGCTACATCTGATTTTAGCTTCTCTAAGACAATATCCGATGCCTCTTCTGAATTCTGCCTCAGGAAGGTTCCTCTTGGAGTGCTTGAAGAGTCATCAGTACTAGCTTCGACAGCAGAATTTCCCAGCCACTCCCACTGTGATCTCCTGGACTCTTCATATAATGCTGTTGGTGTACCTGATACAGATCCCCGTGGCCTCAATGAGGATACAACTCCAGGAGGATCCTGACGAAAACTGTCATTCTTCACCTGAGGTTGCCAAGGGATTTCAACTCCAGAGATGCTCTCTGAGCTCGACATTGTGACATCAGATCCACTAGATGCCCGGAAGTTGCCATTCAGTTCAGCTACGTGGGCATCATTCTTAATTGCCAAATCCTGTTAACAAGTAAAGCCCAAAGGTATCTCCTCATTAGTGCTGCTTTCAAAAGGAACAGAGACATCAAAGAAAGCCAACCACCATTTCCAACTTTTAAATACCATCCATTGTTTGGCTACATAGGATTCTTTCTAGTTATGAAAACCAAAACTACGAAGAAAAACATTATTGTCAAGAGAAGATGAGATTACTTGGGAATTGCTTTTGATATTTTCATCTGTATCACTGTTGCTGAATTGTGCTTTCAGGCTGTGTTCTTTATAACTCAACCTTGCTCTCTGATTTTCTTCAGCTTCGCTGTGATAACCAACAGAGCCATAAATTCAATCTATAAAAATCTCTGTGGAAAGAATTACATATATAAATATGAAGTATAAACAGTACTCAACAATACCTCAGATCATTGGGCTCCAACATCCTCTGAATTGATACCTATTGAGGTAGGTGTAAAAAACTCATGAATCCATACCACAAGTAAAGAACAACATAGATCCATCACATATTCACATTAAAGGTTTTTAAAGAGTCTCTTAAGGCAGCATTCTATATCCAAAATAGATGCAGCACAGCTTCCCATTAGGTAGGAAACACTTACATGCAATACAGCTTCGGTCTTTGAATGCTTGAGCGGAAGAGACACCAACAAGACCTTAGTTGCCTCAGCATAATCTGAAAGATCAATGCAAGCTTCTCCAATGGCAACAACTTTAGATGATCCCTGGAAAGCACCATAAACAACTGCTAGTTTTAGATGATTATTGGCAGCAGAGCAAAGCAGTATACTTTGTTTGATGAAATATTGCATACCGTCCCTACAATAAAGTAGTACATCCTCTCATGAATCTTCCCTGATTTTGGATCTCGATAAAACTTCACTGTTTCATACACCGGATTCTCCCAGATGCAACTTCCATCTCGTACTGTTGCCTTGTCTGATATTACTGTGGGCTTTCCATAATCAGCAGGAACAACAGATATCACCAATGCGTTTTCTGCAATCTGTGGCACCTAATATTCCAGAAATGCAACCATTCAGTCCAATTGTAACTTGAATTTTTCAAGAAATCAACATTACAGTCCTGCCTAATGAAAGCAAACTAGTAAATGAGCTGAATAGAACATAATTTTCCCTCAAAAACCAAACCGCACAGGAAACTTACCGTCGCAGCCCCTAACTAAGAAAACAGCATTGTTAGTTGCACCGACATTTTAAACATTGAATTCCACCCATTCTTCACATCAAGTACAACAAATTTGCACACAATTTCACACATGAAAGCACCAAATATGTGATGATCAATTCGCATAAGCGTGGTCTACAAGAGACTAAGAATACCTTAGCTGCATGAAACTGCAACTTGAACTCTACTTTGACTTTGTTCCTATCGTTCCTCCACAGCGCCGACTTAAACATTTTCACTGTTTTGCTCTTAACTCCTTATCATATACCGCCGGAGCACTGTTAGGAAACTCACAGGAGCTCCGGCGAGCACCGCCAATAAGCTTCCATCTAACCGACACACACCACCAATGCAAGCAAAACACCAATCACCAATCCAAATCTCAGGCTACAAAAAGACTTCAAACAGAGAAAAAATTAAATGGAACACCACGATAATCAGAAGTGCGCTATCAACGGATTCAGAGGATCAATGCTGTCATAAAATAATCAACTCGCCACTCACTAATCATCATGTCGAAAACACAATTGTTTAAACCATTTAAAACGGCAACCTAGATCTAAAAATGAACCTCTCGCCTTGCTCGCTCCTCACTTGCAGCATATGCTGAATCATAAATGGCTACCAGACCAATTTTCTCTCTCTATACGTATACATATACACATATACATATACATACACAACACACACCTCCCCTGTCTTCCTTTCTCTCTCTACGCAGTACTATCTTTTGAAAGAGAGAACAGTGTGGGAAATGACGATACATTACTTTATTTTATTTATTAAAAAAAATTAAAGCAATTTTGGATCTACCTATTTTTTCATTATATATAATAAATATCAAAAAGTAGAGGGAAGCTTCTGTCGGTTAGATTTAGATACGTTGATCAGATGTATATATTAGGTAAAAAGTTTTATAAATTAATTATTTAATATTGTAAAAAAATTTATTTTATCTTTAGAAAATGACAACGAAACCTTATTTATTCATTTTCTTTTTTCTATTTTGATAATTTTAAATTAATAATAAAAAAAAAGCCCAAGATTCTAACGTTAACATTAGATGCCGTTGCGACGAATACTTGAAAGAGTCAAAAGATATTATTGTAGTTTCTTTTTCTTATTTATTTATGTGGACATAATATTTATTAATGGATTTTTGTTACAAGGAATTTTTGGACACAATGCATTATAAGTTATAATTTATGAGTGATGAAATTTTTTAAATTTATTTATTAATGGATTTTGAATTTTAGTGTGACAGCATTGAAATAATGGGAAGGGAATGGTGGCGTATAAGATTTGAATTTCCTAATTTGCCCCTTGATAATGATCCAGTACACTACTTGGGGCATCATGGAAAAATTGTGAAAGCAACTCGGTCCATTCAACAAATGCAATAGTGACTGGATATATTTATTTTTGGTATTTTAGAATTTAGTACGCAATATCTTCATATATAAAAATTATAAATAATATTAATAATATGTTTGTATTTATATTTATATTTTATATAATAGATCATGATGTTTTTTCTTACTTGCATATATATATATATATATAAAAGAAATTGTCTCAAAAAGAATAAGCACAGGGGCAAAAGGATAATTTCAGGAGGTGGCTGGGCTACCATCTACTAATCAATGTGAATAACAACACCGCATATCATTAATTTATGTGCCGAAAATGACCTTCCAACTAGAATTCAATTAATTATACAGCCCAATAGTCTCCTGGTTTATTTAATTATCGTAACCAAGTTAATCAAGCAACCTGCAATTAAACAAAATTATAAAAACTTGCCAAATTTTTTTAATAAAAGTAAATGTCGTTAATTATGGGGATTGTTCCCAATGTTTGACTTTCGTCCCAAGATAAATAATTGAGTCAAATCCTAAATGAATAATTAGCAAATAATTAATGTGTAACAGTTGGCATGCATGCATCAGAATGATTAATGGTAACGCCATATTTATTTAATTACGCTGGAATAATATTTAGGTGAAATCCGAAACCTTACTATTTTGGGGACTGTGTAAATACAATATGAATTATATTAATGACAATGATCTAAAGTTAGATTATTGGATTAAATATTACTATGTATAAATAAATTATTAATTTGGGGAAACAGATTTGAAGCTTTGAAAAAGATCATGGATTGAGTGTGAGGCGAGTTGGTCACGAGTCCACGTGACTCAGTGGGTATTTGTCACTATCCAACTCATATTATATACTAATTGGTTATTTGATTTAATTGTATGTAATTATAAATTATAAGTTTTTATTTTTTTAACATTTAACTAAATATATATACATATTAATTAGTTGCAAGTAGTATTGAGTTGGAAATAGGTTGTGCGTGCACGTGCTATGTCATAATATTATCTTACAATAATACATAAATCAATTTTTAAAATGTCACATTTTAATAAATATGAATATAATTTTAATTACCACACACACATATATATATATATATCATATGATCTATATAATGTCGTGGGTCTAATGGTATTTCCCGCATATATCTAAATTTCCAACAAATGATATAATTACAGTACCTTTATTTATCGTCATTGACTCAGAAAAGGAACATAATTTCCTAAAATTTATTATAATATGTGTATAAATATACAAAGATACTATTGCAGTGACTTTTTTTTTTTTTTTTTTGTCACGAGGAGATGATTGTTTCTTTAGACTTTTTCAGTGACATGATTGGAAAATATTGGCATGCATAATATTATATATATATATGTGTGTGTGTGGTAATTAAATTAGAAATATTTTAATAACTTGTCGAGGGGGCTAAGAATTTTTTGCTTTAAAAAAACAATCGAAGAAAAAAAAAAGAATAAACAATAATAATAATAATAATAATAATAAAATAGAAGTACAGAAAGGGTATGTGTATAGAGAAATAAAGGGGCAAAAAGGAAATTGCAACGGTGGGGCAGTGTGATAGTGAATGAGGCAGACAGCATCAAAGTTCTCCACGTGACAAATACGCATATACTATAATTTTAATTTTATACTACTTCTAGTTATTAATTATTTTCAAAATAATCGAAAATATTATAACATGAAATTGCTTTAAATATAATTTTATAAAAGAAAATTGAATATATATATATATATATACGATTTAAATTGAGGTAGATGTTGTTTGGGCCATCGGTCCATTGGGCTTTCAAATGTAGTTTGTATTTGTTTTTATTTTTCTTTTTTGTTTGGAATGTTATGTAGTAATATTTATACAATATATAATAAAATATTATACTCCCGGGTCTCTTAAAAGTGTGCTAATTCTACCATTTTATTCTAATATGTCAATAAATACCTTTTTTCTTAAAAGATGAAATAAAATAAAATTGTACATACTAATTTTGTATTAATTTACATTATTATCATTGATGAGTGATGACGACATATATATATATATATTCTACTTTAATTTAAAATTTATATTACTAATCATTATAATAATTATAATGTACCCTTAATTTAAGTATGATCATACTTGTACAAAACGAATAAATAAAGTACTACATGTTAAGTATTAATATAGAAAGAATAATTAAAACTATTCGATAATAGCTAGTATAAAGCCACGAAGAATATGCTGAAGGAATAGTTTTATTTTATTGCAAAAACATAGACATAGACCAAATCTCAACTAATTATTTATTTTAATGCATTGAGGATGACATTATGCAAACTGTATTTGACTTGATTGCATGTACCTATGTCCTGATGAATAAATATATTGTAAGACCAGTGAGTATTTGCTCTTAATTAAATAATATATATATATATATATAATGGTGAATCGAGAAGCTCCAATTAATAATTGAACATTATATGACTTTTTATATATTGCAATAAAAAAACAATTAATTGTAGCAGCCACGGCACACACGATAGCACTTGTTTTAACAATCATCTTACGTTTTCATGCATATAGTCAATGTTTTTGAATCCCAATTAGGCTTTTTTTTACATATGTAACTAGTTTCTAATTAATTTTTTTCAAAAAAATAACTTTTAATTTGATATGTATACGTCAGTATGTCACATCATAAAAAAGGTTTAACTTGTCGAGACTGATTACTAAAATGTAATTTAATGCTAAAGTTATAATTTAAAATTAATTGGTTAGCGAAGATCCGTTGAAGTTTCTTATGGCATTGTCCTTAGCTAATGTTCTAACCTTTGTGTCCTACACATTTACTAATTTAATCATTTAGTAACTCATATTATTGCTAATTAAGTACATAGTAATCAAAATTTAAATATCTTTTTTGATGAATATGCTAAAAATATTTTATACTTATTAAGATATATCATATGAAACAAAATTATTTATTATTATAATATTTATTTATTTTAAAAAAATCTTACTTAAGTGAAAGTAGTTTTTTTTTATATAGTTCTTAAAGTTTAAGAAAATTTGAAAATTAATAGGGAATGCCTAGTAATTTGAAATTGATTTGATTTTTTTTTTTTTTTTAAAGAATATATAATATAGCTTTATTAAGAACAATTCAAGATGAATATTTTCAATTTCCTATTAAATCACAGTCAATCACACTAAAAAATTTGTGAGGAGAAAAATAATTATTATTGTCAATGAATATACACAAATAAAAATTGTTGGAAATTGAGTTTAGAATTATTTTTAAATTTAAATAATTATTTAATATTATAAATAAATGTTGAACGGTGATATTTTTAATATAATATAAACTAAGCATATATATATATTTGATTGATTTTTTTAAAATAAATAAATTTTAAAAATCTATAAAGAAAAATACCAAACAAACGCCCTAATACTTACCCTATATGTCCCACGATCCATCACCTACAAAATAATTGACAACATACATATACATATATATGTATGTATATATCACCATCAATCTTCAGCCGGCCAGCGTACGTATATATGTATGACAGCAGGCTGGCCGGCCGACACGCAAGTATATAAACTTTAGGCTAATTCCATTAATTTAGCTCCTCCCCAAATTAAATCTTCCCCACAAAATCAAAAAACCTTTGGTAGCGTGGAAACCCTAGCTAGCTAGCTAGGTATACATATATAATTAAGATATATATACATAATAAAATTGATGAGGCAGGCGGGAGCGTACTCGAAGCTGGTGTCGGAGAAGAGCGGGCCGTACTCGCTGCCGCTGGCGAGGATCAAGAAGATAATGAAGAAGTCCAGCGACGACGTCAAAATGATCTCCGGCGAGGCTCCCATCGTCTTCTCCATGGCCTGCGACCTCCTGGTCCAGGACCTCACCAAGCGGGCCTGGGCCCACACGCTGCGGGGGAATAAGATCAGGAGGACAATGCACAGAGATGACGTCGCCGCCGCCATTCTTGCTACTGATATCTTCGACTTCCTTCTGCATCTTCTGCCCCCATCTTCTTCGTCGTCGTCTTCTCCCTCCCCATCTGCACCTCCTCAATCTCAATCATCATAATAACCTAATTAGTTGCTATACTGTTTCGCTGGACTATTATATTTAATTATGCCTAATTTAACAGTTTTCTCAATTCTTAATTTTATTACTCTTAATATATATATTTATATATAAAATGGCACAGATTTAGAATGAAAGGGTGAAATGGTGGGTGGTTTGTCTAACTGATTGATACATATACAACACGCACACACACACACACCACTAAAAAACATAAACTCATGATCAGGTTTCAGACTACTCATGATTCTGCTTAATTCTGGACAAGAAGACACACAGTACCAATAGTATTATATTATATATATATATATATATATCTTCTTGTAATCAATCAATCTATCTCATCCCAAACCCAAAAACACTGATGATTTTGATATGAATTAGCTCCGCTCCCATGGCCATGGATGATGTCAATCCACGCTTGTCAGCGACAATACACTGCTTCATCGATCACCGGAGGAATATGATTTATTTCTATGCCGAGCTCCTGCTCAATCCGGTATCTGCATCCATACATAGATAAGAGACATTGCCGAGTTAAGTGCTGAAATACTAATTAGCTACTCATTTAGTATAGAAATCCACAAAACATACAAGTTGAACCGATCTTCGTAAGTGATCAGATTCACAGCCAATCCAAGATGTCCAAATCTGCCGGAACGACCCACCTGAAAAAGTCGAACATGTATGGTATGTATGTATGTATGTATGTATGTATTAGTCTAAGAAACCAGCAAAGATTATATTTTAGTTTGTTTCTTCAGTTGAGAACTATTGCACCTACCCTGTGCAGATAAGTTTCGGAGTTCTTGGGGAAGTCGAAGTTTATGACCACATTGACAGCCTGAATATCAATTCCTCTTGTGAATAAATCTGTCCCAATTGTCGAAAAAGGCATTAGTGTCATAGTTCTTCAATAAGAAGGTTAATAATTTGATGATGATGAAATGTAGTGTTGTAATGAACTCCATTTGTACACAAATGCATACCAGTGCAAACAAGATTCCGGCAAGCGCCATTTCTGAAATCATGGAATACTCGATTGCGATGATCCTGAACCATCTTAGCATGAATGTAGAAACAAGAGTACCCAAGTTCTGTGATTTTCTTCGCCAAAAGCTCCACACGGTTCACAGAATTGCAGAATATTATTGACTGGTTAATTTGGAGCTGTCGAAGAAAGAACCATTAATGTCAATATCTCCAAGAAAAAGAAAACACAAAAGTAGTATTGTTGGGAAGAAATATCTAACCTTAGAAAAGAGTGTATTGAGGCAATGCACTTTCTGTCTTTCTTCCACAAAAGCATAGTACTGAGTGATACCTTTGAGCGTTAGCTCGTCCATGAGATTGATGACACAGGGATTGTTCATATGTCGATCCTTAAAAAACTTCACGGTAATGGGAAATGTGGCTGAATACATCATTATCTGCCGAGTGGGTGGAAGGAATGCAATCAGTTGCTCTACGGATGGTTGAAATTCAGGGGATAATAGCTTGTCAGCCTGCAGATTGAAGTCCAAGCAAGATTAGGCACTACTGAATCTACGTCGACATAATACATGGAAAACAGCAGAAGGTAATGATTAGACAAACCTCATCCATGATAAGCATTGAAACATTCTTCAAATTGCATATCCCTTTCCTGGTAAGATCAAGTATCCTACCGGGAGTTCCTACGAGTAAATGTACTGGTTGATATAATCTCATTATGTCATCCCTGAGACTGGTACCCCCTGTGGTAGCCATAACCTGAATTTTCAAGTATCTTCCCAATTCCTTGCACACTTGGGAAGTCTGAAGAGCTAATTCCCTTGTGGGAACAAGGATAACAACTGCAAATATTGTTGGAGAAGTATACTCAGAACTTATGTATGGAAAATTAATTGCACAATAACAAAATCAAAAGAAGGAGCCAATAAAACCAGGTAAATAGAGAATCATATCAGAAATTACACTTAGAATTCAATGCACTTGCAGTTTGTAGCTCCATACCATTCTTAGAGCTATGAAAAGCACTAAATTTTAGAAAAATAGACTGAAAGGTATGTTTTATACAGTGTCAGATGTTGACAATGTTTCAAGAATCACACAACAATCAATTTTTCTGTTGGAAAATCATTCTTAAATTTTACTTATATCATTTTTTCTTCGCAAATTCTTAGAAGCTGAAAATCATATAGAAGTAGAGGTGTAGAGATTGATAGGTACCTTGAATGCTACGGATAACGACATCGATTTTTTCAAGTGCGGGAATGCAGAATGCTGCAGTTTTTCCTGTCCCATTTTTGGCTCTGGCAAGAATATCACTTCCTGTGAGAGCAATGGGAATACTTTCCTCCTGGATAGGAGAAGGTCTTTCAAACCCCTTTTGGAAGATGCCCATCAATAGCTCACGTTTCAGAAAATAATCTTCAAATTCATTTCCTTTTGTTGCAGTTACATCCTGATTAAAGAAATCAATTAATCATCCAGAGGGGTAACAAAGAAAGCCACAAATGGCACTTTTATAACTCTTTGAGAGACTAATCAAAAGAATTTTCCTCTTGATGGACAACAAAACTAAAGAACATATCAACTAAATAATTTTTAAGGAAACAAAACAGAATGCAATGCTCCTTATTAGCTATGTTCCACCGAAGAATAATCAGTTGGCTGTTCTTTGTCGCCTGCTGTACATAGCATTAGGTTTCGTGTACTCTGGAAAGCGCATGCATGAATGCATATCCACATGTCATGCTTACATGTGTATTTGGTATATGAGGTCCATTGGTGTTCTACACTCATCTTAAAAGGTGAAGGAAAGGGTGAGCAACAAAAACGTGCAGGGCACACGAATTCATTTATGATATAATAATAAAAAAAAACAAACTGAAATTAGTTGACAACAACTACCAGTTGTCGGTTATGATTTATACGAATACAAAACGACAAAATTCTGAATTACTAAAACAGCAGATAAATTTGAAGAGTGATAAGAGTATATCCTACAACTGAAATTTTCTAACGACTTTAAAATCTGCCACGCAAGATGCGGCATCATACGATGTAGCTATTCAAAGGATGAGTTCCTCCATTCAGAAAGAGAGAGGATCCCACTTTGATGGACAGACTGCTCACAGATACTTTGTCAATTCTAACAATATAGTCGTGTCAGGAAGCCGCCATTCTCAGGGGAAATCCCCTTAAAAATGGCAGAAAAACAGCGATTCTAGACATGTTTCGTTGAAGAACCAAAGAGAACTTTTCCCAAAATAACAGAGAACTTTTCCCAAAATAACATATATAAAGAAGAATGCGAGAGCTTGCTCACATAATGAGATTTGTTCAGGTGCTTGATCAGAAGCCAAAACAGAAAAAGGATAAAACAAAACATGAGAAATGGGAAGAAAAACAATAAATTTTAAAATTCACACATTATTAACACATGCATTCAGTCCTTTCATCAAATTATGCCTTACACATTCAAATCAATGGGAAAAAAGAAATAGAAACGTTTTATATCCACATCTTGTCTAGACATTTTCAGAACTAAGGCAAAAATGTAATCATATCCCAATGAATCCATTTTCCTACTGACTCACAATGATACTAAAATTTTAGATTCTTGACTCCACAGACAAACTTTTGAAGGCTGCCAATTGCAGCAAGAGAAGAGAATATTCATCAGAGATCACCATTCATATAGTAGGAATTATTTGTTCCTCATACCTCTGTCTTGTAACGAGTGTCTGGGGGTGGAGTATTCAAACGCGCCTTCCAATCTTGAGAGCTAATTTTCAAAACAAAAACGAGAAAAAAAGAGAGAATTTTAGTGAGGCGCAGAGCAAATGCTAAAATACCAAATACATTTTAACATGCTATGCATAAATATATGCAATAATTGCATGAAATCTCGAATTTCAAGTGATCTTCTCCTTTCTACTTGTGAAAGCAAAAATCTGTATAAAATCATACCAACAAGCTCCAAATTTCAATGGCTATGGGAATAGGATACCGCAGCAAGCAAGTTATATTGAAGTAAAGGTGCCAAAGCAATCCCAATTTCACCGCGTGAACACGAAATTAAGGAGAAAATTGGAAGAATTAAACGAAGTATTCCCCGAGAAGATGCGAAATTGAAGAAATCTTACGTGGAACCGATCGCTTCAGGCTTTTCAAGTATGTTAGGCGAATCGGATACGTTGGCTCTACTAGGGTTTCGCCTCGCCCATTGCTGCAGCTGATTCTGAGCGGCTCGCTGCGGATACGGTTGCTGCATCTGCTGAAAATGCTGGTTCCGGTTCTGGTAATTGGGATTCCGAGCTCCTCCTCCGCCGCCGCCGCCGCCGCGGCTGTTGTGGATCCCTGACGGAAATCGCCCTCTTGCGTAGTGATTGCTCATCGCATAAAACACGTTCGTCTGTGTGCACAAGTGTATGCACGCAGGCGCAGTATGTATGTATATGCGTATGTATCGAGCGATCAAACCTCAATATCTTGAAGAATGGGGAGATATGTGAAGGAAATTGAAATGTTCGTCGAGAATCTAGAATTCTCTAACCCTTGAAATCTCCGTCCAGTTCATCGCCATTATATTCATACATGTAACTGTTGATTTCTGGTGTCAAAGTGAGATGACGACATAAAGGAGGGCCTCGATTGAAATATGAATATATTGGAGTGACGATATGTATACTATATTAAAGAAACTTACATAGGCAGGCTTGGTTTATACATCGCATATATTTTTTCTCAAAAACATTATAATTATATGTATATATATTTTTCTCTTAAAATATTACATAATACATTAATATTTTATTATTTCAATTTATTTTAAAATTTCATTGCCAAGTTAAAACCTAAAAAAAAAATGTATTAATATATCATTAATGAAAGTGAATACTTGAAATGAAACAATCGGATGAATTAGTACTATAGTATGTTCTTTTATTAATATTTTACTATTTAAATTGTTGTTTTTATTTAAAATCATATACTACTATCTAACAATATTTTTTCAATAAATGTGTGTTTAATTTGAATTTCAAAATCAAATTATTACTATTTTAAAATTTTTTATAAACGTATATTGTTTTTTATGGAATATTATATTAAAAACATCATTAAAAGAAAAATTCAAATTTAAACTTCAATTTTGTCATATAAAAATCAAACAAATCTTATCTTTAGAATTTTCTCTTGTATCTTAATGCATAGTTTTTATTATGCAAAATAAATTAATTTTTTGTAATCTTATGGTGTTTGTTTTTTTAATTTTAGTTTGATGTGTTTTATGCATAATATATACTTATGTAATAATATATATTTCATGAATATGTATATATTGTATTTTTTTTTTTAAAAAATAATAATAATAATTGGAAGAACACACCTCTTGTTTTAATATATTTTAATAAATCCAATAATTGAAGGTTTGTTTGGTTTGTGTTTTGATATTTTGGAATTATAAAAATTTTAAATTATAATAGTTATTTGATTTGAGATAAGTAAGTATTATTGTAATATTTTGGATAAAAAAAATTTATATATAAAATATTAAATAATAAAATTTATGAATTGATATTTTTTGGATTGAAAAAATTTAAAAATAAATAGCAAAAATAAGTGATAGAAAATGAAATGTATATATAGTATATATAACTAAACAAATTTTTAATTTTTTTTTAAAATAAATCCGAATTCTTTTCCCTTTTCTATAAATTAAATTTACATTGTGTTTGTTTGATTTAAATTTAAATATTGTTTTAATATAATATTATATAAAAAAAAGATATATATATATATTTTTATTGAAACTATACTAATATAATAGTATCATTTTTTAAATTTAGATCAAACCAGACACACCAATAATATTCTGAATTCACGTGGTATATATATATAATATGTATCTAAAAACAATAAAAAATGATAACACTATACTAATAAGAAAGGAAAATTAATTACATGTACTATTTGAGAATTTTTATAAACCATTCGAAAATAAATACAAACTCTATACCTTGGGCATATTTTGTCCACAAAATAATATAAACAAAAAAATAGAAAAAAATGAGTCAAATAAATCTCCTATATATGTATTTCACCTCATTTTTTCAATTTTTTCTTAACCCCTATTGACAAAATTTGAGTTCATATTAATAGAGTTTCAAAAAATTAATTACGACAAAATGAAACTACGATGAAGTCTACTCGTCATTATTCGCCGGCTCCGACGGCTCCGCCGTCTCCTCCTCGTCGGCAGCTGCAGTGGCGGTGGCGTCGGCGTTTTTCTTCTGATTGGTGGTTTCCGTGAGGTGAGTGTAGCTACCTTTCTCCTTGAAAAGCTGCGCGAAGTGCGGTTTGCAGTAGAGGATTCCGTCCAGCGCCGCGTACGTCGACGGCGTCAGGTGGCAGCCGCCGTGGGCGCACCGGAAGCACGTCTTGTGGTAGAATTCTCCCTCCACTGTCACCTGCAGTTATTCCATTTTCTCCAATTAGGGCTAGGGCGACAGCTTTTAATTTCCCCCAAATCATAAACTAGGTTTTCGGATTTCCCCCCAAATCATAAACTAGGGCTACAGATTTCCCCCCAAATCATAAATTAGGGTTACAGATTTTGCTCCAAATCATAAATTAGGGCAAGAGCTAATCCTTTTCTTATTTTAGAAACGAAAATTGAATACCTTTTCAAGAGGGTAGACAGTCTTCTTGCAGACCTGACATTTCTCTTGTGTGCCAGAGAAAAGGCTCGACACCTTGCTTGAAGCCTTACTCTATATTCATATATAGATATATATACTTAATGTAATTACCAGAAAAGCTGAGAACAATAATTTGTTTTCTTGTATATGTGACTAAATTAAATTACCTGATCACCTTGCTTCCCAGCTGATATAAAATTAATCAGAAAAAAAAAGAAGGGTTAGAATAAATTGCATATTCATAGTTCATTTTAGATTAAATAATGAATTACAGTTCTTACTAGATTGAATCTTTTTCGAGGTAAAGCTGCCTGTTTCCTTAAAGAGTTGCTCAAAGTGAGGCTTGCAATAGAGTTTTCCTTCCAAGGCTGAGTAATTGCTCAACTGCATATAATTTATATATATATACACATATATATGTATTTGTATTTGTATATGTACATTTAAATTATCAAATATTTGTATAATTAAGATTTATGAGGAATAATTAATCTTACCGCGAGGCGACCATTGCAATGGCTGCATCTAAAGCAAGTCTTGTGATAAGGAACGCCATCGGCAGACATCATCTCAACAAAATGCACGGTCTTGTCGCATGCATTGCATTTCTGGGTCGTGCCAAATGATGCCATTTTAATTCGTTGCAAGAACAGCTCGGAAGTTGTTAGTGATGGCGATTTTACACGACGGATAAATATATTATATTATATATTTATCATATATTTATCCGCCAAACTATGAGAATGAAATATGGAAAATGAGGTGATTTGTAAAGTTTGGGAGGAATTTGTATTTATAAAGGAGATGTGGGGTGGAAATAGAAGTAGGAAAGGTGTGGAGGAGATGATATTAAGGGCATGGAGGGGAGGAGATGAGCTTATTCGAAAAATATAAGGAGTGAATGTCGGAAGGAAAAAGAAAACCGATCGATGTATATAATAAAAATCATAATTAATGGTGGCCATGTCAAAGAATTAATCTTGGATCGATATTATATATCTTTTATTTTTTTTAATGATTTTTTGATATGTTTACTCACTTGTAAATTTTATTACATAGGTAACAAGATTCAATCAATTCAACTTCCATGCTATATTATTGTTGTTGTTGTTTCCAATAAATTTAAATTTATGCAATCAAAATCATGACAATTTCAGTATATAAATTTTTTATTTTTATTTTTATTTTTTAGTAACAAAATTAATGATATTCAACTTGGCATGTATTATAGGGATGCATGCATTGACTTTCAAAAAAAATTAAACTGTGTATATTACACAATCGGATATCATCAAATTTAAAATGTGCCATAAAATTAAGAATAATGGAACATTTCTTAATAAAAATAGTGTATTTACCTGCAACGTCTCATCATCACCATTATTATTATTATTATTATTATTATTATTATTATTATGGTTATTGTTGTTGTTGTTGTCGTTGCAACAAAATCAAATCAAAAATAGCAAAAAAAAAAAAAAAACATATATATAATCATATCATATTTGATCAAATGATAAATGAAAAAGATGACACCAATGAACACTAAACATAACAATAATATATTATTATTATTATTATTAATTATTGCGACCCTATATATTTAATTTAATTATTAACCAAAGCACATACAAAACTTGTCACGGCCATAGCAATGAGAAGAGATGTAACGCTGATGGAGAATATTCTTACAAGCCGCAGCACAAACTTCCTCTGTGCAGGGATTGATGTTAATGCCGATAACCCCCTCCACCCGGCACGTCATCACCATTAAAATCGCTATAACCATGCCCACCATCATCAAATGATCAATTCTTGATCTTGATCCTTTCATTCTTCCTATTTTACCCTTCTCACAAAAACAATGATATCAATTTGTTGACACAATACTACTGTGTTTTCCACCTTTTATATATACGTGTACATATATATATATATATATTTATAGGGTTTTCTGAAGACGTTCTTGGCGACTCCCGGGACCACAGACCCCGTCTACGGTGTGGCTTCTTCTGGCGCTCGGGCCCCAGGAGCTCACGCCGATGCACGCTTAATTTGTTAAGAAATCTTCTATATATTGATCGCTTATTTCCTCAAACTTTTATCAAATTATGAAAATTAATTAATATCTTGATTTGGGATATTGTAATATTACACACTCAAATGTGAAGGTTTTCTATTTCCGACAATTAAAAAAAATAAAAGAAAAAGATATTTATAATAATTGCTATATATTATACGCTTCACAGTTCACGCATTGTTGATCAACAAATATTTGATAGAAAATAATTACGTGTAGTAAAATATAGTTTTGATTTTGTTTTATTTAAAATTAAAAAAAAAAAACAAATATATTATATTCTCATGTAATTATGTTGCTTTGCTTTACCGACTTTAGTGAATTTAAAAATGCGCTTTTAGTACAAAACTAGAAATCGCTCTACAAGTCTCCGCGGATAAACTGTCGTCGCGTTTTTCATTGCGAGATAATCGTGTGACGGCATTCATATTCACGTGACAATTGAGTCGGCTAATTAAATGCAGTCAGTAATATTACACATTAATAGGTACATTTTTTCTATAAATATTGTTACTATAATATATAATGTAAATTAATGACATTTTATTAAATATTACATAAATATTTTATGTATGGCTTTAACAGATTATATATGATCTTCATATCACACAATATATATACCATTTTTAGAAAATATTATTTCTCCTATATTATCAATTTATCACTGCCATACCGCGTATAGTAAATAAAAATAAATAAATAAAGGATATTTTACTAAATCTTCTGGCGGCAATTACAATTTTTTTAAAATATTGTAAATTAATGTTATTTCATTAAATGTTACACAGATATATATATATATATATATATTTCTGTATTACATGAACAAATTATATATGATCTTTGTAACACACGACATGTAGATATACCATTATATATATATACACAGTGGCGGAACTAGAATTATATTTGAGGGGGATTAATTTTGAAATTTATAAAATAATATATTCTATTATAAATATTTATTTATTATTCGAAAAAATTACTGTTCTGATTATTATATTTTGAAGGAAATAAATACAAATAACTTACTACAACAATAATACTAGTTAAATATTATAAATACTTATTTTTGTATTTGTTTTATTGAGATAAACTATATAATTTTTTAGTATTTTTTTATTTATCCATTTTTTCGATATTATATATATTTAAATAAGAAAAAAAAATACATAAATATAAATAAGTACTATAAAAACTGGGGTCCTTGTATATATATATATATATATTATTCCTCATGTATTATTACTTTCATACAGAATATAGTAAATAAAAGAAATAAATGTTATTTATATATTCAAGGCCACAATTACTGTATTGAATTTAGTACCACACTAAATAGTATATTAGATGCTGATAACACAATATTATCATATGAAATACCTTACTCATATTAATAGTATAATATACAATACAAGAACTAAAAATACATAAAATACTTTTATAAAATATACTAATACACTATATAACATACTTCTATAAACAAAATGTTTAAAATATCCTTTCACTTAAATTAAATATATTTTTTTATTATTTTTGTAATATCTTTTTTATGATAATAAAAATAATCATACTAACACTAAAATATTCGTTCACTTTTAGATAAATTATAAAATATCGATCATTGTATATATAATAATTTTATAAATAAAGTATAAATGATAGAAAAAATATAAAATCATCTTACATATTTATATTAACAAAAAAAAATTATTATTTTTTAATATATTATAAAAAAATTTAATTAATCTATTATAAAATTTCAAGATGCCGCATTAAATTAGAATAAATGAAGTAAACAAATAGCACATATACATTTTTTATCTGCCCTATCTGTATTTTTTTATCAAATAATACTTATTTTTTTAAAAAAAATAAAATCAACACGATAACTTTAAATATACCAATATACCCCATGGATTTTTTATACATCGCCTGAATTGATTATAACAAATGTATGTATATAATAACGACAACGTTGTCAAATCGAAGTGAAGACTATTAATATTAGTTTTATATTATGTGCCTGAAAATAAATAGTTGAAAACAATAATTAGGGTTCATCTGAGTTAGGTGAAAGTTACATTCTAATGTCAAATTAATTACTACTCTCCCCGTTCACAAACTAATGTCCTATTTTTGTATTTCGGACGTCCAACAACTATTGTCCTTTTTTTTTTTTTTTAAATACAAATTTTATATTTTTACCCTTCGTCTATTTATTACTTTTAATTTCTATCATACAATTAAAGACAAATTTATCAATTCATAACAAAAAGACAATTACTTAAAAATTCGTACAAATATACTTTAGGATAATAGAAGGGGAACGGAAGAAGTATTACTTATTTTATACATCAAAGTGACGTATTTGCATGGAATTCCATTCTTTTTAGAGTATAACTTTATAGAATAATAAGAATAATAATAATAGAAGGTAATTGGCAGTGTTTAGTACACATTAATTGCAATAATGTCACAATCTTGAAGACAAGTAATTAACTATTTGTAGCCAAATTTCAAAAGGGTGCCGTGGGAAGTCAGTCAGCAACACGCCCAATTAAATTAATAGTATTAATTAATTATTACTATGCCAACTATATATTGTTGTAATAATTATTTGGAACAATGAAATTAAATATGAAAACAGCATAAATTTAATACTGCCCATAACAATATTAATTATTACCCATACACTAAGTTCATCTCTGTCGGCACATGACACCACTTTTAAATTTATTTTCATTTTCCCTGTTGTTATTATTATTTTATTTTAAATAATAAAATAATTATTAGCGTCGGAAAAAATTGCAAAAAAAATAACACGCAATGTTTGTGAGTCAAAGCTCCCCAAAATTTCAGCAAACTGCCTGTTCTGAGATTTGGCATGTGATTTGAAATTATGGCACATTATACTACAAATTAAATACATTATTTTTTAAAAAAATAAAATAAAATCTTTAGTCTAATTATTATTCATTTAAATATTCAATAACAACGATTTCGTATATAACTGTTTCTATTCTTATTTTCTTTATTTCTAATAACTTCCTAAACACGAAAAAAAGTCAGACCGAAAACGGTCAACACTAATGGCTACAAACTGAAATTACGAAACCACCCCCGGGCGATACACTCGACAAACCGACAACAACCTATGGGCATTTCCGTCATTTCAGCGAGACTCCCCTCGTATATTATTGTTAGCTGAAATCAATCCTTTGGGCGGATCCATTTTCTCCTTCTACTTCTACTTCTACTTCTTCTTCACCAAAATCTACACAGATTATGATGAGACTTTATTCCCCCTTTCTAGTCATCGTTACGATCCTCGTAATCTCCACCGTCCATTCATCTGACGGTCGCGATTTCCCCGGCGAAACCCTACCCCATTCTCCGGCAACATTCCGGCCTCAATTCTCCTGGCACTTCGGCGCCGCGCAACCGCCGGCCGGCGAGTCGACTTACCGAGTCTCGCATCGGAAAACGCCCGGCGGACCGAATCCGTTGCACAATTGAGGTTCGAAGACGAATTTTTTACTACAGTAGGGTTTCAATTTCTGGCAGTTTTGCAGCCGGCCATTATTACTACCTGGTTGTTTTTAGTGGTGTTTGTTTTTATTTCCATTTTTTTTAATAATTCCTTTTTGTTTATTTGTTTGTTTGTACTTTTGGTGCAGATATGTATGTATAGTTTAATTACTATAGGCAGCAAAGGAAGTGGGTAGAATAGAAATTAAATATATATGTATAATGTATATGCATACAATACATACAGATGATTGTTTTCTGATTACCAATTAATTTATTAATCTTCAGTTCATTGAAATCAAAGTTGCAAATAAGTATTTTTTTAAATTTCAATACGTGATGATTTCAATTTTCAGAGCATTGAGAGGTTTTACGTGTCAATAAAATTTTGTTCCCTCTAACCTGACCAATCAGAGGATGCCCCAATATGCATAGGCCAAAAGGGTCTTTAATTGTCATGTCACACACACGTATATATATATATATATTTGTGCGTATGCATGTAATGTAGTGTGAAAAAGGGATTAATTAGGGTTTGGGATTGGGTACCAACTTGGTGTGAAATTAAATTAATTAAGAGGAGGTGATGCTAAATAGTCAAACAAGTAAATAAATGAATTAATTAATTAATTACAAGTAACAAATGTGTTCAATTATGAGAAAAGTCTGAGAGGTATAAACATAAAAAAAAAACCATTCTTTGGGTAAATAATTGGTGCCAATTTCTTAAAGATGGGCCATATTTTCTCAGCACTTATATTATATAATTGTGATCAAAATAAATAAATAAATTATATTAATAATATATTGGACAATGTATGATGTCCCTTCATTGGAAAGTCAAATGGCAGCATCACGAGGATCCCAGGAAGAAGAAAAATGGAATTTCATTGCTGCCCCTTTCTACATGAACTTCAAAAGCCAACTTCCTTTTTCATTTCCACTTTCAGATTTTTAACTTTTCGAAGGTGACTAAATTCTTGGCACATAGTAGTCCAAATGCTAAAAAAAATATCCAAAGATTGTATGATATATATTCAGAGTTCAAACAAGAATCTACTAACAAAAAATATAATGTGAAACAGAGTATATCTTGTCATTAGAATTGCATATCGAATCTGCTAAGGCACACAAATTACTTGTGCAGAAACCCCTCAATGCTCAATGTAGAACACAATAAAAGAAAAGAAAAAATCACCTCGACGGGTACGGCTAGAAGTCGCCTTCGAGCTCATGCTCTTGTTTATGGTGAAGGCATTGTTGAGATGTTAGATTACTTCGAATGAACTTCATACGATACCATACCGTTGATTGGACACACGGGATGCCAAGAAACTCAAGCCACAATAAACTCCAGCTGATACGAACACTGAAAACTGTTGAGTATGATCTGCATTTACGAACCTGAGTTGAGATTCTTGAAGAGCTCGGGGAGATGGGCGTTGGTAAGCTTGGTCCTCTTGCTGATTTCGTTCTTCTTCTTCTTTTGCTTGGGTTTGGGTGGAATTCCGTGAATCTGCGCCATGGCTCGCCTTTTTGCAGTGTTTGTTGCAGGCGTCATTTTGTTTTTTTGAAGATCCCTTTCGATGTCCAGCATGTCGCGCGGGAGTTCAATGTCTCTAAACAATTGTTTAAGATCATCGTCAACTTTGATAACTGCTCTCGGATCATTGGGGTATGCTATGTCTTCTTGTGAATCAAAGTTCGATAGTAGCCATATATCGCCTGAAGCTTTCAAAGCCTACAAAATATTAACAATTGATCAATCAGCATTCGCAGTTCAGACTGGAGAATAAAGTCCGGACAGAACTTTAAGCGTTGATTGTGAACAATAAGTATCCTAATTTACATGTTAATTGCTTTTGTTAAATTCAATGTTCTTTGCGCTGAATTTGGAAAAATAATTTTGATCAAATCTGTCATCAGACAGAATCTAGTATATCGCTGCTTGGGTCGAATCTCTAACATAACTCACAGATTCGATACGAAATATTACCTGTAAGTCTTCCATGACATTTGAATATGAATCCTTGAGATCAATAACGGCAATACCCTCAGGAAATTTCCGGATTAAGTAAAGAAGTTGGTCCTTATCTTTCAAATCATGTTTCGACTGCATAAAAATCATACAAGAGAGTCATCCCACGAAAAAAGGGCAAAATGAACAAATAGCATGATTTGCATTTAGGAGAGGATTAATGCCAAAACATATTACCTTGTAGGAAAATTGTTTCCCATCAAAACTCACTTTAGGATTGTTCCTTAAACTATCAAAGACAGCCTTGTTTGCATTTACATCAACGTAGCAAACCTCGTTTATTTGCTCGGGAGAGAATGATTTCCTTGTCTGGAAATATAAATTTCAGTTAGCCATGAAGCAATATACACTGGTGATGATATTCGGAATCTTCCTCGCGTATATTTTACGAAAAAGATATGGGAAACCACATGATTATACAAAAATGTGGAAGTCATATGGCTCTATGCATTTGGATTAGCAAATGAGAACTGTACATTTCTACCATTCTGTAATTACGCAAATGGCGAACACAGCTAAAGACAATGGCAATATACAAAAGACACAGCTTCAGAATCGTGTCAATGCATAACAATATAGATGTGAACCAGATGCTGAATGATGTCAATTTTCTTTTTTCAAAATCCTGCATTCGAATATCAAAGTTTTCAGTACCTCATATAGCAAATCAATAACTCGTTTGATCTGAGATCCGACAGGCCCTCTCCTTACGCTGTTTATATGTTGAAGCCGTTCTGTATCATTCGAGAATTTAACTGCAGGTGCAGAAGACTTTCCATTGGCAAAAGACGACATGCTCGAGGCCATTGATTTGGAAATTGTAGCTCTAGAAGTTCCTGCTTTTGCAGCAATGCCGGAAAGTGTTGATTGGCATTTCTCTTGCTGTTTCTTGAATTTTGTCAAACTCTCCTGAAGCGACGCCATCTAAACACATCGAAAATTGGAGTTCATAACAGAATCAATCACAAGGAAGGAAGAACACATTACAAAAGTATTGATAATACTTAATCAATGTACATTGGTAACCATGCTCAAATACAAATCTAGGAGCTTTACAATACATTCATTAGATGCTTAACGAGTTCAAAATACCAATTCCAGATTAACAAACTGGATCCCAACAATCAAGTTCCCTATTGTTTCAAGTTTTCAACAACCAAAATTGTGCAATATATGCAGGAAATAAAATCCAATACAGTAAATGCCGAGATTAGAAATCTTCCAGGTTCAATAAGAACACCATCGATCCGAAAGTTCACACATACAAACATCAATTCCCATTGAAGCTGAAGCTCTAGATCCATATTTGTTAAAAAGGAATTACAAAAGCAAACATCGACGCCAAAAAACAGATAATACACGATCGGTTGTCACCATAGAAATCGGGAAAACCCTTCATAATGCTCTAATCATCTAACACCGAGCAATCAATTCCGATTCACGAAGGTTCAATTATTACCATCCCAGGCCTAACTCTCAATTCTCCAAAATTTTTCAGAAACTTCCAATCCAAATTCGATATCTCACAACGATTACTATCTCAATTAAGGCAGGAATTTCAGGGTTAATCGATTCAATTTCCAACCATCTCTTCTTATTTTGATCCCTTACCTCAGCAGCAATTCAAGCGGCGGTAGTAGAATCACGAATATCAATCAGCCTTAAGGGAACAAGATTATACGAAGAAAAAAAAAAACAAGATTTCGTTTAAAATCTCTCCCAAGAAATCTCAGAGAGAAGAACCTGAAAAAGCGATTTTCAGATCAAAGAAAGGGTGCCATTGCGCGTCGAATGAAGCTTCTACGATTTGGCGTCGTTTAATAAGGGGAGGCTGCAGGGTCTCTTGCGCGTTACCCCATTAATTTCGTATCCATTACAAAATAACCCCAAATTATTTCAAACTTATCATTCCACCCCCGAAAATTGAACTGATAAATTTATTACGCTGCTGACCCATTCATATAACACAAGTTTTATAATATTGCTAAAAAAATGTACTCGTATAATGTATTTATTAAAAAAAATAATAATAAATCTTTGATATATGATATTTGAATTTTCTTAAATACATATTTTTTATATTAAAAAATTTATAATTTAATACAAAATATTAATTTTTATATTTTTAATATATTTTTTTATATACTACTATAACATAAAAACACTCTTATTTAATTTTGTTAATTATTAACCACAACATTATATCAATCCTCCGTAACAAATCTGGACCGTCCATATAGGGCGGGGCGAGATCAAGGGCAGAAAACGACTCTGTAATTGGTTCCTCCAGGGCAAGTGAAAGTGCTGGTCTGATCATCCTTAGGGTAACTGTAAGCGTCGGGACACAGACCTTTAAAAAACCTCGACAAATCCGTCGGCCGGCAGTCCTGGGGGCGGCCGACGCAGCAGTACGGTTCGGTCTTGTAAACGGTGCAAGGATTATTGCATCCGCCGGGAGCCCGGAGCTGCGCCGGACACCGGCCGTTGATGTCGGCGGCGCACCTGATTCCGCGGCTGCAGCCGCCGGAGCTGGGGCTGAAGTCCATGGGGACATTGAAACCGTCGACCAAGGAGATGTCGAAGAAATCGAGGTTGTTGAATTGGTTCAGGGCGTATTCGGCGAGGGTGTTGGGGGCCTGGCCGTAGGATCGGCAATCGAGGACGCCGCCGCAGTCGCCGGTCTGGCACCGACCTCGACCGGACGGGTCGAAGGAGCAGCCGGTTCGGGCCCATATTCGGGCCGCGGCGGTGCCGGCGGCGACGTTGATGATCCAGGTCTCGCCGTGGTTGAGGGGGCGGCCGCCGCCGGGGACGGCGGCTGGCCAGAGTGTGTAGGGGCAATTGTTTCGGATGGTGAATGTGGCGGCGGTGGCGGCGGAGATGGCGGTGAGTGCCGTGGTGAGGAAGATGAGATGAGAAATCATGGTTGGAGGGTGTGAAGAAATATTATGGCATCGTGGCTGTGTTTATATATATATATAGATAGAGAGAGAGAGAGAGAGAGAGAGAGAGAGAGAGGAAAAAAATAAATTGGAAATGATCATTTTTATTATTTTAAATTTTTATGTTAATATTTTTTTAAATATCATTTTTATTATTTTAATATAATTTTAATTGGTCCCTATCACTATGCTCACATGAAAATGAGAAAAGATATGTTATGTCAATTGTTAATATGTGTTTTTATTCTATTTTATCAATAGTAGTATATGATAGGTGGAATAGTATTTAATATATTGTAAGCTTATATATTGCATTTTATTTGATATATTTTGTATTGTTGATTTATATCTCATTTATTATGAATATATATATTTTGCAATGTGCTAATTAATCATAATCAACATAGTAACTATTGTCAAATTTTAGTTTTTGTATCGAGTATCATGCACGTATATAAGATGGCAAAAATGAGTGAAATATCATATTACATGTAAATTTTATGCTTAAAGTGAGCTACTTCGGCTCTTTTACATCATTCTACAAAGAATAATTGTATGCTACAGAATTTTATTCCACAAAGAGATAATATACCAATTACCAAATAGATTTTAAATATACATATACATATATATATATGTGTGTGTGTGTGTGTGTATTTAGACCATCTACTTTAAAATTGTAGTACAAAAATTTCTGTGACTGTGCATAAGAATGGCAATTGGATCGCATTTGCTAGTCATTGATCTCTTGTTGAAAATCTTATTTGAATTTTGAATATGATTTGATTATATTATATAACATGAGTCTAATTTAGAATTTTCTTAGTCAATTCTATAAATAAATATATGAGTTGGACAAATGGATGCGGAATTGTTTTTAAAGTATGGCAAGGTTGGGTCAATAAATTGTTTGGCAAGCTGCCATTATTTTAGTATTTAATAGGTTTTTAATGCTTGTACGAGATGAGATATTAATCACTGCTTTGCTTTTCATTTCGATTGATAAATTTATTCACCAGTATTTGAAAATGAACCTATTTCCTGAGTACTATAAAACTTTATGACACAAAATATTGTATGAATGTTGCAGACATAACAACAAATCCAATCCGATCCAATCCAATCCAATCCATCCCAATGCTGCTGCTGCTGCTGTTAATGTTGCCACACAAGGCTAATTCGGCTGCTGCAGCAACAAACACCAACCAACATATTAAGGTTCGAAAGTCGGGACCGTATCATGTCGAGAATGAAAGGCTCGGAACACAGTGCGGTCGAGGACATTCCGGTAAGGATCCCTCTTCCTCTTTTCAAGAAGATAGGCGATGTTCTCTTCGACTTGCGATTTTATATGCATGTAGAGCTCCTGCGCTTTTTCCCGATCCTTTAATAGCTCTTTACGTCCCTTTGTCGGGATAGGCTTCCCGAAATAGTAGTAGAATCTGCCCGGGATCTTTGGTATAAGCGCCGGAAAGAACAGAGCTTGATTGGCGACCTCGCCGCTCTGCCCGGATCTATGATAATAAAAAAAGAACAACGGTTTCAATTAAGGACAGCAAAATATGCATGGGGTTGTCGAGTATTTTTGGTTCTCGAGTTTACCTGACGTTCCAGTGCCGATACTTTTTATTATCGCTGCGAATCTTGTCGCCCCATATCGGTATTTTTAGTTGGTCTTCGAAATCCAACGCTAACTGCCGAGGAAACAAGAATCGCGAATACAAAGTAAGAACTTGCAGAGTTCTCCAAGGTAGAGTTTATGTTTATTTACTACTACTAACAATACCTCGGCGATGTCATCCTCTCCAACGACTCCGAACGGTACAATGGTTGCCCCGAATTTTGCAGCCATTCGGACGAACTCCGGTTGGTTGGGCCAAAATAATTTATAGGTTTCGCCCTGATTCGATAGAAAAACATGGTTTCAATAGAACAACCGAGACTTTGTACAAAATAATTTATTGGTACAAAATACATATGTACAAACCTTTTGGTGCAGAGCTTCGCGAGCACCGCCCGGATAAAGCAGCACATGAGACTCTGTCTTGAGCAGTTTGAAGAGATTGCTTGCAGTAACAGGCAATGCGCCGAATATCTTCACCGTATCAAAAAACGAAACGCTTTGGTTGTCACTTTTTAGAAGTTCGGGTGCAAACAAAGTCGGATGGGCCACACCACGAATTAAGATCTTCTTCTCCCGAAGGAACTGTTCGACTAATGGGCTGAGCTCTAATCCTAGAAGCATGTGATATCCGACTAACAAGACCGGACCTTCGTCCGGAACCCCTGCCAGGCCTCTCACAATCTTTCCATCCTCGAGAGTGGACAAGATCACAGGACCAACAAAATTGCGGAACCATCTGCATCAAGTTATGCGAGGGTTAAGACCATTTATTACCGGTGCTGATACTTAACTATGATCGGGGCAACAATTGCCAAACAACATGTGCTCAAGAAGATTTGAATGGTTATGTATAAGAAAACAATTACACAAATTCTAATTTCTTCGATGGATATGAAACATTTAGCTCAATTACCCATTCTGTTCAACTTGGTCGAAGTCATACGCGCTAGGAGGTATAAAATCCATGACAAAATCGTGATTGCTGGAACGACGATACATGGAAACACCTTTGATCACGGACAATAGATTAAAACCATCCTCCTGCAGAATTAAAATCGATGCAGCAAATGAATGCCAAGAAAAGTCTAATCTCTGAAACCAAAATATGTAACTCTAGACCTACCAGCAATAACGTATGTCCGCTGTCTTTAAAGTACCGTACTTGGATATTTTGTATTTTTTTGAAAAGTCTCCTAGCTTCTTCTTGACTCGGAAGCATGTTGTCCTTGCCACTGCATCATAACTATCATAATTTTGACAAAAAAAATAACAAATGCAATTAAGTAGGATATGCATTATCCTCTCTCTCAAGCAAATTTGACTTGGTGGTATGTATATTAAAGAGTCAGAGTTATCCAATGAAAGTACGCCAAATTAGATATCTCTATACAAATGAATGTATTCGGAAATTGCTATTGCATCCACTCTTACTCGTCCCAAAATGAAAAATAAAATAATAATATAAAAATTATTGATAAGAGGAAAACCTGGCTAGAAGAAGTACTTCAGCTTTAACGGCATGAAGACGAGAATTAGCATAAGCAGCCGCGTGTTTGATGAGTTTCAATTTCCACACCATTGTTTCTTTAGGTATTATATCAGCCAAAACCTGTTGGATTTCCACCAAAAATAATAATTTTTACGAGATATTATGACAAAATGAATAAGCTATGAAGCATAGAAATGTAAGTACAGAAAGGCGTGGAAGCAGGGCGGTAAGGCTGTTGGCCAACTGCTCCAAAAATGGCCCTGGAGGCAGCGTTTTGTTTATATTAACTGAAGCCATCTTCACAGGATCGCCTGGTGTCAGGAAAGATCAAAAATGAAAAATGATTGTGATCGTGAACATCTAGGCAATCAAACAATGGTAAAGCACAAATAAATCGTGTTTTAGGTACGGAAAAGGTCAAAAAGGTTGAAGGAGTGAGTGTGTCCGTACCCATAATAGAGCTCAAAAGATAAGGAAATATGATGTGAAATTCAGATGGCAGCACATCAAACAACGGGAAGATAGGATGCAGTTGTGATGATTCAATCGATGTAGCTGAAGAAATTGTTATCAATTAGAATCCAGATATCCATGTAAAGAATAGAATATTAGTAGGTGTGGTTGCAGACCTGGATTAGCAAGTATCAATACGAGATCAATGTGCTGATTCCGAGCTGCCACTGCCAAAGCCAAGCACCCACCGAATGAGTCTCCAACCAGATAAATGGGCTTATTTGGGGTTGAGGCATGCTCCGCCCTTACAGTTTCCTCGACCCAGTCTACCAAGCCTGCATATTCAAGGAAGATCAATTCAATTATACGCACACTAAATATCAATATATACTCGGTTTTTGAACTACAAACTCTCTAAGGCAATAAAAAAAATTGACCTTCAAAGGGCGTTCGATCATGAACGGGAATATGCATGCACCGAACATCAAAGACCCTGAAACCAAATAAAAATAAATGTAACCAATAGTCTAACAAGACAAGATCCTGAAAGCTCTAGCCAGCTCCAACCCTCAATAACAATATAACATCAAGAATCTAGAATATTTTTAAATACCAATCATGTCACCATTTTTACTTTACAACATTACAAATTCAACACCACCAAGAAAAGGTCCAAAAACATTAACACTATTTATATATGCGAAAATATGTCAACATAATATACATGTATATATAATTTATCAGCAAGAAACCTTTTTGTAATACATATACATATATCTATATATAACCAAGATTAAATAATCTCCCAATTCAAACCTTTGATCTAAAGACTGACAATAAATAAAGCTTATCCATTTCATGATCATCCCATCATCACAAAAGATTATACTCAAGCAACAAGGCTATCATCAAAGAACAGTTACACTACTTTATAAGGTCTAATACTGACTCATAATTACAGACATGACTTACTTTCCAAGGGGCCTGTGCTGCAGAACGAGACCAAGTCCAAGACCATCCATACCTTCAAAAGCAGAAAACCCACAAACTCAATCAGCAGTTAGCCACACAACAACCACACATCTTCAAACCAAATGTAACAATATTCAAAACCACAGAACCATATATACGATTAAAGGCAAGAAAACATGATTTACCAGGTAAGAACAGAAGAACAGGCGAACCCTTCAAATGAGGGCCACAAGCAACTGGTGTAAACCATCGAATCGGACCGCCATCAGGCCTGATTAAATCTTTAGCGTAATCCAGATACTCCTTCACTGTCTCTTGCCCGAATCCATCATCCCACAAAGGTGCCAACTTTTCCTCGTCCACTCCATGCGAGACTCCATTAACAGCCACGCTCTTTACTCCCACATAATCTGCAGACAAAGCGGCGGTCGAATCCGCAGTGGCAGCTAAGCATCTCAATGGATGTTTACAACATACCCTTTTCCATGAACCAAAAGAGGGGTTATTTGAGGCTACAGATAGCCCAAATATTCTAACCCCCGACGCCATGGGAAGTCGCAGCAGTGTCTACACAAGAATAAACTCTAAACTGAAAGGTTCCCTTTTAAATCCTCAAATTCCGGAATTTAGAATTTTTAAAAATATAGAAAAAATCGAGAGAGAGTGAGCAACTTGGTGAAGCAACTGACTGAGATTTACAAGTAAAACTGCCTTCTAATTATTCGAAAGCATTCGGTTCATCTAATTAAACATAAACTGAAAATCCTCCAAGCCACATAATTCGCTTCTCTATGCGTGGAGAGTGGTCAGTAATATTCGTGTCAGCTGATGGAACATACAAGCATTTTCCAATATGAAAACGACCCACAAACAGCTACTAGAGAAAACAACAAAAGAACACACCCGTCGAAAGATGGGAACTTTCTGTGGGGCAATTAACGAACAAGGGAAGAATTCATCAGTGGGTGTTGGTGCTATATTAAGGACTATATGTGATTCGGGAAGTTGTTGAACGACTTCGTAATTGCAATTTCAGAAAAGGTACATTCTAATTTTGCCATAGCCAATACAATGGATTCAGATCTTTAGCATTAAATAACATATTTATTTCGATGTTGATTCTAGGTTTAAATGAAATTAATTGCCGGATTCAAGGCACTTTCTTGATTAGGACTTTCCCTTGATACAATCTGGAAATTTTCTACAGTTTTTTATGGGGAAAAAAATGCAATTTGTTTACGGTAAAATATTTTTCACTAAAAAAATGACATGTAAAGCATATACATCGAACTAAAAAATTCATACCTCGTTTAGAAACAATAAAATCCATAGTACCTTTAAAAAATAGAAAAAGTCTCAAAACACAAGCTTGTGGCCGTGGGTAATTAATCATGATGAGTTTAATTGTAATTATCATAACAACTTTTCACTATCCAGTCTACTAATCTCCATCATAAACATCATTCGACTTAAAAATGTTCAGGTTTAAGTACAGATGTTTTGAGTTTTTTATAAATTAGATTGACCCAAATCTGCAAAAGATAGAAAAAGTCAAATCTCGTTTAGAAACAATCAAATCCATAGTACCTTTAAAGAATAGAAAAATTCACAAAACACAAGCTTATGGCCGTGGGTAATTAATCATGGTGTGTTTAATTGTAATTATCATAACCAATTTTCACTATCCAGTCTACTACTCTCCGCATAAACATCATTCGACTTAAAAATTTTCATGTAAGTATAGATGTTTTGAGTTTTTCAAAAACTAGATCAACCCAAATCTGTAAACACATGTTGGGTCAAAACAAGGCTCGTGTACCTGTGGAAATACCTCTTGCTTTTTGAGTTAGCAGAGAGAGAGCAAAACCTAAAGTAAAATGATAATATTCACCAATACAAAATTCAAACGCCATTGCAATTCATTATCAAAGAAATACAAAGAGTTACCAATAAACCCACCTGAGAATCTGCGGGAATATATTTGATTCCTTTTCCAGGGTATATCTTAGCGCCGCTAAAACAACAAAGCTCTGTCCTGATAAACAAGGCCAAGAGCAAGCAATCAACTAACAGAAATGCCACATGACAATCAAGTGGATTCAAAGGAACACGGAATTTCACATTCACAAGACGTGCTGCATTTTCAGTACTAAGTTACCAGAATTGCTCCGACATAAACCTAATCATTCCACCTCAACCCCCCTCGCGTACAGATTGCTAAAAGATTAAATGGTTGTAATCATACACGCAATCAACTTCCCTTCGCCTAAAATATTATCCCCAGATTTGTCACGAAAACTAAAAATGATAGCAAAAACTACAACACAATTAAACCTTTAGATATGACGCTCGTCAAGGATCCGCAGAAACAATCAAAATCATCTCGAAACACAGAACAAGCAAACATACAATAGACCATCCCGAGATTTACACAAAAAATCGAAGAAAAGGCTCGCACACGCATGCAGAAGAAGTGCAGTCATGTGATGAACTCACTTCAAATCCATGGTCGCAAAGCGTTGCAGCGGCCTCCACACTTGTTCTTTCTCCTTCCTGCAGTTTCTCCAAAACGGCAATAAGAAGTGACAAGCCAGCAAAGCAAATCAATATAACGCTCAAGTTTGTTTGCGATACGATGTCGTTGCAATGTTGTTGGGCCAATCTTAATGGGCTTACACATGTCCATGGATAGAAATGGTCGGCCTTAAAATGATTATTATTTTACTATTTTTTATTATTTATCTCACGTAGTTTTTTATATAGTATTGTTGAAACGCGATTTGGATTTAGCGGTCTACCCGACCCTAAACCAAAGCAAAAAGGGCTGTTTCAATTGGCAGGGTTCCTTTTGGGCTTATCTTAATTAATAACAAATAGGCTTAGGATTTAGGGTGTTTTGGGGTGCTTATAAATAGACAACTATGGTTCTTAGTCGGATGACACATTGTAAATCTCTGAATCAGTATAATAAAATCTCTCCGGTTCCTGCCCGTGGACGTAGGTTGACACACCGTCACCGAACCACGTAAAACCTCTGTGTTCTTTATTTGCTTTCTTTCTCGTTTTCTCATAACAAGTGGTATCAGAGCCATATCCCATTGATTGAAGATGTCCTCGTATAAATTTGATCTGGAGAAGTTTAATGGGTCGAATGACTTCACGCTCTGGAAGGTCAAGATGAGGGCACTTCTGGTTTAACAAGGATGTGCGGCTGCGTTGGAGGGAGAAGACAAGTTTCCTAAAGACACGAAGGAGGAGGTAAATAAGGAGATTTTGGCAAGGACTCATTCCGCGATCTTGCTGTCAGTTACTGATGAGGTGTTACGGGAGGTTGTAGATCAGACAACGGCTTTTGGGTTATGGAATAAACTGTGTGAGAAGTACCAAAACAACTATCTCACGAACAGGCTATATCAGAAGCAACGTCTTTATACCCTCCGGATGTCCGAAAGTACTCAGGTAAAGGATCATCTTGATACCTTTAACCGTATCATTCTTGATCTTCAAGGAGTTGAGGTTAAAGTAGATGATGAAGATCAAGCCCTAATTTTATTGTGTTCACTACCTGGTTCATATGAGAATTTTGTAGATACTATGTTATATGGTAGAACTACAATTTCTGTTAATGATGTGAAAGATGCCCTTATGTCCAAAGAATTGAAAAGAAAGGTTTCTCTGGAAGAGGGTTCTGGTTCAGGTCTGTTTGCAGGTAGGGGAAGACCACAGGAGAGGGGTAACGGAAATGGGAGGTCGCGTTCAAAATCAAAATCCTCTAGCAAAGTTAAGTGTTATCTTTGCAAGGAGAAAGGGCACGTTAAAAGGGATTGTCCACAAAAGAAGGGAAATACAAAAGTTGATTCTAGTAACAGTGGCAGCAGTGCTGCTGTGGTACAAGACAGTTCTGATGATGGGGACTTTGGTGAAGTTCTGACAGCGTGTAGTGCTAGTACTGCTGATTCCTGGATTATGGATACTGGTGCTTCTCACCATATGACGTTCTCTCGTGATCTACTCACTTCTTTTAAGGAGTGGAATGGAACGGTGAAGTTAGGTAATGATGGGGTTCTAGCCATAAAAGGGAGCGGGGTAGTGCAGATAAAATTGCATGACGGTACTGTCAGGAAATTTGACTGTTGGTATGTTCCTGAACTCAGAAAGAATTTGATTTCTCTTGGCACCTTAGCCAAGAATGGTTTAAAATATCACGGTGAAGGTGAGTAGGTGAAAGTCCTGAAAGGTGCGCTGGTAATGATGCAGGGAAAACTGCAGCATGGAATTTATTTTCTACAGGGCAGTTCAGTGATGGGAACGGCGGCGGTATCCCAGTCCTTGGATAAACATGATGATAGGACAAATTTGTGGCACCGGCGATTAGGTCACATGAGTGAGCTAGGGTTGTCTGTGTTGAGCAAGCAGGGTTTATTTGGTGAGGATGTGATAGGTAAAATTCAATTCTGTGAGGCTTGTGTAAAAGGGAAGCAACGCAGGGTGAGGTTTAGTACCGGTCATCACACTTCAAAAGAAATTCTGGAGTATGTTCATTCAGATCTATGGGGTCCCTCTCCGGTGAAATCGCAGGGCGGGTGTTCTTACTTTGTCACTTTCATAGATGATTATTCGAGAAAAGTCTGGTTGTACTTTCTAAAGACTAAAGATGAGGTGTTTGGGAAGTTCAAGGAGTGGAAGACCATGGTTGAAAAACGGACGGGTAAACAGGTCAAGACTCTAAGAACTAATAATGGGTTGGAGTTCTGCAACGCTCCATTTGATGATTTCTGCAAGAAAGAAGGTATAGTGAGGCACCGCACTGTACGACACACACCACAGCAAAATGGAGTTGCAGAGCGAATGAACCAAACCCTCATGGCGCGTGCTAGGTGTATGCGCATATTTGCTGGCTTGTCTAAGCAATTCTGGGCTGAAGCAGTAAACACTGCTAGCTATCTGGTTAATAGATCTCCATCAACTGCAATTGACTTAAAGACTCCTCAAGAGGTATGGTCCGGTAAACCCTCTGATTACTCTAATCTAAAAATATTTGGATGCCCTGCATACGCTCATGTGAATGATGGTAAGCTGGAGCCGAGGGCGGTAAAATGCATATTTCTAGGGTATGCAACAGGAGTAAAAGGTTATCGACTGTGGTGTACAGAAGGTAAAAATCCTGGTAAATTTCTTATTAGCAGAGATGTAACCTTTGATGAATCTGCTATGCTTGATCAGAGTAGAGGTTGTGAAAGTATTGCAGGTACAAAAGATTGTGGTGCTAACCAGAGGGTGGAGTTTGAGACTCCTGACAGAGTTGTGTTAGAGGAAAAGCAGCAGGATAATAATATTGATCAATCCGATCAACCAGATCAGTCAAAACCTCAAGGGAAACCGGTTGAGGGGGAAGCTGATGACGCTGGTACTGGGGTTGAAGATTCCATAGCAGCAAGAAAGGGAAAGAGAAATATTCAGAAACCAGCTAGGTTTGCAGGATGTGTCAATACGTGTGACATGGATTCTGTTGCTTATGCACTAGCGGTTGGTGATGATCTTGGCTCTGATGAGCCAAAGACATATAAAGAAGCTGTGGCGAGTAAAGATGCAGAAACCTGGATTATGGCAATGAATGAAGAGATGCAGTCTCTTGAAAAGAACAAGACTTGGGATCTTGTTGCATTACCAAAAGGGGTGAAGCCAGTGGGATGCAAGTGGATCTTTAAAAGAAAGGAGGGAATTCCTGGTGTTGAACCTGCTAGGTTCAAGGCGAGACTGGTGGCAAAAGGGTTTTCACAGAAGGAAGGAATCGATTACCATGAAGTCTTTTCTCCTGTGGTGAAACACAAAACCATTCGGGTTCTTTTGGCAATAGTGGGTGCTTTTGATCTGGAGCTGGAGCAGCTTGATGTAAAAACAGCATTCCTTCATGGTAATCTAGAAGAACAAATTTACATGTCTCAACCGGAGGGGTTCTACAGTTCTAAAGGGGACCAGGTATGCTTGTTAAAGAAATCTCTGTATGGCTTGAAGCAATCTCCGAGGCAATGGTACAAGAGATTTGACTCATTCATGGTGTCTAATGGTTATACTCGTAATCAGTTTGATAATTGTGTTTACTCGAAGAAAGTTTCTACTGATTCCTTTGTGTATCTGCTGTTGTATGTGGATGATATGTTAATTGCAGCTAAGAACATGGCTATAATTAATGACTTGAAGGCTCTACTAAAGGGTGAGTTTGAGATGAAGGATTTGGGTGCGGCAAAGAAAATACTTGGTATGGAGATCTGGCGTGATAGAGAAGCAAGACGGTTGTGGGTTTCTCAAGAAAAGTATATTGAGAAAGTTTTGCAGGCATTCTCTGTTGATCAGTCCAAACCGGTAAGTACCCCTTTGGCGGCACACTTTAAACTTGATCGAAGCACTATACCGGCTACAGATGAAGAGGTTAGTTACATGAAGACGGTTCCATATTCAAGTGCAGTTGGAAGTCTTATGTATGCGATGGTATGTACGAGACCGGATCTCGCTTATGCGGTTAGTGTGGTGAGCAGGTTTATGGCTAATCCGGGTAAAGCTCACTGGGGAGCTGTAAAGTGGATCTTGCGATATTTGAAAGGAGCGTCTGATATTTGTCTGGTATACGATGATAAAGGCCATGGTGATGGTCTTGTTGGCTATGCAGACTCTGATTACGGGGGTGACTTGGTGAAACGAAGATCACTAACTTGTTTTATCTTCACTCTGTTTGGATGTGCAGTCAGTTGGAAGTCTACTTTACAACCTACGGTTGCATTGTCGACGACTGAGGCGGAATACATGTCAATGACTGAAGGTATTAAGGAGGGTATCTGGTTACATGGTCTGGTGCAGAGTTTGGGTCTGAAGGTGGAGAAACCGGTGTTATTCTGTGATAGTCAAAGTGCTTTGAGTTTGGCTAAAAATCCAGTGTATCATGAGAGAACCAAACATATTGATGTAAGGTTGAATTTTATCCGTGATGTTCTGGAGGAAGACAAGTTTTTTATTCAGAAAATAGCTACAGAACACAATCCAGCTGATATGTTGACAAAGGCGCTACCGACGGAGAAGTTTGAGCATTGCTTGAACTTGGTGAATATTCGTAGGAGGTAAAGCCTTCTCGGGGCATCTGGCAGGAAGGAGACGACTGAGAGATACTGACGAACCTTTGGCGGTTGAAGAAACTCCAAGTCAAGGTGGAGATTGTTGAAACGCGACTTGGATTTAGCGGTCTACCCGACCCTAAACCAAAGCAAAATGGCTGTTTCAATTGGCAGGGTTCCTTTTGGGCTTATCCTAATTAATAACAAATAGGCTTAGGGTTTAGGGTGTTTTGGAGTGCTTATAAATAGACAACTATGGTTCTTAGTCGGATGACACATTGTAAATCTCTGAATCAGTATAATAAAATCTCTTCGGTTCCTGCCCGTGAACGTAGGTTGACACACCGTCACCGAACCACGTAAAACCTCTGTGTTTTTTATTTGCTTTCTTTCTCGTTTTCTCATAACAAGTATAAAATAAAATATCATACTTTATTTAAACAAATACACAGTAGCATATAATCATAACACAGTTATATATATATAGTAACTACATAAAACAGCAAGTAAATGTATCTAACTTTCCATATATTTATTACATTAACAAACGTGCATATCTCAAATAGTAACTAATAATGAGTGGTTCACCCAATTTATTATTATTAAAAATTTCAAAATATTATTATAAAAATATATAATCATATATATTCATTTTACTCAATACATTTTATTTATTTAGAAAAATCAACAATTTAATAAAAAATATTATTTTTTTATATTTTTATATGATTATTTATATTTAATAAAAATTCAACAAATAAAAAAAATGTATTATTTTTTAATGAGGCATATGAAATCGTGTTTTGATTACATTTTTTACTAATTACTTAGTGATTTGTTTGGTTATTATTTGAAATAAAATGTTAATTGAAATTTTATTTAAATAGTGTTATGATTTAATTTGATATTTGTAAAATAAAAATATTTTTTATTAAAAATTATATCAAATAAATATTATGAATTTCGATTTGAAATATTAAAAATATTTATCGTTACAAACAAAAATAATCAAATATGTTCTCCATTTATATATACATTTTAAAAATTCTTCTTACTATTTGTTAATAATAATTTTAAAAATATTTATTATATCAAATATTTTTTTATATCATAAAACTATTAAATCAAATTACTAATTTTTTTATTATAATAAAATCAAAATAAGATTTCTATCTATAAAATATTGATTTTATAAAATAAAATTGTGGCGGCTATGACAGAGTCACAGTCACGTCATAGATATAGATATTGAAACCTAATGCACAGCACATGTCCCAATACAACAAACTAAGAAGTACAATAAAATATAAAGCAATAATTGCAGTATTAAATTAAATTAAATAAAGCGATTTCCACATAAATCAGGAATGTAATTATTTAATACGTTTTGGCCCTCCTACATTTAAATAAAGTATTTCCATGTACTAAACAAATCTGATACGAGTGTCTGAATCAAGCAAAACATTTGTTAACGTCAAACCCAATCACACATGACATGATCCATTCAAATTTCAAGGCCAGCTTGCAAAAATATATAATTTCTTATTAATTTGATTATCAGAAATTTCAACTACAATAATCTTTATAATTAAATTGAATTTGTTTTTATATAATGATTTTAAATTTTACATAAGCTATTGTGATTGAACTTATTTGGATATATATGATTTTATGCATGGATGTATATATTAATTGAACGTCATGCAATTGTGTCAAAAAATTCATAAACTATTGATAAATAATAGCCTATACCTCTCTGCATAACATGATGTTTATAGTCCTTATATACTATATTGATAATAAGCTAATATATATATTATACAGTAAATTAAATTTAAATTTACTGTACACATATATCCCTTATGTCATAAAAAAGTATGTCTATTTAGGCCGGGAATGAATTTTAAGAATAATAAATAGAAAACAGATTTTTTTTACATAAAAAAAATAGAGAAATTGTTATTTTTTTTTAAAAAAAAAGGAAACAAAAAAAAAAAGAAATAAATTTGAATGATGAATTAAAATATAAATGACAATATATACTAAGGCCCGTTTGAATTGATTTTTATCGAACTTTTACTTCTTAAAAAAATAGTTATGCATATTTGCATTGATTTATGTCTAAAAACATATACAATTTTCAAGACTGGAAAGTGCTTTTCACATTGAAAACAATTTCTAAAATAAGCAGAAATATTTTTTAGTTAAAATTACTGTTTTATTCTTAGTAATGATAATAATAAATAATATAATATAAAAATTTATACATATATACTATATTTTAATAGAGTAAAATTATTATTATTTTTAATTTATATCTTATACTTTAATTAAAATTTAAAATTATGATTAAAATATCAAATTTAAACAAGAGCATATAAAATTTTTAATTATACTAAAATTATTAATATAATATATAAAATTTTAAAATAAATTTTAAAATACAAATAATTTAAAATTGGATTGTAAATTTTATTTTTAACTTATATATTATCCTTAAATTAAAATTTTAAAATATACTTTCCCCGTCTCACATAATTTGTCCCTATTTTCTATTTTCGTCCGTCCCACATAACTTGTCATTTCTATTTTTGAAAATCTAATTATGCACTTTAATCGCATTTTAAATTTTAAATTTTATAATTTTTTTATTTTAATTAAACTATTTACTTATCTTAATCTTAATCTATAATTATTTTTACTAAATAATAATTATTTTTACTAATACACTTCCTATTTACTTGCTAATTATACTTTACCTAAATTCTCGTGTCTACAGTAATACACGCATATTACGTGGGACGGAGGGAGTAAATAACTAGAATTTAAAAATATATTTTTTATACTATAATTTAAAATCTTTGAATATGATTAAAATCGAACTACTTCTACTTTTGACTTGTACTTTAAATTTCATTTATTTTTAAATCAATCTAAACGGTCCTAATACTTTATCAAGTATGTGTGTTGTCTCTAATATTTCACATGTTATATATAATGTTTTTATATGTTGATTGGATTTATAAAATTAATTTTGTACAAGGTGGATCATACATCGTTCAATATGTATACATAATTATATAACCTAAATAAACTTAAGGTTTAATTTCTATTCTATTAAAATCCTAAATATTAATATATGTATGTATATACATATCAATAGAATGATCTATAAATAAAAATTACTATATAGCATTTCTTCTTTCATTAAAAGTTATGGTTATTTGTTTGGACATGAGTTTTAATAGAAATGATTAATAATAATTATTGTCATATATATATAGTAAAAATAAGTTAAAGTAGTAATTTTTTTACTAAGAATGAAAAAAAAAAAATTAATGTTAGACATTAATGGTTTTAAACTTAATAATAGTATATATTATAAAGATAAAACATGGTTTTAATGAATCTCCAATCAACGCTCAAACTCAAATATTCTGCATAAATATTTGTTTTGATCAGGTTTTTTGAGTTTTGATAACATTTTATTTTTCGTAAATTTAATGTTAGACATTTGTCGTATAGGCCTGATCCAATCCTAATATTAGGCCCAATTGATCCAATTATGGCCTGAGGCCCAATATTATGACATTATATTATAATTTTATTATTATTGTTTTTTTTTTAAAAAAAAAAAAAAAAAAAGGGAAAAACACACAATCGTTTCTATATTATTTTCACAAACTAAACAAACCGTTATTCTGGTCGGATTAACATGCAAGCATGATATGTATATATATATATATATATATATAGTCACAATTATCAATTCCTTTTATGTAATTAATACACGTTATTCAGTCCATCTCCAACCTTATCAATTCCTTTATTTAATTATCTATTTCTTAATTAGGACGTATTGTTTTAATGTTGAACAAATTTTGAGATTTTTATTGTTATGTATTGAAAAATATTATTAAAATATCCATATTTATGACTCCCTCCGTTGTTATCAAAATTGATATCGGCTTGACCTAACACGATTTTTAAAAAATAAAATGTAAATATATAAAAAAATCCTTTTATAATAAAGTAAAAATAATATTTTCTTATTAAAAAGGAAAACAAATATTCTTTTAATGACAACAACAAAAAACAAAAAGACTTGAATTTGGATGGAGTCTCTGACATGTGTTTAAAACTTTTGACATGAGTTGTAAACATGTGAAGTTTTGATCGTTATATACATATATATATATATATATAAATATATTATACTTTTGTTTCTATAATAAAAAATATATAAAAAGTGATAAGTTTTTACTTAACAATATTATTAGGAGTTGAACAAAAAGAAGCACAATTTTAGGGGATAGAAGAACATATTTTTACTATGGTACAAATCCAATTGATTCATTTATTAGTATGGGATTGAATCATATGTTGACAAGGCTTATGAATTAAGCAATGTTGAACTTAACCTCAACCTCTAATTTAAAATCTAATATTTTTAATTAAATAAATAATTTAATAATTAAGAGTGATTATGGCATCCATCCCGTACCAGTGATTGGTTATTAGTGTTAGTTATAAGTACTAATTATTAGTATTTGGTTATTAGTGTTAGATATTAGCATTTGGTTATTTGTATTAGTTACTACTAATTATTAATATTAGTTCTTAGTATTAGAATTAGTATTCTATATTCATACATAACATAAGTCTAATATATATTCAAAGAGAGAGAGAGACCTGATGAGTAGGCATGGCATGAGGAATGAAGATAGCAGTTTTAATACAGTCATCCATCCCCAGGAAATGCAGCTGATGATTCTGCAAAATTGTAACAGAATCAATTAATACTAAATTGACTGTGAATTAATTAATTACTTTTCAGCTTCAAGGAAATTTATAGGATATCATATCAACAGAATGAAACCATTCCAGGTATTTGCACAGAGTCTATGGTCTAGAGGACTTTAACTTAATCAAAATAATTATAGCATACACATAAGTTTACCAAAATATAATTAAACCTCACGACTTACATATATGAAATCCCAAACACCAAGATTTAAAAATGTTTTAAGTTACAATTCCACCACAAGCATAGAAACCACAGGGTGACATTAGCAGACACAACACAAACCGTTTGAAATCCTTGCCGGAAAAGGCCATAATTTTTGAAGTTATATCCTGAAAAACATCAGGGAACAAAAAACATAAAAAATATATACCAATCATCATTACCCAAGTAAACATGCAATATGTCTTCAATAATAGATCAAAGCACAACCATCACCAATATTTACTACGAGCAGACTATTGCCAGTTTTAGTCGAAGCGCAACAACGGAATGAACAAATAATACACAGATGCTAAAACTATTGCAGGAGAGTGGGAGTCCCTAGCCATGGTAGACAAAGGACAAAGTAATATTCTAATAGTCATAACACTTTTTGCAATAAACATGAAATATTGTCAAGTGACATAAGCATACAGAGGATGTGGTTGCAAGATATCAGCCAAAGCACACTTTCATCCCAACGCCCTGGGGTTGGGTCTTTTCATTCTATCAGGGAAAGCCATTGCACAAATCATTCACTAAAAATAAAATTCCAAAAAATTTCAAACCATAGTAAATCATAACAATGCTCCGAAGTCTTAGAAAACTGAAATGACTCCTTAACTAGAAATGCAATATTTAAATTGAAAGCCTAAGTGTAAACCACTGCAACAAATAAATAATTTAAAATTTTAAAGCAAAAAGTGTTCATATGCTAATTCACTTAATACATTTTAAACATACAATCCTCACAATCACACCCATAAAGACATAAGAAATTCATAATATCAGTGTCATCCACACAAGTAAATCAAAAATATTTATACAACTTTAATGTAAATCACTTTAAAAGTATGTATGTATATGCAAAGAATAAACCTGTATATCATGTACCAAAAGAGGGACATCAAACACGAAAGCTGAAACAGAATAAACACACAAAATAATTAGCATTATTTGTTGTTTAAATATGGATTTCAATACAAAATATATTAGGTTTCATTCCTCAAAAAAAAAAAAAAAAAAAGTAAAAGAGACCAGCTTTGCAAGTAGTTGTTTTAATTTGTTAGCTTTGTTCCCCAAACTGCAATTCACACCAACACAGATTGTAATTAAAATTTTAGGAGCATCATCTACAGATAAAATTAGAGTATTGGACACATAGTTCAAACTAGATGCACAAGAAGAGCCCGGGAAAACAACTAATCTAATTATCACAATCCTTGAAGCAAAAAGTTTGTCAATAACTTGTTGTAGTCTTGAGAATTAATCGACATAGAGGAACATTCAGCAGTAAGAGTAAAAAAATGGCTGTATGAAGGTGCCAGGTTTTTAGTAATGTACATGAGCTGACAAAGAGCGAAGGACTATCACAGAAGTCTTAGAGATGGCTAGGGATGGCAATAGGTCTGGTATGGGTCGGGTCCAGCCAGACCCGAGACCCGAATACACATGGTTGGACCCAAGCCTCGAATCGGACCCCACTCGAAAGAATACCCGATGGATCCAACAGACCCGAAACTTTTTTTACAATTCTTAAAATTTAACTTAAAATTAGACCCGAGCCTGAACCCGACATATATTAAAATTTATATATTTTATTTAAAAATATTATAATAAAATAATAAAAAATAAATAAATTAAACTAAAAACATATTTTTAATATAATTTATATTATTGCAAATTAATTTTTAAATACATAATTAATATATTAGTAATATATCAATTGGGTTCGGGTCGGGTCCGGGTCCACCCTGAGCTCGAGATCCGACCTGAACCCAGACCTGATACCCGAATAATTGGACCCGATTCCAAACAAATGATCGGGTCGGGTCGGGTCGGGTTTCGATCTACCCGGATCCGTTGCCATGTCTGCACCTGAGCAACATAGATAAAAGATGTTAGATCCCTTATTAATCAGGGTGTAACAAGCTTAAACAAAAATTTGATAAGTCCAATTTCAGCTTTACCATTAACTGGCAGATAAAAATAATACATACTTGTGACAAGTGCAATTAAAGCCGAAACAAATGTAAATCTGTTCCAAGAAAAAGCAACACCATGATCAACAGATACGAAAAGAGGACACCTTCCCCTACCATCATGCAAACAAGCAGAAGAACTAACACAGGCCTGGTCTATCGATAAAAACACTAAAACCTTAACAAGATCGCGGATATGCTCCTCATGCAGTAAAAGGTGAAACAATACGCATCAGAAACAAACCATATCTAGCTGGATAAACGAAACGAAATAAAAAAATGACAGTCAACTTACCCAATTTTGCCTGGTACAGCCCCATTAAGATTCTTAAATGGTAACAACCTTGGTGTTGCATGTCTAGGCATTATGGGCACTATATAAGAAACAAATGAATATATAAGCTCTAATAGGATAAGGAACAACAAAAATCCATTTCACTACCTCTTAAATCCAGATCCAAAACACTTCTAGAAATCGAAATATCTGAAAAATTCAAGAGCAATCCTTACCCTGAGATTGAAATATCAAAATTAACCTAATCCCACCAAACCCTAACCCTCCAAGAAAGCCCCCGTTCATCCAATTTGAAATAATAGATCAAAATTGTTTTCTGCATCGAAAGATTGAGATTTAAAACACAATCAAAATTACTTGCGGTCTTAAAAGATCAAAATTGAGAGACGACCTAAACTTCTCACACTTCTCTCTAGATTGAATGAAATAGCAAGGCGTGTCAAATACAAACATCAAAGAAAATGCTAAACTCATTAAATGGGATGGAGAGACGAACATACATTTTGGCCGATCCTCCGCAAACGACGAAAGTGATTCGAGGAAGAACATGAAAATGGAAACTAGGAACCAGAAAGTTGAAATTAGGGTTTCGAAGAAGAACATGGGAAATCACGTGCATCGTGCAATAGAAATGGCTGACATCGTCACTAACCGGTTAAACAAGCCCCGCCGGAGATAGAAACACCGCCGCCAGCGAATCCCTGCAGCGTACACAGCTAGCGGAATCCAGCATGCCCCATTGCCATTACCCTCTCGCTTCGATTATGCACGCAACTGAAGCACCATAGATATTTATACACTGCGACGCGTCTTGAACACGCGCATTATGTGATGTCATTAAACTGTAAACAGCCCATTACAGTGTAATTATTTATTTAATGCAATATTACCGTTAGACATGCCAGCTGTTCTTTCCATAAAATAAATCAGGATCTAACAAAATAAAATAAAAGAACTCACCTATCAAATTTACATATATGCCAGCTGTTCTTTCCATAAAATAAATCAAGTTCTAACAAAATAAAATAAAAGGACTCGCCTATCAAATTTATCTTTAGCTTAAGCCTGTTCAAAAACCTACTAAAATAATAGGCCCAATTAACAATAGAAGTAAATAAAAATTAAAATACTTATTCAGTAAACAAGAATACAAGCCCAACGAAAAATTCCGCCACAGGCCCAATAGCAACCAAATAATCGACATATATAATAAGAACAGAAATTAGGGTTTAGTTAATTTCGAATTACCCTGAAAATCCTGCACCTCATTCAGTACCATTTGTCTTCCTCGCAACCTAGAAAGATGAAACAGACAATGTTGGAGAGTAGAGCAGCGACATGACAACGAAGTGAAAAAAGCATCAATAACATGCTAGAAGACGGACGAGAAAATAAAATATCGAAAAAAAATAATAAAAATGGAATAATAAGCTAGCAAAATATCTACAGGAAGACGGACGAGAAAATATACTTACAAAAATTAACGACTCACTGGCCGCCCCTACTCCACTGGACCTGCAATTGCTATCGTCGGAAAACTCCACTCCAGCCCCGAACGTCTCAGATCTGGTGCCCGAGAACTACCGGAGACTACTTCCGACAACCATCGACTACTCAAGCCGCCGTCAGACCAGCGAGACACCGCCACAAATATCGCTGGAGAAAGGTTTGTTCACCGAGAAAAACGATTTCTGCTACGGAAAACGTCACCGGAGGGTCAGCCACTGTGTAAACCCCGTCGAAGTTACCGCTCCATGCTAGCTTGCTGTTTCTTCCTCTCTACGAAACCCTAATGGTCGCCGGCCGAAGAGAGTAAACAAAGCAAATAATTAAATGAAAAAAGAAAGAAAGGAAAAGCGTAAAACATAACAAGTATTGTTGCTACGAGTAGCCTTGCATCATCTCCAACCAACTATTTCATCTTTTTTTGCGTGCTAAACTAAACTTTTTTTTTTTTTTTTTCTCATAAAAATTTATCAATTTTAGTCCCAATATGGTTGATAACAAGGCCATATTGGATGACTCAGAAGATGACCGGACGTCCTAGGCACCCAACACGGCCATCTTCCTGCCAGTATTCTGAACAAACCATATTCACGACTATGTTCTTAAAAAATAATAGTATTTTAATTATAGTGAGTGATTAAAAATAATGTAATGATATTTTTGTCCTTACTTTTTTGTGTAAAAGTAATGATGTGATGTAAAGTAAGGGTATTTGTGGAAAAAATTAGGGTATTTAATGAAATGTAAACTTTGTAATTGGACGTCTCAAAATAGAAACATGTAAACTTTGTAAGCGGACGGAGGGAGTATTTTTTACAATTATTTCATAATATAAAAAATAATCAATTTTTATTATTTTAAAAATATATAAAAATAATACTCCCTCTGTCCCACACGGTATTTTAGGATGGGGGTAATCAGTAGATAATTAAAAATATATTAGTGAAAATAATTATCCCATAATATAAATAATTATAAATTAAAATTAAGATAACTAATTAGTTTAATTAAAATTTAAAAAATAAAATTAAAAAGTTTAAAATAAGATTAAAGTGTATAATCATTTTTCAAAAAAAGAAAGTGACATGGTACGTGGGATCGGACAGAAACGGCAACGTGGACATGAAATGTGGGACGGAGGGAGTAATATATTAATATATATTTTTAATTAATAATCGTATAAGACATGTAGCAATCAAATTAAATTAATTAGTACCACCATATTATGATCCTATTTTGAGGTCAAATTTTCAAAATTAATTAAATAACATATAATAGTAGTAAGTTACGACCAAGTATCAACCACGAGTTTTGAAATAGTAATTAGTATTTAATTCGTTTTAAGATTTGTATTTTTATTTTTATTTTCTTTCTCAGAAGATAATAACAAATTAGCAATCCCAAGTCTAAGTCTATGTAAGTCAAGCCACAGAAGCCAACTGTCTTTAGTTTCATATTGATATTTTCCACATTCCAATATTTAGGCTTTATCCACATACATATATACATTTATTTTTTTTTTACACTATTTTATTAATATTAACATTTTTTTTTTTTTTACATGTTCTAATCAATATATATATATATATACCGCATTAATATAAAAAATATATGCCCCATTAATAAATAACCATACACACAAAACACAAATATATATATATACATTGATTAGAACATGTATAAAAAAAATTGTTAATATTAATAAATATATATATGTATATATATATGAATATATTTACGTATTCCCCCGTAGCATGAATGAAATATTCATATAATTAATATAATGAGGTAGAGATCTATTCGCTGAATTTGGACTTTTCAATATATGTAGCTACTGGAGCTGTTTATTTTGAACAAATAAAAATAATGTTTCAGTGGAAAATTCATTTTGAAAGTACATAACAAAATAATGTAGCTACATGGCTTTAAAATTTAAATGAATCTGAGAGAGTAGTACTTAATAATTTTATGGTACTTAATTGATTCATTGATTTTTACTTTGACATATATGAAAATTAAATCAGGGCTGGATATATCATACAATAATAATAATAATAATAATAAATCATACAATCCTTTTTTTTTAATGATATAATATTATATATAAATGTAGCTGACAATTAAAAAACGAAAAACTTACATCATTTCGAGAGTATATTATTGCAACGTATGGTTCATTTCCATCGGAAATGTTATTACACATCATTAGTTATTTATTCTTGCATAGATTCTATAGGTCAGAGACGTGAATTAAAATCAAATCCGGACCGTCCAAACACGGATCGATCTAAGGGCAGAAAACGACGTTGTAATTTGTCCCTCCAGGGCAGCTCTTAGTTGCTGTATTATCCTTAGGGTAGCTGTACGCATCAGGGCACCGGTCCTTGAAAAACCGGGAGAACCGAGTCGGTCCGCACGGACCGGTATTGCAACAGTACTCATTGGTCCTGAACACAGTGCAGGGATCATTGCACCCGTTCGGAATCCTCAGCTCCGACGGGCACTGCCCGATAATGTCCGCCGCGCACCGCAGCGTCCGCTGGTTGCAGCCGTCGGATCCGCCGCTGAATTCCATCCGAAGGTTGAAGCCGTCGATAACCGAGATGTCGTAGAAATCGCGAGCGCCGCCGCTGCCGAGGGTGTATTCGGCTAGGGTTAGGGGCTTCTGGCCAGAGAGGCGGCACTCGAGGGCGCCGGCGCAGTCGCCGGTCTGGCAGCGGCCTCGACCGGCGCCGTCGAAGGAGCAGCCGGTTCGGCCCCAGACTCGGCCGCCGCGGGTGCCGGCGGGGACGTTGAAGGTCCAGGACTCGCCACGGTTGAGCCGGCGGCCGCCGCCCACTGGAGTGGCGGCTGCCCAGACGGTGTAGGGGCAGTTGTTCCGGACGGTGAATACGGCGGCGGTGGCGCCGGAGATGGCGGAGAGGGTAATGAGAAGGGCGACGGAAAGAGATGTGAGATTTGAGGAATCCATTGCTATTTGTTGGAGAGGTGTGAGAAAATTTAATTGCAGTGAAGGCTATATATAGAGAGAGCCAAGGTACACTATTACGTACAGTACATATGCATTAATAATAATAAGAAGAAGAAAAAGAAGAAGAAGATTTATAAGAAAGAAGAAAAAGAAGAAAGGTATGAAGTCTAGTCTTTAGAATTTTAGGAGTTTTGAACGCAAGAAAGATGGGAATAATAAATAATTATTCGATATAATTGAATGCTGTTTTTTTTTTTTTTGGTATATATATATATACACTAGTATTTTTAAAAATATATATATATATTGCATAGTTGGAAAATATTTGTAAAAAGAGTGGTGTTTGTGTAGTGTTTTATTCTTAAAAAATATTACAAAAAAAATAAAATAATAATAATAAAAATATACATAATAATAATATTAAAGTCAATAAGAAAAATACATAAAACATCATTTATTATAATACTCTCATAATTTCTTATGTCATACATCCGAATGACCTAAAACTATAAACATTAATAAGCACTCTTTGGTTATTGTTTTCTTATTTAATCTGTGAATGTGTTTAATTTGATTATGATTTCAAATTGATACTATATTATTAAAATTAAATTTAAATCAAAATCAAACAAACATATCATTTTTTATATAATAAATTATAAATATGTATATTGAAATTCACAAGATGAACGCCCATAGTTTATGTTTATCAAACTATAGAATAGTCATCTTAATTTGAATATATATCGGATTTGACCTATTTTTAAAATGAAAGAAGATGCATGACACAGGATTAAATCAAACTATAAATATATTATATTTATAAGGTGGTATACATAGGCAGTCTTGATTTAGTCAAGATATGAAAATTCTTCTCATCATATTATGGCATAGTTTGGCAAAGAGCCATTATATGTATATAAAAAAATGAGTATATATATATTCATACAGGACGTGTTTTTTGTAATTTGTAATTTATATTTTAATATTTTAAAAAAAAATTAAAATAAATATGATATATTATTTATTATTATTACTATTTAATATTGTTCAATTATACTAGAATTCACAGATAAATTTAATAAGCAATTCAAGCATTTAATTTTATAACTCGCAATTGTCGCACATAATGTTGAATCGGCCTAATTTAACCATAATTAATTTATTTTATTTAAAGAATAATCTCATGTACTAAATATAAATATTGCATAGCCGCCTGTACTGTGTATTAGTTTCTATGAATCGCCATGTTGACTTGTTGCTCACTTTTATTTAATTTCTGCACACAAATGACTTAGGTCATATCTATCTAGCTGTGCTATCACAGCATAGTAGTAAATAAGTAGAATTTGTGAATGACCTCAAATTTATTTGCCAACATTCCATAGAGATATTACTAAAAATAAAATTAACAATTTTTATACTTAGTAAATAAATATATATATATATTATATTTAATTATATTTTTACACAATTTTTTATACTTGAGTTTACATGTAAATAAATAATATACAATACTTTTTAACAAGCCAAGTCGAGACGAACAAAATTTGGTTATTGAATTAAATTTAAACAAAAATTTTAACTCATATATTTTAACAAACGGATAGGAACCGAGCTAATTAAACATAAAAAGTTTGGCTCAATTCAATGGAATTATGTGTATCTACTTACTAGGTATTTTTGTTGTGCATTATGAAACTTTATAAAAGTATCACAAAAAATAATAGTGTATATTTTTTTTCATTTTTACTGTATCGTGAATATATATTATATATTAATATATATTTTTAAAAAATTGTATATGGTGAAACAATTAGCTGAACACATTAAAAAATGTGACAGAAACGGAAATGGAATTAATGAGAGTGAAAGGTATATTGCAAGTCTTGGTCAACATTGTTTAGACTATAGATTTTGTTAGTTTTTATTTTTTTTAAAAAAAAACAAATAAAATAGTAAAAATTTGAAACTTTGATATGATTTTTTGAAAAAAAAGTACTTTTAATAAATAATAGTATAATACTATTTTTTAAATATATATATATATAACCTAAATTTATTAGAACCACTATATATATACCTAGACGTGCATGAGCCCTTGAAACGCACATTTATTACTCGCACATGCATCATACGTGCATGGCTTTACACATTCAACCTTATTCTCACATACATACGATGTCTAAACGATCTCGGCCGTCCAATCCCTGCCAGGTGGACAAATCAAGGGCAGAAAGTAACGCTGTAGTTAGTCCCCGCCGGGCAGCTTTTCGTGGCCGTGTCGTCCTTAGGGTAACTGTAAGCGTCCGGGCATCTCTCCTTGAAGAACTTCGAGTAGTCCGTCGGAACGCAGGGCACCGTCGACCCTTCCGGGCAGCAGTACTCATCCCTCCCGAACGCCGTACACGGGTCCTTGCACGCATTATTCCCCGCCTTCAGCTGCGCCGGGCACTGCCCGACGATGTCCGCCGTGCACCTGAGGGTTCTCTGGTTGCAGCCGTCGGAGTCGCCGGCGAACTCCATCCCAAGGTTGAAACCGTCCACCAGAGACACGTCGTACGAGTCCTGACCGCCGGCGGGGCCGAGAGTGAACTCCGCGATCGTGAACGGCTTCTCGCCGGAGTTTACGCACTGGAGTACGCCGCCGCAGTCGCCGGTTTCGCACCGCCCGTTTCCGTTCGGGTCGAAGTTGCACCCGGTTCGGCCCCATACCCGACCCGATGGGGTGCCGGGCGGTATATCGATTTCCCACACGTCGCCGCGGTTGAGCTGGCGACCGCCACCCACCGGCGTGGCCGCTGCCCAGACTGGGTTTGGGCAGTTGCTTTTTACGGTGAATTTGGTGGCGGCGCCGCCGCCGGAGATGCAGGAAATGACGATTAGAAGGAGGATGGAGCGGGAAATAATTGATAAGGAATCCATGGCTGGAAAGGTAGCCGTTTGGAAAACGCAGTGGTAGTGTGGCAGATATATATAGAGCTTTTAGAGGGGTAATTTGGGAAATTAATTATATATATATATATATAATATTTTACTTAATGTGACACTTAAATAAATAATTATAAACCAGTCAAGAGACCTAAGACGAGTGAATTTATGTTGTGGAAATTTCAGCTACATGAAATTAATGTTGCGGAAAAGTATGTGTTTAGAGTAAGGTATGGCTCCCCAACTCTATTATTTTGCCTTTTTTCCCCCAAAATTAAATAAGTTCATATATACTACATAAGATGCTATTATATTTTATTTGAATATTATGTCATGTATTTATTTGTATTATATTATATAAAATATTCAATATTTTTACTATTCTTAATCACAATTTTGAACCCAACATTCAACTTTAATTACCTAAATTATATTGTTTTGTCTATTTTGTTTTTACCTTTTCATTTTAAATATTTATATAAATTAGTATATATGAAAGGATAAAAACATTAGACATATAAAACTTTTCAAATTTTGTGACATTAAGCTAGAAAAATTAAAGAGATACAGACGATTTTGGTTTATGTTTCAATATATGTATAAATATATATATATATAATATTATACAATTAAACACAATTATTTTTTAAATTATTCACAATATAAGTTCTGTTTAAATATGTTTTTTTTTTTTTTTTGGAAAATTTGGAATTTTGATAAAAGTATATCTCATTTTCTCTTATAAAATAGTATAATTTAAACAAACAATTAAGTATAAAGCTCAATTTAAAATCAAGAAAAGTAATATTATGTAGTTATTATTATTATTCTTATTAAGTATATGTGAAAGCCACCAATTGGTTGACTGACCATCAGTTCCGTAGTTTAACTGAAACTTTTTTTCTACAAAAAAATAAAAAAATTTAAACTTTTTTTCTACTTGGAACCTTCCCTTGGCGAGTCCAGCTGTCTGATAATCAGTTCAGTTTTTGGAGATTATTATTTCGATAAATTGATTGATTTTACTATATAAATTTTAAATATATTATTCAACAATATACTGTCCAATCAAATGTATATATGCAAAAATAATAAAAAAGAAAATGTATATATGCAAAATGTTAGCAACAGTTATTTATTTATTTATTATTTATATATACAAGAAAATGAGAAATATAATTATAATTTGGCGGTGATTGCGGAACGACTAATTGGCCCAAGTATCATTATAAAACAATAGAGAAAGAGTTTTAAGTAATTTCGAAATTTGATACATGAATAAAACAGTATTCAATTTATAATGCCGCACTGACCAATTCAACAAAGGTGACGTAACAAAATTGTATTTACATTTTTAAGAAAATTAAGAACCATTATTGTACAATAACTATACAAGATACATTAATTTATTTTTTTATATTTAGGGTGTGTTTGTTTGGGGATACATTAATTTATTTTTTTATATTTAGGGTGTGTTTGTTTGGGGGTTTGGATTTTGAGTTGGGATTTGAATAGTAAAAATTTTGAATTTAAATAGTTGTATGATGTGATATAAATAGGTGATGATGTGATGTTTTGAATGTAAAATTGATTTTTAGTATAATATAAAAAATGAAAAATAGGTGTTTGATTTGATATTTTTGGAGGAAAAATTTTGGATGAATAGTGGAATTTTATCCAAATCCATCAAACGAACACACCCTTAATAAATTTATATAATTTAATTAATTATGAAAATAATATTTATATATTTTAATAAACAATGTTTATTTTTAGTTTAATAATTTATTTATCTTATAAAATACTAGTAATTGATATATCTAATTTAATATTATATTAGTATACTTTTCATTTGTTTTCTCAATCATTTTTTTTTTTTGACTCCATTTTCAATATATAATATACTTATATCATATTATTTTACATTTTTTTTTATTAAAAAATTTATAATATGAGTGAAAAATATGAATAAGTTTCAGGCAAAAAGAGAAACTCGATTATTGGAAACCCAGTATTGGATTCTTGAATTGCAAGTGCCAAGTGGTCTGCGAACATTCTACAAATAATCTATCTTTATTTATTTAGTTACCTTTAATTAATTAAACAAACAATATATATACAATACTCGTGTGTTTTTATTACGAATGTATAAAATATTATTCATTTATTTATTTATTGCGTTATTTTAAATTTTTTTGATATGAGTATATTTTATTAGGCTTACTCTACAAGGGCCCAATCAAGCCCAATTACTGGAGGCCTATTAACTTGCCATATTAAAAGAATTAATTACACGAAATCGGTATTATCAATCATTACTCCCATATATATAATTCATATCAATAAATTAATTAATTATTATATAGAATAATAAAATAAATAGGTGGGCCGGGAAGTTAATTAATTAATACGGAAGGAAGGAGACCCGTTACATGACTGCTGAGATTCTGCGTGTATGTGGTTTGTTATTTCTCTCTCTTAGCTGTCTGTCTGTCTGTCTGTGTGTTTAATCTGTGGAGTTTCCCGCTACTTCATTCTCTCGTCATTTTCATTAAAACCTAGCCTAGCCTGGTCGGTTACTCCTCTCTCTCTCGCTCTCGCTCTCCATTAACGTACATGCCTTAATGAATGCCGGAGTTTTCTCTTTTCGGCATTTATTTTGTGTATTTTTTTGTTGATATATTTTATATATAATGTGGAGTTTTTGGTGGCTTTGGCTGAATATTGATTGATTGTCTGTTGCAGGTGTCGGAGGAGGAGGATGGACTGAGGTGGCCGACGGGAGCTAGGTGAGGAGTTGCGGTTGTTTTGTTATTGTTTCGATTGCGTTATGTGTTTTTTTGGTGTTTGCTTCAACTTTGGTTCGATTGGATTGGAGCTGCGATTTTGTTTGCGAGTTGGATTTTGGCCATCTGTTTTTACGGAATCTGAGAGTTTACGAATTGGGGATTTGGTTCTATCTTTTCTTTGTTTTGGTTTATGAAGGATTGATCTTTTTTCAGCATTTTTTTTTTTTTTTTTTGTTAGCAATGGATTACAGAGTAAACCTAAATTAATTTTGTTTTTTGTAATGTGAATTGTTCTGTTTGCTTGATCGAGTAGAGGAGGTTTTAGAAATGTATCTTGATGAAATCTGCGTTCTTTGAAGATTGGTGGATCATCTGGAGGGAGTCATGATCCAAGTCAATAATGAGTCCTGTACACCCGAGGCTGCCAAAGAAGTCAGATTTACTTCACATTCTTCATTATCTGATAGCAGTTCTGAGAATCTCACTCCAAGATGCTCTTCTGTTTCGGGGTATTTGTTTCCAGTCTTTCCATTCCTATGTCTGGTCTCAGCAATATTGGAACACAGAATTGATCTTATAAATATCATCATTTTGGATTAATTGTTATAAAATAATCAGATATGGGTTTAGATACATGATTCTATTTTTTGAGCGGAGTAATATTTCAACAGATTAACTTCTGCATGTTTTCATGTGATTGGTGATGTGAATTTAACTTACTGTTAATGATGATAATTGCTATATGTTTTTCTGGTTTTGTATATGCTAAATTGGCTTTTCAGTTAAGTGCTACTTGTGCTCACATTAGTCAGGGGGTGTTGGTAACGCATTTCATTTCTGTTCTATGTAGTTTCAAGATTCACCGACGGTTTGGCCCAGCTAGACGTTCCTCCCAAGCTGGCTGGACAAATGAGGAGGTACATGCCTTCATTCGATTATCAACTTAAATTAGTTTGGCTAAACTAATGTGATCTTGGAGTCGACAGTAACAGAAGCTGCCAAGCTTTTGTACTTTGAGATAGATGTTTATAAGCTGTGTTGCTATTAGATATAACTTTTTTCTTTTTTTTTTTTTGTGCTGGCATTCAACATAGAGATTCATTAACGCCTCAAGTGTGCATGCTGTTGTTTTCTGAGTGGAGTTGCATGAGTGTCTGATTTTTTGGTTGATTACTATAATGAATTTTTATGACTTTTTGGTGTGAAAAATGAATCTACCATAGGAGAAAGTTGTTGCGTACAAAGGGAGGCAGGGCATTTTGCTAGCTGAGAAGTTAATGACCCGGCCAATTTTGAGTCACTGCCTTATTTAAGTCCTGCTCTTTTGAGACAATCACCTTTTTTTTTTTTTTTCTTTCATTTTTACGATAGGATAAGCTACTCACTGAAGCAGTGCAAAGGTACAATGGGAAGAACTGGAAAAAAATAGGTGAGCTTATCATTCAACAAGCAGGTTGATTTTTGGCAATTCCATGAACATATACTTCCGCTTCTTGATGAGCTTGTGTTCATTGCTATGAACTTTCACTGTGTATATGCCTTATGACGAGCAAAATGCCTCTTCCATATATATCAATGACAAGTTCCCGTTTCTGTTCATGTGTAACAAGAGCTTTTATCGCCAAATATCTTCCCTAATCTGGTATGCCACGAGTCCCCTTATCATAATCATTCTCAAATGTGTCCATCTCTGTACAGCTGAATGCATGCCTGGCAGGACAGATGTTCAATGCCTGCATCGTTGGCAGAAGGTCCTTAATCCTGACCTTGTCAAAAGCCCTTGGACAAGGGAGGTAATTACATCTGTCCACTGCTTTGATTTCTGTATATTATTAGAGAAAAACACGAGAAAAAAAAACTTAGTACACTTGTGTCATATCATGCCTATGATCATTTATATACATATTTGTGCTTTTTTGTCTGAAACTTTAGGAGGATGAATGTATTATTGAGTTAGTGGGAAAGTATGGCACTAAGAAATGGTCAACAATTGCAAAGTTGTTACCTGGTCGCATTGGCAAGCAGTGCAGGGAGAGGTGAGTAATACATACGCTTAATCAATTTTTATGAATATTAGTGGAATACTGGTCTCTTAGTTTAATACATGATGAGGAGCTTCGCGAGCAGCTCTTCAATATATTTAGAATATAATCACATATTCACATCATCAGAATAGAAATGCAGACAGTAGGGCTTTTTTTTTTTTTTTCATTGCCTAATGAATAGAATTATTGATTATAATACTGAATATTGGTGGTGATTGTGCTGTGATCTATTATTGAAGACATGCAAATACATTGAATTAGATACTAGCCTCTAACCTTTGACATCTGAAGAAATGCAGTGATATGTATGTAGAATGTATGTAACTCTTCTTCTGATAAGGCACTGGCTGCCTGTGAATTCTCAGGTGGCATAATCACCTGGATCCAGCAGTTAAAAAAGATGCTTGGACTGAAGAGGAGGAAGCAATTTTGGCACACTACCACCATTTACTTGGTAATAAATGGGCAGATATTGCAAAGTTTCTACCTGGAAGGTATCTATTTTGAAGTTTATTTATCATGTAGCAAATAGTGACAATACAATTTCTTGAATGTTTGCTTGCAAGTTCAGAGGTTACTCGGATAATGCTGATTGATCTATTTAATTGATGTTTGCACAAGCTAAAACAATTATTTTTCCTAGTTATATATAGACAGTATATGTTCAATAGACTCAGATTCTACGCCTTCATTTGTTTTTCTGAGTAGATTATTCGAACTCTCATACTTTGTTGTTTATGTTCATTTTATCTGGGTTTTAGCTTAATAATCCAAGTTGCTTCTGGCAATACTTGATTGTCCTTTTGATTGATCCGCGATTTTTTAGCTCTATGTTTCTAAATGTTCTATAGTTTATTTTCTTTAGATTTTAAGTACTCATATTTTATAATCTTGGGTGTTGTATTGCTTTTTAAATCTGCTACTTTTGATGGTGTTTATTTACTCATTGATTGCAGGACTGATAATGCTATAAAAAATCACTGGAATTGCACATTGAAGAAGAAACCTGACTTAAATATGCCTCGTTTGTCTATATCAAAATTGAGGGGAAATGCATATACCCATGCTTGCACTGATGAAGGAAAATTGGGACCTGCAGGAAGTTGTAGGATGCCCTCTAGTCTCTTTGAACCTAGATCCTCTAGCCCACAACAGGTTTCATCGAACACAAATGGTGCCCTTTCAGTGACAATGGCTCTCGGGAAATCTAATCTTTCTGTGGATTCTTCAGAGACAAAACCTTCTCTTGTAGGAAACAGCCGACATCCTGGGGAAGTTCAAACTAAAGGGAATCCATTCACTCAATTTCCAAGCATCACAATTGATAGTTCAAGTGAACTTCCATATATAGGATGTGCTAACAAAACGAGATCATGGAAACCCCCATTGAACTGCTTGTTACAAAACACATTGGATGCATGCACTTGGATTAGAACAGATCCATTCAGCCTTGATGATGTTCTTCCAGGAACATATGCAAGCACAATAGAGTCTCCAAAAAGAACCCGGAATAGTTCATGTGTAACTGATGATAAGTCTGCCTGCTCTCCCGTTGACACTAATTTAAGCTTGTCGTTAAGTGGATATGGCTATGAGAATGAGAAGGCTAAAAAAAGAGGCAGAGTCTGTGAAACACCTACATCCAATTTCACTGATTATTCCTGCACCCCGAATTCTGCTGGCAAGAGCATTCTTGTAGAGACTGAGCATGTTAGCCATCATCTTTCTCCTTTCTATCCCATTAACTTGTCATTGAGTATATCTAGTAGCAGGGGTAGTCCGGAGTCTCTGCTCATGAGTTCTGCAATGAGTTACCAGTATACCTCTTCAATCCTGAGAAAAAATAATTCGAGATATACTGAAAATACAGGTTGCTCTAGTAATTTCAGCACTCCAACATGTACTACATCTTGTGTTTCTGATACTGAAGATGCTGCAAATGGGTTCAGCTCGATGTGTGTGAAAGGCCGGTTGCATTCTAGGGATTCTGATTCCGGAGCATCAGTTTGTGGACAGGGTCTGGACCGATGCCTAGAACATGCATTTGATTTGGAGAGTGATTCAAACAATGTTAGATGTACTCCTGGCTCTTCGACTCCTTCTTCAGAACTTGCCTTCAATGCCAAAATGATGCTGACACCATGAAGTTATGAAATCTGTGAGTTCCGTTTTCAATCGGAAATTCCTAATTATATAGTTGGCTGCCTGTTTCTTATGTGATCATAACTTCAATAAATTGGCTGAACATGGTGGTAGACTGGCCGGAACAGGATTCTGTGGTGAAAAAACAGTTGATATGGTTTCTGTGGCAGTATAATCAACATAGACATATAACTTGGCCATGTAGTTCACTTATTTGGGACCTTTAACATCTTTGATAACTTTCATCTGACATATCGTATTCATGTTTATATCGATGGATGTCATATCTGCTTGTTAGTCAATGAAGCCTTGTTCTTCAGGTGTTACTGTGTTCCTGCTTGTATTGACTTTCTACTTGATACCAACTAACTTATCTATTGTTTTCACCATTGATGAACAACAGGGTCTTGGGGACCTTCAAGCCTGTGGGAAAGCCGGAATAATTCTACTGAAGATAAATTCGGCATAGTAAAAGGAAGCATACAGATGTTTTGGGGTGCTGCTCAGAATGAACACTATGGCTGCTTGCTTATGATATGGTCTGATCTCTTTGTTTTTTCAGTTACAGAATAAAGGTTTGGGGTGTTGAATTTAGAGCATCTCTCTGATTAATAAGAATCATAATAATAATAATAATTCCTGAAATATAGAGGTAGTAATAAGAAATTCAACCTGCCCAAGTGTTGATGACTGCTGCAGGGATTTGGATTTTATTTGGTGGAAATACTTGTTATGGTACCGAATGTTTCTATGCTGCATATGCATATGGATAATAATTGATTTTACATGTTGTGGAAGAAATTTATGCATTTTTCCTAAATTGTCTCCATATATGTAATATATAATGTTAGAATAGGGATTTGAGGTGTATGTATGCAGTTTCCTTGCATTGTCCATTGTTGACTACACATACGCACATGCCTTACTGTCTATATTCCAACTTTGGCATATTTGGTAAGTTAAATCCATAGTTTAAGATAAAAAGTCATTGTCATACTATATATATATACACACAACTAACAGATAACTTGATCAAGCAAGATATAAACATATATGTATAGGACAGGGAAGCTGTGACCTGTCTGAACATGTCAAATGTCAACAGCCACTCCTTCACCAGCCCCGCCATTGGCAACTCCATCTCCGTTCTCATTTTCGGTTGCCTCCACCACCAGATGGAATCCCCGGCTGCCTTCGCTTCAGATGGCCAATCTCCTCCTCCGGTTTCTGGCTCTGTTTCTGTCCTCTGCCTCAGCTATTTCCTTAGCTGCAGTTTCACCGGCTAATTCCAAGCATAGGAAACAACAAGGCAACAGTTTCTGGGATTACCCGGAATTCATGTAAGAAATAAAGAAGAAAATCTAGACAGGACATAGAACTAACTATACCATACATAGAGCTGTTAAACGAATCGCGAGCCAAGCTCGACTCAGCTCGTTAACAGCTTGACTTCGCTCGTTTATAGAGATAAATGAGCCGAGCTCGACCTCGGCTCGCGAGTAGCTCACTTGAGTTCGTTAGTGATAATATATTTATATGATTTATATATTAATATAATATATATACTTTTTTATATCAAAATTTGTATTTATTATTAAAATTTAAATATTTTATTATAAAAAATTATGAATAAAATTAAATATATATAATTTATATATTAAAAAATATACATAATATGTATACAATTCAAATCAAGCTCGAACTCGAGTTCAAGTTCAAGCTTTACGAGCCGAGCTCGAGCTTGAATTTGAGCCTAATGAGCCGAGCTTGAACTTGAATTTGGCTCGAATTCTTAACGAGCCGAGCTGAGCCTGTACCGTTAACAAGTTCAAGTCGAGCTCGAACAACCGATACTCGAGCTCGCTCGACTCGTTTAACAGCTCTAACCATACATAACTGGTGATTCATATGGTATAGGTACTGCTTCAGTGTGAACATCTTGGAATTCTTCTATGCAGCCTATCAACTGTCCAAAAGTATTTGCGATATTGCCTACACAGGGATTTTCATCCCCGACAATCTCTCCGATTACATCAGCTTCATTTTCGACCAGGTAAGTTTGTTTCGCTCCACAACGGATAGAAGATAGAAAAAAAACATGAAATTTCTGTATTTTTTGCCATAACCTTTCCAAGCTTAAACCCCACGACTTTCATAGGTAAAGCACATTCTGTTAATCTCTGTCAACATGATAGGGAAATATTCTACTCTCAGGCATTCAAATGATCATACTCACATTTCACAAATAGGTTGAAATTTAAACATGAAAAAAACCCAGACAGGAGTTAGAAAAATGGCAATAACATAAAATGAAGCTACTTGATCTCGACCCTTTGCATAATAATATTTCATTTATCGTATCGTAAAGTTGGCAGGATACCTACTTGTTTCAGCGTCGTCTGTAGCTGTGCCGGCAATCCAAGCGATGAATAACATGGAACAACTCAAGAAGGCAGCTACGATCTCAGTATGCATGTCGTTTGTTTTATTCCTAGTTATCGCAGCTACTGCACTCATATCAGGCTACACATTGTGTAAGAGGATCATATGGTGATGCTTCCTTCACTTAAATATAAACATACTTCATTCCCCATTACCAAGCATGCGTATATACACACAAAATGCTGAATAGATCTATATTGTAACATTTATGAGACTATCCAAATGGCAAAATCGAGAATAGAAGAAAAACTTGTTGCATATCTAACAAATCATCATGTAAAACATAAGGCGACAAAACATTACGGTAACAATTAAGACATACGGTAGAACAGACTAGTTTATAATTAATCATCTCCTTAAAAATGTCCGGAAAAGAAAATGCATCGATGATAGGTATTCTAACAAGTTATAATGAACTGGATTACCTAGAGGCTTCTACATTTTTTTCATCTTTCTCGACGACAAGTTTTCCCTCTGCAAACTCGCAAGCTTGCATAACAACCCCGAGCTGCTTCTGCATCTTCTTGACCACAAAAACTTCCGGCTCCTCACATATTGTGACCACAGTCCCTATTCTGCCAAGTCTCCCTGTTCGGCCAGCCCGGTGTGCATAATGAATCGAGTCAGTGGGCAGCTCTAGATTAACCACAAGATCACATTCCGGTATGTCTAATCCTCTTGCTGAAAGTTCGTTGGTCAACAGCACCCTCACATCCCCATTCTTGAACCTTTTCAAGATGGTTGATCTTGCGAGTTTGTTAAGATCCCCGTGTAGCTCAGCAGCTTTCATCCCACGAGCCTCTAACTTGAAGACGGCATCTTTTAGCTGTTTGGTGTGGTTCATAAATGCTATCACACATTTTGCATCTAAAGCATGTATGCATCTCCTCAATGTGTCGACTTTGTGTTGTATCCTCGTAACAGAATAATAGTGCGTCAATGATGGTGGTAGGCTCTGAACCGGAGAATGACTCTGAACCTCGTTGCTCGAACTTGAATCAGGAGATTCTGATGGCTTAATAGCTCCTGGAGCCGGGATTGATTCGAGAGGGATTACGCGTTTGTCTTGGACAAGAAGTGGATTGTTACCCCAACTTCTAGCAGCTCGGATCACCGAAAATGGCACCGTGGCAGACACCATTATCATTTGCCTTTCTAACCGTCTAGCTTTAGTCCCATTTGAAACATTTTGACCCGCACTGGATCTCCTACCAACATGCTCGAGTATACGATGCATGCTCTCCCTAAAATTGAAGGCAAGAAGTTCGTCCACCTCGTCTAAAACCAAATACCGGCAGCCATGTGTGTGAAGCTTCCCAGCTGCACTTATTTCAGCAATTCGCCCCGGCGTCCCCACAACTATCATAGGCTTGTTCTTCTTGAGGGCCTCTTCTTGCCGTGACCTGTTTGCACCTCCAACGAGCTGTTGAACCAATCTCTTATCCACAGGTCCGAGAACCCTCTCGAATTCCCTCACAATCTGCATTCCAAGCTCTCTCGATGGCGCCACAACCACCGCCTCTATACCCATCTTCGTCCTAGCTTCCGCATTCTCCTTAAAAGGTCCCAATTCCGACAGTATCGGCAGGAGATAGGCTAGTGTTTTACCCGATCCTGTGTAAGACTGGATCACCACATCATGATCATTGAGAATGCTGGGAATTGCTGCAGCCTGAACATCTGTTGGAACCTTATAGCCTTCCTTCTCTAACCTCTCCACCATGAGAGTAGGAAGGCCGAGCTCTGAGAACGATTTCGCAGCAAATGGAGCTAATCCTTGCAGATCAATTTTCCCCTTCTTAACTCCATGAATCACTTTAGAAGCTACTTTCTTTTCTCTTCTTTTGGGGACCTCAATTGTGGAAACCCCTTGCTTCTGTATGCTTATCTCATTTCCATCGGTTTTTGAAATCTCACTCCTCAAACCAAAACTTGCAAGAGTGAGAGGCTCTGCCTCCTTTTGATTGCGAACATGACTCAGAAAACGAACTCTGTCGTATAATAACCCTAGACGCGAAAAAGAGTGAAATTTCCTACAAGAAACGCGGTCACCAACGAGAAGAAGCGTCCTCGTTGCAGCTACAGCAGACATTTTTTCGTTTTCCCCTTAATTAATTCAGCGTCGGAGCTTAGCTTGGAAATGAAATTAGCTCTTGATACCTGCTATTGAAGCCTCATACCAATATCTACGCTCGCTTCTGAAAAATAACAAACATCTAGAAATCAGGAAATGGATGGAGCACCCATTGAAAATGAAAATACACAATTAACGCTTCTTGCAGGCATTTTGTCGAACATCTACCACTCAATCAACTCTTACTTACCCGTCACGAATTCAAACCGCCGCTGTATCTCTTTACACAAACAATAAGCTCGCAGGTATGAAGCCGTACACACATATACATATATATTTGTACGTATGTGTGCGTGCGCGCGCGTGGGAGAGAGTAAGAGAGAGAGAGAGAGACGCAGGAAGACGGCACGGCAGAAGAGAATAGAGATAGGGTGCAATTTATTTTCAGTGAGCCCCAATATTTATGTGTAATTAACTACAAGGAACACAAGACTTATAGAATTTATATACTTGTTACATAAAATTTTTTATATCAAAATTTATATTAATAAAAATTTAAACATCTTATTATAATAAATGTGAATAAACTTGTATTTATTTAATTTATTTATTAAAAGTACAAATAGTTAAAAAACAATAATATATAGAGCTCAAGTTCGAATTTTAAATGAGCCAAATCAAACTTGTACCAATAGTATACTCGAATCGAACTTGAATAAAAGATACTCGGGCTCGCTAGACTCGTTATCAAACCAACTTTTGCTTTGACATATTCTTACATCATTAAACCAACGAGAACAACCATTGTGGCTTCAGCCATTATTTGATCCATCTGCAAAAATGTATTCGAAGTTACAAGAGTAGCAGTAGTACAAGAATCACAACACATAACTTACACTGTTAATTGATGCTTTTAAGCAGATGTAGGCGTTGGATCCAGCAAGTTTCTTATGAGGCTCTCAGCCTTTTTCTGGATGGACTTGTGAGGGAACTTCTGTACAACCTCGGCTGCGAACGAAAATATCAGAGCTTTTCTCGCAGTTTCTAAGTCGATACCTCGTGCTTGGAAGTAGAACAGCTGATCCTCTTCCAAATCACTGATTGCTGCGCCATGGGAGCACTTAACGTCGTCTGCAATGATTTGGAGATTGGGTTTCACATTGACCGTTGCTCGCGGCTCTAAAAGGAGGCTTCTTGTGAGTTGTCCGGCATCTGTTTGCTGAGCCTCTCTGTTAAACAAATTAAGTAAATAAATTAAGAGATGAATCTATGACTATGAATCTATGATCTTGTTATAAATTCTATGAAGATAATTGATGGATGATGCGATGATGACAAGAAATCGCATACCGGTTAACCTGTACATTCCCATCGAAAACAGCCTGTCCTAAGGAGTGCGCGACGATGCACTTGTGAATCTGCCGGGAAACGCCTCGCGGATGATTCAATATCAGCTTGCTGTGCAAATCTTGTAACTGATCGCCGCTGGATAAGTGAAATGTCGATAGCTCTGTTAATGTATCAGGGCCTACTTGCTGCACATGGACATTGTGCCTGTTCAATTTCGCACCGGTGCTCAATTCAATTTGCTGATAGACACTGCTCGATTCCTGTGTCGAATATCAAAGCTTAATGAGCTAATTATCAGAAAAAAAAAATCATCAGAAGAGCATGAAAAGAATAATTTCATTGTTCTATCCATTTTTGTTGGTTTGCAATTCTTTACATAGAAATGGTTTTATAGTTTATACCTATTTGAAATCTTAAAAGTACAAGAAACCGATTACGTAACAAAATTTGACATCTAACTACATCTATTTCTGATCTCTGCATTGATTAGATTCGACAAATGCAGTAACTAATCAACTTCACACGCTTTAAGCAAACACTACTGCAAATAAACCAAACAAACCATGACCCTGGCAAATTAGGCTCAATGATATATGAATTTAGCACCAAATGAACTAATAGCACATAATATAATTCACACAATACATCCTATCATCGATTTTTCGGCACAAAAATATATTCATCCAACAAATTAACTACGGAAAAAGCAAAAAGGAGGACCACATAAGCAACATTGAAACCAAAACTCAGAATCTAAAGTGCATACTTCAAAAGAAATTTCCATCAAAAAGCACATCAAAGAACAGCATTAGCCGGAATTGATCATTACAATTAACAACGACAATAACATAAAGTCTACCTGCCGAACTGAAGTCCATTTAACATGAGCAGCGCCCAAGGACTGTGTTTGGATGTAAGAATGGCTGACCTTGGCTCCCTCCCCAACGACGACTTCCATTACAGAATTAGTCCAGTAGCACTTATCATTCCCATCTCCGCCGCTGTACTCCTCCACTATATCAATCTCCCCACCTTTCTCCACCATCATCAACACTCTTGGATTCGAAACAGGAAGAGTTTTAGAGTTCCTATCACTCCCATTTAATGAAAAGAATCTCAAATGTAAAGCACTCTCAACCTTACATCCCTCTGGCACATACACAACAATCACATCAGGAGCACCCACTCCATTCAGTGACCAAAATAGATCCCCTTCAAAACTGGCTACGTATTCAGACACCTTCTTCATTATACTATCGGAATCTATATTCGATAAAAGGCCGACGAACACTCCTTCTGGCAATTCAGGCAGTTTTGACAGAGACTCCACATAATATCCATCGACAATAGCAAGACTAGGCGAAAAGGCGTCTGTATCTGCTCCTAAAAAACCTAGAGATTGGGAAGAGTAAGGTGATACCGGCTGAATTTCTGAATTCCTGATGTAAGAAGTGTCTGTAAATCGGAAAGGCTCGTCTTTTCTGGAAGGCCATGGCGTGGAGAGAAGCGATTCGGAGGAGATATCTCTGAGTTTCTGTAGAGGCGGCGGTGGCGGCGGAGATGAAGCCGAGAGGTGGTCTTCGAGAGTCTCCGCTAGGCGGAGAACGTGCGGGTCTGAAAGAATAGCGAGCGTCGGCGGTTGAGCAGCAACCCTAGTCCCGGCGTTTCGTCGCGGTCCGGTGGCAGACCTCCGGAAAACTGGAAAACAAGAATTGAGAGATGAAATTGACATCGAATTGGCGGCGAGCATTGACTACCGAATTCAGAGGTAAAATTCACCGGAAATTTGCGGAGGAAACGGCCCGAGGCTCCGTCCGCCTGGTTGCTGGCTCTAAACCTGTAGATAGTTTTACATTTATTATTATTATTATTATTATTATTATTTTTAATCGACAAATTTATTTATTCTTTTTTATAAATTGATAAATTTAGGGTTTAGGTATGGTAGAGATTAAAAGTAATAATATAAAATTAAACAACAATAGGATTAATTTGTGAACCGAGGTAGTGATATATTATAAAGTAAGAGATATACATATATAATTGTAATAGGATTAGGTGAAGTGATATTTAGAGGTGGTTCGTTAAGCAGCATAAAATGCAACGAATAGTCCGTTATAGGTACTTATTTTTATACTTTTTAAATTCAAATTTAGCATTCAATTTTCAATAAAAGTATTTTTCTATTAAACCAACTTCAATATTAAAATATTATTTAAATTATTTTTTCTTTATTCTAATCAATTTCACACTGTAACAATATAAACCAGGGTTCACATGTGTAAATATATATATAATATATATATTTGTTTCTTTATTAAACTTAATAATAAGATCAATAATAATTATTGTCACACAAGGCAGAGGATAAAACAGCAGATACCCCAACCAGAAAGTAAAAATACCAACAAAAACAAAGGGTAAAATTAATTAAAAATAAAAATAAAAACCAGCTTCTTTCAGCCCTATAATTGAGTCCCCTTCTCTCTCTAGTGTATACAATACCTTAATTGATGAACGGCTTTCTCTCTGTCAAAGAATGAATTCATTACCTTTTCTTTCCTGCAAAAGTATATCACCACGCACACAAACCGCTCTTTGATAAAAAGGAGCAGAGTGTGTTGTCATTGCATCATGATATGGTTCTCTTTGTTGTTTGGTTTTTAGCTCCACCCCACTTCTTGAAGTTTCTTTCTGAATGATCTGAAGCTGTTCTGACCCTTCTCCGACCAACGGATGGACGCACTTTTCTTCAGTAGATCAGTTACATAAGGTGAACTAAAACTGGAACTAGAAATTGAACCCGAATTCTCCCCGGGACTCTCACTGTACTCTGCAATGAGTGAGTGTAGCGAACATTATATTTAGCAGGTTTTGATGCCAATAGTGTAGCAGGGAAGAAATGACAAGCATTAGTTTTCAGATACTGTGTCAAAGAATAGATAAAAATGGAATTTATGTATCACATGCAGGGGCATACCTACTGGCTTAAATAAAATAATCAGCATTGTCATAAGTTCGAAAGATGATACAATTACGAACAAGGGATTATAAGTTACCTGAGGATGGAGGAAGCCTATAATGCATCTTCAAGAACTTTGAGGCTTCCTTGTCTTTCTTGTGGCATAGTACACGAATTATAGTGTGAGCATCACCTACATACCGTTGCCGGTGTTTATTGCTTCGACTTAAACCAGCTGAAATGTGTTCGCTAGATGCCATAAGCATCTGAACCAAGGATTCGGTCTGCACAAGATTTATAAGAAAAAAATGCTCAGCGAAAATGAAGATATATAAATTTGTTGCAATATGTAAGGGCATGAATACCAAACCTTGAGTGAAAATAAACTCATAATCTGATGATAAAATTTTGCTTCCTGCTCGACCGATGAGCGAGGAAGACCTTCTCCCTCAGCAACAAACAATTCCTGGAAAATTAAGAATAAGTGCTTTAATTACATTAAATATGTAACAGCCAAACCGCATAAATTGAGTATCCTTCAAAATTGTTTCCCTAAAACACACATGCACAGAAAACAAATCCTACTTGAAAATTTTCCCCTCATCATACATATGTACTAAACATGTGATCATGATCTCACATCTGCCAAATCACTATCTACACATGCATATATATTTTCTATAAGTTCATCATAACATTTATATATAGTCTTCTGTTTTTTTGTAAAAAAAAAAAACATTGAAAATGTATACCATGTTCAGCGACATTCACACATAAAGAATAACCTAGAAACAGTAATTAAAGATAATAAACTAGAGCTTGTGATTCTTCCACAAATGTAACTATGAATATGAACTGAGATTTGAAAAGTGCAATGTTATTTTCTGTGGATAGAGTTACTTAACTTACCTTTAACATATTAAAATCCTCTTCAATCATGGGAATATCTGTATTAGAAAATGCTCGTGAAGGACCTCCATCAAGCAATACCCACATAAAGCCTTCCTGTTGCAGTGATAGTAGATAATCACACCTCAAACAAGGCATATGGTATTTACAGATATTATTGAGGAACTAAAACCTACCAGTGATGCCTTCCAAATGCTCGACACTACAAGGTCTCTGATTGTAGCGTCAATCAAACTGGAGACATTATTGAGGACCTGTAAAAATGCTGCCGAGTGTAAGAGAAAGAAAGAGATTAAAACAATGTTCTGTTGTTTTTGCTTTGCTACACATGATATTAGCCTGTTTTAGTGACATCAATCCACATGATGCACCATGGAACGCAATAAAAAATCACATGAATTAAGTGCTTTTAAATTTACAATGTTATCTAGAACACAGACTATGGTTTGAATATGCCTATATCAAGTGGTTATTATAGTTACAGCCACGAGAAATGCATAATCACTGAATGTCTTTGAGACAAGTAAAGAAAGTTTTTAGATGCATCATAGCAGCCTCATAAGAGATTTACTCGAAGCCTATGGCATATCAAATTTTGCAGAGTAGATGTTATGATTATGAGTGAATATAAATGCCTCTGTTTCAATTGTAGGACTGACAGATTTAAAGGTCTGCCCTTATGAAAAAGTTGGTGAGCAGGCTTATTATTGCATCAGAAGGAAAATCACTCTTAAGTAAAGAAAAGATGGAATAAGATTACTATACCCACCCGGTCAAATTCTGGGAGTATACCTTCCATGCGATTTCCTTCAACGTTATCATGATACAAATGATATAGAAATGAATCTCTCATATCCCAGAACACGATTTTGGCCCCTGGTAACATTAGTAATAAAGCAACATAAATGAAGGATAGCAGCTACAAAGTTCCCATAACATAAAATTGAATTAATTTATCATTTCATAGTGTGAAGACTGAAGTCACTAACAGTAGAAGAAGTTTAATAGCAATATTCAAAAAAGCATGTAATAAACCATTACATCATGCTCAAGCTGAACACTGTTTATTCTGTTTAACTTGCAGGGGAGCAAATAATGGAGGATCAATATGTTTTATTTCAATCATAAAATCAGCACCATGAGAATCTAAAATCCCTTGATCTCATTTTATGATAGGATTAGCTTAAAGCAGCATTGCCATGTCTTTTCAAATGATGTCAAACTTGCAAAACATTATTACAGCAAACGAGAAAGGAAACATGTCTAGAAGAGGGAATGATAAAACTTACCCAGGAAATCACTTGTCTTTCTAATTGCCTGGGAAGCAGAATCACTTATGCAGTCCAGTGTGGCAACAAAAAGCTCTGAAACTGCCTCATTATCAACATTGGTGGTCTCCAAAGTCTCACGAGTCTCTTCTGTTGCTGAGTGTGCCATACAATTGGTAGTGTTATTCCAATAAAATGGTAAAACCAGTTCAGAAGACATTATGAATTGTTATATGTATAAAGGAATATTCAATAGAACTGCATGTTCATCCCATTGTTGGCCAGTCAAGGGTGATACTGATACTCAACCGAATAATTCTTTATGATGCCAAATCACTAATTTATTTGAGGACTATAACGCTAGTTTAAACCATGCATATTAGCTCTCTTAGGAACTTACAGTATCTATCCATGTGGAGCAATATGGCCGCTTCCCATGACTTCCTAATGCCATCTTCGAGTAAAGCAATTTGCTTTTGTATATACTGCAAGGTAAAAATAAAAAATTAGCATGATTTAGACAGCAAAAACTTCCAACTAAGCTGGGCCTGGGTGCGGTGACAATTATACTTAAAAATTTTAACCAGCTGCTGGAATTTGTAGCCTCTTAAAATATGATCAATAAATATCTTCCACTATAATCCAAAGCTTACTTCTGCATTTTAATAACTGGGCAAAAAGTAGTATTTCGATTATTACATTTCCAGAGAGTTAAGTCATGGTGCTATTAGCTCCTCAAATTGTAGAATTGCAATCCATAAGATTGGCAATCCTTGAACATATGTTTGTGACCGACAATATCAATAACATAACACCCTTAACATATGTAACAAGCAATAAATCTTGCAGAATAATTATGCAGTTGCCAATATTACATATAAAAAGTAAATAAAACTGGTCAACAAAAGGAGAATGGTTAACTAAATTCATTATAAACGAAACCTGGAAAAGATTATCACTCACTCGATATGTATTCAATCTGATACATAACTTGGAAGTTGTCAAGTCATCCAACTGGTTATATATTACATCATTGATAACTGAACTCTCCACCACCTTTTTCTTAACCATGGGAAATGTTGCATCCTTGTATCGAGTCAGTGGAGGGGTTGAAGGATATAAGTTTTGCTGGTCAACTGCAAAATAATGAATAAATAAATAAAAATAAACTTTGTAATTCGCATCTCAATTTTTAGGCGATGTCCATGGTCCGAATCCAGCTCCATAAAAAACAAAGGAACCATGCGTACAAACAAAATGAAGATAAACACCGGTTCAAATTTCATCTGACTATTTCAGTTTCTCCATCCCTGCAGAGGCACCATACTCATATATTTCCGTTGAGGCTGCAGTACTTGCAAATTTAGACTCTAATCTAAATGATTTCTCCATTAAAAAATGGTTCAACATCCATAGGCATGAACAAGTGCAAGAAGGTCTTACAAACTTCCAATTATCAGAAAGGATATAATATTTTTGGACTGTCGGTGTTCAATTATAAGTTAGAAATATATTACATTTTTACAAGAAGGCAGTGATAAAAGGTTCTGATAATAACTGATATCCCTTACAAACTATATAAGAGATAGGCAACCCAGTAAAATTATTTTTTAGCCCTGTGAAACAGCATCTGCCTATATGGCTGCAATGGGCAAATAGACTAAATCACTTCATTAGTCATATTCTCAGTCACCAGGTCAGTTCACATTAGGCAAATCATCCTTTATCAAGTGAGCTGCATGTATTTGTCTTTTCCACAGATGAAAGGGGTAAAGTCGAGCAATAGTGACAAATGCAATTAACACATTATATCTGAAACTGTACTTACCTAACTGGCTATAAACTTTTGTCAAATAGGCATCCAGACTGTGGAAGATTATGGAAAGTAGAGCTTGTAAATGAGTGATGTCCACAGGAAGATGCCACTCAAAAAATTGATCTACTGTCTGTAATTCAGAAGATATATTGAGTAAAAAATTCAATAACAGAGAGAGAAAACTCAATAAGAAGCGTTAAGTAAATATATTGACCCATAGTATCTTAATTAAAAAGACTAAAATTTAGTACAATAGAATGAAGTGAGTTAATTAAAAAATTTCAATTTTATTTGCATCCATGTCCCTCAGAGGACCGCTGCTATTACTTGGTTTAATGCAATATCACAAGTAGACTGAAACTAATAGCAATTCAGGACAAAAATGCCATGATGAACCTGTGGGAAAGGCAATAAAAAGAAAATGCTACAATGTATTTTAAGAGAATCAAAATGCAATCCTACATGCCAATAGGAATTCCATAACACTGAAGGATAGGTAGATTAAGAAGCAGAAACAAAGTACCGACACTATCTCAAAGTAGTAACACAACACATTAAACTAGAGCCGGCAATGGGTCGATTCGTATCGGGTTGAATACTTTAAACGGGTTAAATTATTTAACCCTAATCTGACCCGTTTATTATCGTATCGGATTCGTGTTAACCCGTTTATTATCGTGTCGGGTTCGGGTTGACTTGTGTTGACCGTATACATAATTAAGTCTAAATTCTTGATTCAAATAAAATTATTTTTTTGTTGTGTTACGTTAGTTTTTATTGATTTCAGCATAAATTATGTTGAATTATTTAAAATTGAATTTAATTTAAATTAATTTATGAAAAATTATTAAATTATAATTATTTTACATATATAATAAATATATTAATCAATATTAATATATTATAATCCGATTATCGTGTCGGATTCGAGTTGAGAGCCTCGATCCTAGAACTGTAAAACAAACAAATTGTTCGCGAGCTCGGCTCTGTTCGGCTCGCTTGAACTCACTAAGAGCTCGTTCCTTAAGCTAAACGAGCCGAACACGAACATAAATTTTGGCTCGTTATGTTCACGAATGAGCTCAAGCTTGTTTGCGAACGTTCGATAGTATTTATTAAAAAAATTAAATTAATAATTTTATATTTAATACGTATAGATATCTTTATAAATATTATATTTCATTCTATTTTTTATACAAATTTATTAATAAAAATTATAATTATTATTAACTAAATTTAAATTTTTTAAAAAAATTAAATAAATAAAATAAAATTTCTCTTAACGAGCCGAGTCGAGCCGAACACGAATAAAAAAATTGTTAAACGAGCCAAGCTCAAACAAAAATTTCAGCTCATATATCTTAACGAATGAACACGAGCCGAGCTCGAGTCCTTAACGAGCCGAGCTCAAACATGACAAGCTCGGCTTTGTTCGGCTCGTTACGGCTATACTCAACCCTAATCCGACCCATTTATGATCGTGTCTGGTTCGTATCAACCCATATACATAAATGGGTTAAAGTCTTTGACCCAAACCCAATTATCAATTTTTGACAGCTCTACATTAAACCTATATTTTGTATAGATCGCATAATTTACATCGGTAGGAAAGCAGGCAGTCTTCAGAGGAAAATGAATTAATCAAGATCACATTATCTAGTGCCCACATGAATTTGATGCAATTACAGTAACCCCCAATAGCCTAATGGCCAACCATGGACAGGAAGATGCAGAACTACCCGACCGCATAGAGAAAAATTCATTTTCTCCCCTATAAAGTGTAAACCACAATTCCATCACAATAACCAAATCCTCTGATGACCAAATAAGAATAAAGGTCCCGCCATTTTCTTGAACTTCACAAAATACTTTCCACATGTGACTACTTCCCCTCCAGAATACTTTCATCATCTTTCAAAATTATCATTTAAAAAAGATGCACATGCAGGGTCACAATAGAAAATATATAAATAATACAACTTATAATATAGCAGCAGTACATACCTCCTCAATGATCCTAAATACTTCAACTGCTGAAGCAGCATGTTTTTTCTGAGATGATAAAGGTTCCCATTCCTAATCAATAAAGAAACAGAGTATTTCAATGTATGAAGTTTTATACACCCACAAAACATTTTACAAAAACAGTGAGAAACCTTTAACACATTGTAAACAGACCTCAAGATCGAAAGTTCTCCCAGTCCATTCCAGAATTCTATCATTTTGAGCGACTACCCATTCAAGAAGCAAAGATTTGGAAATTTCAGCTATCTGCAAGGCAGAGAGGATGCATATAAGTAGAAGAGATCTAAAAAAACAAAGTACATATACCTAAGCACTGTATGTGAACGCCTGGACAAGCTATGGAAAGTAAAAAGTTTGAGAAGGGTTTTAATTGTCTTTATTCCAAACCATAAATGCAGAAATAAGCATCGTGAGAAATAAATGAGCTGATTGGTTAGATGTACTATGCATTTGTTCATTTTGAGACGTCAAAAGGATAGGTCAAACAGTAAAAGAGTTATTATTCGAACCGGATAGCGCTCAAAGTCTTGGCAATAGTTTGAGTTGTTTTCTTTACAAGCTGAAGAATATAGCTGGGTAAGGCAACGCTCCAATGAATAAGCTGCAGAAAGCACTTTCCTAACATCCTCACTGGGGGTTGTTACCTCCTTCAGAAATGGTTTCTAAGAAAGAGAGCAATAACTAGAATCAATATAAATATAAATATCAAATAAAAATATAAAGAGAAGTACATTTTATACTAAACAGACCAGTCTTTCACCATAAAATTGGTGTAAAATTCTGGCTGAGACCATTGCACATTCAGGACACCAACGCAATATAATGGGAGTGAAAATGGAGAGATCCTTCTCAGCAATCAATCTAAGTTCATTTGCAAGAATCACCAGAGGATGCATATTATCTTTTGAAGAACCAACAACAGCATGATGAGTGGCCTGAGACAATTAGGTTAAGATGGACAGTCAAGTTCAAAAAGAAAATTGTTAATTTTCCAGGTTATGCACAGAACTTACAGCCAGGCATACAGCATCCAGTGATTTTTTGACACATGTCTTGATCTTCTCAGCAGCACTCTCATCAGGAAGGAACAACTCTGCAATCTACAGAATGAAAATATTATCATCACAGTAAGAGATAGCAGTCTTACAAGAAAAATTTTAGAAGTTGAAAAAATTATCACTGCAGGAAAGTATCTAGTGCCAAATGAGAGGAACAAAATTCAGTGGATTATAGCATGCTTCACCTTTATATTCACATGGGAGACAAAATCTCGAGTGCCTGCAGACAATCCCATGGTCATCACCCTCACAAAGAGGGATGATTTCTGAAAATTGAAGATCAATTCATCAGTTCAAACTCCAAACACAATACTTCAAGGCCTTTTGCACATTACAAAACTTCAGCTAGAAGAGAAAATTTATAAAAAATAATTACCTGCGCAAAAACTCGATGATAATCCTGCAATTTACTGTCACACCATGAGCTGATTGACATAAATATGGATTGCAGTAAATTTAATCGTATTTCACGTTCATTTCCAGCGGCAAAACACATCATGGTCTTAATGTATGCCACCTCCCGGTCATCACAAACTTCAGCAGATAGAACCTTCTCTACTTCACAAATTGCATAGTCCAATAGTGCACTCTCTTCAGCGTGGGTTGCAACAAACTTCAATTAAGAAGGAAATGCAGTTGTAAATTTATCAGAAATGGCATTTTCTATGTTGTTCCAGTAAAGGATGCAATACTGACCAATAGAGAGCAAACAATATTTATATAACAAAAAAAAACACACCACAGATAATGGTTCCATTCTTATGCCAAGGCTCTATAGACTAATTTGTACCTGCTGAAAAAGCACCCACGAAAATAATGCATGATGGAGCCTTTCTGTGATACCCAACATTGGCCAAGTCAACTTCAGCAACTTCAGGACCTCCTCTGATTCCTGATATGAAACCAAACTCTCATATAAATGATTGTTTTGGGAATCAAGCTACTCATAGCATAATGAAAAAAGGTAAACATATTTCAAACCTCTATAAGCTGGCCATCTTCAAGAATGTCAAATAAACCGCAGAGTAGCTTTTCATAAAGTCGAATGTGCAAATAGTAGCCAGCTGTCCAATAATATGTTTCTCCCTCCATCCCAAAGCGCCCAGGCTTAGAAGAGGATGACAATACAATTTGTCGAAGAGATAAAAGTACATCACTCCTTTCAGAAGGAGACAACTTAATATCCCATTCCTAGGAACACCATTAAAATGTAAATTCTTTGGAGAGCAAAACAACCAATGCGGTTAGAAAATGGGTTCCAAGAAATACCTCCAGAGTTCTGATTTTTGTAAGTAAAACTCCAACCTGCTTTTCAGTCTTTGTATGATTTGAAGCAAGAAATTCTTGAAGAACATTTGCCTATTACAAGGGAATTTTGAGATGGGTTTAGGGTTTAGGATTGAATGAACAATTGGCAGCTACATTTAGCAATCTAAAGAGATGAAAACCGTAGCCATATTAATGGGAATTGCCATCAACTCTCATACCATCCAGTTCTGGGAAACTACTAAAGATGAACAGGATTCCAAACAAATCAGGAAGAACAATATAATTCAAAAGTAAATTACTTGTCTATTCTTCCAGTTGAGATATGACTTTGGGCTTGGAAAATCAGATCTTAATATGCCTGTCAAAAGTGCTAGGGATAATTGTGGAATGTCAATTCGTCCGCCCGATTTCACCATCTCATACTGTGTCAGTCTTCGCCTAATAAGTGTATCTGCTGCTTCAGATATCTATAGCAGAACGACAAAAATCAAGCTACTTTCAAAGTAGACAATAGGACAATGACAAGAGCAATAAGTATATTCTGTGAATCTCAAAAGCTTAGAAGTAAAATTAACATATGTATTGGTGTGTTCATGAAAAAGAAATGGAGCACAATAACTTGCCTGCATCTGTACGCGAACTGTGTCGAGGACCTTTAGGGCCCTTTCAGGGGATTGGGATTCTACATGCCGTTTTTCTCTTTTACTCTTTAACCCAGTTAGAAATCGAGAGCCTTTTTCTCTTTTTCTGGCTTCTGTCGACTGAATCTGAACCCTATGTGAGAAAGAAAGCAAGAATTTGATGAAAAGGGATAAATATATATAGGACATCATATGACAAAAACGCAAATGAATTGAATATTGATAAGTTCTTCAAACAGTGGAACCCAAGCAAGTAAGAATGCAAGAAAGAATTACCCGGAATACAACATAGATGCAAGAAACACTTCATAAGCACATTCCCGCAAGTCATCGTCCCCTAAACCTTCATGAATCCTAAAATTGTGTATCAATTTACTCAAAGAATAGAATTTTATTACAATAGATTAAGAGAAACAATCCATAAGCCATACAACAACATTATATGAAATTTCAAAAATTCAAGAGACTCTTTGAGAACCTCTGAGGAAACTTAACTCATGCTTCATCCCAAAAGCATACCAAAGTAAAATAAGCCAGCAGCATTAAATTTCAAAGTAAACTAGCACATCAGATGAAAAACAATATCTACATTTCCCCTCAAAACATATGTTAATAGATTATTAATGATAACTGCCAACAACAAATGTTGCTGACATTGACATTGTCATTATACTCACTTCAACAAGTCATGTAGTAAAAGTATCTCCAACACACAACCTACTCAATGATAGCAAAACATATGGAAAAACTGTACCATCAAGAGATATTATAATCAGATTCCTTTATAGTTACAAGAAATTTTCAGAATGGCCATAACCTCAGGTAAAAGAACCTGCAGTAAGAGCATTGAGGGGAGAACAAACAAACAAACAAAGGTTCCATACCTTATTCTACCAGACAAAGAACATGCTTACCTGTTTCTAGAGTTGGTAATCCTATTGAAAGAACACTTGGATTATGCAGGTAACTGGTCTCTGGAGCTGCAGTTACTTCACAGTTGATCTTAGTTCCCTCACTGGTAGAAAATGATTTTTCGCCAGGAGAATGGTTCGACCACTGAGCACTGCATGATTCAACTGTGTCTTCTTGATGCTTAGTGATTGGTGGAGGAGCACGCCGTGGTGGAGATCCTGCTGACTCTGGATCAGAATTTAGATAGAAAATACTTCCTGGTTGCAAGTGACTCTACATAAGATACAGTAGTCAATCATTTTTCCCAACAACAAAATGGAAAAAGGGAGAAGCATAAAAGAGAAGCAAAACTAACTAAACATAAGGAATAGATCAACTTTATTATTATAAATAATTAATTAATTAAAAGATCGAGAAACAATAAAGAACAAAACATATGCAGTAGAAAATGCTAGCAAGTGCACACACACACATACACAAATAACATTTGTGCATACTGTGGATTCAGATAAATGCTCACCAAATTTACAACCATGTTCAATATCCCGTAATAAAGTATATATAGAACTCTACCTTTGATTGCAGAACTGTAAGTTTTTCCATGCGCCATTATGAGCTCAATATTTCTGCAGTTAGTGGCAGAACTTACATTTTTCCATGGGCCATTATGTGTTGTCAATATTTTTGCAGGTAGTGACACGATAAGTATTTCAGACACACACACACAAATAAAATAAAATAAAATACAGAAAAGAAATCCATGTTTGTTACAGGAAGAAACATTGAAAGAGTCAGAAGGTAACAGAGGTTACGCTGTTTAATAGAAAGTCCCACTTAAGAAACTACAGAACATTGAATACAGAAACAAAAGGTACTTATTCAGAGTCTCTTACCGCAACAAGGTACGAAGAATCTTCATAGTATCTCTTTATCGCTTGTGAAACATCAAGGATGCCACCTACCAATTCCAGTAAAAACCACAAATCATCTGTCGTGTACCAGGATAATAGAATCAACCGTAAAAACAAAAACTAGACGGCAAGAAACCCTAGCCCTAAACATATAGCCTAAACTACCGAAATGAACAAACAACCATATCCTTAATTCCTAGTCCAAGTGAATGAACAAGCTAGCTAGAAAGTCAAACACTAAAACCATCAAAGAAACAAATTCTAAAACCCTCATTCATCGTGTCGAGAACCCTTCCATTCAAGAATTAACTACGTATCTTCTTGCTTAAAAATAGCGTCTCAAAGGAGCATCTCTACCTCCTATATGTCAAGAATTCACAAGCACAAAGCACATGAAAATAAATAAAAACTGAGAGATTCATTCGTTTAATCAAAATGTTTCTTAACATACCTGATTGAACGCATTCAAGAACGTAATCCGCGCTGAGAGAGTCAAAATCGATGTTTGTTAGAGAGGTGGTGCTACCTGCCGGAGTATTGATTTCTTTGATAAAGCCGGCGGACAACAAGAACTCGAGGAGCTTTCGACGATCGTTGCGGTATCTCCGCAGCAGAGGATCGGAAAACTCCATTCAAGAAAACGCCGCGGACGTGAGACGAAGCAGCCGACCCTCCACGGTGAGAACAATCAACGTCTTTGTTGGACTACGGCGTCCATAGGCCATAGCACTGCCCCTCGAGAAGCGCGAAAGGAATTGCCTTTTGCAGCTGCTTTTTCCTTTTATAATTTCTTCGTATAAAGATATTGGGCCTTGGTCCAATTTTTCTAGGACCAATAATTGGGCCGTATGGGCCCAGTTATTAAGTGTAACGGTTTTTGGATTGGATCCATATCTCTTGGTGGACTTAATTTAAAGAGGCCCATAGTTTTGATTCATGGACTTAATAGCCCATTAAGATTGGCTCGATGAGTTTACGACGTCGTATTGCATACGAACTGCAGCATTATATTGCTGGCTTCTGTTATTAGGGTTTGGAGCAACTTCGGGAAGGAGACAGAGTGCGGCGGCCGCTTCGACACTTTGCGACCATGGTTTTGAAGTGAGTTCATGACATGATTTCTCTTTTCTCCGAATCTGTGTGTGGGGCTTTTATATGATACTTTTCGTGTAGATCTTGGTATGGTGAATTTGTTGGATTGTTTTGGGGTTTTAGATATTTTTTGTTGTTGCTGATTCTTGACGTTATTATCTTGCCTCATGTTTTTTCGTTTAGAGTTCATTGGAAGGAAAATCGATTAATTACAATATGTATTTGGTTACCACCGTTTTGTATTTAGAGATCTGTATGCGTGGGGGATTGAGGTCCGAGGATTAGGTTTTTGTCAGTAGAGCAATTCTTTTTACGTAGTGAGGAAACTGTAGCACGTCTCATGAATGAGTGTTGATTTTGGACTTACATACAAAAAATACATATGGTTTTTTGAGATTGAAATATGTTAGGTTAATTAAAAGTTTCTTGTATTCATCTTAGCAAATCTTAACTTCATGATGCCTCAGACGGCTTTCATATGTTTTTCACGAGCCCATGAGGCATGTGGCCGTTAGGGGTATTTTCGATTGCGCATAGATGATATACTGTGAGCATTCCTTTGAATTCACTTGATTGTCCTATGGCAATTTCTGCTGACTGATTGATTGATTGCTTGCTCCTTGCCTTGTTTGTCAGGACGGAGCTTTGTCGTTTCAGTGGTGCTAAGATATACCCTGGAAAAGGCATCAGATTTATTCGTTCAGATTCTCAGGTGGGTTTATTTGTTAGTTGTTCATATTTATTTGATAATGAATTGCAATAGCGTCTGAATTTTCTTTCCAATGAAAATATTCATTGGATTCTTTTCACTTTGTATTTCAGGTTTTCCTCTTTGCTAACTCAAAATGCAAGAGGTATTTCCACAACCGTCTGAGGCCAGCAAAGCTTACTTGGACAGCCGTATACCGTAAACAACATAAGAAGGTAAAGATACATGAGCCTTGTTTTAAAAACTTCCAATGCCCTTATTTCACATTGTGCACATGATAATTCATTCACTTGTCCCGTATAATTTAACCCCTAAAATTCAATCACAGGACATTGCTGCCGAGGCTGTGAAGAAGAGGCGCAGAACTACAAAGAAGCCATACTCAAGATCCATTGTCGGAGCCACATTGGAAGTTATCCAGAAGAAAAGAAGTGAGAAGCCAGAGACTCGAGATGCTGCACGTGAAGCAGCTCTACGGTATGCTCTTAATTCAAATTCAAAATTCCACGGCGACTTTTTCTTTTCGAAAAGTTTGTCGCATTCAGGATTAACATTGTTGTGTCTCAGTGAAATCAAGGAAAGAATCAAGAAAACTAAGGATGAGAAGAAAGCTAAGAAGGCAGAAGTCATGTCCAAGCAGAAGACCAAAACTAATGCACCGAAAGGCGCCATGCCTAAAGGTCCTAAGATTGGGGGCGGCGGCGGCAAACGATAATTTTGTTCCTTGTTTTAATTTCTATTGTGAGCACTGAGACTGAGCATACTAAAATTGCCATTGATCCATTCCATTCCATTCCATTCTGCACTCTTCTAGATTTTTATCGTATTTTTATTTTATTACCCTCCGAGGCTTAGAAACTGATTTTTTTGCTTCTCATATATTTATAATCTCTACACTTGCATCTATTTATTTTAGGATAATTTGTTTTTACTCTTTCAGAGAGATGAGCCATAGTTTTGAGGGATAACTGCAGGTCTTGAGTTTTGTTTACATAATATATTTTTAATACAAGAAAAATCTATAACAATTCATAAATTTTATTTCTTGTTACATATTTTATCATGGTTATCTAGCTGTGTTTTTTTTTTTCTGTAAGAATATATATATATACGTTTTTTTTAAAAAAAAAATTATACTATATTTTATATATATTTTTTTATAAGTACATTCGTTTCTTAAATTTCTATGTTAAATCAACTCCCATTTAGTATAATAATTACCATTTAGTGTGTGATTGCTTAGGTATTTGGATTTTGATTTTTAATAGGAAAATTTTTAATATAAATAATTATTTGGTATAGTATAAAAAAATAAAATTTGATTTTTTTTTAATATAGAATAATATAAAAATAATAAAGTATAAATATTTAATTATATGTTTTTGAAAAAAATAATTGGGAAAATAATAAAAATCCTTGGAAAATTTCCAAAACAAACACATTATTCATTTTATTTACATCACTACTGAAAACTCAGTAGATTCACAGCTTGTCTCAGATGCTATTCCTTTTCTTTGCTTTATGTTTTAAAATTATTACTCTGATTCTTAAATGGGAATTAAATCATTAATCTGCACCGCCTATTTAAGCGCTGCCTATAAATTTAAATTTCCATCGAACAAATCTGAATCCAATCGAAACTCTCAAACAAGCTGAGAAATCAATCTCCCAGTCCAACAGAAACCCCTCAAATTCCAATTCCCCATTTCCATGTTAAAGTGTGTCGAAGATCCATAACAAACCCTACTTCGTCGATTTCCCCAAATTGCTACTCACCAATTTACTGTTAAAACACAGTGGATTAACACTGTGAAGAGTGATGAGGAATGTAGATCTGGAGAGGAGCACATCGACGAAGAATCGAAACCAAACGTTCAGACAAAATTACTATACTGCAGGAGGAGGAGGGGGAGTGGATTACACAGAGAGCCAGTGGACCTCATGGCTGGTGCCAATGATTGTTGCGGCCAATGTCGCCATGTTTATGGCGATTATGTTCATCAATAATTGTCCGAAGAATCATGATGGACGTCGGGGCGATTGTGTCGCCAGGTTTCTCGGGAGACTCTCGTTCCAGCCACTCAGAGAAAATCCTTTGTTCGGGCCCTCATCTTCCACGTACGGTTTCATTCCTTGTCGCTTACATTCAGGAGTTTGATTTGTCAGATACATTTTTTGTTTGTATTGATTGTCCCTTTGCTGTGTTAATTTGACTAAATTTTAGGGTTGAATTAGGGCATTGATTGCTTTGTGGAATTGCCTATGAACTTGCTTTATTGTGTATGTGTGAATTACAATACATTCTGTTTGGAAGATGATTTAGAGTATTTGGTTAGTTAAACAGCAAAAAACAGTGATAATTGCTGTGTAATTATCAGATTTTATGATTGCAAATAGAAACAATAAGTTCTTCGGATGTGTTAACGATTCAACAAAACTGCGAACCTTCTTTCGTGTGTGGATGGATTCTGGTTATTTGTTTCTATGTCGATGACATTTTCTTGGGAACTTTAAGATTCTAATCTTTAAATTTGAAGGAACTCGGATAAATCTTTCATTGCGTAGGCTCGAAAAATTGGGGGCACTTGACTGGATCAAAATGGTCCGCCACCACCAAGGGTGGAGGCTTGTTACTTGTATCTGGCTGCACGCCGGCGTCATTCATTTACTTGCAAACATGCTGAGTTTGGTGTTCATCGGGGTTCGCCTTGAGCAGCAATTTGGATTTGGTGAGCGTTTTGCGCGACAGCAACTACATTAATTTCATGGGATGTTAATATTTTGCTGACTTTTAGTTTCTTCAAAATGTATCTGTGTTCGCCTTTGCTGATCTCAGATATTGTCATGCAGCACGAGTTGGGGTTGTTTATCTGTTGTCGGGAATTGGTGGGAGCGTACTATCTTCTTTATTCATTCAAACCAGTATTTCTGTTGGAGCTTCCGGCGCCTTATTTGGACTACTCGGAGCAATGCTCTCCGAGTTACTCACAAATTGGACAATCTATACAAACAAGGTTTGCTTCCTTTCTAAAAAATGTTCGTCGATTTATTTGATTCTTGACTACCTTCCGGATGTCGCACTGTCTTTGTAGGCTGCAGCTGTGTCTTCTCTACTTGTAATAATTGTAATTAATTTGGCTGTTGGGATCCTTCCACACGTAGACAATTTCGCACATATCGGCGGGTTCTTGAGTGGTTTCCTTCTTGGCTTCACATTATTGGTGCGACCACAGTTCCGTTGGTTAGAGGCGCGACAATCTTCTCCCCTCAAGTCCAAGTATGCGGCGTATCAATATGTTCTCTTCATCGTTGCTGCATTTCTGCTAGTTGTTGGGTAGGCTGCCTAATTTCGCATTTTATGCTTTGTCATTATATAATGCAAACTCGATTAAACTTTGTGACAATTTACAGATTCACAGTTGGATTGGTGATGTTGTTTAGAGGGGAAGACGGGAACGATAAATGTGGATGGTGTCATTATATTAGCTGTGTTCCCACGTCGAGATGGAGCTGTAACCATTGATTCAGGTTTCCACAATCTGTAAGAGATTTTCTGTTCGGTGTTCAAAATATAAAACAATATGAGATTCGTTAATACAAACAATTCTGTTGCAGCTACATTTTTACTAGTTAGGGCTCTTGCTATGCTTAAACAAGTCTAAAGGCTAAACTAGAATTAGTGAATAACTTAGTAGTAGAAAGTTCAAGCCATTAGTGATAGTTGTGCCAATTTCCGGTGTTGAATCCGTCGAGGTTACCTCGAATAGGAATTCCATGTCTGTCTAAGAGGCCAGATCCTGGATATATTGTGTGAGTGTAGTTAGGCTGGAAGGATGAACCTTTCTGCATAGGCCTTGAATCACCGTATGTGTGGATTGAATATCTCTTTGTAGAGCTTGATCGATCATACTGTGGCCTTTGTTTAGGGGCACTCTGTGAACGTGCCTTAGCCTTTGATGACTCGGTGTAGGACATGTAGTTAGGGTGATCAGAGTAACCACTTGTGCAGCTTCTTGAGCCGTCACTTTTAGCAGGAGTGAATGCGGTTGGCTTAGTGGTGCCAGGCCTGGATGATGATGAGTAGAATGTCGGGCTGTTGTCTGCTGTGCAGAATGCAGATTCATCGGCATCTTGTGGGAACTTTAAAGATTGAACTTCGGATGGGCTGTGAACTGGTTGGCAGTGAGCTGTGGAGTCCTTTGATGTTGAAATGCTTTGACAATTCTGGTCAGAACCGAGGCTAAGATGAGAGGAGTAGAAGAGCATTCTTCGATTGGGAATGGTCTGAGGTTTCCCAGTGTCGACTTCAAGAATCTTGTCGCTTCTATCGTCATCTGTGGGAAGAGATCTGTTAAAGCATCCTTGTTCGGATAAGCTTTCGCCGGATCTGCTGCTATCCATCCAGGTAAAGTACCCTTTTACTCCCCTACTCGATTTGGAGCCTTTCCGCTGCATTGTTATACAGTGCCATCAGTATCCGAGACATGATGCAGCAGTAGAACAAATATTTGATTTCAAAACCTACCTTGAGCATCATTAATTGTTGGTGTTTCATGGCCCTGGATTGTTCCACACCATGATCAAATTTCTCAGGCGTTGCTGGTCCCTACAAGTTCGTTATCAAGTAGAAAAGTAACATGTCATTGTCTCAATAGGAATAAGATATCTTCTTTCTCAACTTTAATTTGTAGTGAACCTTTAGGTGATAAAAGGATTGATTCTTTTTCTCCCATTATTTTTATTTATTTTTCAGGAAAAGTAACACTAGCATGCATCTTCTCCATCCACAGTTTGGATCAAGAATGGTCCCCTCTCTGCTTTGCTAATCTTTGACTATTTCACTATACAAAGTTCAAATAAATTGGAGGGAAACTAAATGTTTGCTTACCTGGTGATGGAAATGGAGGGACTTCAGTGTCGAATATTGTGGATCGGTAACAGGAACTCTCGCGGCCCGGGCTCGCACTTGTGCTCTTACAAGTGCTTGCAGCCGTTTAAGTGTATGTGCAGTTTGTTTTCTCACAAGGTGGCCTTTAACAAGGGCTTGAAGCTTTACCAATCCCTTCAGTGCCTTCAAGGCTCTCCTGGACTACAGTTTTTCATTCAAGAAAACAGTAACATTGATGTCCAGAAAAGATGTCAACATATATAAAGGTAAACTTATTCATCAAACTAAGGTTTAAAAAAACTCTTAGAGCACAAAGGTTGGTTTTCACTTTCAGCTTTAAAGGTTTTCCTAAGGTAAAAAAGCTGACAATGATAGAAGAGAGGGACATCTCGGCAATTCTGTACCAAAAGGTGAAGAAAAAAGCGGCCCCATAAGCTATTATAATGTACATAAAAAGCCATTGATGAGTAGGAAGCCCTATTCAGCTGACATTGCACCCAAAAGTGTATATTTATATCCTTGTACTTGCACCTAGGAGACTGTCCTTTCTTGCTTTTAGATAGTTGTGTGAAACCAGCTCACTAATCATACTTATCACTTTAAAAGCCTAGAAGCAGCTACACATCTCATTAATCCCATACTCCATATAGTTCATACCTTCCAAATTCTAATCTACAACAAGAACAGGTATGGAATTTCAATAAATTAAAGGAATTTAGGAAAATAAATAAATAATCGCATTTCTCGAGGGAAGTTGGAGACTCAACAACCCAATGCGTTGAGTGAGTCAAATGTAAAGTAAAAAGATAGTGTGGAAGTTTGACATCACAAGTAGGCGTACTGGTTCACACTTGTCTGTGTTTTATTTTCTTATTTTTAAATATGAGAGAAGTTTCACCGACCAAGAACAAACCTATCTACAATGCAGACAAAACCCATTAATAGCTACATTGTTTGAATCAATTCAAAAGTACAATTTCAAAGATTATTCCAAATCTTCCAGGGGCCATCCTACTTTCTTCTTCCAGCTGAATAGTTTTAGAAAATGTAATGGTTGAAAACACCACCGTTACCAAAACAACATTTGAATTGAAGAACTTATTAGCCACTAAATAGCAATTGCTATAAACAGACATTTGCTCTTCACGCGGTTTCAGATATAGGTCTTTGATCCTATCCCCTATTACATAAAACTGCTGGCGATGCAGAAATACAGTGGACCACAGACAGTAGAGATGAGTATGCACACAGTGGGCGCATCGCCATTCTAGTTACTATATATATGTATATATATATCAGAATCACAAAACAGCATTTGCTGCAACAGAACCCCAAGGAGGCAACAACACTCTAGGAATTGAAAAGGCCATGAAACGCATATACCCTAACTCCATACTCAGAAAGCTAAGAACAATCAAGACCCGCCGTGTACCGTTTTACTCCATAACGTAAAAAAAAAAAAAGGTATATAAATATACCGTTTCCAGAAATCGCAAATTAAACGAAGAATGAGGGGTAAAAGTGTGAAACAAATAAATAAATCATAACAACGGCATATAACATGTGGGTATTATATGTATCCATAACCAGATGTGTAGTAGGAAACTGACCAGATAAGCACGAAAATGTGACTGAATCGTAACAGCAGCCCACTCCTCGCGGCTCCGGTACCCTCCGACACCTTGACTAACACACGCCGCCGCAACGCTCACATCGCTACCACTCCCCGACACAGAAATATTCCTTCCGCTACTTGTGAGCTGCACTACAGCCGCTTGCGCCGCTTGAGCCGCCGCAACAGCAGCCTCCGCCGCTGCAGCGGTGGCCGCGGCCACCGCGATTGCGTGCCTAGCGGCATCGTCCCCGTTGTCGCCGGAAAAAGCGGCTCCGTGCTCTTGGTGCTGTTTCTGGCGGTCTTTTTTCGCGAAACTCCATTTCTTCCTCGCCGGCGGCTTGGCTGGGGTGCTCTGGTCGGAATTGGCGCTGCTCTTTAACCCTAAAAGTCCTCTGAACCACCTAGATGCCTTCCCCATTGCCGCAGCGATGAAAATTCGCCTCCTGAAGAAGCAACAGCAGAGAGCACAGGGAAGGAAGATCAGTCTGTGTGGTGGAGTGTTTGAGAATCAAACGCCTTTTTATCGTGCAGGGCGCTAAATATTCAGGACATGCAAAAAGACTTTTATGCCCCTAAACCTCGAACGACGTCGTTCGATGTTGTACGGCTTCAATCGAGTCAACCAACGCTGGCCAAGATTTTATTTCTTCACAAAATTTAATAACACTGAAATCCGGATTAAAGTAACACTGCCCATTTTGATTACGAAAAAAGTAAAATGAAATTTATTTATTTATATTTATTATAAATAGATTTAATTTGGGAGTCAGCCAGTTTATTACTCCCTCCACAAATTAAATAGGACGACGAGTCTTGTCCTATTTTTTTTTTAAATATAAATTTTATATTTTTATTTTTTATTCATTTATTATTTTTAATTTTTACCGTACATCTAAAGATAAATTTGTTCATTTATAACGATCACGTGGCATTGATCTGGTACGACAGCGGAGCTATAGACCCACCCTACGCCGTGTTTGGCTGTCGAACGGTGCCTCTGCCATTTTTATGTCTTTTACACGGTGAGTTGACAAGACTCTAATATCCAAACCAAACAAGTCATAGTAATCTTTTTCATCTCCGTGGCCAATCAAATCCGTGTCACCTGCACCCTTCACTTCACTCTCTTTATAAAATAAAACAAAAAATAAAAAATTGTAATTTTGATAATCTCCGCTCCGTTCCAAAAAAAAAAAATATATGATTACATTAAAATTGTCCTCGGAAATGTATTAATATAAAATGTAATAATATTTATATAATAATAATAAAAATAATAATAAGTATTATAATAATGTATTAGTATAAAATGTAATAATATTTATATAATAATAATAAAAAAAATACTTCCTCCATTCTATATACAGTTACATGGTAGAAACGGAATTTTAGGAGATGTATAATTAGTAGATAATTAAGAATGTATTAGTAAAAATAATTATTTTATAATATAAATAATTATAAATTAAGATTAAGACTAATTAGTTTAATTAAAATTTAAAAAAAAAATAAAAAGTTTAAAATGAGATTAAAGTGTATAATTATTTTCCAAAAAAATGAAAGTAACATGGTATGTGGGACGGACATAAACGGCAACGTGGACATGGTATGTGGAACGGATGGACTAATAAGTATTATAATAATATAATTATTTAAAAATTAAAGTATTGATTTGAAATAAACAAAAATAATAAAAAATACTCCGTCCGGTCAAAAACAATAGTCTCATTTCCATAAATAATCATATTATTATAAAATTACCATTACTTTTTTATTATTATTACACAATTGTCACTACTTTTTATACTAATACACTCACAAGGGTAAAAAAGTCTTTTATCCCGTACTTTTTACCCATTACTACTATAATATCAATATTCTTTAAATCATGTGTCGAAGATAACCCAAACTATAATTTTGGGACAGATGGAGTACTATTTTATTACTCTCTCCGTCCCAAAAGAGGTATTTTGTTTTTTTATTTCTTTCGTCCCAAAATAATTGTTATGTTTCTTCATTCAATAAGTGTGGTCTCTACTTTACAATAAAATTATTGGTATTTTTCCACAACTATCCATACTTATTACTCAAATCTATTTTGGGTGTGTTTGTTTGAAGGATTTTGGTAGATTTTCACTATTCATCCAATTTTTTTCCCCCAAAAACATCAAATCAAACACCTATTTTTCATTTTTTATATTATACTAAAAATCAATTTTACATTCAAAACATCACATCAAACCCTATTTATATCACATCATACAACTATTCAAATTCAAAATTTTTACTATTCAAATCCTAACTCAAAATCCAAACCCCCAAACAAACACACCCTTTGAAAACCCTTTAAAAAACGTAAAGGTAATTTCTTTTACATTTTACTTTATATTCATTTTCAATTAAATTACTATTTAATATTTTAAAAATGTCACATAAAGTATAATATCTTCTCGTTCTATTTTAAATAATATTTTTTATTTTAAATAATATTTAATTAATTAATAATTAATAAATTATAATATTGTATTTAATATTGGGATTCAGAACCAAGTTGAAAATGCATTTTATTTTGTAATGTATATTATAATTTTATAGGTTACATAATAAAATATATTTAAAAATCTCAAATGTTAAATATGGAATTAAACTAAAGGTGTGTTTTGGATTTTAAATTGGAATTTAAATAGTAAAAATTTTGAATTTGAATAATTATATGATGGAATATAAATAGGTATTGACGTGATGTTTTAAATGTAAAATTGATTTTTAGTATAATATAAAAAAAATAGGTGTTTAATTTGATATTTTTAAGAAAAAAATAGGATGAACAGTGAATTTAAAATCCAATACCAAACAAACACATTCTAAATAAATAAATAAAATTCTCAATTAGGGAAATATTAATATATTTTTCATATGCAAAGTCAATGACTTTGGTACGGTGGTTCGAGCAAATTGGCAAGTATTTGGATTATCTCTGCAATATTCTTCGTATCCTTCGAAGCGCTATTAGTCAATAAGTGATCGATTTGAACAAATGATCTAATATTGGTCGACTAATCGATGAAGTTAACATTTTTCATCGTATCTAAGCCATTGAAAAATCCGTCAAATCAACGAAGAACCTCCAAAATTTATTCCAAAACTTTAAGGCGTTCACCGTGTTATTTATCAAATAGAGCACTTAAAATGTCCCGTAAGAGATGGTCTGGTGGTGTAAAGGTTGGACATGTGATCGTGAGGTTATGAGTTCAACCTCCGATGCGAATAATTTTGTGGGATTTCTAGTATTTATATAATTTTTTTTTAAAAATATCAAATTAAATATATTTTGTTTTTATTTTTATATTATATTAAAATTAATTTTATAATAAAAAATTACACATACTATTATTCAAATTCAAAATTTTTATTACTCAATTTTCAATTCAAAATTCAACTTCCAAACAAACACACCATTAGTTGCCATATCTAAGGTCAACATCATTTCTAACCTGGCCCAATGATTTTCTGGCGTGCAGATTTTGGGCTTACAATTAGTTCTACCGTAGGCCCAGTAATTTAGGCCCAACTTAAAAAGAGAATTAAGAACGCCGCTTTTAGGAAAACAAAACCCGCTTTGTGTTTTCTTCCTGAAAAAAAAAAACCCCACCACACTTCTTGTCGATTAATTTAGAAATAAATAATTCCAATTATTTTCTTTAATCTGTCAATTACATTTTAATTTTAGAAAGTATAATGTGTGACGTGTACGAAACCATTTTTTAAAAATGTAGTAGACGGCCCACAGTTTTCATGCAATTAATGGAGATAAGTTTGCTGACTGTTTTTATTACCACAGATGACCGGTGCATTTATTATTCTGGTAATTTCTCAAATATATCGAAAAGATGATATATATATATATATATATAGTATTTTTTAAAATATTACAAATCAATTTTTTTTTTATTTCTTTAATATTATATATATTTATATTTCAAAAAATATTATGTATGTGATATTTAGAGATTTTCATTACAAAACTTGGCTAATAGTATTCTTTTTTTTTTTTATGAGGAAACCATTTAATATTTTCTTATGAATAAATTTATCATACAAATAAAATCATTGAAACAAATATTAATCTAAATTTGAATGATATAATTCAATGATTCTATAATATTTTTATAAAAAATGAATGTATATTATAACACTTACTATACAAACTCGTCATAACTAATATTTTTTAAAAATTTGTGAGTTGTTCAATTTTATTGTACGGAAATATGGTTGTATGGTATAAATGTAATAATTGTTATACTAATGTTATTGTTATATCAAATATAGAATAAAATTAAATATAATAAAAATTATAATATTATGAATAATCGATATTGTGTATATATTTTGAAATAAATAATTTATGAAATTAGCATTCTCACACAGTTGAAAATTAGAAAGAAAAAAAAAAGCATTTTAATAAATATTTCAATGAAAGAATAATGAATAATATAAAATAAGTTTTTAATTTTTTGCTGTTTCATCTAGACCAAATTGTGTGAACTGTACCATCCCGCACCGTAGAGAGCTGTGCGGCAGTCACCTATATAAAGGGAGTGTCGCGCAACATATCCAGCAGGTCGCAATCAAAGACACTGAGCCCTCTCGGAGCGCCTCGTAGCACTCTCTCGCTCTGGAACAAAATTTCTCAGAGTTTCCACCGATTAATTCAACTCATCGGTGCGTGTATGCGTATGAACATACATTGGTACTGAGTCGTCTTAATTGCTGTGGAGGTAAAAATGATTTTGTTTGATCTTGCGCCAGTTAATTGCTTTGGGTTGCTCCGTGATCGAGTTTTGAATTCGGGGATGGAGCTTGCTTGAGCTAGGGTTCGATGAATCCAAATGTGAACATGCACGCGTTTGCTCGTATTTTTTGGATTCCGCTTCGATTCGTTTTTGTTGCGCTGCGTTCTAGTTGGATTTTTTTTGGCGGTGATTTCGCGATTGCATGGGTTAGAATTGAGTCTCATTTTTCTCGTTGTTTTTTCACTTCAATTCTACTTTTACATTTCTGCTGACATTTTTTTTTTGTTTTCGGGCATGGATTGACTCATTGACTAGACAATTGGTGGGGGTAGAGATTTACATTTCACTTGGATTGAAGTTCGTGATTTGTGTGAATTGAAGAAATGCTTTTTAATTGGTTCTGGTTAGAACGTGGAGCGAATCTTTTGGGCTATCTTGTAATCAATCAATCTTTAGGAGCAAAAACTATGAAATGGGGAGCTCTTTCTGCCTTTTGATCCTCAAAGAAAGAGTTCCCTTCCCCAATTTAGTAGGTTTTGGAAATAACGCTCGCACTTGCTTGAAAACCTTACTCGTACACTAGAGATGAGGTATCAGAACCATTTAATATTTCATTTGATTTGATGATCTGTGATTGCAATAGTCCCAGGGACACCTGACAAGGAGGATAGGAATTAGGAACATAAATGGCTATGATCTCCTGGTTTGGCTTATTGTAATTGCAATTAGAAATTGTGAATGATTTTCAAATTTTTGGCAATCACCAAAAACCCTCACCTATTGAAGTTTTTGGATATGCAAATCATTCTATCTGTACTTGGTACATTTTGTTTCTATCCTTTATTTTCAAACCTAACACCTACTCAGATATGTTCCTTACATTTGTTTATTTATGCTATCAAATCTATCTTGCTATAATGAAGTTGATGGGTTTGATTTGTTTATAAGAGTTGATGTGGTTGTCAGTGCTGTTAGACTGATTCGAGATTGTCATAATTATATCAAACAACAGTGTTTTAAATGTTTCCTTATTTTGGAAACTTTCGGGAAACACGTGTTATCTTTTCCCTTTTAGTTAACTTGCGTCAGATGGATAGAAGTTAATAACTGTTGCCTTACACGAGCTGTGAGGTAGCAACTGGAAATATGATATGCGTGGAACACGTGTTTCGCTGAAATTGGGTTAATTGTAAACTCAATCTTTATCGCCTAATTATGTAATCTAGTGGAACAAATCTAGTTACGTGGACGTACCGACGAATTCTTCCAGTGAGATAACACAATGCAGTTAATGCAAATGATTGCTATGTTGTGCAACATATTGTTGGGGCATGGGAACTTCTTTTGGTCCAAGACAGTGAAATTGATTAAGGGATGTTAATTAATATAAGAATTGTAGCCTTCACATTTCTTGTTCTCACTTTTACTTTCTTAGTGGATATAGTGACAGCTATTAACTTTATCTGGTTTGTACTTCATAGCAGTATGGTCTAGGTCGTATGGATAAATAATTATCTGAACATGGAATGTATTGCTTATTTTTCTACTGTATCCTGATAATTTTTGGTTTTCTAGTATTAATTTTTGAAGGGCTAATACTTCTGTTTATTCATTCCTTCTATCATCAGGCTGCCTGGAAGTTGCAATTAGCCCATAAGAACACTTTCTAGAAATATATGACCTTTGCCTTCTCATTCGAGGAATAAAAATGTCAGGGATACTCAATGTAAGTTTTTTCTTTGCTTTCACTTGGTTTTAAGTTGTGTCTACCAAGTCTCTAATGTTTTTTAACAGCATGGAAAGTATGAACTACAAAGGAAAACAATTAGAATTTGAATTCTATACCTTGTTTTCCATGTAAGAGTTCATTCATATCAAACCAGAAAAGCATTGAGAATATTAATGGATTTGTATTTTCTTTGATGTAGTCTGGCTTGAGTGGATCGAATTCAAATCTTTCAGAAAACCCTGGAAGAGGTTTCGCAACTTCCTTTCCCGCGCAGTCTGGTTCAGCAGGCGCCATTTTACAGTCCAGTGGTATATATATATATATATCCGTTCCTTGAGTTGATATTTATTTCTACTCTGATTTTATGAAGCAATGACAATTTTCTCATCTGCAGCAAACATTCTTCATGGTAACTTTAACATGCCAAATATGCCTGGGCCATATTCATCCAGAAATTCTACAAATCTTGGTGGTCTTCCAAATTCTGTCCAGCAGGCTCCTGGAACTATATCTAGTGGGAGATATCCAATAAGTAGTCTTCCTAATGCACTTTCTCAGGTATAACATTTTTTTAGACTCATAGTATATTATCAATCTTTCCAAGTCCTTGAATATGTATTTCTGGTGATAAAATTTCCTTACTCACTGTCTGCTCTTTGATGCAGCTATCTCTTGGGGGTACGCATGGACATTCAGGTGTTGCAAATACTGGAGGTACGACTAGTTGCCTTTTTTAGACTGCAAGACATATTCATTCTATATTTTTAACCCATCTGACTGCTGCGCTTGTGCTCTCAGGCCCGGGTGTGCTTCCGAACATGGGAAATGCAGGGAGAGTTGGAAATTCTGTAGGTGGCCTTGTTGGGGGAGGCAATACTTCTAGAGTTGCAAACTCTAATGGGATGGCAAACATTCCGGGTCTTGGTTCTCGCATGAACTTGAATGGTACCTAGTTTTACTTTTGGATTTCTCCTTTGCAATAATGCTTCTGGCTGCAAATCTTTAATGAAGTGATCTGAAATAATAGAAAATATATTGTGATGCAGCTGTCTTGAAAATGAACATGTCATCTTACTGATGATTCAAATAATAGCTCACAATTTTTAGAAATTGAGAGCTATAACCACTGCTGTTATCCTATGCGATTTTCAAAACTAGCTATTCATGTATGTCTTGTATTGTCAGATGAATTTTTGTACTTGTCACTTAAAGAAGAATTAATATTGTAACATATCTTCACTGATTTGCATTTATTGTTAATATTTAAATGACACCTGGAATTTTCAGCTCCACAGGTGGCGTCCGTGCTAGGCAATTCTTATTCTGGTTCTGGATTGCCACTCTCTCAAAACCAATTCCAATCTGGGAATAATAATTTTAGTTTTATGGCTTTACTAAATGACAGCCTTGATAATACTTCTTTTGATGTAAATGAATTTCCGCAACTATCTGGGCGGCCACCTTCTGCTGGTGGTTCTCATGGTCAATTAGGTAATGCATATCAATAGAAAATCAAGTTACTTTCATTGCCACATTATATTTAGATTTGGTGTAATGGACTATTATCTTTTTTGTTATGAAGGTTTGCTGCAAAAGCATAATCTTGGGTTTGCACAACAGAACCAGGAATTCAGTATTCAGAATGAGGACTTCCCTGCTTTACCTGGGTACAAAGGTGATTTGTTTTTTCATTTGAAATCTGTATTGACTAATGTCCATTTTGATTGATTCTTGACTGCTACTGTTTCTAATTAGGCATGTTTTCCTGTAGTACCTCATATACCATTGTGTAATGCAAAATTTCAGTCTGAATGTCAAGTCATAAAATGGAGTCATTCTTCTATGAAGGCATTTTTATTTCCCAGATAGTTAATAATAGAATTGCTCTTGAAGTTATGTTTCTACTTTCTAGTTCAGGACACATTCTTGTTTGTAAGTTGATTGATCAGCTTAAATGAAAATGCAGATGTGCCTGCCTTTTGAATAGTGTTCGAGGAAATAAATATAAATTAACATACAATAATCCATTATTTCTCATTTCTCTATGGTTTTAAGTTGTAGACGAGATTGTCATCAAAAGAGAAGGATTTGTTTTGAGTACCCACTATATCAATATATAATTCCATTGATGGTTCACAATAAAAGAACCAAAAATATCACTCCTTGCATGTGAGGGGCATGTTGGAAGGATTAAATATGAATAAATATAAAATGAGGCATTTCCGGAGTATAAATTTTTAGGTTAGCACTTGTTAGACATTCAAGTGAGGTAGCCACTTGCTCTGAATTTTACAACAATCAGAATTTGTCTCAATAATATTTGCTCTGGTGGTAAATTTGTTCTTACGAGTCCAAAGAAATGAATTATATCACTGCCGTTTTTATCTCATGCAGGTGGGCTAAACATTGGTGGTACTGCTGAATATACAGTAAATCCACACCCAAAAGAACAGATCCATGACAGTATGCCTAATTTAATGCAGTCTCAGCAATTATCTGTAAGTCCGTTTGCTTAAAGATGCTAAGGTGTGTTTGCTTGGGTTTTTGAATTTTTGACTTGAATTTTGAATAGTGAAACTTTGAATTATAATATATGTTTGATATGATATACATAGATGTTAATGTGATGCTTTGAATGTAAAATTTATCTTTAGTATAATATAAAAATAAAAGGTATGTGTTTGATTTGATTTTTTGGGAGGAAATTTATTAGTAATAGTAGAAATTTATACAGTAAATGCACACCCAAACGTTTTCTTGCAACTTCGTGAGTTCCGCCTAATGATTAAATGCTTGATTTACTTCCGCCTAATGATTAAATGTTTGATTTACTTAAATGTGTGGTTCATTTCCAGCTTTGTGAGTTCCACCTAACGAATAAATGTTTGATTTACTGCCGCCTAATGATTAAATGTTTGATTTACTTAAATGTGTGGTTTCATTTGCAACTTTGTGAGTTCCGCCTAATGATTAAATTTTTGCTTTACTCAAACGTGTGTTTCTCTTGCAACTTCGTGAACTCCGCCGTAGGATTAAATGTTTAGCTTAAAGATGTGGCTCACACGCATCCTCGTGAGTTCCGCCTAAGATCTAAATGTTTGGCTTGCGTAATGGTGTAGTTCACTTGCATAAGTTCGTCTAAGGTTTGAGGTTTAGTTTACATAAGGATGTGGTTCCCTTACAACTTTGTAAGTTCCGCCTAAGGGCTAATGTTTATTTTACTTCAAAGATGTGGTTTTCTTGCAACTCCATGAGTACCGCCTAATGGTTAAATGTATTCATATTTTCTAGATGGGGAGGTCTTCAGGCTTTAACTTTGGAGGCTCGTATCCATCACATCATCCCCAGCAACATCCCCAACAACATCGATCTTCTGCAATGAACAATTCTGGGGTTTCGTACCTATCCTCTGGCAATCAAGATCTCCATTTTCATGGTCCTGAGGTATGGCTGAAACAAAGTTTTCTATTTTAATACAAATTTCCTGGGATTCAATTACCAATCTCTATTTTTCCTGTTGTGTCCTCCTTTAGTTTAGAAGATCATCAACTTTTTAGATTTTATGATTTGACATACTTAGCTGTTACCGTAACCATAGGGCAACCCATAAATGATTTGAAAAATCTGATAGCTTGCTTTTGCAATATATGCAGCAGTACCCGCAATTTCAGCAAAATCAATCTCGTTTCATGCATCATTTTAGAGAGAAAGATATGCATTCTGTTCCGGGTTCTCAAATTGTCCCAGATCAGTATGGAATGCTTGGCTTGTTAAACATAATTAAAATGGTCAATCCATCTGTGACCTCTCTTGCATTGGGACTTGATTTGACTACACTGGGACTGAATTTAAATTCGCCTGAGACACTCCACAAGAAGTTTGCTTCCCCCTGGGCTGAGGAACCTGTCAGAGGAGAGCCAGAGTACAAAATTCCAGAGTGTTATTATGCCAAACAACCTCCTGCATTAAAGGTCTCAGTTCTCATGAATTTACATTAGTATCACGTTTATGCCTCACTCACATTATATATGAATCCTTATGCAGGCAAGCCACTTTGCAAGATTCCGGCCAGAAACGTTGTTTTATATCTTTTACAGGTAAGATTTCAGACCCTTCCACAAAGCAAAATTTTGTTTTGTGGTACTAACTTGTCTTCTTCTTTTTCCTATCTTAAAGCATGCCGAGAGATGAAGCCCAACTTTATGCTGCACATGAACTGTAAGTTGCATTCTTCCTTATATTGGTTAAACTCCGAGTGATTATATATTGAAAGGACCTCTGTAGATCTTCTTCAGACTTTTATCAGCATGGGATACAGATCTATAAATGAAAAAATATTTTTTTGTCCTTTCTATTTTTGATTTGGCTATGATCCACTAATGGTTAAATTGGGTTCCACTGTCTTCGTAAATAAGGCTACACTGTTTATTATTATGGAAAATTTAAACAGGACTAAAAACTTAGAAAGGTGCATCAATATCAATAAGGTAATAACTCGAGTAATAAATTTAGAATCTATGTTAGTGATTGCTTCCATTTTTTATGCAGTCATAACAGAGGATGGTTCTACCACCGCGAGCACCGCTTATGGTTCACCAGGGTAAAGAACATGGAACCTCTCGTCCAGACAAGCACTTATGAGAGAGGCTGCTACTACTGTTTCGATCCCAACACCTGGCAGACAATCAGAAAGGTATTTTAGCACATGGATTTTGAAGATTTTTTTGTATACTATGCTCTCTTAGCTTATTCAAAACAACAAGATGATTGTTTTGTACATGTCTCTTTGCAGGATAACTTTGTCTTGCAGTATGACTTGATCGAGGCTAAGCCGGTTATCCCTGTTCAGCAGCCTTGATGGTTCTATGCTCCTTAGGTTGCCTAAATTATAGTATACAAATTACAATATTTCAAAAGAAGTGCAATGCACATACCGTACTCTGAACCTCCCCTGATTTGACTATATCCATGTTTCCATGGACATCGGATTAATGTAACTTTTGAGGACTTCCATTCTCTGAGTTTTTGCATCTTGCTTGTTTTAGTTTAGATTATATTTCTGGTTTCTGTACAGATGTAGCATTTGGTATGTGTATTTTGACATATAGGGTAATCTCATAATTAGGATGAAGTTTAGGGACTCACTTGCAAAAACATATGTACCCCTTAGTTTGACTGCCCGCCAAGAAGGATCTCCTTTCTCACACACCCGACTATATATATGTTTCTCCTTCAAATTCTGGAACCCGCAACTTCACCGTGAAATCCCTTGTTCTAGCGATTTTTACCTTCTTCGATCTCTCTGTCCACTGAGATTTTTCTCCGATTCTTCAGCAGCAGTACAGATCTGCCTCAGCTGCTCTTGGATGATGATTGTTCGCAAGTTGGCCGTTTCAGGTGAATTTGCTCGTTTCTTAGTTCAAATCTGTTCGCGTATTATAGATGTAAAGCTCGATCTATCGATCGATAGATATATGTTCTCATCGGCTTGCACACATCCTTGCGTTCTGTGGCATCTGTGTGTGCGAGCGTGATCTAGGTTTTCAATACGGAATGCCATTTTGGTGGTTTGTATGTGAGGGCGGTTTAGATGGTGAAGAATTCAACCATGTGAGTGCTTAATTTTCGATTCCTGGCTGTCGCTTTAATTTGTTTTCTCGTATTCTCATGGTAGATCTGCAAAGTTGTTTTGTTCCTTCTGTTAATACTTATGCCACTTCTGAAGCTAGTTTCCTCAAAAATATAAAGGATGATATCCCACGTGCTGCGTGCATGCCTCTTCCTCCACATGCATGCGATTAGAGCCCTGGGTTAAAATAGATCCAGTATAATTATGTGATAATTAATTCTATTAGGTAAGATTACTTTATCTTCAAAATAGTCATTTGGACAGAAGTCTCATCGAACCAATTTTATCACCAAAATAGGTCCAATATACTTATTTTTGTGTAGATGCAACAAATAAGCCTGAAGAATTTGGTGATCGATTGCCCAAATGCAGAGAGAGAACAATTGTTGTTAATATGAGTAACGAGCATCAGTGTAGAGCACATATTTCAAGTGGGAATGAACATTTTGATGCTCCAGTTATGGATGCAAGAAGTAATTAATATTAACATATTCACACCAACAATCCATGGAAGTACTACAGCTTATATTCTCTTCATTGTTTTCATTTTCACCTTCTATTCCTATTTTCGTAATTTACAGGAGCCAAAATTTGTCACATTTTTTAAATTTCCCTCACATTGGTTGAATCCAGAGAAAAGAGAGATCACTTGCACGTCCATCTAGCAGTAGTTTATTCTTGAAAGTCTTCAGCATCATGAATGTATGTATCAGTGATACACCCGGGAAGACAGTGCCACAGTTCCCTGATCTCATGCTCAGATAGCCATTCATCTGACTTGCCTGTCCGCCATAAGTATATGACGTCCCTTTGCTTCTATTTATTTCTTTTCATATATTTGAACATGAAATCCTTTAGGAAATTGTAAGCCAGGTGTTCGAAGAATTTCTCCTCCTTCGATTGCTTTCAATCTGGTGGATGTAAATAAGTTAAGCTATCTCTATGCTTCTTATTCAGAGTTTGTTGAAAGTTAGTGGTGCTTTATTCTTACCTGTACTTGGTTACCAAACAATGGAGAAATACAGCCATTTGCACCTTTGTGAACTCGGTTCCAACACAAAATCTCATGCCACCTCCAAAGGCCATGAAGTTTCTTGATGCACCATGTGTGTCTGTCCCCTGAATGTGTCAATACTTTTTAGACGATGAGCTGGCTAAGAGAAGTCAAAATGCAGTATTATTTGTGTGGATACACTTGCCTGCCATCTCCATGGATTGAAGTCCAAGGGATCTTTATATCTAGTGGCGTCTAAGTGCACAGCTGGAGGACAAACCATAACCGCCCATCCAGCTGGTATGGTGTATCCTGCACCACAGATATAATGTAAGTTAATGTTCTATCTAACCAAAAAGAAACTCTGATTACTTTCATGTTTGAATATGTACCTTTAAACTTGATTTCTCTTATTGCTTTTCTGAAAATTGCTGGTACTATATTTGCCAATCTCACTGTTTCGTTGATAACCTGCCAGTTATTTTTGTTAGGGCATAAAATATAGGTGATATGGTCAAAGTCTTATTAGGAAGCACTGGACATTGATAGCCTCACCTGGAATGTGAATTTCATTGATTTATATTCATTCCACGTTAGTCCTGATTCTGGATTTTCCCTTCTTTTAACAATTTCTTCATGCTCTTCCTGTGACATTTAGAGCATGTTAACTCGAATAATAACAGCACTAGAGTTTAATTCAGTTGTTTGAGGTTGTCAATTTTCACACACCGTCAGTTCTTTCAAAACCAATGGATGGTCTGAAAGAAATTTTGTTGCTAAAGTGAGTGCCAGGGAGGTTGTCTCAAAACTGGCAAAGAGCAACACAAACATCAAATCCAGGGCGATTGCCTCAGTGAGAATTGTATCCTCACGTCGAAGTTCTTCCAGAACATAATCGAAGAAATCGCCCTGGACTTTCCTTGGCTTCTCTCTTCTCTCTTGTAGCATGTTCTTCATCATTGTCATTGCCCTCTTTCTCCCCTGGTAGAAAATAGTTGTGAGGCTGTTTGTTTTATAAATATAATGTTTCCACCTGTCAACTATACTATAACAGATTAACAGTTGAAAATACCTGCAAGCATTTGTGATATGCTGTTCCTGGAATGTCCACAGGGAAAGAAATCAACCCCTGTATAAAAGCCTTGAAATTTTCCCTTAGATTCTCAGGAGATGTTTCTGCATCATAGCTGATTAGCTTTTTGGCAGTCAGGCCAAATATCATCTGCCAAGAAAAACATCAATAGATAATCTTAGTGACATGTCAGAAACTTAAGGACAAAATGTCTCTAAACTTGATGATGGAGATTGGTGTTTTCTCATCATTCAATACCTCTGCAGTTGCTTCCTTTATATCAATGCTACTCAAGCTGGACCACAGTTTCAAGTTCCTACTCGCTGTCTGTTCAACTTCTGGAAGCATCTTTTTCAGGCTTTCTGGGCCAAAGAGGTTGAGCACCATGTTCTTAAGGTACTTGTACATAAAACCATGTAGAGAACCTACATTTTGCCTACCAAATACTTCAGTGAAGGTATCTGGATACCAGCTCTGAAATAACTGTCCTTCCTGCTGAAAGATGAAGTAGTTTAGATCTGCATCTGTAGATACTATCACGGGTCGTCCGACCAGACTAGTCTTGAATATTGGTCCAAATCTGAAATGTACAAGGTCAAGAACATCCATCATTCAGTTGTGAGGTTTGAAGTTGCAACATGAAGATGTTATGTTGTTATATTGTTTGGTTCACTGGTTGTGAGATTACCTTTGCATCCGGTCTTTGACAAATGGAGGAATATCACAGGTAGGGTTGGGAGAAAAGAACTGAAAAGTCTCTCCAAAGAGTGGCCAACCCATCGAACCAGGCGGGAGAACTCCATTGCACCTGGGATACCTCCATTTGTACAGCAAATTGGTAAGAGCTATAATCAGCAGTGCTCCAATGTAGAACCCTGCTGAAAACATTATGTTATAGCAGTATAAATTGATGATACTGTATCTTTTATATGTGTGTGTGACTGTGTGCGTGCCTTGTCTTTGCAGGAAATTTGAATATAAAGAAGGTGGAGGAGACAAGGCTGGACAGAAGTTGCTGGAATGTATCTGATTCTGATGAGGTGAGAACTGCTTATATAGATAGATAGACCAGGCAAGGATCTGTGCAACTAGTTATAATAATAATTCTTTTTAAGTCGGTTTCTCATGAGTTGGTTACTCAAAAGGCTGTAAACTGACAAAAAGAATAATCTTGTTCTGAGCACCTCCTTATCCTAAGTCAATACACGTTCTAGAGAATGTAAATAGAATTAGAAAGCCTAGCAGCACGGTGAGGCACTTACAGGAAGCTTCCCTCAACACGCATATTATAATTCTTTCTACTTTATTTTATTTTATACAAGTAAGCTTAGCAAAACAACAAGATCCCTCTTTTGCCTAGACTAAAAAAATAGTGGTTTTAACTACAAATCAGCTCCTCACCTACTAATTGCCACATAAATTATGCAAAATATTGTTTACAGGAATCTGAAGAACGTCAGCTTATTTGCTAAATCTTTCTGCTAAATACTTTGTTATATAGAATTGTTAATGCCACAACCAGTTTCCTGTTCCCCACGCTTCTACACTTAAATTTTTTCTCCTCCATGTTAAGAGAGTTAGATCTCATCCTAGATCTTCCTTAGCTGTACATCATATCTTGTATCGAATTCTGAATCTTGTTTGCATCATCCCACACAACCACTGTATCTGCACTTGTACTAAATTTACATTGTTTAACTCAGTCAAGCATGTTGAAGCTTATCACAATTCTGTTCATAGGCCCTTTGAGCCACGGGCTTAAACACGTTCAATGGCTAATTATAGGTAGGTTACTGTGCAAATATATGAGCAAGCAGTCATTATTTGTGGCTCATGTCCACACAGTTTACGACATATTTTCATCTTTGGTTACCAAGATTGATTAATGGGTTGCATCTGATGTAGTGATTAATGCCTTGAGCTACTGGAGCACGCTTCTCGCGAAACCTTGTCTGGCATTTCTTGGAACTACCTCCTCAACCCTCGTGTGCAGGTTGGACCCGTACAGTACAAGAAAACCCTCAGCACAATTTGAACTTTGAAGGTATGTCATTATTTCAACTGCTTATATATGTCTATACATGTTTATTTCTTGAAAAATCTCCCTTTGGAAATGAAGAATGACCAGTCTAGTAGGATTAGTGATTTGATTCAAAGGACTTGAGGATGACAAATAGTGACCTTTGTCTAGAGCCATGGGTAGGTTGTAAGAAGATGATACTTTTGCTGGAAATTATAGGACAAAGGTCCTGGTCAATAGGTAAAAGTTTGTGTCCCTCTTTAGCAAAAACCTAGTGCCCTTTTGCCCTAGGGGGGTAAATTTCTTGAGGGGGGTGAAATTTTGAACCTGGCCTTTTTTGGATTGACCTACACAGTTTCGTTGAAGATTGTTTTACAGTAAAGGAATTCAAATACAGGCACACAGCATGTTAGTTTGCATTATTTTAGATAACTTAGTGGAACTAAATAAATAGAATGAAGAAAGCTAAACCTACAAGCCTACTGCTTAGCAATAGCAGCATCGTATAGACCAAAAACATTCACAACTTAAATTAGTTAAATACTTTCTTTCTTAATTGCAAGGTACATATCTAAATTAGTCATTTGCCTCAGCAATCCCATTAATTTGGAGGAATTTTACATGGTCAACTATTCTATTACTCTTTCAAATATTGTAGTGTTATGTTATTATATCTTCATAGTTAATAGGCTTCACTGTTTGGACTTTATTTGTGGGTAGTCTTTTTTTTTTTTAATGTAATAATAATATTTTTTTTTATAATATATATAGTATTTTAATTCAATAATTGCTGCAAAGTCCCAGAACATATATTTTATTATGCTAAAAAAAATTATAATATTCATATAGCCCAATTTATGTCAATATCCTCCATAAAGTATGGGTTGACCAATTTACTGCTGGCCACGTTATTCATTAAAGATAATTGCTATTTCTTTCACGAAAATAATAGGTGAAGTGAGTCATCTAATAAGCAAATAATTAAAGATATAAATATACAATTTGAACACAATTGTTAATTATATAATGAGAAAGCTCCTCCCCAATCCCTATGTTATGGTAAGAGTGTGAGTATTAATTGTATTGAGTTCTTATTAATTAACATTCAAATAAAAATGAAAATCAGTTATTGAAATTTGTGTATGATATCATCCCTCGTATATATATGTATATATTTATAATCTATGTACTAATTTATAACTAAAATATAATGTCCATAGCTGAAAACTTTCCTTTCACACTTACTTCTTAATGCATTGTCATTAAAAATTAAACCTTATTAATGTAGCTTTAACATCTTTAATAATGTTCCTTGCGTTTAAAGGCATAATTTTAAAATATATTAACAATCGAATTTTTTAGAGGATTTGTTCTTTGTTTTGATTATTTTATATATATACATATGTATATTGGGTGTAATATTTTGTATGAAAAATTAATATATTATTATAAAACTTATATATATATAATAGAAATTAAAATTATATTTATGTATTTTTGGCTCAACTTCAATTAACCAAACAATCTTACTACTACTAATAATAACGAGGTTTTCTCTTAATAATAATAATATTGATGATGAGGATGATGAAGGTTTCTTTTAATTGAATACGGAACTACGAAATTTAAAAAATAATTTAATTTTTTATCAAATTTTAGCTTGCTTTTAGATCTATGCGGTTGCTCTTTGAAGTTTTTCACCGGACTCAAGTGTTTTACTTATTAAAGTCATTAAGAATAATGTTAGGTATAGTAAAATATTAGATATACTAAGGGTCTAACTTTTTTTTTCAACCCCTCACTCATACCAACTAGGATTGAATCCGGAACTTAGGGTCAAGTGAAGGATGTTTTACCATTAGATCTACAAAAGTTTAACAGAGTATCACTAACTTAACTTCGAATTAGTTTGAATATCACCTATGTCTTTTCAATTGAGCATGCCATTTAAAACTTGTTTCTTGAGTAACTTTTCCAACCAACTTGATTTGCTGGCTACCACATTCAAAATTTATCCAGTTTATATTAAAAAAATAACTATATCGGATTCTCATGTTAATAATAATAATAACAACGAATAACGATGATAATAATAATAAAAATGTGAGAGCAATTCCACATAATCCATTGTTCTTTATGCTCTCACATCCAAGTCCCACATCTTCACTTTATTGTTCTAACTCACGCAACAATAACATATATGTTTCCACACAAAACTTCTGAAACAAACGCAACACAACACAATCTCCTCAACACCCAATAATAATAATAATAATAGAAATAGCATGTCTTACCAGCCCACAACTATTATGATTTTGAAGTCACTCCTTGAAGGCCTCCCCTTTACCCGACCTTGTTGCTGAATGTTCCTGAACTCCCGGCAATGGAGAGGGTGGCAACTCTTCTTTGATAGCTAAGCTTCGATTCTCAGCCCTAGGAATGTTAGCAACAGCTTTTGATGTGTCCGCTGAGTTTGCCTCTACAGGAGTAGTTTTAGAACTTTCACCACATTGCAGCCTTTGGTTCTTCTCCATATTCGCAAGGTTCATCTCAAAAAGCAACTTGTCGAATAAGGATTGATTTGGCAGAGCTTTGCTGAAGTTTGTAGGTTGTGATCTAGGAAAGCTATATGGAGATGGCAAACTCTGTCCAAGGGGGTTGATAGATTGTCTCAAACTTGCAGCCTCAGCCTGGCTGGACGGATCCATGAAACATGACTGGTCTGGTCGCTTTCTTTTCAAGGAAGAGATGTCATAGCGTTCACCAAGTGGCCGTCGTTTCAGGTTGGCTAAAGCCGATTCCAAGGTTCCTGAACCACCAGGCTTTGTCCTGTAGCCACTTGGATTGTGTCTAGGAGCAACCTTTTCTGAAAATGCTGGTGGATTCTTGGAGCAGCCCATGTATACTTCCATCGCTCGTTTTGTATTGAGCTGAGATGTGTACTTCAAGCACTCTGTCAATGGAAGTTTAGTTCACATCATTAAAACAATTACTAGCTATAGTTTTGCAAGGACAAAAACTCATGCTTAGATAAAGAACGAAGCTAAGAACCATCCACAAAAGAAGGAAACATTTGGACACTTACCGATTGGTCCCATTTGGGTATCACGGGTTAATGTGATGATATCTGTCATGCTGTTAACCACTTCAGCCATCTGAAGAGAAGGCAAGTGAAGATGTTAATCCCAAAATCATTGTTGTGAAATTCTCAACTATGTGACAATTACTAGTGAATTTACCTGCAGACACCTAATGAATTGCCTGGGGTATCCCAAGGCATTCACCAATGGAAATTCTATACTTTGTGCGAGTTCTTTTGTTGCTGAGTCAAGCCTGGGGAACAAAATTTTCACCAAAGACACTGAATTATGATAATGCATAATTCCCCCAAAAATCCAATGAGTTTTGGCCTTTGAGCTAGCTACGGAGAGTCGAAAATTAAATTAGTCACTTACATTCTATAATTTTCCTGTGTTTCTCTTGTCGACATTCTATAAGGCAAGCCATTTGGAATGTCTTGTAGACACTTGTTGGCAGATTTAACAATCTGTTTAACCTGCAAGTAGAAAGTGCTTCAATTCATTTGATGCTTAATGATATATATGCATGCTTGCATTAGGAAAGTTGAATCGAGTACCTGAGGAGCAACAACTTCTCGATGTATATATAACTCATGGTGTTTTGCACAAAACTCCCAGGACACTATCTATGGAAGACCAAGAAATGGAACCTTGAATAATTGCTTTGCTTCCAATTCAAATAGATGAAATGAGAACAACATAGAAATTTTATACCTTCAAGTCATTTCTGAAACCCACACGAAGTTTACCCTCATGAACAACACGTAGCCCGTCGTACACACTCTCTTGAATGACCCTCCCATATTCCAGCATTAATCCAGATGAGACTTTCAGTGGTCGAGGCAAATCTAAAAACAAAATCTCATCACGCACACCTAACTCAAACTTTGCCTTGAACACCCTGGGGAATGCATTGGCAGTTACCTCTAACAAACCAAAAGGAGAAATGTTAAAATGTATATATATGATGAATACAGTCATCAAAGGAACAACAATTTGAATACATTATGTAGAGTCAGTGACAACGTCAAACAAATGGTTGCATAATACAAGTCAGATGGATACATTGAGGATAATTCAAAATCCATGAAACCAAGAAAGATATGGACAACAGAAGGCTCAAAAGTCGTAAAAAGCTATTGACTAATTAGATGATCGCCAAAAGGAGGCAGAGTCGGAAAATATGTAAGGAATTATGATTGAGAAGATATTATACAGAAGGGTTATGCAATGCTTACCCAGTCCCTTTCCTGATTTCGCACCACACAAGTCACAAGACCACTTTTCCTGAAACAATGGAATATAAGAATGTTAGGATAATCGTAGACAAAAATTCCCAGGATTGACTACAAGAACTAAAAATCATATTCAAGTGTCATAGAAGACACAATATTCAATGAAATATTTGCAAGCAAAGCAATGATTGAGTGCTCAAAGAATGCAACTTTTAGCATCTAACCGTTGGTTTTGGGCATAAAACACCGTTAACTTCATGCTCGGCATTTTTATAATTAGAGAAACACCACCTCTTCTTGGCACCTGGTGCATAAAACTCAGTAACAAATTTCCTCCAAGAACTAATGTTGTTTTCCTGTAAAGAAATCAAAAACCATTTGTCAGATCAAAGAACTTTGGAACCAACCTGGTATCTCCAACTTGCAATACAGAAAGAATTCGACGAACACAAACAACTAAAAAACTCGTAACACACATACATAGAAGGCATGTTTCAAGCCTTGAAAGAGTAACTAACCCGTATGTGGTTTCGGAAACAGAGTAGATACTTCATGAACTTCTGGGAACAAATGTCGCCATCGAGCAATGGTGACAATGTTCCTTGTTGATCACTCTGGTCCTGAAAAATGCTTGTCATCTGCATTTTCGGAAGCTGGTTTCCGACCAGTGGTTGAGACCTCCAGGCCTGTGGAGCAGAATTCATCACTGGTGGCTGTAACTGAGTTGGCACTCTAAGCTGCTCAAGCATTCCCATTAGTTGTGGGTTATAGTCATTGAACACTGCTTCTTGAATCATCTGGTTTTGCTGTTCGGTATTATTCTCTTGGTTGACATTTAAGGTCGATCTCATCAGAATCGGATTAAGAGCCTCTGGTTTTAGTTGAATAGGAAATGAACCATGGAGATTTTGCAATGCTGATTCGTTTAAGCCTGTATAAGATGCAACACTATCCAACTGTTGCTGTAGCCTCTCCCTTTGAATGCCTTGATACAACTGATACAAATTATCATCAACCAAAAAAAGGTTCATGGCATTGTTGCTCAAGTATGGCATAGGCGCCGATGGGGTACTCATGAAATTCCCCATATTGGTATTCTCAAGATTCTGCATATAAGCACTGGATGGGATGATCAAGTTGCCAAGTCCAGAATCGACATTATCACCAATACTTGATCTTAAATTTGGAAAAGCTTCCAATAAAGACGAATTCACATTTGACAACATCTCCATGTTCAATTCTGGCAAATCATTTTCTGAACTCAAATGATCTGTGTTTATGAGTGAGCTTTGAGAGCCTAGAGCATCGAGGATTCCTTGAGTCTCATTAGAAAGTGTCGGAGGCAATGGATATTGATTGTTGGAATTCGGAGAAGATTCAGAATCCATTTCTTTCAGCCGAGCGATACCTAGAAACCTGAAAAATTTTATTTTATACGTCTCTAACACAAATCCTACAGAAATGCAAAGCCAACAGTAGGTTAGATTTGAAATCAGATTGTCATAGCTACACGATCATCGGATAAATATATATGCAAACTAATAAATCACATAATCAGCGACAAGACACAATATCATTGATGATAAGCAGTTAAAAACATTTCGCCGGGATTTAATCTCATGATCTGGATGCGAATGAGTTCTACAACACAAGAAGGAAAATTTTCCTCAACCACAATGGGATTTGATAAAGTGTTAACGCATCCACCTATCCCATAAAGACAAAAAACAATGATCGACCGACTGAAGGAAACTAAATAAGTGAAAACGTGTGAAGCCTACACAATATGGCGATGGACATGAATCAAAAAGCTGTGACAAACTTACAATGCGGAAAAGGCTGTTCACACTTGTATCGCCAACTTTTTGACTCCTTGTTAACCTGTAACATGTGCCAAAATCACAAAAAACAAACAAATCTAAGTTTCTGATCCTTCTCAAAACCATAGATGAGGCAAAACCAAGAAAATATCAATCTCGATCGGAAAAACTATGCATAAACAAAGTATACCGCAAAAAAAAATAATAGATGGATCGACAGATAAAGAATAAGGAACCAATGGATGGCGAAATTTAAAAGGTATCATTCTTGGGGAAAAAGTTAGATTTTCAATTATTGCACTTACTAAAAATCCATGCAAATCCAAGTAAGCATACACAAATCCATAATAAATTCTTTTCGAAAGAGGAAAAGACGATGGTTGATCATTAAAATCCATGGATTTTACATCCATCGATAGCTGTATTTTCTTTGAATTATTTATTTATTTATTTATTTCTTTACCTTGTAATTTCGCCCTCCAATAAAAATATACTCATTGTCGATACAAAACATAGCATGCAACAACTACTTCATCTAACAAAAATAAGAACAAAAACCAAAATACAAAAAGAAGGCAATCTTTCATAGATTGCTTTGTACACCAAACACTAATCAATTGTTCACAGCATTTTGCTCTAAAAAAAACTCTTGGTCCTCCTCTTAGAGCTTCTAACAAGGCACACTGAGACAAATTTTTCATGTTTGAGCTCGACTTGTTAAAAGTTTAAGCTCAACTCATATTCGTTCGTTAAGAAATACGAGTTATGTAGAATAAATCGGTTTAATAAAACTTATAAAATTTAATTTGAAAAAATTAAATTCAAATTTTTTCAAAACTGATTATTCGATGAGTAGAAATGCATTAGGTCAAACAAAATAATTATTTGAATTATTTGGGCTTGGATAATGCTAAATGGACCAATAGAGTTCATTTGGGCTAAAATGTGAGGTTTTGCGGTAACTACATAATTAGTTAAGTGATTAACTAAACAAGTGTACTAAATTTAGTCTCACGTTGTTAAATGCATAGTTTAATTATGCATTTAAATACAAAATAATTTAATTAAGGTGGCAAGAAATGTGGTCGAGCCAGGTCAAGGCCAGCAAGCCACACACATTGTTTGCCCGGACCGGACATGGACACGGGTTTGGAGCTTGGAGCTAAAGGCTTGGTTATTGCTTGGCTTGACGAGACCAAGTTTTCACTGTAGTCCAATGCCCGATGCAAAAGTCCTATTTTATTTGCCTTGAGACAAGCCCAAAATTCAAAGTTTAAAGGAAAACTCCAGTACTTGGCCCAAGGATAATTATCTATATAAAATCATATTCGGTAACGAGTATATCCGTTGCAATTAAGAATGGAATCAACGTTTGGCCGCTATGTCAGTAATGACATACGTTACAGAATGGGTCCTCCTTCTTTATTCTCAAACACACAATTCGAAGCAATTTCCTTTATTCTCTTCTCTCTGCTCTTCCCGCAAAAGTCTCTAGCTTTACAACATAGTTTGGTTTCTTCTTCGTTTTAGTTCACTAGAATTTCGATGATTAGAAATGTCACTCTCTGATGAGAGGCGAATCTATTTTATCTTTGTGAATGGCATTGCCGAAGATCGGAGGCACTGCCAAATGTGTGACTATTTTGCGGAAAGAGGATGTTATCCTCGAGTTGGTTTAATTGATACTCAATTCGTTTTTATAATTCTCGCAATTTATTTTCTAAACAACCTAAAATTTTTGTTTGAACTTGGCTTATTAAGAAATTTTTGTGTTTGTTTTTTGCTCGACTAAGCTCAATAAGAGATACTCCATCTGTCTCAACTTATATAAATATCAAAATACCCCTTATATTCTTACACTTACACTGGTTAATAAAACATTATTATTTCTTAATCTACTAAAAAAATTATACTCGATTAAGAAAAATGTGTAAGAAAAGATAATTGAATACTATATTCTAAAAACATGATAAATATATTAAGTTTATTTTTTAATGAACGTTGTCGAACATTCTTGAACAACCTCAAGCTCGTTCGCAAACATAACGTGCTAGAATTTTGGTTTATGTTCAACTCGTTTAACTTTAACGAATTCAAACAAATGGAACTCACAAGCCGTTTTCTTTATTTTACAGATCTACCTCTACATTTCATTTCCTCCCCCTTTCCTCTGCGTACTCATCACCCTAACAGTAATAATATATGTACTGCAGCAACATTCATTCAACCAGAATAGCAAAAAAATAAAAATAAAAATCTAATGCAAAATAAATAAATAAAGATAGTTACTGACCATCAATGTAAATGAAGCTGAAAGACAATTCTTGGCCCGCTCTCATCTCTCAGAGCAGTGATGGCAGAACAATAGAAAGGTGTCGTTCATTTCTTACATACATGTCTATGTCTATGTGTAGAGTCTAGAGTGAGAGATAGTAGGCTGAGGAGAGGAGTTCGCGGGAAGGAATATAAATATCATTACGTACATGTGGCTGTTATGCGGGCCCATTATTCTGACACGTCAGCATGGGGGTGTGGACACGTTTTCAGTTCTGCGGGTCGGGCCACCGGGTTCTGTTCTGTAACGCCTCCGGGTTTGCTCAGTGACGACGTCATTGACCTCGGCTTCCACCCCTTCCCATCTTTGATTTTTTATTTTTAGTCACATTTCAATTGATATATTTATAACAATTGTTATTTTCTTTTATTTGAAGTAAAAATTAATTGAATTTAAATATATTTTAATTCAATTAATTTTTATAATATATAATATTATATATCAAATAGGATATCTCAAAATCTTTTTTATTTTTATCTTTCTAAAAAATTACTACCTCCGTTCCCATAAGACTATTTTTTACATAGATTTTTAATATTGGTATTATATTAGTTTAATTATAGATTTACGTGTAGAAAATATGTATTATTTTAGGTAGACAGTATAATTAGTACTCTTGTTTTGGAATAGATAAAAATAAAAAATAGTATTATTGTTATGGATGCAGGGTGCAACATGTTTTATAAAATTAATTTATACTAATTATAAATAAATAGACGTATTTTCTATCTATTAAATTTTATTATCTAGAAAATAATATTTACGTATATTTTTTTATTGCAATATAATTTTTATAATATTTAAATATAAATACATATCCTAAAATTTTTTCATATATATTTTATTGCAATATAATATCATAATTCATTACTTTAAATAATATATCACAAATAAAATGAGTCAATTGTTCTAAGACAAATGAAGTATTATTATTATTATTATTTATAAAAATATTATATTAAAATATTATTTTAATAAAAATAAAAATTAATAATTTATTTTAAATCAATTTTAAATTACAATCAAATAAATCTATTTTATTATTATTATAATGATTATTAATTTTTGTGAATTAGTATGATAATTTGGTTGTTTGTAATTATTATTTTCATTTATTTACAACAAATATTATAACTTTATTACATTTGTTCTCTTTATTTACTTTAACTTCTAACTAAATTTTTAAAAATACTTCAAATTATTTATTATTTGTTTAATAAAATATTTACTTATTATTTGTTTAATAAAATATTTATTTTTTTCAATCTTCGTGCCCAAATCTAAATAGACTCTGATGGAATATATTTATACATTTCAAAAACATCTTTTATATTTTATAAAATTAATTTATTATTTATAAATAAAATTTATAAAAATTTATATATATATGTATTTATTTGAATTATATAAAATTTTATTTTATACCAATAATATTTATATTTAATTAAAATATAATTTTAAAAATATATAAATATATATTTTAAAATTTTTAAATTGCTCATAATTTAGCTTCCAACTTAAGAAATCCAACGCAGCTGCGGACCGGTAGCAACTGCCATCGTTAGATAGGCCCTAAATTTGTACACTAATGTTTAATTATACAAGAAAATAGTTGCATAGGAGTATTATTTTATGTGATAACCAATTTGATTTTAAAATAAACACACACCTACATTTAATTATTTATATAATAATTTTATATAATTAACATTGTGAACAATAACTATTGACCAAATTGTGAACCACGACTTTGGATTCTACCGAAACCCGTGACAATCTCGAAGAGCTCCCAGGACCACAAGCCAAGATGATTCCACGGAATGGTGTGGACTGTGGATCCATCTGGTGTTGGAGTCCTGGGTGCTTCAAAATATTGTGAGAACAATTGCCGCACAGTAGGTTTTGGGGGTTGTACTTGTCCTGATATAAATGTTTGTCCTTCCTTCTACGGAAACGATGATATCTAGAAGGAGGCGTCGGGTCCAACTACGAGTCTTGGAGCAAGTTCGACAGTTGAGCCTAGGGCTGTCTGGCGAGTAATCGGGAAATTATGGGCCTGCCGGCGATGGATTCCATGGCGGCGGCGATTGGAGTATCGGTCCCGGTTCTTCGGTTTCTTTTGTGCTTCGTCGCCACCATTCCAGTCAGCTGGTTCCACCGGTTCGTCCCCGGAGGACCCACCGCTCGCCATTTCTATGCCGCGGTGACCGGCGCGGTTCTTTCGTATCTTTCGTTTGGATTCTCGTCTAATTTGCATTTTCTAGTGCCGATGCTTTTAGGTTACGCGTCGATGGTGCTTTGCCGGAAGTACTCTGGAGCTATTACTTTCTTTCTGGCGTTTGGATACCTAATTGGGTGGTGAGTTTAACTTTTGGTCTTGAATTAATTGAGCGTTCTTGATCTTGGATGGCTTTCTGGCTTCATCGTTGTAACTTTAGGTTCGAACGTCTTTTTGATGTTTTTCTGTATGAAATATAGCTTTGGTCATTGTTCTTGCTGTTACTATTTTATTTAATTGCGTGAATTGAAGATTTTCATTTCCTTTTTCCTTTTTCCTTTTCAGTGTGAGAATACCTTTCTTAATTCTATTTGCTTTGATAGTCTTGTTTTGAAGGGCAGTTCATGGATTTAAGTTACTTACCGAGTGATAAAACTGATGGCAGTTGGTATATTTTTATTATTCTTTCTGCTTTTTTAGTTTGGTGGTTTTGGAGCCTGATTTTTGGTCTTTTCACTTATAAACTTACAATACAAAGCTTATTCGATACCAATATATGCCTCACTAATGGTAAATTTTGACTAGTAGTTTACATGTGTAGCCATGTGTACTACATGAGTGGGGATGCATGGAAGGAAGGAGGTATAGATGCTACAGGTCAGCATAACCTCAGTTTCTGCTATAACCTCCAACTTCATTTGAGTTCACTAGAACTACTGTTGTCTTTTAACGATGATGTGTAAGCTTTGTGTTAGCCACAATGTTTAATATTCAAGCACATATATATATATATTTTTTCTCAGGCACCATGTCTATGTATAACATGTTCTGATTATTTTTCACGTGGGAGTCAACCAACAATATATTTGAAGTTTGCATTCTTTTTTCGGGTCATTCTGAAAACTGTTAATTTTGATGTCTGGAAATTGATGAGGCTGTGAAATATGAAGTCAAGGTTTTACGTAATGTGAAGCACATATTCAACTTTTCAAATTCAAAACTTGTCATACTATGGTGGTCTCTATGGGCTACTTTAGTCAGAACAAATAAAATTCATATTTTCATGAGAAATACTTTTGAATCGTTGTCTTTTGTCAATTTTCAGGAGCTCTAATGGTGATTACCCTGAAAATCATATCATGTGCCATGAATTATAATGATGGATTGCTCAAAGAGGAAAGCCTACGTGAGGCACAAAAGAAGAATCGGTTACTTAAGCTACCATCATTTCTTGAGTACGTGGGTTACTGTCTCTGTTGTGGAAGCCACTTTGCTGGTCCTGTGTATGAAATGAAAGATTACCTTGATTGGACTGAGAAGAAAGGGGTATGCATTTATGTTCGTAATTGATACTTTTGCATGTATTGAATTGCCAGCATTGCTATTTTTAATTTGGCTGTAATATTACTTTGTATAGATCTGGCAACCTGCGGGGAAGGGATTGCCCCCCTCCCCTTATTGGGCAACAGTCAGAGCTCTTCTGCAGGCTGCTGTCTGCATGGGTCTTTATCTGTATCTTGTTCCACATTTTCCATTTTCCCGATTCATGGAACCTCTATATCAAGAATATGGGTTTTGGAAACGATTAAGTTACCAGTACATGACGGGCTTCACTGCTCGTTGGAAGTATTACTTTATATGGTCAATCTCAGAAGCTTCTATTATTATTTCTGGTTTGGGGTTTAGTGGGTGGACAGACTCCAACCCCCCCAAACTGCAGTGGGACCGTGCAAAGAATGTTGATATCTTAGGTGTTGAGTTGGCCACAAGTTCTGTGCAGTTACCACTTGTTTGGAATATTCAAGTCAGTACCTGGCTTAGACATTGTAAGTTCACTATCCTTTAGAATGTGTTTCTACCTCAAGTAATGTGTGATTTATTAGTTTTTTTCTTCTAGAAACAAGTTTGTTTCACTGATTGATGGAGTTCTATGGAAGGATAAAATATTGTAGCATTTTGAGTTTTTAGTACTAATACAAACTTGTGTTCCATAATTGATAATCTTTTACATGTAAATCTCTTGTTTTGATATTTTAATTTTTTGAAAGAACAGCATTCAAGTTGTCTTTGCTTGCAGTAATATAAGATTTGAGACTTAAAGAGATTCTCTGGCAAGCAAGAAGAAGGTTTAAGACTTTTTTTTTTTTCCTCTCTCAAATAAAGGTGAAAGATATTCAATGTTAAATTATCTCAAGCCATTTAATGTTAAATTATCTCAAGCCATTCAATGTATGCCTCACTTCATTACATCATAAAAGAATGTTAATAAGCTTTTATGGACTGGTTTTTCCCCAGCTGCATTGCCACTGGACTGTGCATGAATCCAAATTTCACTTTCTATCTTGTTGTTTAGGTTTCTATGTACCTTTATATTCACTTTTATGTTTGGAAAAATGTTAAACTAATATAATTTTGTTATTGTTTGCAATAGATGTCTATGATAGGCTGGTTCAGAAAGGTAAGAAGCCAGGTTTCTTCCAGTTGCTTGCTACTCAAACTGTCAGTGCAGTTTGGCATGTAAGTTAAAGGCTATCTTTTAGTTCTATCACCACCCACTTATGTTCTTTGATTGATTTTTAAAGCTACACTAGATGTTTCTTCAGTCTGATCTAGGTTGGTACCCGACCTATATATGCATGGTTGCATGAGGTTCATCAAATAGTGATTCTGAATGTGTCCGTTACCTTGTTCTTGTCGATGTAAACTATCAAAAGCATTATTACTGAACCAAAAATTTCTCATTTGCAATTGAGATGCTATAAATATGCTACTGTTTGATAGGATATGCCACCCTGTGAAATGCAAAAGTAGGAAAAAGAAACCAATCATGTTGATAGAAGATGATAAGTGTTTTATTCAATAGTAAATTGTCACAAATACCGGAAAATAACCAGTCTCTCCCTTAGTCTTTATTCTCAATCTTGGCTAACCCTACCAATGACTGACCTCTCTTATTTATGCTAACTCTAGGGATCAACTAGCAAATAACTCCATTATTAGGACTTAAAAGACAATTGCTATATGCTTATAAAATAAAGAGATTCAATAAAGATCCACAATTAACCCAAAGTGAGTGGGCCCTTGCTTGTCCTGTCAGGTATACACCCGAAGTGGGGCTGGCTTGTCCCTAACACACAGTTACTATGTCAGCACATTCCTTCTGAAGTTTACTATCCATACTAGCAACTAGACACCCGAAACCCATTGAATGGTTCTATTCACTTTGTATTCTGTACACCTCTAGAAGTGCCATTATTTGTAGAATGCCATATTAGTAATGTGCTTCCCAAAGTTGATCGATCTTCTAGCTTTCTTACACTTATGTGAGCTCTCCCTTCCAATCTTCCATACATTTACTTTCTTTCATAATTTCTCACAAAATAAAAAATCATATGTACATTTTCCCTTAGTTATAGATCATGACTTGATGTTTGTGAAAGAAATTGATCATATTATTATCTTGGAAGTTACAGATCATAATTCAATTTCTTTAAGATTGTGTTTCTGCAAAATCAACTCTATAGTGTTTTCCGCATTTACTTTGCAAAATACAAAGAGGTTCTAGTTGTGGCAGCCATTGTCTGTATTGCTTGCCCTGGAGCAACACTAAAATTTCATGTCATTGATTTGGAATATATTAGTTTTGAGATGCTAAGTACTAACGTGAATATTTCTTGCTGATGCAAACGGCTTCTTCCAATTCTTACCTTCAGGGTTGTATGTGAGTGAAATGAGGGCAGTATCATAACACTCTTGTAAACTTTCATTGTGTCACAGGGGCTGTATCCTGGGTACCTCATGTTCTTTGTACAGACTGCTCTAATGATTGCTGGTTCAAGGGGTATGATTCTTATATGATAATAATAACACTATTTATTATCAAAACCATTTTCAATTGTTTTCCTTCTGACACTTTTGTTCAATGAGCAGTACTTTACAGGTGGCAGCAAGCCAGCCAAAATACTCTCTTGAAGAAGCTGTTTGATTTATTGAATTTTGCATACACACTTTTGGTTCTGAACTACTCCTGCATTGGTTTCATTGTTAGTTCATCTCTTCACCCTTGCATTCATGTTCAGCTTAAAATAGAAATATCTAATCAAGTAAAATGCTATACCGTGAACAGGTATTAAGTCTGCATGAAACAATAGCTGCATATGGAAGTGTATACTATGTTGGAACCGTTATTCCAGTTCTCTTAATCCTGCTCGGAAATGTTATAAAGCCAGCAAGGACAGCCAGAACTAAAGTCCGGAAAGATTAGTGAGGTTTAAATTGCATCTTCTTGAGAGCTGGGAAGTTCTAATTGGTTTACAAGTTCTTGCTCCATTTGTTGTTTGTAAGAATTTGTTCCAAAGATGTCATACTTCCACGGATTACCAAGATTTATACTTTCATATTTAGTGTTTTAGTGCAACTTTATTATTGCCTTGATACAAATATATAAATGCCAAAATCGATATCTCATATGTAAATATTAAATTGGTTTACAGTTCAGCTGCAACCTATCTTTTCTCAGCCAACTTACTCTAGAAATTAATTATGCATCTTGGGTTCATCTTCTTGGTTTCTCATGATTTCTTGCTCATGCCTGGACCCCAAGATTGTATCTGGTCGAAGGGCTGGTATGCCGCACCAGACATGACCCGATTGGGGCCTTGCCTTGTCGATCTGTGGGTTAGAACTTGACGGCTTGGTTAATGGTTTGGTAGAGGTTCTGATTTTTATTACTGTTGTGTCAAATGTTGGTGAATGTTGCGAGTTCTTGATTGTTATTTTTCTTATTGCATTATATCTCCAAACTTTTGTTGTAAAGTTGGATAACCTTTTATGGTAGTTCACCTTTTCATTTTGTTTAAGACCTTGGAAATTGTATTTTCCTACCATGTTAATGGGGGCTGATTGATATGAAGCTGCATTGTTTGAGAAGAGCTATTATCAAGTTACTATTTAAGTCCCCTGGACTTTTCCCGAACATGGTTTCTGTCCCTCTTTTCCAAGGCACTAAGCCAATAATCATTCGGTAACATGAAAGAAAGGGAATATATAAAATGCCACAAAACTTTAAAGCATCCAGCAACCCATTAGGATAAACATTAAATCTTATTGGACTTAAAAAACTGTCATGTCAACATAGGTAAGGGGTCCCTGTAGGACCAACCAAGACACCCTACTCAAGATGTAGTTAGTTGTGTCTTTAAACACTGCCTGGAAGAATGCAGCTGTATGGCTGACTTTGAAGCCAATTTTCTGAATCCCCACAAGGGTGTGTGTACAAGCACTAATAGCATTCTATGATCACCTTCTCTGGACCACTCTTTTTATGCATCATAGCTAAAGAATCTGTTTGTTTCTCAAGTTACACACTGGTCATGCATGTGCACCTCTATTATTGTTTAGTTCTTCTCCGAATTCTATCCATGAACTGGACTCAGCCCCACCCCTTTTCGAGGATTAGGCTGAAATATGTCCTCCCAAGGGATGGGCTTCATTATTGTTTTCAATTATTTAGGAGGATGAAGGGGTGTTTGGAAGCATGTTTTGCGTGATTTCTCAAAGTATAATACACTATACAAATGCCGCCTTGGGAATATGTTGTTGTCGCTGTTTATGCCACACCCCTTTTATGCAACAAGACATGTTATAGTTAATATGACGAGGCTGGTGAACTATCATTCAATGAACATGTAATGTGTTTGTGTTTAGTGCTGCTAATCTGTTGAATTTCTTCCTTAGCCTTTTGGATGTTATCTCTTGCAGGTAACCAACTAAAGCATATTGTAATTTGTAACTATCTCTTTTACATCTATATGCACCCTTGGTTCTTAAGTAACTGGTTTTCAAGGTATAGAATTGAGCAAGTTTGATTGGTTGGAAACATGTCTCTCAGGGGCTCAGTGGGGCAGGTTTAACATAAACACCATAGATTCAAAGTGACAGATTTAAGTAGGGAGGCAGATATTACCAAAACGTTGCATAAGAATGGGTATTGAGAGGGCAAATTCACTTGTCGTTTTTTGCTTAATTCATTTCATAGTTTCTCTGGCATTTCTGAACTGACCACTGACTTCTAATAATTTTTTCATCAGATGCTGACATTGAGGCAGATTCTTCTAACTGTGGGCGACCCCAATGCAGAGCTGGCCTATTTTGTTCTCCTCTTTTGTTGTTCTTCAATGAAAGGATGCATTCCAGCGTAGGTGTGCCTTTCATTCAGAACAGCCCCATAACTCTTTGATTGGCACTTGTTTTGTCCTTTGCTTTGTGTAATTTATGACTTCATTTAATGTTCCCTTCCTTATTTTCTTCCCAGGCCTCAGTTGATCCACAAAAAGACTCTGCACTCTAGAGGTAGCGGTCATTTTATGAGCTTGAGGTTTGAACTCATTTTAAGGGAAGCAAGTGTGATGAAATTTATGACAAGTCATGTGTCGTGGCAACTTAGACATTGGGTCCTAACATGTGGCTGATACAACGAACATTAAAACGATGTTTCCCACTGTGGCGAAAGCGTAATACTTGCTTTCTTGTGGTAAAAAAAAGAATAACAATAAATATATAATGTAAACTCTCTAATTGACCTCAATTAACTGCTTGTGAACGAAGTTTTCTTGTTTACTGCATTCTTTTCTTGAAGGCTACTATTTCAGGGCAATGCTGCACTTTGATTCTTTGGTATGAACAGTAAATTACTGGAGTGCAGTGAAAGAAAACCGTAAGTGATGACCATTTGGGCCAAAGGTAAAAGTAAAAGATGCCTCTTCCCATTTGGTTAGTCTCCTTGTGCCAAGTCAGAACATTTTCAAATGTTCATTGAAGGAATGCAGTCTTTGGGAATGAACCAGTTGCTTAAAGAAGTTTGATTCCTTTTCTATTGGTTGGTTTTTGTTTCTTACCTTTTTCATCTGATGCAATGATTATTTAGGAAGAAGGGATGATAGCATGGTGTAAAAAGCATTGAGTAATGAAACAGTTGAGGTAAATAATAAGCGTATAAATTTCTCATGAAGGATAAAAAATATTGTGGGCAATCATTGCAGATTGGACTAAATTATTGTACAGTTTCTTATCCCTATTTTTAGCAGGATCTTGAATGGTCTCAAAAAAAATACACACATACGACCTCTGTATACTTTATTGTGGATAAAGACAGACGTATCCAAGCAAGGAATCCAAGAGAGGCAAAAGCCAAAGGGTAAGAACCCTCCCCAGTCTCCCCTCTGTTTTTTTTTTTTTTATTTATTACATTTTCTCTTCCCTGTTTCTTCTTATTATATATATACACACACACACACACACACACATATATCCATCATCCATTATAGTGTCCATACAACGAGGGCATTCATCATTTTAATTATCAATTGAATTACCAAACAAAACCAACCACCCAACCAAAGATATATTCTTCTCCCATCTAACCCAACCCCTCTATTTTCCTGTATTTCTTAGTTCTTTCCCTCTGCAATATTATATATATATAAATACACTTTGTGATATCCATTGTGAAACTTACCTGGAAATCTCCTCAAAATTCTTTAACCACACAGATTCCAGAAGCCGAATTAGAGAAGGGGATAAGAAAGGAACTTGGTTTCTTTAATGGGATCTCCATTATTTACTTGGGTTTGTATGAATACATTAATGCCATGCTTCCAGTTGGTGGCCTGACATAGTGGGACACATCTTGGTTGCTTTCTTCTTACATAGGCAGGGGCAGTTGTCAGCTTGGCAGACACATTTTGAATTTTGTTCGAACTCCTCCTTTCTTGTAATCCTTTTCTTTCTTTCTTAACTGCAAATTTAATTTGTTTGTGTCTTTGATCAGAATCTCCCATAAGAGCATCATGAATAAAGACTATATGTTGAGGATGAAGCCTAAGGTCATTGGTGTTTCATCGCCTGGTGGAGGGTGGGAGATGAGGCCAGGAGGAATGTTGGTTCAGAAGAGGAATTCAGATGCTAATCTGAATTCCAACACAGTTCCAACCATCAGAGTCAATGTGAAGTATGGCTCGTCGTACCATGAAGTGATCATCAGTTCTCAAGCCAGTTTTGGTGAGTTTTGTTGGTTCGAGAGTATAATCTTGGCTGCGTTATTCAAAACTTAATTATTTATATGCATTAACAGGGGAATTGAAGAAAATCCTGGCAGGAAGAACAGGACTAAACACACAAGACCAGAAACTGGTGTTCAAAGAAAAGGAGAGGGATTCGAAGGACTTTCTGGATTTCTGCGGGGTTAAAAATGGATCGAAAATAGTGTTGATGGAAGATGAAGTGAGCATGCAGAGACGTTGGGCCGAGGCCAAAATGGAGAAGGCATTAGAGGACATTGCAGCCATCAGATTTGAAGTAGACAATCTAGCCAAACATGTAGTCATCTTAAACACCAGTACAATATATTTCTTATCGAATGGACAAAATTTTGGATCCTTACCTTATTTCCTTTTTAATTTGTTTTCTTCGAGGTTTAGGTGGCATCTGCTGAAGTGGAGATTAATGGTGGGAAGAAAGTTGTGGAGACAGTTCTGTTAAACCTGATTGAGCAGCTGATGACACAGCTGATAAAGCTCGATGGCATTGCTGCCGATGGAGACGTTAAGATGCAGAGGAGAATGCAGGTAGACTTAATCACATGACTATGTCGTAATAATTACTTGATCGAGATTGTTGTTTTCTTACACGGGATTGGGTGTAAAGGTGAAGAGGGTGCAAAAGTATATCGAGATTCTTGACGTGCTAAAGTTGAGGAATTCTGGGCTGGGGAAAACGCCATTGCAGCAGTTCCGGACGCCGAAAAGTTTCCAGAAACAAAAAGAACAGAGGCAGCAAGGTAGTTTTGTTGATCCAGGGAAAGTAGTGGTGACAACAAAATGGGAAACATTTTGAACAATGCTAGAGATGAACTTTTGCTTCTCAGTTCAAGAAGTTTGCTGTGGTAATATCAAATTTCATCCCACTCGATATATATATGTATACACATATATGCATTGAATTGTTATTTATGCACATATGGCTATGATCATGAAAAATTGAATTGGTTTATAGCAGATAAAAAGTATATATTTACTGTTTTATGTAAAATTTTGGAATATGTAAGATTGGGTCCTCTTTATTCCAGTTTCCATTTGTGTATATATATTATAATTTGGAGCTAAGTACAGTATGTTTTCATTCATTCATTCATTGTTGTAAGAATGAATAATGGAAGACTATTTATGCCAAACTTTAGTATTGCAGCAATTCTGATTTTGTTTTGAAATTTGATTATCAACAGAGGAGACATTAAAAAGATAAATTATTAAGTGGTGTTTGTTGGTGGACTCAAGACAACTATCACTTCGGCAATATACTAATCATTATTATTAGCTCATGTTTGACTTCTAATTGCAAATTTCTATTGCTTTAATTATAATTGAAAATTAACACTTTTTTGTGGTCTCTGAGAGAAAAATATATGCAAGAATATTATATATATATATATATTTTAAAATTTTTTAATCAATGGTAATGGCTAATCTAGATCACTAAATTGATTGTTTAGTTAATTTGTTGGTATTTTAATCAATAAGAATGAATGCGCAAATAATTAATGTAGCATTTCCTACAATGCTTTCTTTTTTTCTTTTCTTTTTAGCAAGTGAAAAATTTATAGACTGTTTTGGCGTTGATAAGTATTTTATAATATTCTTTTTAATTTAATATATGAGATATTTTATTTTTATAAAAACAATATGTTGTTACTTCAAATTTTTTGTTTACATAACTCTCTCCATCTCAACTGAAAATATTATTTTTATTTGTTCAACTCAAAATAAAAGTAATAACATACCAATATTAAACGACTATTATTTTTATATAAATTATAAATATATAATTATATATACAATTAATTTACATGTAAAGTAAAAAAAACAAAAATATCAGAATTGCTTTACACACTTTCATTTATTAATAAAATATTATTATTTTTTAATCTATTACAAAAATCTAATAAGTATTTTAGAGCGAACATGGAGAATATAATCATACAATATATTGAATGCTTGTATATGAAATATTAATACAAGATATACCTATGCAGAGTGATGTTATTATATTCATGTATGATTTATTGTTGGTTGTAAAATACATATTTTTGAAAGTTTAAAAAAAAATTATATATAATAAAAAATTTGAGTGTGTAATGTGATATTTTTAAAAAAATATATATATACTTTTGATTCATAGTATATATTTTTTGAAAAATATCTTTTTAAATAGAAATGTTGAGTTCAAATATAAAATATATTGAATTTATACATCATGACCTTAGCACATGATCCTTCCTATTATCCTATATATAGTTTAGTCTTCCTCACGATCAATTGGCACGGTTTATTTGGATCTCAATGTAATCTAAAAAGGCCAATACAATTTGTCTCATATTAATCAATTGGGCCGTTAATTAGGCCCATATTCTTGGTCCAATACTCCCAAAGGATGGGCCTGTTTTAAAAGAAAGAATATTTGTTAGTGATTCTTGGCATTGTCTTGCAATGCCCTTATTATTCCCACACCATTTTTCTTTAAATTTAAGTAAAGCCCAAAAATTTCATGGAAAATCTCTGACACATTTGAGGATTGTTCTTGTCTAAATCAATTCCATTACAATGCAAGTCAAGCCACCACTTTTTGGAACACATGATACAAACATGGGTTAATAATAATGGATGCCATTTTATTTTATTTATTTATTTATTTTGGTGGTTTTACCAATTGATACGTTGTACAACTTCCTAAGCCTAGCTGGACTCGTATAATCTTTGCATTCACTACCTCACATTTTATTTCTTGAAAGCCCCAGGACTCCAGCTCCACTTCCTTCCACATCATTAATTTCCTCCGACCTGGTACTCGGGCCCAGGATCCCCCAAGAATTAACCAGCATTTAGTGGCTTACACACCTATCTAGCTTGTGGGACAACATTTCATGGAGCTTTCAAGAGTAGTAAATCTTGCCAGCTCCATGGACCCCCTACACCACAACACACTCACTAATCCCAGTGGTCCAAATAGTCCGAATGGGTCAGATTCACCCGGACCTTCGCTCCGTGGAGCTCCCAAGAAACGCCCATCAAAAGACTATACATGTGTGTATGTAATAACAAGTATGTGTGTGTATATATATATATATATGGAAACAGCTAATCCATAGCTTGGGTGTAATAGAAGTGTTGTGTGTTTGTATTCCCTAAAATTTTAAGACGTGTTTGTCTCCCACGAATTCCCCACGGCTTTTCATTTTCACATCCTTTCTTTATCTATATATTATATATACATTTATGTAATAACATGTGTCTCTTCTAATCCTTAATTCCACAACATACTCCCAATTCCAAAGTTTCGGAATTTTCCATTTCTAGCTCATCCAAACAGCGCCGTATATATCATACATACATACATATATATATAGATAGATACATTCTAGTGGCATAAATATCTATGGCTGACTCCTCACAAAATCCGCACATGAGTCAACAAGATCAAAATACTTCTCCAGCTCCTCCTCCTCCACCCCCGCCGCCGCCGCCGCCGTCGTCCGCCAAGACGGCGATTGGGATGAGCCCGCCGAGGGTTCAGCCGCCGCACGTGCAACCGAGCATTAGTACGGAGACGCTTCCGTCGCCGAAGAAGGTGAAGACGACGGCCACCGCCGGCGACGATTCAGGAAGCAGCCGGCCGTCGGGAGGGAAGCACTCGAGTTATCGAGGTATAAGGAGCCGTAGCGGGAAATGGGTATCGGAAATTCGGGAACCGAAGAAGACCACGCGTATATGGCTGGGGACCTACCCCTCGCCGGAGATGGCCGCCGCCGCCTACGACGTGGCGGCGCTGGCGCTGAAGGGGAGCGACAATGCTGTGTTGAACTTCCCCGATCGCGTCGGCCGGTATCCTGTCCCCGGGTCTCCTTCGCCGTCGGATATTCGGAAGGCGGCGGCGAGTGCGGCGGCGATGATGAAGGCCGAGGAGGAGGCGGAGGCGTCCGGCGGCGGAGAGGCGGAGAAGGATGAATCGGCGGCGGATTTGATGAGCAGTACTGGACATGAATTCATCGATGAGGAGGCACTGTTTGATATGCCCAATCTGTTGATGGATATGGCGGAGGGAATGCTCGTCAGCCCGCCGCGAATGGCGTCGACGGCGTCCGACGACTCGCCGGAAATTTCAGACGCCGAAAGCCTCTGGAACTATTGATCATTCTATTTTATATATTTTTGATTAAATTATATATATAGATATTTATTGTGGTGAGGAATCACAAATTAAAATAAATTAAACACAGAGAAAAAATATCAATTGAATTTCATTGTACGATCGATCGATTTCTTTTCATTTCGTGACTATACACATTCGTAAATTCCAATTATTTTTATACACTAAGATTGGAAAATAATCAAATGTATTTGCAATGTATGGATGCTTCCATTCATCAATTTTTATTTTTTTTTATTTTATTTTTCCGGATATTTTGAATCTGGAATTAGTGTTGCAGAAGGTTCGTCAAATTAAATGCATAATGGACATTAATTTGGATATTTAAAAGGATAAGAATATATAATTATTTACATATTTTGTAAATATGTCTGAATATGTACTGTACGGTAGCATTTTTTAAGAAATGTGATTTTGAAATTAATAATTTTTTTTAATGATATATATGAGTTTTAATTTAATTTAATTTAATTTCCCGTTTGATTTTGCAGATATATTTAGATTTTGTGTGGTGTTGGTGAAATTGATATATGTAAATTTGGATGAGAAAATAATGGACTAATAATAATAAATTAATTGATGCAATCAGTTAAGAGGACGATGTAAAAGTCTAATTTGATTAATGATATCATCATCAATTAATAGAGAGTGCTTTCCGAAATTTTAGAATTGATGAAAATGCTACTATTATATTTTATATTATATTGAATTTTATTTTAGTTTAGTTTAGTTTGTCTGGTCAAACCGAATCTGGTGATCAGAGTGTGCTTTTGGTTGAAGCAAATTAAAATTAATGAAAACCCTAATCGAAAAAGTACCTGTATAGAAATAACATATAGCAATTATTACTAATTAATGCTTTAAGTGTGATAAAGTAATTAATTAGCACCTTCATGATTAATATAATCAGCCATTGATTTCAATTAAAACCAATAATTCAGGTTTTAGAGGCAACCAACATTGTTATAGAATTAATAATATTATTGTCCATGAATTGGTTATGAGCAGACTAATAATATATACCATATATAGATGATAAATGAGGGAAATATATATATATATATATCACAAAAGTAAGTTTATTTTTAATTTGGATGATTGGTTTCATCAATCAATCATTTCATAGAATTAATGAAGTGATTGTCAAAGAAGAGGTCCATGTGATTTATTAATTTGTGGGGGATCATCATTCAAATCTTGAAAGGATTATAACTGCTCACTTTTAATTTCTTCCCAGTAATTATTATATTATTTTATTTCAGAAAATAAAACAATATATATGTATATATTAATTGTACTCACATCATCCACATATTCTGATCAATATATATGTATATTTACATATCATTTAATTAATTATATTAATCAACCATATATATATACGTAGTTGTAATAATTTGAAAAGTGCCCGAAATTACAGGCATTTTTGGCTCAATTTCTTGACTGACTACTGCCCAGTGTCGACAGCCCCATTAATTAATAAATAAATTAATTCGCTTGTGAAATGTTTTTTTAATTATTACTATAAAGTAATAATGTGCAATTTAATTTCAAAGAAATAGATCAAGTGCAATTAGAGAATAAATTGAAATGCAATTGATGTATAATGTTTTTTGGCACTACTACTACATACCCACAATATATTTATATATAATAAAATTGTGGGCAGTAGTGTAAGAATTGAAGGTAAGGGGGGCTGCTGGCAATATATATATATATATATATATTTATATATTGTGAATATATAGGTGGGATTTGTTGACATTTAAAATGTAGTAGTAATTAATAAAGGAGATCCTAGGCGGATAGAGGGATAGGGATTTATATATGTCCGTACACAAACAACATAACGTGCTTTTCTCAAGTCTTCCTTAATTATGAGATATATGTCTTATATATATATATATATATATATATTTTTCTATTATTCATTTAATTAAGATAGTATTCTATTATTTTTTTAGTTTTATTTACTTAGAGTTCTGAAGTTTTAGGAATTTTGGAAAAAAAAAAAAACAAAATTTATAGTAAAAAGTTAATTAGTATTTAATGTAATATTTTTTAAAAAATTAAAATTATTCTAAATAAATAGTGGCAAGAAATTTCAAAATTATTGTTTAAAGAGAGCCATGGTTTGTCATCTTTCATTTTTATTTTTTTTTAATAGTAGTATAACTTATAAATATATATTATATTAAATTAAATTAAAATTTAATTATTAAACTTATACCACTTAAAATATCATCCCAAAATTAAAAGAAGCAAAATATTACATTCACGCCCCCCCCCCCCCCCCCCCCCCCAAGGTAGGGTTAATGAATGAATGAATGAATGAATTATTGCATTAGGTAGCTAGGGTTTCACTATGAAATATGGAACCAAATTAAATGAAGGAAGCATATGTACACATCACGGAAAGTGTTCCATAGTTAAAAAAATAAATAAATAAAGAAGCTGTACTGATCTAGCTAGTATGTATGTCTGTCTGTCTCTAAGCTAGCTATGTATGAGATTGGAAGTAGTAAAAACAGGAAATTAATTAATTAATTAATTTAGGAAATGGAGTATATGATATGAATTAATTCAAGGGGAGTTGAAGCCAAGGTGGACAGTCAATATAATATATACACATATACTTGAATTGATGATATGATATCAACTTCTGTCGAGTGTTGAAGATAAGAGTAGGTGGAGGTCGGCCATGACACATATCATATTTATATTTATATTACTATTAATTACTATCAATATATATATATATATATACAAAGAACTACTGTGGTCATTATATATATTACAACATTATGTCAAATCTTATATAATGATTTATTATAATGATTAGTGAAGAATGAGGGGTGCTTTTATATATATACATATTTGGTGGGGGAGGGGGCAAGTTGTCTGATATAGAATCTGAGAATTGCAACTGCTATAAGAAGAAAGAAAGCCTAAGATTGCTGATATATATGGTTTTGTCGCATAATATTATATATATATATATAATTAGGGCCTCTCTAGTCTACCTTTGACTAATGTTATAGAAAGACACATATATATATATATATAATAATGGAAAATGTGGCCGACATTATTAAATTATATTATATATTTAGTGTACTCTATGTTATATATTGCTCCTCCTAGCTAGTTGTTGTGGGTGGGCTGTCTCTATCTCACCAATCTTATATAAGGAATAATATATTAATTAACCGGTATAAGGTTTTGAGTAAATGATCTATAGTATTCTTAATTTATGCCTCTGTGTAATATATATATATGCAAAGGTGATGCATGCATGTCAGGTTAAGAAATGAGAATCTTGTTCAATTAAATAATTTGTTTCATATATATAATTAATTATTAGTATAGACATTTGATTTCAAAGGGGTCACAGTCTCAGTCTCAGTCTCAGACATCATGTGACTTAAATGGAAATTAGATAGTATATAATTAATTGCGCTTTCGGTTGAAATTATGGTTGAAGTAGTTTAGAATTCGAATATTATTGCTGCATCAGACAAACCCAAATATCATATAAAATACTAACTGCCAAATCTTGATTCTCAAAATTGATGGGCCATCAATTAACACACACACACATACATATATATATATATATTCATCATATGATTCTTCTTTAAATATTTATTAATTTCTTTCTTAGTTACCAAATATTCCATTTCTGGAATCTCACCATCACCGTAACTACCTGCAGAATAATTATCTACTTCTATTCATATATATATATATATGTATATATATTTCAAAATTATACATTACATATAAATATATATATATATGCATGTAATGACCTCATGATTCCAAGGAAGGAACTAACGCTCACCTTATTACAACAGTAACAACCTTTTAATTTAACTGGTAATTATATTAGTGTATGTGTTTGTTTGTGTGTTATTCAATGAGATAATGACAGATATGCATTCTTACTTCCACTTAATAATAATAATAATATAATTAAATATAATTAGTATCGTAAAGTGGAGTACTTTTTCGAAGTGTCAACAGAAGAACAATTAAAGGCCCACTAATATTGTCCCCTACTTGATCAAAATAATTATGTCCATTTTTGTACTTATTTGTCTTTTTATTTTATTTTATTTCTTTTCCACTGGTCTCCTTTGGCAGTATCAAATCAAAGTTAACAAGTTGAATGGACCTTTAAAGCAAAAAATGAATGTATGTAACAATTAAATGAGAAAAAAAAAAAAACTATAATATAATAATATTGATAAGAGATAAATTAATTTTCCCCAATAATACCTTTGAATTAATTATATTGGTCATGGAATGATATGAGAGAATCTTTGCATTGTTTTTTGTAGGGTCCAATAAAAAGATTTGTATTAAAATGTATTGATTTTTGTTTATATTCAAAGTAAAGATCATCATGGAAAATCCAATATAGTGTATTTTAATTTTATTTATTTCTTCATGTAATTATATTAATAAATCGAGGAATATTTCAATTTATTCCTGTTGACAGAATCTTTTGGAGCTTTGAATTCAATGAATTTTTCCTCTTAACTGGATTTCATTCTTTAATGAGATGAATTATTTCACTCAACAAGAAACCAGATTACCTGATGGATGAACAATATAGTATAATTTCAAGAGTTAATTTATTATTGAATGACCTAAATACATATATATATATATATAAATATATGTGTGTGTGTGTGTTCTGTTAAAACTTTATCTATTGAATAATATAAAAATTGTTAAATAATTTTTTTAAAGAAAAAATCGTTGAATTTCATACAGAATATATATTGAAATCTATTATTTAATAATAGTCGTTATTTATTTATTTATTCTCAAGACTTATAGATATATATATTTGTGAACTTAAAAAGAAAGATAACTAATTTGGTTACATATAGCAAAAGGAGTGGATGTATTCAGTCCAAATCTATTGAATTATGGGCCCTAAGTAATAATTAAATTAAATTTATATATTTCCTATATAAACAAAAAGTTGCTTTGATTTTTATTATATTCCAAGTTCAAATCATCAAGGAAGTTGCATATATCTTATCAGCAATTATTTTGTACCTTATATTTATTAGAAATGACAAATACACATACGTATAATAATATTGTAATATTCTGCATTATTTAATTTTAATGATTACACATCGAACCTTGTCGTATCTTCCGACATCATAACTATATCTATATTATTTGATCAATCGCCATATATCCAACGGGCCTGATTGAAAATTCGTGTTATTATTGGGCATATACAACAACAATACTGTTTTGGGCCTAAAATATTGCAATGTGTTTGTTACAATTAAGACAAAATTTGCGTAACCTTATATATTGAAAGTTCGAAAATAAAATATAAAATTACAAAACCTTGTTGTGGTAATAAATGCCAACATTCACCCAATTAGTGCAACTACACTGTAGACTTCACACATATATTTACAACATATAGATAATTAATATTCTTTTTATATGTCAAATTTATATATGCTTTTCATAACAATTATATATATTTTCTACTTATAGTTAAAAATATCAACTTTACATTTTAGTTATTTATAATTTTGACACTGCTATTTTCATATTTAAATTGTTCAATTTTCTCTCTTTGTTAACTAGCTTACTACACGAATTCTTTTACAATAACAATCAACTTCTCATCAATTAAAATAATATTTTATCGAGGTCATGGATTCAAACTCCGACGTCTCCAAATTTACCTGTCACACATGGTTAGCCTAATGTGACTTGTCTTGTCGGGCCTAGTTTGCAGGCTACGAGGTTCGGACGAGGGTTTACCCAGTGCGTACTTTCGGGCAGCGGCTGCGAATTCCCGCGTTATAAAAATATATATATTTTCTCTGTCACAAAAAATTAGATTCGGCCGGAAATTTGTCCAAAGTACATCCAAAAGGTAGCAGTTGCGGATAAAAAATAAATAGATAAATAAATAATATTTTCTCGGTCATTAAAAAAAAAAAAGACTTATTTACTCTTGATATAAATTTTAAAGTAGTGTGCCTTTTGCCTTTTTAAATATTTTTTTTGCTAAAAAAAGTCAATTTTTTTTATGACATAAAAAAAGATAGTAAATTTATTTTTGGACAACAAAGATAATACTATACCTCTTTTTATTCAATAAAATTCTTGAGTTCCGATTCCATACAAATAATAATAAATTACACAAAATATTATTTATAAAAGTAAAAAAGTCAAAAAAAAATTTAAAAATTAAACAATTAAAATTAAATATTCGTTACAAAAAGTAAAAAAAAAAATCAAAGATTCAACTAAAAAATAATAATACTATATTTTATATTTTTAACGTAATTTCTTGTAACACACACTATAGTGTGTTTGGTTGGGGGATTTTTCCTAAAATATACTATTTATCCCATTTTTTATTTTTTATATTATATTAAAATATAATTTTACATTTAAAACAGATGTCTTATTCATATACAATTATTTCAATTCAAAATTTTTATTATTATTTAAATCCCAACTCAAAATTCAAACCCCTAAACAAAGGCACCGAATCAATCAATCTTACTTTGTATAAACATACATTTGGTTGATAGAGTATAGCATAGGTTGAATTTCAGCTAGCTAGCCCTATGAATTTAAGTAAAGAATAGGCAATCACGACAAGTTTTGTTTATACAATAATTTTGAAAAGTTTGGCTTTATTTAATTTTTTAAAAATATTATATTAAATATTAATTTTTTATTATTTATAATAATTTCTTGTCTGTTTCTCTGTCTATGTTAAAGCTGTAGAATTCGTTTTTAGCCCTACCTTTGTGGGAGCAACCATCATTCCTTTTAGTTTGGTCGATTGTCTCGTAAAACTTGTCATCTCGATAACAATCTAATTTTAAAAATTTAAAATTTTTCAAAAATCTATATCTAATCGAAAGGTTAGCATTGGGCAAGGCTGTAGGACCTTCCCTATGATCTTTGGGGAGGGGATAGTCAGGCTTCCTATATAGTACGCTCTCGCCACAAACCTCGTAAAATGTGATATATATACAAATATATATACACAGGGGCGGACCGTGGGGGCAAGGGTGGGCTGCAGCCCCTCTCCACCCTAATTTTTTTTAAATTTATTAAAATTTATGTATTTTTTATATAAATATATATAATATAGAGAAAATGGATAATTAAAATAAATACTAAAAAATTGTATATTTTGTCTGAATAAAAAAAATATATAAAAAAATATTTATAATACAGTGTATAACTATTATTATTGTTGTAGTTCGTTATTTGTATTTATTTTTTTCAAAATATAATAATCAGAATGATAATTTTTTCGGATAACAAATAAATATTTATAAATAAAATATATTATCTTATAAATTTTAAAATTAATCCCCCTCAGAATATAATCCTAGGTCCGCCACCGTATATTCACTGAATATTTATATACTGACTATTTATATATAACAATTGTATTAGAAGGGACATGAAGACTGAAAAGTAAATTAGGGTGGACGATCCCCTTCCGATTTTTTTATATTTGGTCCACTTTACCTGTACAAAAATGTTAGCTTTGTTTACTCATATTTTTTAGAAGTTTTAATGGTTATTCAGTATAACAATAATATTTTAAAAAATTACAATAAATATTTTTTTAAGTTAAAAAAATAAAAAACTTAATATGATGTCTGATAATAAAATATTTATTTTTTTTATTTTGGTCCGTAGCTGGACGGAGGGAGTACTATAATTTATATTATATATTCTTATTTATATCTATTTCACTATTCGGATCCCAACCAAATCTAATTTCAAACCCCATCAAACATAGGTTTGTTTAGCACCTACTAGGAACTTTCCATGGGCTAAATATTAGTACAAGAAATCCAGGAAAAAAAAACAATAATAATAAAAAATTCACTTCCACGTCAGATACGGTGCGTGGAAGATACAATTAAGACAAGTAAGTATAAAATAAGTATATAAAAAAGAGGTCAACTTGTATGGTCAGCAGTAAGTCTACCACCTGAAATTTGCAGCAAAAACCCTAATTTGAAATACTTTATTTGAACACAAAACACATCTTCCGTAATCTATATACAAATATTAAAATCATGCCCAAATCTCAAATCCAGCAATTCAAATTTTAAAATAAATAAATAAATGGCACCAATTAATGTACCATCTCTATTAATAAAAATCATATCCCAACTACAATAAGCAGAACCTCTGAAAGCAATAACTAATATAAAAACAGAAACAGATGCAGACAAATGAATAGTTTAATGATGTCTGAAATTCAAAAAAATAAACCCTAAAGAAGAAGTATCCATGCTTCTTCTACCTCTGCTTCTCTTCTCAAACCTATTTGTTATTCCATTTGTGCTTCTGTTAATTTTGTTATTTAATAATTTAACATTGAGATCTTCACCATCAGAAGCTTCCAGTCTCTTTCACCTCTCAGGTTCGATTTTACCCTTTAAATTTTGGCACCCAATCTCTCTCTAACTCTATCTCTCTCTGCAATAACTGAAGCTGGCTCCAGTACCACCCACCTACTGCTTTCTGCGTCTGCTCACTGTTTGCTTCACAGATGTTGAGTTCTAAGCTTTTGAATAAATGCTGCTTGGATTAATTCGCCTCCTCATTCACTCTGAATTAATTTGTGGCTGCCTTTTGTGCCTGAAAATTGTTTTATTTGCTCTGAAAGAGGATTCGTTGCTTCCATTTTTTGCTGTTTCTGTGATCATGGACTCGAGATTGATTAGGGGTAGGGTTTTCCCCAAAAAGCCCTTGCTGTTGAAGGACTTTTTGTTGGATAATGATTTTGGGTCGTGTTCTTCCAATGGCTTCAAATCGTTCCCCCGGAGGCAATGCTGCTCGTCTCTCCCCTTCCTGCACGAATTCGATTCGAAGGCGAAGAAGACCAGGAAATTAGGTCGATCCAGTTTCAGCCATTGCGCCATCTCCGCGGCGTTCAGAAGCGTTTTCGCCGCCGCCGTGAAGCGTCTTCCTTTTCCTGGCGGTTCCGAGTCGCCGGAGAAGAAGAAAATTATAACATACTCGTTTCTGCCAAGGAGGATGAGGAGCGGTTTCTGGAGGAGGAAGCCGGCGCCGCCGCCGCCGCGGATCGAGCGGTGGAAATCGTTCGATCAGCTGTTGATGATGGAGGATTGCGGCGCGTCTAATGGATCGTGCCGGTGGCCGGCGGCGGTCAGCCGGTTCGCTGCGGCGGCGGCGGCGGCGGCGGCGGAGGAGTATATGAGTGGGAATGCTGATTTAGACGACGGATGTGCTGCCGGGGAGGTAAACGACGTCGTTGAGGATGATAAGACGGCGGAGAGTGGCGGCAGTGAAGAAGTTGCTACAAACGACGTCGTTTTGTTGGATTCAACCACCGCTAGTGATGCTTGCAGTGTTGCCACCAACTCCCCAACCAACCCAAAGGTCAGATTATTATTAATTATTTAATTAGTTTTGGATTGAATTAATTAACAGGATGCAATCTTAAAAATCCCAACGTGATTTGTTAGTACATTTTCAAATTTGAATCTAATACTAATAATTTGAAAATTTTCAATTTGTGTTAATTGATAGAATAATCTGTTTACAATGACCGACTCGGAAGAGAATAAAGAAATATAGTTCAAATTTTTGAAAAAAAAAAATAGATGAAAAAAGGGGGGTAATTTAAAAGTATATATTATTATTATTATTATCATTAGCGATTTTGGGTATTAGGGAAGTGTAATTTGACAGCGGTGAAGTTGGAGAGAACACGTGCGGATTATGCAAGGGGCATCTACGGCGCAGATACCGCCACGTGTTGTGTGTTGGCGGAATCTACGGCGGGGAAACTCGTTGACCTCTGTTCTTTTAGTTTTTACTTAATTCTCTTAAGACATAAGCCACTTCTTCTTCTTTGTTTTTTTAGAGCAAAGAAAACAAAAGGGAGCCGACCAGACAAGACCAACTCTTTTGTTTTGTACTACGTACTTTACAGATGATTCAGAACTGCTGCTACATGTTAACAATTATTAGTACTAATTATTACTGTTAGGCATAGATGTTAGGGAGGGTATGAGAATGAAATGATCGTATGCTGCATTGCATTGCATGGCCTAGCTAGGGTAGAGTAGGGTAGGGTAGTAACCATAAATAAATAAATAACTAAGTGGGACTGCCCTGCCCTGCCCTGGGGCTTCAAATCATTAATGGGCAACGGTGGATTGGATTGGATTAGATTAGGGCAGAATGTGATTGGCTAGTCTGGAGCTGCAGGGGGTCCCCGACCGGGCAGGCTAGGCTAGGCTAACTCATGAAATTATTTTTTTTTGTTATTAGTATGGATGACGATGACGATGATGATGGGCTATCATATTTATGTAGATAGCTTTATATAGAGAGAGGGACAGTACAGGGTGAGGCATGGTGCAGGATACCCTAATGCATAGGTAGGACTAGCTAGGAGGAGTAGCCAATGATTTATTGATCATAATTGGTGAGGGAGGGGTGGGTGCATAGATCCCTCTTTTGTACGACAACCTTGGAGAGAGTGAGAGTGAGAGTGAGGCCAGGGTCCATTGTTTGAAGGGATATCGATTTTTGGACCACATGAGCTACTGACATAACATATATAGCGGAACATGCCCATTGATATCTTTCTTTCTTGGCAACTCAATTATGGCGTTGGATGGATGGATAGATTGATTGATTGATTTCTTTCCCATTTCTACAGTCATTCAATTCAATTGATCATCATACTACTACTACTACTACTATTATTTGTACTTAACTTACTCCTCAAAATCAATACTTGTCCTTTTCTTGCCGTGTCGATTTTACCCAAATAAATTCATGTCAGCAACGCTTGAAATTACTTAAGCGTTTTTTTTTTATATATAATTTTTTTTAAAAAAATTAATTTAAATTTAATATTAAAATAACATATCATAAAATATTTTATAAAAAATAAAAATATTTTTTTTTTCAAAAAACATGAAACCCATAGAGTAAAAATCTAAAATTTTAGTAAAAAAAACAGATCTTACTGCAACCTCAATATAATTATAAATATTACTAGTGTACTAATTAATGAATGTAATATAATGTTTAATTAATGTAATGGACAACGCATTAACTCTACAGATGAAGCAGCAATGGCCAAGCGAAGAGAAGGAGCAATTCAGCCCGATGTCTGTCCTCGATTATTCTCCCTTCAACGACGACGACGAGGAGCTACTTTCGTCTCCTTTCCAGCAACGCCTTGCTCGGATGGAAGGTATCCAATAATCCTTTATATGTTATACATTTATATATATCTCAATATATTTATAATACAATATATATATTATACTATGTATAAATATATGATAATTATATATATATATGACATATGTTGATTCGATCAAATCAACAACATGCTAACTTGGCCTGATCATCTCCAGCCTTATTAGTTAGTTTGTTTGATTTGATTTGATATCGATATGTCGGTAAGACATAATATACGTACATTGTACATTGTGCTGATTAATTATATTATAGGCACTAGAAAGAAGCTCATGAAGAAGATCCACATGTTTGAGAGCCTTGCCAAGCTGGAACCGGTTAACCTAGCCACACGATTCATCGCCAAACATGATTCGGACAGCGAGTCCTCCTCAGTGATCACCGAGAAATCAATATCTGATCTTGACAATCAATGTGAAGACACTGACGATAAAGTGGAGACCATTGATGATGATGATGATGAATGGTTAGAAATAAAGGCAACAGAATTGCTTTGCCAAATTAATAAGGCCATAGCGTCATCTTATTACAACAATGTCAAATTGAATCCCCAAAAAATGTTGCTTGATTTCTTTAAAGAAAGACTACTTTCCAATCAAGACAAAGGGATAATAGAAGAAGCATTCGATTGGATGATGCAAGGGCGACGCCGCGGAGGAGAAGCAACAATAGAGTCGGATTCGGAGAAGAACATGCAAAGCTATGTAAAGGACATGGAAAGAGGAGGACAATGGAGAACGTTGGATCAAGAAATTAAGGAGGTGGCTTTTGTGTTGGAGACTGAGGTTTTTGATGTCCTTTTGGATGAGGTTTTAATCGACATTTTGGCATGATTAAGTTTGTAAGATTTGAGGTTGTTTTTGGTCATTTTAAGATGACCTTAGGGAGAGAGGGGGAGAAAATTATGTCATTTTAAGGTGTCTAATTAGTACAGGTTATATTGTATTTCTGTCTGGATTAATAAGTGCAGAACCAATTTTGTAGGATCATATCATATTCTGAAACCTGGGATTGGATTGGATAAGTTGTACAAATTATGATAATGGCACAATAATATGAAAAGCCCATTAGTGTTGTTTTCCTAAAGTCCTTTTGGGCCTCACCCAAATTCAGGCATCGTGGTGCACGTGATATATATATATATATATATATAAACGTCATCGTTTTTGTTTGCATAATAAAAAGCTTTATATAATACTAAAATTTATATAGACTTGATAAATAATATTCATAGCCTTCTAACTTTACATATATTAAGATAATATCTAAATGTGAGATTATATAAATAAAAGGCTATTATTTATGTTGTAAATAGAATTTTATTATTGACTTACCTCTATAAAAAAAGAGGACAAAGGCAAAAATAGCATTGACCAATAATAATTATCCCACCCTTCTCTGACTGCTGGGCTGAGTTTTTATGATAATTCAAGAAAAGTTGTTTAAAAGTTCCTGGACCATAGGTCCAGACAAAATCTAACCTTTGATTAGACTGGGCCCACACATAATCTAGGGTAGAGGATTGCTCTCCGAAGATCCCAAAAAACACCCGAAATTCCAGGCAGAAAGACTCGCCTTTTAGAATAAAGGGAAAAGCTTTGGAGGTCATTACGGTAACTTGAAGGAGGGGAAGGATTCGTTTTCGTTGTCGCCTTTGGCTGGCAAGGTTCTTCCAAGTTGTGTTCTGAAGGACTCGAAGGGCCCGTCTCGAACCTCGAGCCCCTTATTGCCATCGGTGTTGAGGCTTATTTACAATTTTGTCTTCTTGTATTTATAGCACATATCCCTCTAAACCCCACCATCGATTCTGTCCTGCAAACGCCTCTGCTGCTCAGCAAATATAGCGTAAGTGCTGCTGCTGCTCCATTGGAGCGCCAAGAATCTCTCTTTTCTCTCCGAAGAAGGATTGAAATTCTACGAGAAGGGAGAGAAGGGGAGAAGAGTCTTGGCGTTGAATTTGAGGAGGTAAGTTTTTTTTTTTTCCTTAAAAAAAAGAAAAAAACAGAAAAGAAAAGCCTTTTGGCTTCAAAGATCGAAGTTCTTGTTTCTGCACTTTGTTTTTGTGATTTCTCTTTTTGGGGGATTGGGGTTATGGGGTGAAAACTTTTGGTGGTTGATTATCAATGCTGGCGATATGAATGATGCATGATCATGTAATGATGGTTTGATTGCAGCTTTTAATGATTTGTTTGGTGAAGAATTTTCAAGACTGGTTTTTGGAGTTTTTCTAAAGGTAATGCAGTTGCCTTTTGGGATCAATTAGTTTCTTTAGATTGAATGAGGGTAATTTTTTATATGATGTGCTATGGATTCTGCATGCAGTTGGATATTTATTTGATTTTCAATGTCGGATCATTGCTTTCTGGTTATCAAAATTTTGTTAGTTGTATTGGTGTGGAGTCCAATTGATGTTCGATTTGGTTGAATACTGTGATTTTCGCGTTCACATTGGTGTTTGAGATTTGGCAGAACTAGGCTTATTGTTTGATCCTTCACAAAGGTTTTTATTGTTTATATTCTTTTCAGATTTGTATAAAGTACGAAAAAAGTGGTAAAACAAATATTATTGCTTTATTAAACCTGAAAGTAAATTCAAATTATTCCTCCCTTGCGAAGATTTTCTTGATCTAGACATATGTAATGCAGATTCTTAGAAGCATTAATGCCTTGTTGTAGTTTTGATGAGAAACTAGAGTTGTTTTCTAAACAAGCTTTTGATTTTCAGTTTGTCAAGAAAAGAAAATCTCGAAAGCAGGGCAAGCAGATGTAAAAGTTACTTCCTTGTTAATAACCACAGCCTTTGGATTTTCTACTCCTTTGTCCTTTTTGTGAAGTTACTTATCTTTGGCTTTTGTTTCAACTTTAAACTTTCTCTACAAATTTTTGTTAAAGCAAAATGTATCAGTGTGCGTGTTGCAACTGTGTTCAAATTTTAAGGTGATCTTAAAAATGATGGAAAGGTGCAATTTGATTATAATTTCCTAGAAATAAGAAACATGCCGCAAGCTTCTTTGGCCTGTGGATGAATTACAATATCTAACCATGTTAACAATTGCTTAAGTTGATAATTGAATTCTTGAGGATTGTCAATGTCATGTTCTAGATATCTCAATCATTAGATCAAAGTCTCTTTATGTAAAGACAGTTGGCTCTCTGATTCCCTTTACTGATTTAATCAGATTCATGTGTTTTGTAAGTCTTGTACCCTTGGTGATTTGATGGGAGTATGTGGCAGTGCCATGTTTCAATGCAAAATTGAACTTATGGAACCTTGATATGGTCATGCCTTTTACTTCTGTGTGTGTTTTCACATGCCTGTGTAAGTGAGGTTTTTTACACTGAATCAAACTGAACATTAAAATTTGGTCTTCATGTCAATGTTTTTCTAGGCAAATTCCATAATATTGAATGGGTATTTTCTCCATTAAACCTCAGCAATCCTCAATGAAGGAATCCCCCAGGAAAGTGGAAGAATCCCCAATGGAGAATTCCCCAGGGAAAGTGCAAGTATCTCTGATGGATGATGATTTTTCACCTGTGAAATTGCAACAATCTTTAACAGATCCTGATTCATATGTGGTTAAGGATGTTACACCTGCTCGCCTGACGGGTATTCATTTCAGCATTTTATCTGATGAAGAGGCTGTAAGTGTTCATAATTTGGTTCAAGTTAGCTTGCACTTGTGCAAATAAGGAGCTGGTAGAAATTTACTCCATGATTCCATTCTCTACATATGCAGGAAAGGGTATCAGTAGCTGTTGTCGGATCAGTTAATGAAGTGTCAGGCCCTGCATTGGGATTTCCTTCTTTAACTGCTGCACAATGCTTGACATGTGGTGGCTACAATTCGAGGGACTGTGAAGGTAAGTTGGAGAGAAACCCTTTTAATGTGTCATTATAAATTCTCTATATTTCAATTCTGATTTATTATTTCCATTTTGCAGGGCATTTTGGTTTGATTAACTTACCATATACAATCCTCCATCCTTATTACATGTCTGAAGTTTCTCAGATTCTTAATAAAATCTGCCCTGGATGTAAATCTGCCCGTCATATTGAGGTAAACTTAGGTACTATTTAATGATGTGAAGAAACATGGCAATTTTGTGGAAAGGCATTATAAAAATTTCTATTTGCTTTTTTACATTGCTGTGCATATACATACTAAACGTGGCTTGCTGCCTATATGTCTAATCTGATTTCTATATAATACAACACTTTTCGTTCTAAAAGGAAAATCATTGTTCATTTTACTTCTAAATTTTCTAGAACTATTGAGTGTCTGTACATTTTCTTTTCTTTCTTGCTCTGTTAATTATTGAATTGTCTTTAATTTATTTATTTATATGCTTTTCTGGACCAGAAAGGTACTGCTGCATCCGATGAACCGCCAAGAAAATGCAGATATTGTAGTGTGAGTACTTTCTAGCTGCTACTATATATAATTATGTATGACCATTACCAATTCTCCCCAAATAACAGGGAGGTTCCAAACTAGGCTATCCAAAGATGAAATTCAAAGTATCTACAAATGATGTGTTTGCAAAGACTGCAATTATTGTCGAAGCCAATGTAGCTGCTGCAGATAATAGCTCTGAGGAAAGCCTGGCTTCAGATTATTGGGAGATAATCCCTAAAGATCCTGCATCAGAACGTGATGATCTGCCACCTACCCTGCGTGTTCTGTCACCTGCTCAGGTAAAAAAAAAAAAAAAAAAAAGGAATCGTAACCTCTAACTGTGAGAATTTATGCTAATGTTTCCTGCTTATATTTTGTTTGATTGCAATACTTGTGAGCTATTTCTTTATCAATTTGTTTTTAATTGTATTACTATCCACACCCATCCCCCATGCCTGGATACACTTATACCTTCATAGACTGATTATTGACCTATATTTTGCTTCATTCTTTATGATACATATTAGCTACTTTTATTGTATTGAACATAGTGGGCAGCTACATGTTAATATTCATATGTGCCTGTTTTAACATGTAATAGATAATAGATATCTTATGATGCTTACAATATGGCCTTTATTGCTCGAGAAGTGTGGATACTTCTTATAATCCCATGTTGGCATAACGGGATCCCAGCTCTTACGTCATTTGAATGTTATGTGTTTCCTGCATTGCCAATGTTCTCTTTTGTATTTTTTCATTTATCCCACCAGAAATTATGCATAAGTGTGTGTCTCTTTCTTGTTCAGGTCTATTGTATGTTGAAGGATGTTGACTCCGAGACTCTAGACTCACTTCTTAATCGAAAAAACAAAATATTTCTTAACTCTGTACTTGTCACCCCAAATTGCCTTCGAGTGAGAGAATTTGGGCAGCGCCTAGCTATTGTAAGAGTTTTTTTATTACTGATTGTGTTTTTTTTCCACAGATGTGAGTTCATGATTTGTGGAGGATTTGTATTAATTACTGATCAACCATCATATGCTGTTTTCATCTGATGAATGACAAAGGATGAAACTACAAGGATGTACAGAAAGCTTATTGATTTTAGAGGCACGGCAAATCAATTGAGTGCTTGTGTCATTGAGAGATACAGAGTTTCCAAGGCAAGATCAATCAAGCTTCAAAATTCTTTTTCTTATACGTCCTATATTTTTTGGATATGTTATGAACCTATTTACGAGTTTTATAAACTTCCCTTGCTGCAGATTCGCCCAGAGAAGGTCTCTAGCATGCAAAAAGAATACGAGAAGCAGTCAACCAATGAGTCTGCTTCAAGTGGATCAGGGCTGAGAAATATAAAGGACTTACTACTTGGAAAGCGGACAGACAACACTTTCCGCATGGTGGTGGTTGGTGACCCTAGAATCAAAGTGGATGAAATTGGTGTGCCCTTACGAGTTGCGGAGGAAATTCTGATTTTGGATCACATAAATGATTGGAATTGGGAAAAGCTAGAGCCTTCCTGTGATTCACTGCTTAATCGGAAGGGATGTTTCGCTGTTCGTAGGAATGGTGAAAGGGTTGTTATATGGTCTAAGGACATGCTGAGGACAGGTGACGAAATTCTGAGGCCTCTTACGGATGGAGATGCCGTGCTGATTAATAGGCCACCATCTATTCATCAGCATTCTCTGATTGCTCTGCGTGTCAAAGTTCTTCCGGTGAAATATGTTGTCTCAATTAACCCTCTCACATGCTTTCCATTCCGAGGGGACTTTGACGGAGACTGCCTTCATGGTTATGTTCCACAGTCCATAAAAGCTCAAGTCGAGTTGAGCGAGCTTGTGGCTTTAGACAAACAGTTAATAAATGGACAGAATGGTCGAAACCTTATGGTACTAACTCAGGATACTTTGACTGCCGCCTACCTTTTTGTTGAGGATGGTGTTTTCCTGAGTAAGGCTGAGATGCAACAGTTGCAAATGTACACATCTTACAAGCCGATGTTGCCTGCTATTGTCCAGCCGAGTTCAGAGACTCCGATTTGGACTGGAAAGCAATTGTTTAGCCTGCTTTTGCCCCAGGATTTTGAATATAATTGTCCGTCCAGTGGCGTACGCATTAGTGGAGGAGAGCTTGCTTTGTCATCTCGTTCTTTTTCATGGCTTCATGACAGTTCTGAAAACCTCTTTCAATGTCTTATTAGACATTGTGGCGAGAAAGCACTTGACTTCCTCAATGCTGGACAAGATCTTCTTTGCGAGTGGTTGATGGGAATGGGGCTGAGTGTTTCATTGTCAGATCTTTATCTCTCTCCCGATCAAGACTCTCGGAAAAATCTTCTAGAAGATGTTTCTTATGCCTTACAAAAGGCTGAAGAGTTTTCTGATGCAAGTTTATTAATGGTGGATGGTAACCAAGATTTTCTCACAGGACAGTTTGAAGACAATGAAGAGATGGAAGAGGTTTGGAAGGAGACGATGTCAATTGCGCGACAGACTAAGGCTGAACTCTTTCAAGCTTCGGTTTCTGCTTCCAAGTTGATTCTAAGGGACATGCAAAGCCTTGTTTACAGATGCTCTAGCAAAAAAAACTCTCTTATCGCCATGCTGAATGCTGGGAGCAAAGGGAATTTGCAGAAATTAGTTCAGCATAGTATGTGCTTGGGATTGCAGCATTCGTTATCTCCGTTATCCTTTTCTGTTCCCCGAAATCTTTCCTGTTCTTCATGGAATCATCAAAAGAGTGATTCTGGTGTCCCAAGATTGGCTGGTTCCCACAGAATCCCCAACTCATACATTCCATGCAATATAATTGCTAACTCCTTCTTGTCGGGCTTAAATCCTCTCGAGTGTTTTGTACTGTCGTTGACTAGCCGTGACGGTTCTTTTAGTGGCAATGCGGATGTTGCTGGGATGATAACTCGGAAGCTGATGTTTTTCATGAGAGATGTAATTGTCGGGTATGATGGAATTGTCAAAAGTAATTATGGGAATCAAGTTGTTCAGTTCAATTATAGCACTGAGGATATGGCCACACCCTACCATGATTCTCGAATTGCTGGACATCCAGTCGGCGCTATAGCTGCTTGCGCCATCTCAGAAGCTGCATACAGTGCGTTAGATCAGCCTGTCAGCGTGCTCGAATCATCGCCTTTATTATCTCTCAAGGTGCTCTTTCATTTTTATTTTTATGTTTTTTTTTTTGTGTTTATATGTGCGATTGTGCTATCAAATGTTCTTAACCATTTGTGATCGCGGTCATATTTTGTAGGGTGTTTTGGAATGTGGATCCAAGAAAGGTTCTGCAAACAAAAGTGCATCATTATTTTTGTCCAAAAGTCTTGGAAGATGGATATGTGGTTTCGAGTACGGAGCTTTAGAAGTCAAGAATCATCTCGAATGTCTGGTTTTCTCCGACATAGTTTCGGAAATAAGGATATGGTATGCTAAGGCCTGTTTTCTTTTCATCGATTACCATTTCCTTATAAACTTCTGTTAGTAAGATCAATTCTGAACTGCGTGACATGTGTATTTCCGAAAACCTTTTTCAGTTATTCGGCATCGAAAAACAATTGCAACTGCCCATGGGTTTGTCACTTTCATATAAACAAGGTAAATATTTTACAGGCAGCGGATGCTTTTCTCAATGCCTGCACATCAATTTACAATTGTTTTTTATCTTGCAGGAAGTTGCCAGGAAGAGACAGTTGACGGTGACGTCTATTATCAACTCTCTTTATAACAACAGTAAATTTCCGGATGAAAGATTGATAGCGGCGAATCTTCCCCTGCGGATTACAAGAAAGTAAGACATTGTGTCTATTAGGATTGCCAGTAGGATTAGTGAAACTTTGTAATGTTTAAATTAAGATGGAATCGATAAATTAAAATACTCTGTTTCTTGCATCATCTGATCCTTACTTCTTGACTGGGCAGGAAATGTTCTGAAGCTGACATTCGCAAGAAATCCGATACCACAATTTGCATCACAGCTGAACTAACTGAGAGCTCGATATCTGAAGAATTCTCCGACTTGGATTGTCTTCAAGATATGATGATACCAATTCTTCTTCAAACTACCATAAAAGGTTCACAACAATTTCAAATTTGCATAACGACTTTGTTCCTTGTAATCTCTTGATTTGTCTAAATATTTGCTATTTAGGGTTTCCGGAGTTCAAGAAGGTTGATATCTTATGGAAAGATGACCCAAATAAGCCAAAGATTCGTCACCAAACCTCAGGGGAACTTTATCTGAGAGTCGTCAAGTCAGCAAAGTGTGATGGAGATAAATTTTGGAGCAGCCTTGTTGATAGTTGTCTCAGAATAAGAAATTTAATCGACTGGGAGCGTAGTCGTCCCGATAACATTCGCAGCTGTAGTGAAGAATTTGGAATCGACGCCGGGTGGCAATTTTTCGTAAATGTAAGTAGCTTCTTTGTGCAGGATATTTCACGATTGTTCTGTTGAAAATAACAACTTTGCATCTTCAAATGCAGAGTTTGCATTCCACCGTCAGCGAAACCGGCAAGTCGATCCTTCCGGAACATTTGATCGTCACTGCCAATTGCCTCTCAATGACCGGAGAATTTGCATCCTTGACTCCCAAAGGGCTGGCGAATCAAAGAAACCAAACAAATACTTTCTCCCCATTAAGTCTGGCCTGCTTATCGGTTAGTATTCATTCGATTTAGTTAAAATTTAAACTATTTGTAGTACTTGCTGATTTCGAAAGGCATACAGAATCCAAGCGATGTCATAGCTAAAGCTGCTAAGATGGATCAAATGGATGCTCTGCAAGGAAGTTTGGAGGCTTTGTCATGGGGCCAAACTCCCTTACTCGGAACCGGCCATTCCTTCGATATCGTCTATGGTGGAACGGTACATTACTTCCCTATTCTTCAAAAACGCGTTATTACATGACACTGACTGAATCTAACTTGGTTAGTTTTTTTTCCTTGTCGTCAGGGCCACGAACTGTCTAAGTCATCAGATATCTACAGTTTGTTACGTTCCCATGTTGAATCTCCTGACACTAATGTTGCCGCCAAGAAGGCGACGATGCCCTTCATCTCAAACAATGGTCCGTCTCAGAATATCTCGCTGGTTGGGATACGGAAGATCTCGGACAAGCTAAAGCGAATGCTGAAAAAGTATGTGAAGCCTTTTGCTTTCTTCCATGGCTGTTTATTGCATATACTTTTCTTGTCTTCATATTTATGTTTTGTCAAAAACGAATAATGTAAATAGGTTTCCGAAGAACCATTTCTTGAAAGGAGATGACAAGACGACGGCAGAAATGGCTCTGCGATTCCACCCCAATTCGAAGGAGAAAATCGGGACTGGCATTAAGGATATAAAGGTACAAAGAAGCTTTCTTTATTATGTCGTGTATCTCTGTATGTATGTATTCTCATCATCGATGGAGTGACATATTTCTTTCTGTCTATTACACACAGATTGGGAGTCATCCTAAACACAAAGAGAAGTGCTTTTTTGTGGTGAGAAGTGATGGAACCCAAGAGGACTTCTCTTACAACAAATGCATTAATCATGCGCTCCAAACGATCGACAAAGACAAGGAGAAGGGGAGGAAAGAAAAGGATGTCCCTGTCCCTGTCCCTGAAGTCGGACATGGTTAGTTTGCGCTTCTCTCGACTCAACTCAATAAGGTGTCGCGCTGTGCTGCGCCGCCAAAATGTTTCTTTGTTTTGGGACGGATCAAAATTTTTATTTAAACAGCTAATCTGAACAACGATGTGTGTAATGTAATGGTAATGTAATGTAAGTTGGATAGCCCAAGCTTCTTTTTGCTGCTTCCACTAAAGTTTCTTTGCCGGACGGCGGCTGGGGAAATTTAGTGGAAGTAGCAACGGGAAAGCTTTCATCTTCAAGGGCGAGGTGGGCTATCCATTTTTCATCTTTCATATTTAATACTAACTGTTAGTGTTTGTTTGTTTGATTTTAACCTATATCTCACCATTGCTGCATGCTTGCTGTGGTATTATGTTTTCTTCCCCATTCTGTCTTTGATATATATATATATATATATATATATATGTATTAGTAATGTTTTATTTTCTGTTTTTTAAAAGTGAAACAAACAAATTATCTTTAAAAGTGGAATGATTTCATGATCCAAAAACAATGCGGGTGGGAATTTATTATCGACTTAAGATATTGCACTCTTTATTTCAATTAAGACAAATTTTAGGATATCAAGCCTCGGACGAAAATATTCTAAAATGGTGTACCAAACCAAACAATTAAGTCGAATTTATGGGATTTTGTAATAGAGACGAGAAAATTACTAATATTAATAATAATAACCTGAAGTTGAATATACTGAGATTCTTTAATTGTCTATTTCATTTTTGGCTAAAAATTCTTTGCCTCTATATTATTATTATTATTATTATTATTATTATTATTATTATTATTATAGTTGCTTTTAATTGCTACCACAATTCCTTTTTTTTTTTTTTTTTTATTGCATAATTGTAATATACTACATTGGAGCAATAATTGAAACTCACGTGAGAAATTATGCTATAATTGTCCCAAAACAGTATAAAGCAATGTCACATTAATCATTACTACCACATGGGAAACGTCTTTTTCCAAATAATATAAATTATTATTGTTATTATTAAGTTTTAAATAAATGTACTTAAACATAATACCAAAACATAAAATAGTTAATATTTCATGAAAGTGAATTGTGAGTTCTCCTATCTTATGATTAGTTTTTAACTTTATTAATTGAGAGTAGGTAATATTTATAGTGATATTTATCAATAATTTTGGACAAACTCCACAACGTGTGTAATGATGCTTAAATTAATTAGTCAACCAAACTACTTATAAAGAGTTATAAAAATTGGACAAAATATTATAAATCATAAAATGACATGATTGGATCTAAAGGGATTTGGTCTACACGATTGGATCGCATTGTCTGAAACTCCTTTTAATAAAAATATTTGACAATAGGATAGCTATGAAAGCACGTCAACCACTTCTGTGTCTTTTATTTTTATTTTGTCTATTATTTCAAATTGGTGACGAGATATGGCATATGTATTTTTAAATGTGACAGCCACTGTAGCATACGAAAGAATGGACCTTCATACTGTTCATTTTGTTTGTCCTTACATTGATATTAAAATATAAATAAATATATTAATTGATGATTTGCACTCCATAATGCCAAAACGACAAGTTCAAAATATAGGAATTATTGTTTATATGATGATGATGATTTGGAGAAATGAGGAAATCCTGGGATCTCAACACCGGGTGATCAACGCCGTTGGCTGGCCCGTGAACGAACGGTGTAGATTCACACGGCGCTAAGCTTCAGGTTCAGCGAAGAGCTTACATATATATATTATACACATATTATATACATATTATAAATGGTTGTAATCTACCCAATGGTTTTGTTCATTCATTCCCGAATTTCTCTGTCTAATTCACTTTCCATAATTGTTCGTTTCATTCCTCCCTCACTCCGTCTGCAATCGCAATCAGATCTTTTCAATGCACTCTTTCTCATTCTCCAACCTTGCGATGCATATTCCTTGATCGATCATATTAAACCCAAATCTTTATATAAGCGGCGAGCAATGTAGTACCAATCGTAGGGTTCAGAAGAAAAACCCCTCTTTTCGTTGCACTGCAGATCACACACTCAGAGTCGGATTTTTTACTAAGATCCGAATTCTGGGAACATACATTTGCGTTCTTTCGTATTATCTTTCTGTTCGGATTCGTTTGCTGATGTTAATCTAAATCTTGCTGCTTCGAATCGTGGATGTTAGGATTTCCTCCGGTAAACGCTTCATTTCTTTTCCACCATTGGTTCTTCGAATATGAAATTATGAACCGGGCCTAATGTATCAATGAATTTTGAAAGCAAGCACGTGTGTTGCATTCAATGAAGCTTCAGTATTATATTCATTCATTGAGGTTCTTTTTTCTTTCTTTAAATTTTACCAAGGATTGTTTTCTTTGTGATGATTAAATAAATTAATGTGTGGTCGAATGAAATCGACTTTTTTGCTCGCACCCCCTCCAAGAATAATGTTTTTAGATTATCGTGGGTCATGCGATGGGAGTTGTGCTTTTCAGATGTTAATGGTGAATAAGAGCGTGCCTTCTTGTTTGATAGAGACAATGGATTAGTGCTGCTATCCAGTCAATTTTTATCCAATGGAATTGTGGTTCGTAACACTTCTTCTTGACAAGTCCACAGAACGAGTCTATGAAGATGAGCTTGATTATTCAGTTTCCCACTCATCTCATTTTTCAATTTATATTCATTTTTAGAATTTTCGTTTAGACTTTTTTGACAGGGACCTATTTTCTTGAAATAAGAATTGATTTAAATATTCTTCTTTATTGCAAATGAGTTTGGTTTGTTGCTGTTGTTTCTTATGCTGACAGATTCTTTATATTAACTCAGAATTGATTGTGGAGAATGTCTTTTGAGGGGTCATTTCTGTGAGATATGCTTCTAAAGATTTTGTGAATAAAGGATTGAGATCATTTTCAGAATTCCTCATTGCTACCTTTGGTCGCCTTGTCTGTGAAGTGAATTCTTATATGAACTTCTGTGCTTGAAAGGATTTAATTTTGTTAAAGTGATATAATTTGCATATTAGTTCTCATCTGTTCTTTGTGCTGTCGTTCTGCAGATAGATAAAGATGGTGGAATTTGGGAAAAAATTGAAGGAGAGGCAAATTCAAGAATGGCAAAGGTCGGTATCATTAGATGTTTTATTCAATTCAATATTCCATTTTCCTGATGATACAAGATCTTCTAACATCACGGGATATTTTTAGTGCAATAGAATGTTATCGTAGCGAAAGATGAGGTTGCTTCTTGTAATTTGAGTATTCGTAGACATGACAGAAAGCTAGAAATATAACGTATCAAACACTGTTTGGCAATAACCACCATATTGCATGTGTTGTCTGTGGATTTTGTTCCATTTATAATTTGGAGATGGATTGATGGTATGTAGGTACTACATCAACTACAAATTAATGAAGAAGAGAGTAAAGCACTATTCGAATCAAATTCATGTTGGAGGATTGGAACTCAGACAAGTTCTCAAGGATTTCTCGAGAATGCTAGATAACCAGGTAAATTACAAATTGAACAATGTTGGATGATGCACATAGTGTCTGTCCTTTAACGGCACAGCCTTACTATGTTAAATGTCCTATATTAATGTTGTCACGTTGCATTTTATTAAGGTTGTTTTCTTGACAATGAAGCTTACAAATGATTACATTGCTTGCAATGCAGATAGAAAAAGTTGTACTCTTTATTTTGGAACAGCAGGGCCTGCTCGCCAGCAGGATTTCTCAATTGAACGAGCAACAAAATTCTCTCCAGGATCAGCCAGACATATCCAAGATATCGGACCTGCGAGAAGCTTACAGGGCAATTGGGCAGGATCTGATAAAGCTCTTATTTTTTGTTGAAGTGAATGCCATTGGTCTGAGGAAGATCCTCAAAAAGTTCGATAAGCGACTTAGGTACAAGTTTACCGACCACTATGTCAAAACACGCTCAAGCCATCCTTATTCGCAGCTTCAGCAAGTATTCAAGCATGTGGTAATGATATATGGAAAGTACTATTAATGCTCTTTCAACTCTTTTGTCCTTGTCTCTATTTCTTATTGGCTCGACTGTAGATAATTCTTTGTGACTGTTACTAACCTGTGACACAGGGTTTGGGAGCGGTCATTGGAGCCATATCTCGCAATCTTGCTGATCTTGAGGTTCGCCAAGGAAGCTACTTGTCCATTTATGATGAACCAGCACTTCCTTTCCAGGTACTTCGGTATTCATACCACCTCGACTTTGGTCAAGTTTTTTGCATTGTTCATTATGCTGAGGTAATTGTAGTAATTTTTTTTTTCCAATTCCTGAAGGATCCAGTTGTTGATACGCTGAACGCAGCTGTTGACCGACTAACTCATTCGACAAATTTCCTCGACTTTTTGGGCAGCCATGCTCTTATCATGCACGATGAATTACCTCCCACTGCTGCCGCAATTGATGAAAGCATAGATGGCGAGAGATACCATTTCATTTCTCTTATTCTTAACCTGGCAAACACTTTCCTTTACATGGTCAACACATACATTATCGTTCCCACAGCAGATGACTATTCGATGAGTCTTGGGGCAGCAGCAACAGTTTGTGGGATTGTGATCGGGGCCATGGCAGTAGCGCAGATATTCTCTTCCATCTACTTCAGTGCTTGGTCCAACAAGTCCTACTTCCAACCCTTGGTGTTTAGTAGCATCGTACTTGTCGTTGGAAATGCAATGTACGCCATGGCATATGATCTTGATTCCATAGCAATACTTTTAATCGGTCGGTTGTTTTGTGGGTAAGTGCCTCTCTCACTCTCTCTCTCTCTCTTGATATTCTTACGTAACGCCTATTGATACGACACTTTCTCTGGTTTTTCTGAACTTATAGCTTTGGTTCAGCCAGAGCAGTTAACCGGCGTTACATCAGTGACTGTGTGCCACACAAGATCCGGCTGCAGGCTTCGGCAGCATTTGTTAGTGCTAGTGCTTTGGGAATGGCCTGCGGCCCTGCACTTGCCGGCTTGCTTCAAACCAATTTCAAACTCTTCAATATGACACTCAATCAAGACACGTTGCCAGGTTGGGTTATGGCTGCAGCATGGTTGATCTATTTGGTATGGTTGTGGATATCTTTCCGGGAGCCAGCAGGCATCTCCAGCCTCAACCACGGGCCGCAGAATGAAAATACAGAGCAGTATGATAAGCTCGAAAAAGGCCTTGTACAACCTTTGCTTAAAGCTAATGAAAGCGAACAAGATGATGATGCTGATCAAGAATGTGACGGTGGCGAAGAAGCTCCAGTGTTGTCCCGTCAGCCAGCTAAGTCCCTTCAATCTGCCTACAGCTTGCTGACACCTTCTGTTAAGGTAATATGGTCGATTTGCTAAACAACAATGGTATGATTTTGAAATTTCGAATTTGAAGATATATTGAGGATGTGTTGCAGGTTCAATTATTGATTTACTTCATGCTTAAATATGCGATAGAGATTCTACTCTCGGAATCAAGTGTTGTCACGACTTACTATTTCGGCTGGACAACGGGCACAGTGTCTATATTCCTTGCCTGCCTCGGCCTTACAGTTCTTCCTGTGAACTTTGTTGTGGGAGGTTACATCAGTAATATGTTCGAGGACAGGTAACTAACTCAAGTTATAGAATCATGAGCGAATTTATCATGGTCACGGTCATGATCGAATCCATCTGCAGGCAAATACTATTGGGGTCGGAGATCATGGTCCTGTTAGGCATAATCTTCGGCTTCCATTTCATAATCCCATACTCTGTGCCGCAGTATGTCTGCTCAGGCCTCATCCTGTTCGTCGCTGCTGAAGTATTGGAAGGTAAATACATAATCTCGACATCATCAGCCCACAAGTCATCGATTTGTGGTAGTAACTGTTTTTGATGTGTGGTACAGGGGTGAACCTGTCGCTGCTGTCACGGGTAATGTCATCGAGGCTGTCTCAAGGGACATTCAACGGGGGACTTTTGTCGACAGAGGCAGGGACACTTGCCCGGGTGGTGGCAGATGCAACGATCACCCTGGCGGGGTATTTAGGGCAGGGTATGCTCCTGAATGCAACACTGGTGCCTTCCTTGGTGATATGCTTAGCATCCATTGTTGCTACTTGCTGCACCTACAATTCTCTCTACTGATTCCACGAGATGATGATGATGGAGGAAGATTGGATGATATATTATACATGTTGTGTGGTTGGTTTCCTCTCTCTCTCTCTCTCTCTCTCTCTTGATAATTCATTGTTTTAATCATTTATACCTGTAATAACGAATGCATTACCTCTCAGTTATTATTATAGTGGGGGCAAATATTGTACTAGGAATATCAATAACTAAAAATAAGGATATCCTTAGCCTTTCTTCTCTTTATCAGACTGGAACCACCCTACCTATAGGCAGTAATTTATATATAGCTGAGATTGCAATCATAAGCTAAGCAGTTGTAGGGCTATTCTCTTTTTGGCAGATTATAATTTGATTCATATCTCTTTCTTTATATTGGTATTATGCCAATTCGCCATTGTAATCTGCCATGCCAAAGGAGAATTGCCCTTGCACTCATCCTGATTGCCTTCAAGTTAAACCACCAACATTTGTCTCACTTCAAATTACTGCCGTTGGTAATGGAGTTATTTTGCCACGGCAATAATCAAGCATGTTTCCATAGGCAATCTACGCTGGGAAGTAATTGGATTAATCATAGTCATGGAAATCTTGGAGCATTATGTACTGACAATATAGTTTATCACAGCCATAGCCATGGCTATTTTTAATGGTTTCATTTGTATAAACATAGATTAGGTTCGTGTGAAAAGTTTGCACCCCACCTACCTAATTCTATATGTGGGCATTTTAATTAATTGAAAACTTGTCAACGTTTTTTCCTACACTAGATTTGTCCAATTTTGATGCCATAGGGCCTGTCAATTAATTTTCTTGAGCCTGAATCATTCTCTCACCAATCAATCACTACTACAGGATGAGAAGTGGGAAGTGAGAACCTGACTGGCCTAGCAGCTCCATTTGCCACTTTCTACTTGTTTCTTTCCTCCTAAAGATGCTCTGTGCAGCACTATGCTGCTTTACATTGACTGTTTTTGGAGTCAATTTCGTTAACAATAAAGTGGCTTTGCCATTGGAATAATAACAAGGAAGACAAAACAATGTGATTAATGGATGACTTAGTCATCCTTGAGTATTACATAATACATATACATACATATGGGTTCTCTATCAGACAACCTGGACTTTTTAACTTTGATGAAAACAACGTGTGGGGAAAGGAAACTAACTCAAAGCAGTTCTCTTCAATAAGAAGATAGTATTGACTATCCGATTATGGATGGGTGAGGCAGAAACAATATGCAGCAGCAATCAAATTGCATCATAGAGGCATCCAGGGCATGTTTCAATACCTGCTGTGTTAATCTCCCCCATGAGGACGAGATCAAGCCCGGCAAGGTTGCCGTCGTAGTCGATCCCCGCCGCGGTTTTGCTTCAGCCATAATTTCATCTCTCCAGCGCACCACTGATTTCACCAACCCTGAATCTCTCCCCTCGCTGCAGGATGTCTTGTCCGGCCTGAACGCTGCATTCCCGTGCTACTCCCGCACGGTTCTTGCCGACGACATTCGTGCTCGGGAGTATCATCTGTCCAACCATGTTTGCCTCGATTATGTCGGCAATGGCCTCTTTTCTCATTCCCAGGTTCAGAGTTCGATCTTGTCAGCGGAGATGGGTTCAACAACCTCGTCAGCATTTTCCAATGCCCCTTTCTTCAACATTTCATGCAATTCGATGAATTTGAATTCCTACTTGAATCACAAAGTCGATGAATCCGACTTCCAAGCTTCGTTGCGTGCGAGGATCACAGAATACATGAACTTGTTCGAAGAGGAATACGCCGTTGTTTTTACAGCTAATCAGGCGTCAGCATTCAAGCTTATTGCAGATTCTTACCCTTTCAACTCCAATCAAAGTCTTCTAACAGTTTACGACTATGAAAACGAAGCCGTTCAGGCCATGGTTGACAGTGCAACTAACCAGGGCGCCAGGGCTCAATCAGCTGCCTTTATATGGCCTAATTTCAGAATCGATTCTAGAAAATTAAGGAAACAGATTGCCAGCAAGAGTAACACAAGAAACAGGGGAAGGGGCCTGTTCGTTTTCCCTCTCCAATCCAGGATGACTGGAGTACGATATTCTTATCAGTGGATGAACCTGGCGAGGGGCCATGGATGGCATGTCCTGCTCGATACCTGTGCGCTTGGAGCAAAGGACATGGAAACCCTCGGCCTATCACTTTTCCAACCTGATTTCCTAATCGGCTCGTTTTTCAAGGTTTTTGGCCTCAATCCGTCGGGCTTCTGCTGCCTGTTCATCAGGAAATCTAGGGTTTCAGATTTAACGCAACTCTCTACCACTATGGGGATCATCAGCTTAATCCCAGCCGTCAATGAAGCTCCACAGTGTCGAGAATTCAAAATTAACCAGCAAAAGGATCCGTCGAGCTCCAAAACAACAGAAGTAAACACAGAGCACGAAACCCTAATCGAAGAAAATCCCCAATTCCGAGGCCTCGATCACGCAGACCAATTAGGGCTAATTCTAATCAGCAGCAGAGTGAGGTGCCTGGTTAATTGGTTGGTGAACGCATTCCTGAGCCTCCGACATCCCCATTCCGGTAGCGGGCCGTCGCTTATCAGAATCTATGGGCCGAGAATCAAGCTTGATCGAGGCCCTGCCATTGCGTTCAACGTGTACGATTGGGAAGGAGAAAGAGTCGACCCCAATTTAGTACAGAAGCTAGCTGATCGAAATAACATTTCACTCAGCTGCGGGTTCCTGAAAAACATCTGTTTCCCGAAAAATTCCGAGCAGGAGAAGGAGACATTGCTGGAAATGAGAAATCGGGAGGAGAAAAGGAAGACGAAACAGGATTGGGGATTGTGGGTGGCGTCGATTTCGATTGGAATGCTGAGCAATTTCGAGGATGTGTATAGGGTTTGGGGATTCGTTTCCAGGTTTTTGGACGCTGACTTTGTGGAGAAGGAACGGTGGAGATACACAGCCCTGAATCAGACGACGGTTGAGATTTAAGGCTATAGCCAACGCTTTTTTATTTTTCGTTTTTGTTCATCGATAATATATTATTTATAATAATAATAATAATAATAAGAAATAATATATATTTTAATTTATATAATTTAATATTACATTTATTTATACATTTTATTAAAAAATTACTTCATTAATTTATTTATATTCTTATTAAATTATTTTTACTTTGTATTAGTATAATTAACTATATGTTGCTAGTATATTATTTGGGCCTGTTAATGGCTATTTGAACCCATTAATGGCCTAATAGGCTCAGCCCAGCAGAGTACTCTCGAGTCTCGATCCAGTTAGTTATCAGAACCTTCTAGGGTTTTGCTCATTCTCTCAACTCGAGTACTTGGGAGCGTGATCGCCGCAACTCAAACCTTTGTTGCTCTTTCCCCTCTGAATTTGAAATTATCGCCAGTTAGTCCGACGATCATCTGGTAATTCCTGTTGTCCTCTCGATTATAGATGTAATATGGATATATGCGGACTATTCCTTTCGTGATAATTTGGTTACGATTTAGTGCTTCATTTGTTGGAGTCAGTGATGTATTCGTAAGAATTCGTTAATTTTTAGTTGACGAATGATGAGTTTCGAAAACGATTTGTTTATTGTTATGTATCTTCAGATTTGATCATTATGTCGTTAGGTTTCGAGATCTGGTGAGATTTTGAGTTTCATTTGAAGAAGGCGGTTATAAGATTGAGGAATAGACGCTTTTGTAATATCTAGATTCGAAAAAAGAATTACATCGGTTTGTCCTTTACTTGTTTATTGTTGTATCGGTAAGTTGTATGGACTTGAATATGCGATAGTAATTGCAGTGTAAGATTCTAAGCAATTAGGCGATTCAACCTAATTTTGCAGTTGATCACTTGAAAGGTAGAAACCCTAGTCATGGCAATTGGATCGGTTTGATCTGGGCAAAGAGGTACACAAGTTTCTGTGTATCATAACATCTCCTACCATTGATAGCTTTTTTATGGGATTGAAACATTTGCTACAGTTGATGGAACACTTATTTAATTATAGCTCTAAATATCATATAGCTAACTAGTAGTAACAAATTTTATTTTTGATAAATGCTTTAGGTTCTCCTAGGATTTGAAATATAGTTGGGCATGGTAATTGGATAATTTTTAGATGATTTGTATTATCAAAGATTTTCACAAGTTAGTTCTGGTGCATTCGAATGCTGTGCTATAAATTTCGCAATACTAATTCTGACACATCTATAATGAAATTTGTAAAACACAAACTATAATATTTTCTGCATTCCTATGTTTGTGAAATGGTAGTTCCTAAGAGCATGAGACCGCCTCTTAGTTAATGTGGTCGTGGCCTCAGAGGTGGCAGGGGTGGCGGCAGTGGTCGTGGTCCTCCTCGCGATGAGGGCCCCCCCTTAGGAAGTAGTTGAGGTTTCGAAATTTGTTCAAGCTTGTGAAGGAGATGATGTTTCCAAGCTTACAAACGAGAAAGTGCCCTATTTTAACACACCCATAAACCTTCAGAACAAGACCCAAATAGGTAAGGTAGATGAGATCTTCGGCCCCATCAATGAATCTTATTTCTCAATTAAGATGATGGAAGGGATATGGGTGATAAGTTCTTCATTGGTCCATCCAAGCTTTTGTTGCTCAAGATTTCTTCCACAGCCCAAGGAACAATGGCAGGCTGGCAGAGGGGGGGGGGGGGGTGGTCGGGGTGGAGGTAGTGGCTTTCGAGAAAGTGGTGACTCCAATGGTGGGAGATGTGGCTTCTGAGTGCGAGGTCGTGGTGGTGGATTTATGGGTAGAGGAAGATTGCAATAGAGTACATGGGCACATATGTTTGTCTCTACGATGTTGTTCCAAGGGGTTTAAGATTAGAACAATATTTTTTATGTAACTCATATATCAATGGAATATTTGAAGTTGCATGTAGTTGCTTGAAATGATATAGATTGATGTGGTTTTGCTCTTTTTTTTTTTTATAAAAAAAAAAATATAGTTTGTTTAATGGTATGTGAAGATTTATCTTCTGGTCATTCATGAAATTTTAGATGTTGTTATCTGTCTCTATGGGATAATTTAGCTACTTATTTATCAGCTATTGGCTGCTCCAAGTCTTCAAGAATGCTTGTTCCTGGTGGCTTTAGAATAGGACACAGGAGCCTGATGTCTATCTTTTTTGGAGGAAGGGATCCATTCGATGATCCCATTTTATACCCTCCTTGGGGAGCAAGTTTGATTCTACCAGCTCTGCTGAAGGTCGTCCATTCATGAATCCCCAGCCTTCACATTCTAATTCACCAAAGGGTGCCAATAATTGAGATGCTGAACTCTGAAAGTGAGAAGGTACAACGAAGATGGACAGAAGAAACAAGGGAAAGCGTTGCCAGATCTACTCAAGAGCCATCCGGTGAGGATCCTGATGATGAAAAGTATTTTGGCTTTTGGAATGCTTATTTGAGTATTGGTCTGAATGTCTGTTTAGACTAATGTGATGGACGTAATCTACCCTGTTGTAGAGAAAAGGAGTGGGCATATGTCTCAAAGAAATGACGATAACTAGACACACTTAACAAGGAGTCAGCCGTAATCACCTAAGCAAATGGTACCTGCTATACATCATCTAGGGCAAGGAGATCAAGGTATTATTTTAGCTTTTCTATTACCGCTTGCATATCAATAATATCAATCTTGAATTTAGGAAGGGGATTGTTTAACCATTGAGATTATGTGTTTAGGAGCATTCTGTCACTAGGAAATTGATGTTGGACGGCCATGTTGACACAATGCAGACACTGCATAACCTTAAGGTTTTCTGATGCACGTTTTTATTCATTTATTGGTCTCAACCATTGTATACTTATTCATCTTGCATTGCTCTGACTTGATGTTTTGTTTTAGAAGCATACTAATCCCTTGATGGTTTCTCTTTTACTTGATGCAAAATCTCTTCCAGGATGTGGAGGTGGCAGTCAGCGGGTGGGCCCTCCCTGCTTCTGAAAGGCCAGCAAATGGTGAAACTTCCAGTCAGATGTAGTTGGTATTCGCTGGACCCTACACCATATCTGCGAAAAATGAAAACTGCCCAAGCTCTTGGCTCACAGGTCTAGCAGGTAGCAGCATTAGGCACCTTCTCAGATGCCATTTCTATCTTGAGTTTGCCCTATGTCCAATCCTATTTCATGAATGTGCACACACCCACGCCTAGATCTATGAGGCATGCAATGTTTGTTAAGGGATTTGTGCCAATTTTCCGTAACTAATGTCGACACTTAATTCTATAGCTCCCTCGATCTCTGAGATGAGACCCAGCTAAGGTAAGGTCAGGTTTTGTTGTGGCTGCTCAGCTTGGCTGCGGTCTGACAAACTTCAGTTCAGTTCGATGCCTTGCTGCCAGGGCTCTATATCTGCAACGATCGGGGTTGAATGCTAGGGATGGGGTATATGCAGCGTTATTTGTAGTGATTTTAGGTGGATATCGTTTACCATTCCGTTCTGCCTACTTGATAATTTATGAAAATGTTTTATAATCTGTATCACTATATATGGTTGTTCCTTAGCAAGGGACTGCAGGATGACCGAATATGTACTTTTACGTATGTGTATATGTTCGGCCGATCCGGGGCTCAACTGGTGCCTTCGCTGGAAGCCTAGTTGGGGATTTTTTTTAAATGGGCCGTTCTAGCCATGCTAAGTTGTTTGTTTCAAGCCCAAAATGTTTGACAGGCTCAGAATACTGTATGACCAGTTTCCAAACGCCCAAAAAGTGTCGCATAAATGCTAATAATGGAGCCCAGATATGTAACTATTTATTCAAAAGCGGCGCAGATAAAATGTTGGTGAAAGTCCATATTGGGGTAATACAAACAACTGCAAGATATCATCGTCTATGTACAGAGGCCCAGTAAAATGTTCCCGCGGGCCGATTGGGCCAGAAAGGGTCCTTTAAATTATCAGTGTATTGCCTACAGGCCCAGAAAATGTTAGCGCAGGCCCAAGAAAATAACAGCTCGGACCAAATTATTGTCGGAGTATTTCCGACAGGCCCAAAAAGATTGCTACCACCTGTGGAATATTGCCGACAGCCAAAAATGTTATTGGTACAATGTCATGACCATGTCGGCATAAGCCGCAATGTTGTCGGTTTATTGCAAACGGCGGCGCAAGGCACAAAAAAATAACGGCGCAGGCCCGTTAGTTTTTGTCTATATATTTGCCGACCGCAAAAAATATTGTCGGCTTATTGCCGGCAATACAAGGCGGTGGCGGCGCAAGCTTATTGGGCCAGTTAACTCTAGTAAAGGCCCAAAATAATTAAAAGAGACAATGATTGGGCCTGAAAATGGCAGCATAAGCCCAAGAAGTATCGCTACAGGCCCATAAACATTGTCTATATATTGCCTACTAGCCCACGAAATTTATGGCCCAAATCAGAAAAATGTCTGGGTATTTCCGACAGCTAGAAATTCTTGTACATATCTATGCTACCTATTCCGCAACATGTCGGCCCCCCCATTATTGTTGTCGGCTTAGCGCAGACAATCACAGAACTCTGTCGGCCCAATTTTAGGTTCGCAACAACATGTCGGGCCAGGCCCATGGTTCTGTCGGCTCCTTGCCTGTGACCCATAATGCTTTTTCCTGAGTTCAAGCAGGTCCAATGAAATGTTGTAGGGCCAAGATATTGTACCCAGTTTTTGTAAGCCCTTGATGCTTTCTGCGAAGGCCCATCGTTTTGGCCCAGTACAAGAATTCTCCGAGCCTACGTTTGGCAGCCCCAGCATAATGTAGGCTATGCTTGACAGGCCCAGTTTGTTCTGGGCGAAAGCCCATGGGAGAACAGTACTCGGTTGAGCTAACTTTTTCACAGTTGAGTGGGCCTCCTCTGGCTCAGCGTATTACGTGGAAAAAAATTTGGGAATGTAATATTTTACGTAGATGTAAAAATTTAACTACATAACAATTTAATTATACATAAAACAAATTAGAACAAAGCACTGTTAATTTTGAAATTTATTGAATTAGAGTTGTATATACTTTTGGAGTGCTAATTTAATCAGAAAGCATACAGACAGGCAAGCATATAATGCATTCATCCATGAAGTGCCATATAAAGTGAAAGTGATGCAATAAAATCACCTGCAAAACACACATTGTTTGAGTAAAACCTATACCACAAAGAGGAATGTTAATATTACTCATCTAATACGCTGAGTTAATGATGGATCTCCACACTCGTGCTGTTTTCATAGCACATTAAATACTCTTAATTCAAACTTTATTGCAACAAAGTAAGAATCGAAACCCAAATACCACATCATAGGGCCTACGATACTTACCACACTCGATCAATCACTTACCTGGTTGCAGCCTCATGCACGTGTAGGGGATGGGAAATAAAACTGTGCACCGCACCACAATATTATCTTCTTTTCTTTCCAGAGCTTCGATTGCCTTTCAATGATGCCTCAGTCTTGAATAAATGTGGCTATAATACATTGTATAGAAATGACAGTGCTGATTAGATATAACATCAAGACACCAAAAACAATGCTGCTAAGGATGAAGATATGATTGCATTCAAAAAAACATTTCACAATTTCGAAGCTACAAATTAAGAATATTGGATCAGTATAATGTTTAGCTATACGAAATAAGTCCGTCTAATACACAATAAAGGCTCTGTATCACGATTTCAGGTAGTTCATGTAAATGCAGAATTGCAGATGAAAAGCATTCAACTCTCAATCAATAGATTGGACACACAATGAAGATAGAATAACAAGCACTGTTATGATATCAGTTACTTATATGATGCAGAACTGCGGATAAAAAGCATATAATTCTCAACCAATAAATTGGTCACACAATGAACATAGAATAACAAACACTTCTTAATGTGGCCATAATCAAAAACAAAAATTTTAAGGTGTGTTTGTTTGTGTGTTTGGGATTTTTGAATAGTAAAAAATTGAATTCGAATAGTTGTTTGATGTGATATAAATAAATATTGATGTGATGTTTTGAATGTAAAATAAATTTGTAGTATAATATAAAAAAAAAAAACACAACCTTAGTTTTTATGATATTTGCCTTTTTAGAAATGAAAGAAATCAAGAATGCCGTGCCACATAAACCTCCCACATAGGATATAACATAAAATAAAAGCAATGTGGAATATGGGTCAGTGCTAATGTTGGTGTCAATCAAGTAGCTCACCTTCGCGGGCGCCAGCACGCAGAAGAACACTGTTCAGTTCTAATTTGATCTTTTGTTCAGCCAGGAAATCATAACCACCTTCATGACACAAAATTAAAAAGTACCAATTAAATATTTAAAATTAATAATCACTAAATTGTTAACTAAAATATTTCAAATATCAATACTTACCTTGATTTGTGTATTTGGCAAGAATCCCATCAGTAATCTCTTAAGAGTTTCCTGAGCAATTAAAACATCAGAAGCACCTAGGAACACAAAACATAGGCATGTTAATCTGCACAAAAAGAAAAGGAAATGCGTTGTTAGAATAACTAGATAAAATATAACCAATTGACTGATCATATATTAAATAAAAAATAAAAAATCACAAAACAAACTTTATAATGAAATCCTTGACGTAGAGGTGGGGATCAGTTCAGATTTTTTGGGCTGGGTACCCAAACCTGACCCAATATTTCAGGCACCAAACCTAGCATCATCCTTTGTTTGGTTACCAAAATTTTCACTTTATTACCTTTGCATTAAGATAACCTTTTACTATCTTTTAGTAATAATACACACTCTGCAAATCCATACAAGCAATTATAATAAAAAAATAAAATAAACTAAAGTTTGTTTATTTTGTATTTTTGGATGAATTTATTTTTACTTTATGTCGATAAAATAGAAAATAATATTGTGTAAAAAAGTTGAATTATGTGAGTAAACTAAATGTATATATTATATTTTTTAAAATAATATTTATAAAAAATTGTGTCACTTAGAAACACAATATGAACAAATCCTAACCTAAAACATACAAATGCAATTAACACAATTAAAAAAATCGAAACCATGAAATTTTTAATCTAAACAACATCGTACATATAATTCTTCCCAAAATCGGCTCCTCCCCCAGCAAAATAAAAATAAAAATAAATAATAAATAATAAAACCTTTTTTTTTAATATTACATTAAATATTAATTTAATATTTAAAATATCACATTAAAACGTTTTTATATTGCATAAAATAATTATTCAAATTTAAAATTTTATTATTCAAAACTATAAGCCCAAGTCCCAAATCTCCAACCAAACAAACCCTAAAAATATGAATACTAGTAAATGTGACTAATTTAATGGGACAATTGAAAAGGAAAAACAAGACTAATTAAATGGGACAATTGAAAAGGAAAAACAAGACTAATTAAATGGGACAGGAGGAGTATTATATTAAAAAAATCTATAATCTATCCTCTATCCATACTACTATTACTAACTTAAGGTCTGTTTGTTTAGTGCTTTAATTTCAGGTATTTTTATATGAGATATAGAAAATCGTATCGGTTTTATATTGAATGTTAACATTTTGTGAGAGTGTATAATATATACTCAGCACAATTGACACTATTTTCATTTTTATCCGTTCAATAACAATCGACATTTTTCTATTTTGGGTAAACTTACTAAATCAAAACATACTTAACAAATATAAATCAACTTAATTACTACATAACATGTAACATCATACATAAGACCCACTCAAAACTCTTTTATTTCTATTTCACTCAAAAAAAATAAATATTTTTATCTGTATTAAAACCTCCACCTCTTTTAAAAAATTAAATTATATTAATTATAGAAAATTTTATTCTCTACAAAATAATATCCATATTGCATATATTTTTATTGCTATATACTTTTTAAAATATTCAAGTACATATTTTAATTTTTTTTAATCATATATTGAATTTATTTAAAGCTATCAATATTATTAATTACATAAAAAAAATAATATTATAACTCACTATTATTAACTAATTAAACATCATTACCTTAAATAAGGTGTCCTAATGAAAGTGTCAACTATGTTGAGACAGAAGGAGTATATTTATATATATTGAAAATCGTATATGGAAAAAAAAAATAATAATTGGACAAACAAACATAATAATTAGCTTATTATGTATATTTATTATTAAATATACTATTACAATGTATTTTTTTTCTCTCATAAAAATATAATTATAAATTTCATGTATATTACATTGAAAAATTTTATAATCTATCTCATTACTAACTACATAGATTATAGTATTTTTATTATTAAATATATTATATGCTTTTTAAGATCATATCCATCCATAACTCTATTTTTAAAATTAAATAAAATAAAATTTTTATAATATTAGATAATATTTATGCAAAATATAATAAAAAATACTATATAATATCATTTGATTAAACATAATTAATGCAATATAAAAATTAATATTAATTATAAAATTAAAATATAACTATACAAAAATAAATTATTTTATAAATAATAAAATAAAAGTAAAAAAAAAAGTATAAACATGATTTTTAAATAAATTTTAATTTAAAATAAAATAAAAATCAAGAAAAAGCCACCCTCTCAGTTGAGGGGGTGCCCTCGAATTGTGTCTCACCCTCTCATACGAGGATGATGAATGAAAGTGGGTTGGAGTAACCCACCCTGCAAAAATAACATGGTTTTTTTTTTTTTTTTGCTATTTTTGCAAGGTAGATTGGAGATGGTCTAATTAAACTTTGGGTACATGATTGGGTATCGAGTTTGAAAATTCATATCTGGATTTTGACCTAATTTTTTGATTGAGTACACTAAACTAAAAATTTGTACACATTTTTTTAAACATGTACAAGCCTGATTAAACCGAACCCCCATCGAATCGGGCCAAACCCAAACTACATGATCCAAATGCCCACCCCTACATTTAAGTCCAAAAGACTAGAGATAAGAAGAAACATCATCAAAATAAAAGAATGAGTTTGAGAAACATACCCAAAAATCAAAGCAAATTACTTTCAGCATCGCAAGAATTTAGAGCTTCAATAACACCCCAAATAACTTCATGTCCTCCACGAGATTGTCAATCACATAAAACCACTCCAACCCCTGAGATTAGATAAAGACGAATTAAATATATATTTATATATATCTTTCAGTAGAAAACCTAGTAAGATAGCATTATATTAAGATGCAATGCCATTTGCTATAGAATCCTGATATAGCCAATAATTGATTAGCAGTCATGGTTTTATGAAGTTAAATATTTGAACCACCAATGGAATACCTAACTGCAGGATGCTCAGTTATTATCTGAGCTTTAGGAACCTTGGCAGTTGCCTGCAGGAAGTATGTCCAAGGTTGACTGTAAGTATGAGATAACGACCTACTCATGATGTGCAGAATCTCCTGCAGTAGTTTCATCACCAGTCAGCACAATTCGAAGAGATATTACATCTGCAGAAATAGAGAATTTTAAAAACTGAACATAGAAAATGTATTCAGCAGAACTATACTGTAAAATCAATAGAGGATTATCCAAAATAGCATAAGAAGTTAAAGTCTTACATAACTACACTGCTCAATTGGATTTAAAAGCAAATAAATGTTTGAATTGAACCAAGAGATAAAATCCAGCGTACACACTCAAATAGCAAACTACACAAAAAATCATGTCTCTTCTAGAGTTCTAAAGGAAGAAGATCTTCAAACAAAATGTAGCTTTGAATATAAAATATTAAAGGGTTTCAAGAATTTGATGGCCAAGCTGTTCATTAATCTCTCATAAAGTATAGCACATAGCATCAAAAACAGATAAGGGGAAAAATTTGTTTCTTGTGAAAATCAACTAACTTGACAAACATATTAATACCAACATTAATGGCAGTGAAAGGTTACAGCCATTTATATTCACTAAATTATATTATCTTCACATTTAGTAACTTGAGCCCTATACTGAACAAAGTATATTTTAAGTTGAATTGAAAAGAAATCAATGCAAACATTCAAAACTCCAATGCGCAATTAATAACCTGATGCAACGCAAGCTACAGTAGAGTAGATAAAATTACTATGGTTTCTTCCAAATCCCATAAATTCATTGCCTCAGAAGAAGTTCCAGCTACCACCAAACCTCTATTAAATGCCAGATTCAATTGGATTTGTGCGACCATATAGGATCTTTAATAATCAGAGGCAACTTCCTTTAGGCATATATTTGATGAAAAAAAAAACAGTCATTGATGGTAGAACAAGTGTTTACCCAAACTAAATTATAAGAAGTACAGAACAGTTTATAAATTACAATTAACAGAACAAATGCCAACAATAATATATAGATTACAAGGAGCGAGGCTTGTACGCATATATGCCTTAGATCAAATATCCATATATGATGCAGTGGTCAAACACATGTCTCCCAAATTAAAATAATATTCTCAGCGTGTTTTTCACTGCTCGGAATGCGTAATGCGAATATTCATGGATCATAGATATTGATAATACAACAATCTCAATTGAACACCCACATTTTTACAACATTCATTGAAATTCCATCACATCCGACGCACACACAGCACATAAATACATGAATTCAAAGATTGTACAACTTAAACCCTAAAATTCCATCAGAGGATACGCAATTTATACCCGCGCATCGTCATTCTCCAAACCAACGCCCAACTTATCCAACCGGAGTCACAACGTTCTCGGTCGGTGTCCCCACCGGAAAATCGAATACCGAAACCAGAGCACAAACGCACACAAGGACAGGACTACACAAACAACCGATATTCAAAAAAATAGGGCAGAAAGCCCTGCGAGACAAACCTTCAGTAAGAATTCGTCCTATTTCTTTTCTTCTGCCGACTTCGTCTCCAACAGCGCATATGATTCCGTCAACGATTCACCGTCGATCTCTTCTCTTCAGCGGGACAGAAATGTTCGAGAACATGAACATTACACCAGTGATAATGATAATTTTATGACTTACAAACCCGACCCGACTTGACCGATCTTTCGGGTCGAATTTTAGAAAACGCTGGAACTTGTGACTATATAGTTGGGCCTAAAGCCTAGTTCTAACATCAAAGTCCAATCAAGTGTAGTTTTAGCATAAATATATTTATTATATTTGCATACACAGATCCAATTTGTATCTGACATTTGAGTTTTAAATTTTTCCCTTAAATTAAGGGTTTAATTAATTTATAATCAAAGCTCAAAGTTTTAATTATGTTACCTTTGATTTGAGAAAGTAAATGTTTCAAATCTTGATAATAATATATTATTTCATATTTCATAGTAGATGATATATTCAATATTATCTACTTCAGTTATGATATCCCTCCAAGTACTTAGCACTAACTAATGGTATTATAACCTAATTCATTAAGAAGGTTTTTGTTAATCAATCTGTGGAATAATTTTTAGTTTATTGAATAGTTTTTAGCAAATCTAACAATTAATTAAATTGTTTAGTAAACAATTTTTTAAAATAACTAGTCAAACCCTAAAAGTTAATTTTAAATAACCCTAAAATTTATTGTATTATTTAATAATTATTTTATTATAAATGTTTATTTTTTTTAAATTATGATTTTATTATTAATTTTTATTTTTATTTTCTATTTTTCTAGAATATATTAATTTATAAAAATCAAGTTAAAAAAAATTAATTATTATTCAATCATTTATATACTTTTATTATATACATTTTATATACAAATGAAGGTAAAAGGCAATTGAATATTTTTATTAAAGTAAAAATAAATATTTTGTTACAAATAGTATATTCAATTAGCCAAATTAGCTAATTGAATGTGATTGCCAAACACCCGAAGGCTCTATAAATTGGGAAGAAGGCTAGAAAATGCACTTACTCCAACTTAATTAAAACCTACTGATCTATTTGTCTATATTCTCCTCCCATTTAATATATATATATATATATTATATTTTATATTGATTTTAATTTGAAATATTATATATAAATAATTTAATTTTAAAACATTAAAAAATATATGAATTAAATATAAATAAGCCGTGAATAGTTAGTTATTCCGTCAAAGAAGTACTTGGAAATAAGTTTTGCGCAGTGATGCACAGCACAGCACAGCACGGGACAAGACAATGCTCGCCAAAGTTGGCTCTATCTCTAGTTCAATAATATCTTAATAAGTCTAACGCCACCAAATTTTACTTCAAACTCAGAACCACCCACCCCACTTCAATAGTTTAATTGCTATTTATCAGTATTATATATATTACTTTATTAGGAAATTGTTGGATTTCGATTGACATTGTATTTTCAAGTTTTTGTAAAAAAAAATATTATAGGTATTATATAAGATTTATTCAAAAAATATATATTTTAAATTTTTAAATAAATAAATATAGTTATATATATTCAAATTTATTTTATTTTTTATAAAATTAGATTAAATTAATCATAATTTTTCATCCATTTTATAAGTATATATTTATTTTATTTTTAGTGGTTTAACAAATGTTATATTTTAATAATACTAATTGATGATAGTTTTGTATATAAAGAATATTTTACTTTTGTGATAGTGTAAAATTGTTAAGGAGGTATTAATGTAAATAAATATAAATGTAAAGGTATTTATAATATGTTATATGATATTTATATGTACTAAAAAAATTAATATATATATATATTATTTGAACAATAAAAATGACAATATCTATACTTACCAAACCAATTTACAACTTAAAATTCAAAGTATAAACAACACGTAAGAATTTGATTGTTACACATTCATTTTAATTGACTTCCATACAATTTTATTCTTACAAAAAGAACATGTTGTAGGTTATTTGAAAAGATCAATTTGATTATGTAATAAGTGATGGAGTCAATACGATGTTTAGTAGACGAATGCAAATAAATAAAAATCGCTTCAAAACCCACTGATAGTTTATCATCCAAAACTTACCCAAAATAATTTACCGACTAATGTAATTTGCAGTGTATTACGTTCGAAAATGTATAACTAAACCAATAAAAATAGTATGTTGATTCATAACTTCAATGTTACCGAATTAAAATACAATTATTGATTTAGATGTTATTATTAAGAATATTATATTAATATGGACAACATATGATTCTTTCCCTAACTAAATATGGTATTCTTACTTGAATATGTGTATCTCCTTTGAGCAACTTGCATAATATTATAGATATTTATCTCCACATCTACAGCTACATGTCTATAAAAATTTCAGTTATTTTATTTTTCATTTGAAATTGTGATGTTTTGTGCATATTACACTTCGACCCGACCCGACCTATCGAAACCCGGATCCCGTGCCCGCGGTTCGACCCGATTGAGTGATGAATTGGAGGATGGGTTCGGATGGCCTGAACCGCCCTGGACCGCCCTCAAACCGGTCCAAGGGGTCTGATATATATATACCCTGCTTCCCGGTTCAGACAGACAGATTAATCCTCACTCCTTCTATCGCGATATTCACCCTCTGGAGCCCTAGCTTTCCCGACGAACGCGATCGATCTGTCTGGTGCATTCCGGCGAGTTTGGCCATCGGAACTTGAAGTTCATCCACCGTGGTTGTGTTACAGCTTGTTCTAGAGCTGTTCTTCGGTTTGATTTCTCGATTCTATGTTTATGGGCTGTTCGTGGTGTAATTGATTGTCCGCGATGATTTAGGCTTAGAATCTTGAGATTTCTTTCGATTAGGTTGTTAATCGCGCTGATTGTGCGTTTCTGTGGATGTCGGTAGTGTTTGGGTCGAGGTTGAGTGTAAGTGTTGCTAGTCGGTTGAAATATTGGGTAAACTGAGTCCGAACTCCTTCGATTAACAAAGTATATAAAAGATTCGATGTTTCTTGTTTCATATGTGTTCGATTAGTTGTAAACTACAAGTATTAGGTCCTAAATTTCGATTACAAGTGGTATCAGAGCTGGTTAGGGCTTGCTAGTTTACTGGAATCGTGATTTTCGAGTTCCTGGAGTGAACACCTAGTTCTCTCTGTAAAATCCGAAGGTTTTGTGTAAATAATTTCAAGGTTTTCGAAGTCTTGGTTGTTTACTGCTCTGTCGAAGTGAAAACTGAATTTTTATGGTGTTTTCACCTCTGTAAAGTTTAGATCTCCTTGATTAAGGACTAAGATAGGCCTGTAGGAGATTAGGACTTGAAATCATCCTTGTTTGGTTGATTTGGGTAGTTCCTTGTTGATTGATTCATCCAAACTTTACTAATTTGTGTATTAAGTGCGCAGTTGGAAGGATTTTACAGGTTGGAGGCCTTGAATTACGAAAAGAAAGTCAAAGAATAGTTGCGGAGCTTGGAGTGGGTAACATTCTTAACCCTGTTACATATTTTTGTGAGATTTCAGTTTTTGGGGTGATTAAGTGTGGCGATTTGAGTTTGTTAAGTGGCTGTTTTTGTGCTAAGTGGTTGTTTCTGTGATAAGTGTGGCTGTTTGAGGTTATTGTGACAGTTAAAGTGTTAGTTAGAGCAGTTTGTGCAAAGCTGGTTGTGTGTTATGAAATATTAACTGCTCCTAAGTTAGTTTTCTCAAGAAACTAACCCTTTGATTAGTTACTATTCAGTTTTCTCTGTTCTGGAGCATTCTTATCTGGTGGATATTTTTGTTGAGATTTTATAAACAATAAATCTGTTTTTAAAGCGATCCAGTGAATCTGTTCTTAGGACCAGTAGTTTTTTCTTGTGAAATTTGGCCTGTTCTTGTGTCTTTTTTCTTAAAACAGATTGTTTTCTCTTCATTTTAAAATTCATGGCTAGTCAAGCATTTTTTAATATACAACCTTTTGATGGAAAATCTGATTTTGCAATTTGGAAACAAAAGATGAGAAGTGTTCTTGTAACTCAAAGATTGATAAAAGCAGTTGAACCTGATCAAGCAACAGACCTTTCTCTTGAAGAAAGGTTTGAACTTGATGAACAGTACTTGCATCTTCGTGCATTATTTTAAACCTAGCTGACCATGTAATTAGAAAAATAGGTACTTATGGTTCAGCTGAGGATTTGTGGGACAAATTAAATAACATGTATACTGAAACTTCACTTCCAAATAGGATACATTTGTTAGAACAGTTCTTTAGTTTCAAATTAGATCTTTCAAAGACAATAGATGAAAATTTAGATGTTTTTTCAAAGTTAATTCAAGATATAAAACTTACATGGGATAAAAACATAGATGATTACAGCTCTATTGTTATGTTAAATGCAATCCCTAGTACATATTCAGATGTAAAATCAGCTATAAAATATGGTAGGGATGTAATTACTCTAGATGTTGTGGTAAATGGTCTAAAAAGTAAAGAAGTGGATTTGAAACTAAGTAAAGCTAATAAACATACACATGGTGAGGTGATGCATGTTAGGGGTAGATCTCCCTTTAGACCGAATAAAAATGGCTCTTTTTCAAATAACAATAAGCAATGGAATAACTCCTACAATAGTCAATATAAGAAGAAGTCTAGGAGTAAGTCTAGGAATAGATCTCAAACCCCTACAAAGTATGTTAAACGGTGTTTTAATTGTGGTGACACTTCACATTTCATTAGGAATTGTCCTAAGAAGAATAGAAACTTGAATAACAACAACAATAACTTTAGAAATGGAACACCCACTATTAATACCTCTTCAAATGAACAAGTAAATTTGATTTCTCATGAAGATAGCTTAGGTGAAGTGTTTGCTGTTACTGCTGAATGTTCCAATGTGACTGCTTTTAATAAGAATGAATGGTTATTAGATTCAGCTTGCACCTATCACATGACTCCTTTTAAGGAATTTTTCAGTGATTATAAAACCCTTTTAAACTGTAATGTGACTATGGCTGATAATAGGGTTTGCAGTGTTAAAGGAATAGGGACTGTTGTGCTGAAATTTAAATCTGGAAATGTTTTAAAGCTGTGCAATGTGAGACATGTCCCTAATCTGTCAAATAACTTGCTTTCTT